ACTGTGTCTATCGTGAGGGGGTTTCGGTTTACGGTTCTTCGGTCTACGGTTTTTGGGTCTATGGTTTTACGGTCTATGGTTTTACGGTCTATGGTTTTACGGTCTACGGTTTTTCGGGCTACGGTTTGTTTGTCAGGTTAATGAACGTATCGATTGCATTGGTTTTTCCTTGGGCGATTTTCATGGGAGAGAGAGACTGGAGATGCTAGTGGATAATGTTTCGGTTCGCTTTCGGTATTGTTGTCTTATAATGAATTCATGATCTCCTCTACTTATCACGGGCTTTGAGGCGTTTGATATTGTTTGCCGATTCACTACATTATAAGCAGTTCCGCCGAACAGCCAGATCTCATCTTCGTCCTCAGCGATCCCGCAAAATATTTTCAAGCCATGGATCTTTATATAGGTCGGAATCGCTCGGCTTGATCCCATCTGCTAAAGACCAGGAAAAGATCAAACGCGTGGCGAGCCTTGACAGACTTCTGCATGTCGCTTGCTCCTGCTCGGTCGTCTTAGAGCCGCGTAGGAATGTTTCCAATAGGTACATTTTCGATTGGAACCATGCAGCTAGGCGTACACTTTTCCCCAATCTGATACCTTGGGGGCAGCTAGCGATGACTTCGGCCCCAAGATCAATGACATTTTCCCCATCTTCTGACTTCCAGTTCCATTGTTTATAATATAATTGATGTGCGCATCGTAGATGGAGTTGTACTGCCAAAGCAGCTGATTTGACTTGCACTGTTCCGAAAGGCGGCCAAGGGCTTAGGGGAGGGGATGCATAACAACGGTTATCGACGTCGGTGATGTACAATAGACGGAGCTCATCTGCGCGGTACATACGCAATCCTTCTTGGGTATTGCCGTAGGTCTTTGGCATTCGACAATATTGTGGATTCATGAACGATTGCTGGGATTGGGTCCAGACCGTAGCCGCCAGAAGTAATGGTGCGTCCTCGCGAAAGACTTCGAGTAACTTCGGTATCACTCCAGTCATTGCAGCACCGAGCCAGATTGGCGCCGTAGCGGGATTTCGAAGGGCCATCATCTTGACGAGTAATTGGGGATGATCCTCTGCTTCCAAGGTCAATATATTTTGCACTGTACTGAGCCATTCTCCAGCCAGGTGGCATTCCACGCCTGGCTCCCAGAAGCAACCTATCATTGATGATGCTAAAATGTTCGGCATGCAACTAAGCGCCATATAATGTGCAATATGACTTGGATCTGGCTTCTGTATGTTGCTGGGGGATTTTGAGGGAGCTAAGAATTGATTCCATGGATGCGGAAGAACAATATGCGTCCCATATCTATTGGATGGGTGAAGAAACAGAGATATAGAAAGGGCGGCCAACAATTCGTGATGGGCGTTGTTCCGCTCAGCAAAACTCTCAAGGTATTGTAGCGCTTCAGAAGAGCTCGGTGGTCGGCAGCTTTCGAAGTCCATATGTTTGCTTGAAACGATAAGTTCAAAACGGTCCTCCGGGCCAAGGTGGCATGCCCACGGCGAGTGATACTCATCCTCTGACCGGTGGAGAAGTGACTGCCACCCACAACCCGTTGCGAGGATAGCAGTCCACCAACGGAGTTCAACTTAGGATATGCCGTCGGGCATGTAAACGGGCAAAGAGTTCTTGGTTGCCATACTAGCTCTTTCGCGCACTGCTGCCTTGGTGTCCGTGTAGCTGACGCGGTCGGCAGCAGTCTTGCCACGCAACTCGCAAAGTTTAGAGGAAAAGATGTAAGACCAACCGAGTGACAGGATCGCAAGGAAGTTCGCGGGAAAACATGGATCGAGTTCATTTGTCGCCGGCGCTGCTCCGAGTTTACAGAAGTTCGGCTCATCAATGCCAATGACAGCCTTTTGAGAGCGGGACTGCTTCGTACTAGAATCAAGACTACATCCAGACTGGCTGGAGATATTCCATTCTGCAAACCCTTCTAATTCGAGAGTGTAATCTGCTATGTCAGGAACGCTTTGGACGCATGGAATTGATGGAGTTTTGTTTAGCAGTGCATGAACGTGAAAGCACGAGCTTGGCAAGTTGAGCTCAGATTTCGCAGATTTCAAAACTTTACGCCAATAGATTTGGCTCTTTGCCAGTGTTTCGAACCTTTGCTTCGCGGATGGCTGGGCGGGAGTGGTCGACATGATGTTGTGTTTTCTGCCTCTGTTGTGGAGTAAATAGTGACTGACTTGATTATATGTAGGCACATCTGAAGTGATTGCTTGCAACGACTGCTGACTAACCTTCCTCCAGCACAAAACATGCGACCACACTTGGAACGGTCGTCACTCTCAGAAATAGAAGCTGAGCTATACTGAAATCCAAAAGGTTGAACTTTCATCTGCATTACCAACAATATCATTGCGAACGATTCATGATTACTGGAAGGGTTGGCGGTTGAACAACGATCAAACTGCCCGGCGTAACTAAAACGAGGCAGTATCTACCTCATACTATGTTCTGACGATTGAATTCAGTCAGACTGCCGGAGAGGGTGATGATGGGATTCTTCCCTTTTGCCCAGGGGACGGCTCACATGAGTGTTGACACTGAATGTTTGTAGTGCCGCTCGACGTTTCTTTATTATTAAATCCGATTCAATGAAAGAGTTTGGCTTTCAAATGTCGCACCTTTTATCACTGTTGGATGAGCACCTCTTCTTTGCTTGATTTGCATAGCTTTTGAATAGCAAGCTGTATTTAGACTTCCTCCTCGCTTCCGAAATACTCTACCGAGACATTTGACTTATACAAACAGTGCCGACCGTCTTCATCTCACTAGCTATAATCTCTCCCATCACCAATGTCCCAGAGCTGTTCAATTCTTCGAGATAATGGCGGTGAAATTACGTTTGCTTCTACCAACAGCTGTCTCTCACCGGAGGCGCCCACCGCCGCTCGCAAATGCCAGCCACAAATCCTGGTGATCACTGCGACTAGAGATAAGTGAATGACTTGAATACAATCTTGCTAGCAACGAGCGAGCCGGGTTTGTCAAGCCTGCACTCCACCTTCTTCACCCCAGTTTGCGTGGAGGGTTCACCGTCCTTCGCCACTGTTCCATTGAGACCTCACTCCATACTATCTTTCACTTTGCGCCAGCATTTTCCACCCTTCACTCCACATCCTGAAACACTGCTATTGTCTTTCAACCCCTGTTATGGTTCGGCGAGGATTTCTTATTGTAGTCGAGACAGACTGTAGCCGTATTGTCGCTCACTGTACCTCTTCGCAAGCCAGGCCGGCCTTGACCATGAATATAGTTCCACGGATTGAACCTCCTCCATCTCATCCTTAACCTCGCGCATACCTCAAATCCTTGAACATTCTTGAACTCAATCTTGACCAATCCAACTTTACCACCTCACCTCCACCGCAAACATGTCGCCTTCAGATTACGCCAGAAACCGCGCCGCGAATTGGACTCCACCGCATCCCATAACGGAGGAAGACAAGGCAATCAGAAGCCTGAAGAAAGCGTGGTTGAAAGCCGGAAAGCAGACGAGCTGGCCCTCATCTGCTGGAAAAGAGGTCATGATCGTCAAACTCCACGATTTTGAAATCTACCACCCTCCACACAAAGCCAAGTTCCCGTACGAGCTCACCTCATTGCATCTTCACAGCGTCAAAGCCAGCAAGCTCAACTTCAACGGCATCCTGTCCATTGGACGAACCCAACATTATGTGGAGCTTGTCGACATCGTTCATACATCGATCGAAGGCTATGGCGACGACGCCAGCACTAAGATCTACATTCAGTCCCGTCTCGCTGGTCGAGACAGAGAGTTCGATATCTGGTACGAGCTGAAGGCTCCTTGCGAACATTACAGACTCTATCAAGAAGCCTTCCTTTGGATCGCCACTTTCGCAAAACACACCATCGATTACATGGAAGTGCAACCATCCTCCTCCGTCACCCTCTCCCACTTCCGAGATGACTTCCACGAATGGTTACAACAGAAATTCGGCAATGACCCAGAGTTCACGACGTGGTTGGCAACATGCGGCGACAGGACCGACTTCCGCTCCGACATCAACACCTACGTCGACTTTTTGAGGAACCAGTGCATCGGCCAGCCAACTTCAAAATCTTTACTGAGACATCCAGTCTGGTCTGAGTGCTTGAGAGGCGAGCGAGAAGCCATCCCCGCACAACCCGTTGTCTGCAACAAGACGATCGCCACGCCTTTCGTCTATGATCACTTCAAGAAGATGTACTTTGGGAAGCGACTCGAGAAGATGCAGCCAGACGAGAAAGTACAATCCCAGACCGACGAACGGAAACTAGCCTTAGGATTCCCAGAAGATCAAGAAGAGTCGAAGAAAACCCGTTCTCGGACCACATCATCAGGACCAGTTTCAAGAGATAGTATCAACGTTGGCGATGTGGTTGAAGTTCAACCGGACGACGAGACTCGCTGGTCCTCTGCTGGCCAGGGGTGGGCTGCTTATGTTCAAGGTATCAAACCATTGAAGAACGGCGACGCCAAGCTGGATGTGATCTGGCTGTACGAACCAAGCAACACCGTCATATCAGACATGACATACCTAGTCAAGAAAGAACTCTTCTTCTCCGACCATTGCAACTGCGACTGCGAAAGCCTTCTTGTTAGTGAGGTCCTCCGGAAATGCACAGTCGCCTGGAACCCAGATTCTTTGAACACGGATGCCGATTACATTGTCCGCCAAAAGGTCAATGTTGCAGAGGGATCACATTCATGGGTCACACTCAAAGAGAAAGAACGATATTGCTGCCATTACGCTCCTGATAGGAACACTGGACAGCCATCATACAAAGTCGGAGACTGCGTTTACATTCTTCCAAAAGCAAAAGGAGGTAAACATGAAGAGCAGCCGACATTAGAGCCAGTCGTGATCGAACAGATCAATGAAGACTTCGACGACGTAATGACACGAAAGCTACTCCGCGTTAATCGCGATTGCCGTGGCATGACTAGCACCTCCGCGAGAGATCTTGCAAAGGCGGCGCCCAATGAACTGGCTTGGACAGAAGAACTGGACACAGTATCCATGAGTCGTATTGTCCGCAAATGCCATATCAGGTACTTCCATCACGACGAAGTCCTCAACAACCGCGTTCCTAGTCCATACAGCAAGCAAGGTCAAGGCGACTACTGGTTCGTATCCTCGAGAATCACCAAGAACGGACGACTGGAGTACACCACCCGCCAACCAGGACCATTCAACCAAGGCATGAATCCTGACAAACTGCCGGTACCACTGAGAGGAATGAGTCTCTTCTCTGGAGGAGGTAATCTGGACAGAGGCCTGGAAGAGGGTGGCGCCGTGAAGTTCAAAACTGCTGTGGATCTCGCACAAGAAGCCATCCACACGCATCGAGCCAACGCAGATGTCCCTGAAAATCATAACTTCTACTATGGATCAGTCGACGACTACCTCAAGGCGAGACTATCTGGAAAAGAAGTTAAAGACATTGCTCGCATCGGAGACGTCCAGTACATTGCTGCCGGAAGTCCTTGTCCCGGATTCTCGCTGTTGCAACCTGATTTTGAGAGCAACAAATCCGTCGGCCATGCATCACATGTCACCACATGGCTGAGCTTCGTCGATACCTATCGCCCAGAACGTGGCCTCATGGAGAACGTCGTCAGCATGTCGGCCAAAAGAAAGGGGTTCGAGCAAGAGAAGGTCTTTTCCCAGGTTGTCGCTTGCCTTGTAGGACTTGGATACCAGGTCTGGTTTGGCATTGTCGATTCAGAAACCTGTGGCAGCGCCCAGTCTCGGGCGCGCCTTTTTATATCGATTGCGGCACCAGGCCTCACGCTGGCGGAGAGGCCTTCACAAACTCACAAGTACCGCAATTTCCGACCCAGGAGCATCGGACAGACCGAGATTGGAGAGAACTTCTCCAGCCGGCAGGATCCGGTGACTCCCTTCCCATTCACCACCATCGGCCAGGCCACAGGCCACCTCCCGCCTCTCGGAACCGGCAGCGTCCAGGCCTGCATCCCCTTCCCTGACCACCGAGTGGTCAGGGTCGCAAACGAACTGGACCGACAACTGATCGGCCGGATCCCCCTCCTCCCTGCTGGACAGGGATACGTGGAGGCCTTCGAGCAGGGTTTGATTCCCAAACGCCTGCAGAAAGGCAAGAAGAACCCGGGCAAGTCGTTCAAGCGGGTGGTGGAAGCTGGCACCTTCCCCACCGTGACGACGAACGTCAACCCGGCGGACGCCCACTGCGGCCAAGTGCTGCACTACAAGGAGGATCGGATCCTCAGCATCCAGGAGGGCCGGATGGCCCAAGGAATCCCGGACCACGAGGTCCTCATCGGCTCGTTGAGCCAACAATGGGGCATAATCGGCAATGCCGTCGACCGCCATGTGGCGGTTGCCAATGGCCTGGTTTTGCGAGAGGCCGTCGAGAAGGATCTGGAGGGGGCCGCGCTGGCGCAGCCTCCTCAGCATCATTCGAAGAAGCGCGCCCGGGGGGGCGACGACGAACTGTCGTCCCCAAAAAGCACGACTGAAAAGTCCTCTGCAAAGAGGCAAAAACCAACCGGTAGCCAACAGCAGGCTACCGCGGCGCCCGGCCTCCGGAGAACAAGACACTCCGGAATGAAGGTCAAATTCCTGCCAAGATCAATGGCAGAGAAAAGGCGTTGGGACGGGGATTCGGAGTAATCATTTATTTTTATTTTTATATGAACAGAGAAGCATTGGATATAGAACGGCGTTGTGGGGTGGTTCAGTTTATCATCATTGCATTGGAAAGTAGATAGCATTATCATTTTGAGAGACCATCATTCTCACCAATCAAAAACCTTACTTTCGTTTTCACATTTATATATATCTTCCTTGACATGACGTTGATCTCCAATGATATCAAATTACCGCATTAGGTATAGTCCCCCACCTTTCCCCTCCAAAGTTAAACTAAAAAAACAATTCCGCTATCAAACTACCCCACGCTGCGACAACGACACTACAACCCCCATTGAAACTCCATTTACACCCGGGGATCAGCGGCGACGGAAGCCCATATATTCACAATGGCCTCTTTTACAAAGCTCGAGCAGATCGAGCTGCCAGCGGCCTTCGATGCGCATGTGCACTTGCGCGACGGCGAGATGTCGCAGCTCGTCACGCCTACGATCCGCCAGGGCGGCGTGAACCAGGTCTATGTCATGGTGAGTAAGAGAAAGGGATTGATATCTTGGGTCGTTTTGAAATAGAGAGATTTGAATGTTGATTGAGCAATTGAGACTGCACTGTGTACTTCCTCTTGAAATGGACATGGAGAGGAAGATATACTTGCACTTGCTTTCCTTCTACACCATTTCTTTTCTTCACTTTTAAAAGAGCAAGGAAGAAGTCCAATTGTCTTCACCATCTTCCCCCAAATCACAACCCCTCAAATGCAATCGCAAATGCAATACGCAAACGCAAAAGACCTCAACCCGCTAACACCTCCACCCCCAACACAGCCCAACCTCGTCCCACCCATCACGACCGTCCAGCAATGCCTCGCCTACCGCGACCGCCTACGCGCCATCGAGCCGAACGTCGATTACCTCATGTCGCTCTACCTGCACGAGTCCATCACTCCAGAAGTCATCCGCGAGGCCAAGAAGGCCGGCATCACGGGCGTGAAGTCGTATCCCGCCGGCGTCACCACCGTAAATCCCCCCTCCCCTCCCTTCCATCCCAAACCCCAACCTCACCGCTAACACCAACGCCCGCACAGAACTCCTCCTCCGGCGTCCTCTCCTACGAGCCCTTCTACCCGGTATTCGCAGAAATGGAAGCGCAAAACATGATCCTAAACCTGCACGGCGAAGTGCCCTCCACCCCTCCCCTCTCCTCCGCCTCCTCCACCTCTACCCCAGCGGTGACGATCCTCAACGCCGAGCCCGCCTTCCTCCCCACCCTCCTATCCCTCCACCAAAAGTTCCCTAACCTCCGCATCATCCTCGAGCACTGTAGCACCGCCGCCGCACTCGCCGCGGTGCGAGCATGCGGCCCCAGCGTCGCGGGCACCATCACCGCGCACCACTTGAGCCTCGTGGTTGACGACTGGGCGGGGGATCCGTTTTGCTTCTGCAAGCCGGTGGCGAAGACGCCGGAGGATCGGGATGCGTTGTTGAAGGCGGTTGTGGGGAGCGGGGGGCGGTTCTTTCTGGGGACGGATAGCGCGCCGCATGATAGGGGGAAGAAGAGGGGGGAGGATAAGGTGGCGGCGGGGGTGTTTACGCAGGGGAATGCGGTGGCGTATGTGCTTGATGCGCTCGAGGTGGGTGTGAAGAGGGGGGTGTTTGGGGAGGGGGAGGTCACGCAGGAGGTGTTGGAGGGGTTTTTTGGGGGCTGGGGGAGGAGGTTTTATGGGGTTGAGGAGAAGAGGGGGGAGAGGGTTGTGTTGAGGAGGGGGGGTGCGAAGGTGGTGGATGTGTTGAGGAAGGATGGGGTTGGTGTTGAGGTTGTGCCGTTTAGGAGGGGGGAGAGCACTTGGGGGGTGGAGTGGAAGTAGAGACGACTTGTTCATCGTTGTGGTCTGTTTACTGGTTTGTACAAAACAAAAATACCAAATTTCTCGCTCATGTTACAAGCAATTCCACCATGTCATGTGTGAACTAGAAAGCAAGAATCGAAGGAGACATTTCTCCATCAAAAGCACAAGGCAAAGACCTCACGCCGAACTTAACTACTCGCGTAGGCGCAAGAGCCCATGTCCTTCTTCTCGGGCTTGACATGGGGCATGATGTCGAAGTCGAAGATATCCACCGGCAGACCTATGGTGGTACACACGTTTGGAATGTCCACGATACCTGCGATGTGGCCTTCGATCGGCGCGCAACTGAGCAGGAGGTAGATCTGATAATCGCTGTATCCTGTTATCATTCGTCAGCATCGTTCTGATTTCCCACATTGTTTCTTTCTATGTTCGGTACAGGTACGTAGGACGTGGATGCCTTACCGAATCGTCGCAGATACTCAATGACACGCAGGCAGTTCTGTCGATACGCAACAGTAGCATCGAGGTAGTGTTGTTTGCCATTTTCATCGACGGAAAACCCCTCGAAGTAGATGTACCTTCCTGGGCCGAACTGTGGTTGTACGGGGCCTGGGATGTAGATAGGCGATTTCATGCCGAGTTGTTCCATTCCGCCCTTCATGACCGTGAACTTAATGGTAATAACGCCTGCCATTTCGATGGCGCCGCAAAATGATATTTCGCCATCACCCTCTATAAGCAGTTCAGACGAAGAATTAGCCATCTGAACTTAGTAAAGATGATCGAGGTAAACTCACGAGAGAAGTGCAAATCTCCAACACTGAACTTAGCACCCTTAACATGCACAGGCAGGTACACTTTGCTCCCACGGGATAGATTTTTGATATCACAATTGCCGCCGTGCTCAGGACGACCAGGGATGGTACGTGCACCCTCCTCGCCCACCTTCTTCTTGATGTCCTCTGGTGCTAACCCTGCATGCACATTCTGTGGGTTCGGAGGCTGGGCGACGACGCGGTCAAGATGCGAGTGTGTGCTGATAAGCTCGGCCTCGCGTTTGTTCCAGGTGGAAAGAACTTCAGGGGATGGTGCACAGCCTAGGATGCCGGGATGGATGAGACCGGCAAATCGAACGCCGGGGATGTGACGTGAGGAACAAAATACGCCTTCGAAGTCCCAGATAGCTTTGGCTCTGTGTTATGAGAGGCACTCGTGTCAGTCGCGTTTGGCCAGATCTTGTATTGTAATACCTTGGGGTGAGAGAGAAGGCAGTCTTACGGCTTAGGGTAGATCTCGTCGAGGAAACCTCCTCCGTTGTCTTTTGAGAAAATTCCTGTGAATCCCCAAGGTTGGTCTTGCAGTGGCTGGACATCTTGGATCTCGACGATGAGGATGTCTCCTGGCTCCGCCGTCTCGATGTCGAATGGGCCCGTGAGGTAGTGGATCTTTGTTAGGTCGACGTCCCGAACATCATCTGCAGAATCATTGTTGCCGATCTGACCTCCAGTCCAGTCCACACATTCAATCTTTACGACTTCGTTGTTCTTGATAGTACCATACGAAGGAACTGTACCATGGTCAGCGATTGGGAAGTATCAAGGCGACAGGCTGGTTTTTACCGTCAGGATGCCAGCGATTCTATGAAAGATTAGCTCTGATCTTAATTATGTGTAGAAATTGACTTGCATGAAGACATTCTTGCTCAGCAGCAGGCTTGTCTAAAGACACTTTGGCAGCGTAACGAATCTCTTGTTTGCCCATTATGACGGGTTGATGTTAATCACGTTGAAAAGTTGCTGTAGACGAATTGATCCTCACGGAGCTAAAGAGAGTAATATAAAAGCAGTATATTGCTTCGAGATTGCAGAGCCGGAAATGGCTCCTCTAAATATGACCCCTCAGCGGGGAAATGGATGTCACCAGGAGCAGATAGTGACATAGTCCTACCACCCAGAGATAGCTTCCGAGAAAAGGAGATGATCAGGGCAGTTGATAAGCGCAAAGAGATAGCTACAAGCTGCTGTTACGTACCGGGAGCTATTCAGCATCGGGTGGTTCACCATAGCTCCCAAGGGTATGGCTTAGCCCCACTGCGGGGTAGATTCATCCTATCCTTAACTGTACCCTCATGATGCAGCCGATGCGCGTGTAGTTCCGTTTACGCGTTCTTGGTGTTGGCATTCGATGCTCCTTGGATATTATTCTTTGTCAAAGAATCGATCCATTGGCGGATATGATTCAATCCTGACTTTGGTCTAGGCGTGTGCTATAGCAACCCTGTGCATCCAAGAATTGCCTACGTGCAGGTAGGGACTTCAGCTGAATTGCTTTCGAGGAGTTTGTCGAACTTCAGATTGTTTGACCGGTTCATGCATTGCGACATTGTATGCGTCGAGCTTCTCCCATGGCAAGCTCAGGAATTCGTGCTTGTTTTTCCATCTCACGTCCTCGGCCTTGAAGGCCTCAACCTCAGAGGGAGGAGGCGGGGGCTCCGTTACTTTCGTAATCAGATAGGCCGTAGAAGCCTCTGCCAACCCGTAGATGAGGACACCGACGAGAGGGATCTTGACGAAGACGTAGAATCCCAGACCGAAACCGAAGAGAACGCCTGCTCGGTCTTTGAACCACTTTTTCTTCTGTTCTTTCGAGTATCTGACGCGCGCGAAGTATGGTTCCAGCTAGCAGACAGTTAGAAGCCGTTGAATGCAGATTTGTACAGGAGAACTTACGAGCTCACGCATGAGGGTGCGGGAAGAGAAGTAAGCTTGTAGGAAGGTTACCAGATACTTCTTGGGCAAGACCAAAGACGTTCCGAAGATGAGGAGTGCTGGTTGCTGTCCAACTGCTCCTTGAAATGTGTAGAAACTGGCTGCAGGGAGTACGAAACGACCAACGTAGGGAATGTATGATAAAGCAAGGACGGCTAGAGAGATGCCGGCTTTCCGCCCGTACTTGACTAGGAAGATCATAATGGTTTTCTTGATATCCTTTTTGTCCTTTGGTTCCTTGGGGGCGTGCGAATCGTACATGTGTAGATTTGGGTAGTATAGTGCGCGTAGGTTGTGCGGGTTCTCGGAAGCGTGCTTCTTGACGTAGGTAGTATCCACCCATTGGAGGGAATCCATGAACCTATCAACTGTGAGTTTGGATAGGGGCTTGTTTTGCGGTGCTCCTCACATTTTGTCAAGAGTTGGGGTGATGTAGCGCATCAGTGTCATCAGGAAGAAAGGGACCTGGAGGACAGTATGCTCGAGGAAATGGAGGCCGCTCACGACATCGTCATCCCATTGGGCGTGGTCCATGTTGATGACCAGCGAAAGGAACCATAGTAAAACTCTTACACCGATGATCTATGCACCGGTTAGCTTGTGTTATATCGGTTGCACTATCGCTGCTGCTCTCCGGTGATTGAGCTAGCAGGAGAGCTTATCGAGGCACATACGGGAATGGCGACAACGAGACGGATGAGGATGCCTGCGGCAACAGCTATAGCTGCCTGGCGGTAGTGATCGGAGGTGAAGAGGGCAGGGTTCTGGAGGGCTCGGTGCACTGAATATTGTACGTCAAGATATATTTCTACAGTAGGGGAGTATGGCATAGCATATTTGAGTGGTTACATACCACCCACGAGGGTAAGCTGTGCCCCTCGAAGAATTGCATTGGCGCCGAAATTGGACATGGTCGTAGAAATGAAGTTGAGTTTGAAATACAATTATGGCAAAGCGAAGATGGTGGAGTGCTAAGCGCACACAGTCCTGTGGCGGACGATGTTGACGAGTGAATGCGTGAGTGTAGGAGATGAGAAAATGAGGTGTGAAGCTGTGTGTAGATGGAGAATGCGTATGAGGACGATGATAGCCAATGACGTCGTTAGAAGGCCGAGACTCTCTCCCGCGCGTTCCTTCCTATCCTCCCTTGACCCTGCCCCCCCATCGCCCTTTCCTTCCCTTCCGACATCCGGGCCGTGCCAAAGCGTCCCATCCAATCCATCATGAACATACACAGTTACACAGAGTAGTTATCACTGTCCTGGCCACCCATAAGAATTACAGCAGACGGTCATCGAGATTGTTAAGAAGATGATAACTTTACTCCATCCCTAAGTGTAACTATCAACTACTGGCATGGCCAACTCGGTATTGTTAAGCAAAGGTGAAAGGTACCCACTGTGCCACCTAACCGTCGTAGTTCGTTGTAGTTGTTCTTAGATGCGGATTTACCCATTGGTACCATCCCCCATCCGTGGTCCTTTCCGCTGCTTTTCCCCGTACACTGTAGTGTCAATAAGTGCTGGCAATAAGACGTCCAATCATGCAATCGTGAAAACTGCTCCTTTCTACCAGCCTTTCCTTTACGGTGCAGGTAGATACCGTACAAGTCTTAGGTACGCGTACCTACGAAGTAACAAGTTAGAGGTGAATGCCTATTCTCTTCTTCTATGCCCTCCAAAAGGCCAGCTCAGTAGACAGTAGCACACGTGAGCTCGTGAGAGTTACTGTTTACCCTCGCGTGTCATGTCTGTCTCTGTTTTTGATATTAACCTGACGCTTTTGTTTGCTGTTCGAGTCACTGCAGATAATACTCTGTACTGTTCCCTCCCTTCTGGTGCTGTCACAGCGCCACCGGGAGGAAACGAAAAGGAAACAGATTCTGCGTCGAGTGTTTTACGGGTTAATGGTTCGATGGACTGATAATAGTATGGAAATGGCTCAGGCAGCTCTTGTAATCATGTTCCACCATTCTCCCTTTTTACGTCCGTTCTCTGTTCGGATGTGAAACTCGTTTGTCCTCGGCAAGGGCAACGGACATGGCTGGGGGAGGTGGTAGGTGGTAACTTGAGTGGTGGGAGGCCCAGGGAGGGGAGGGGCCATACAAGAACTCGATAGAAACTTAAGGTGCCTCGCTCGTATGGTCCAGTCACATCGCGACTGACCGCTCCATCAAGTCTCCACCTCGAACTCGCTTTTCCTCCTCTTCCTCCACCACTTCTTCTCCTCCCTCTCTTCTTCTTCTTCCTCTCCTCCTTTCTACTGTAATAATAAAGACGACACCTACGCCTGCGCACGTCGTCCGCACCTCTGTACCCTCTCGACAGCAATGGTCTGAGGACCCCACCGCCATGTCGTCGCCCGCGCCCGCGCCCGCGACATCACCAGAACATCCGCATACACCGCCTCTAGCCACCCGCTCCAACCCAAACCTTCGCCGCTCATATACCAACTCTTCACGACCAACCACCGCACCCAGCCATAGCCACTCCCACTCGACCTCCAGCAATGTCGCTGATGGCATAGAAACGCTCTTCACCAGCGCCTCGGCCAAAATCATCTCCTTCACAGCCTCGTCCGGTCGGCTCGCCGTATCGCCGTCACGCCGGCGCAATGCTGCCATTAAGACCGAACCTCTTCCCTGGACCACCATCACCGAACGTACCCTTGCAGTTGGTCAGTCTTTCCTCGTCCGGTCCACGTGTCCACGCGTGTTAACCCTGTTCTCTAGGCGTATTGCAGATCTATCGCGTGACGTCCTCAAACGTCTCGTTCCTCAACTCTGGCAATCTGCTCCATACCATCTTTCCCAAGTCGCAATGCTGGTGCGTCGATGCAGACTCGACTTTCGTACTCAGGGTCCGCATGGAATCTTACTATCGCATCGAGCTGCCATGCGAGACCGAGGAGGATAGGGAAAAGGCGGAAGAGTTCAAGTCAGTGCTCAGCCAGGTGCTCCAGTATGAGAAGACGCCCTGCCCGTTCAGACGGGGATACGAAGAGGAGATAGAGGCTGAGGAACAGCCAAAGACACCCCAATCACGACTGCATAGGAAAGCGCCAGAGAGGGCAAAGAAGTGGCTATTCGACAAGACCTGGGTCCCGGAAGATGGCCCGAGGCCGACCACACCCTCGGACTCTGGTGCTAGTCCTTCTACACGTCCTCGAGTGAGACGTGCTCCTCCTGAGGAGGTGCCAGAGATGATAGAATCGCCAAAATCGGAACCCATGCATTCACCTTCTGTCCGTGAACGAGCCCTTACGTTCCAGGGATTGCGTGCATTCACTCTCCGAGGACTGCGTACACCATCGGGACTTGGAAAGATCTCCTGGCCACCTGTAGGGCCGGCAGAGCCAGAGTCGTCGCCAGACGAGATTGGTGGGTCTAATGTTCAGGAATACGTTAGCAGGTTCAGCAAATCCTTTGGCAACCTCAGCATGATGTCCAGCAAGGATTCCTTCCATTCGATCGAGTCACCTGGCCAGGAAACACCTTCGCCTCCCTATGTGGATGCTGAAACCGACTTGATCAATCCATGGGCTGAAGATCCCGATTCGGAGGGCTTTCAGAGAGGAAGAGGCCGTCATCGACGCCAGGTATCGGCACTCACCATTCGTGCACAGTCTTCCGAGCCAGCATTACCTTCTCCCTGCACGCCTGTCATGAATGTTTACCCAGGCCTCTCTCCTTCTCCTGGTGGTCTCCTGTCGTCACCGCCGTCAACCCCTCCCCTTGTTAGCGACTCGGACGAGGACAGCGTAGAGCCGGCACAAATGGATGTGCTTACTCCTCCGAGTGCTATCCGCATGAGGAAGCTCACTGGAGCGACTCAGAGGCGAGCTTTCTCTCCCATGCCCCACCCCCAGAATTTGTTCCGACCCTCCCTCCGCCACCCCACGAAGAGGCTCACCTCGGAACTGATGCGCAGGACCTGCGAATTGATCCTCGGACCACCAGCACATCTGGTGTTGCTCATGTTGCGAATTGCATCCAAGATATCCAACTTCGGCTTCAACACCTACAAGATCCGAGCTTCGGGCCAGAAGAAGTTCCCCGGATCGTGGGAGTCGAGCGAGGAAAGCGAGTGGGACGAGGACGACTTCGGCATTCCTCTGGATAACCTCGAGGGCGTCCGACGGCGAAGGCACATGGGCGAGGTCGACTAACGGGACCAACGGGACCAACGAACGAAACACGCATGATTTGTTCTCTTTTTTCTTCTCCTGCTTCTTCATGGATTGATAACTTTTGAAGCCAGCCAGCACAGCTTATCGACGATGATACCAAGACAACACGTTTTTTGTAATTTGCATGATTACGGTCCAGAGGGGGCAGGTTCCACTCGGTCGGTCGGTTTTAACGGATTATGGTTCTTTCACGGCAGCAGTCAGCGACGCATACTACGTACTATCTTACTATTTGATGTTTTGTACATATACTATCTAGGGCAAAACTGAAATCAACTTTTAGCGATTGTGACTTTATTATCAAGTGTGGTGTGGTGTGGTGTGGTGTGGTTGACCGTTCTCTTCAACGGCCTTCAGCTTGTTCTCCGCAGCGTAAGCGTGTGATGAACGGTTGGGGTGGTGGTAGTCATGATAGCTGAAATCGGCGTGCCCGACCACGACCGGTATTCAAGCTTCCAAGTAACCTCCATCCACATCGTCCCCAAGGTTCTCAGCTACCTCCCCACATCCATACCAAAAACCCACCAGCTTAGCATGACCACACACACCCCAGTACTCCATACTTTCTTACGACATCAAACCCAGCAAATGACCCTCGACCTCACGGTCTGAGACCAGGAGTCGTGCGTTGAAATACCTAGGTAGGCATCTAACAGGAGAAAGCAGTGGACGGACTACGCTTCCTCAGCCCTAACACTACTACCTACCACCACCGCCGCCGCCGCCGCCCGGGTAGACGGGAGTCGTTAGTGTTTAGTGTCTAGTGTCTAGTGTCTAGGTCAGTCGCTCCGGCGGTGGTAACGACATAATGGTGGAGTGGAGTGGTGGTGGTGATATAGCCCAACAACCCAAGGCAAGCCGAAGCGAAAAATGGGAAAAGGGAAAGGGGAAAGGGTTCCAGAGCCCCAAAGGCAAGCGAAGAAGCTAGACGGGAAAGAGACCATACTTGTAGACTATACACTGTGGCTAGAGTTGGGACGCAGGAAGTGGGAAGTAGGGTGTGGGAAGAGGGAAACACGTCATCTAACATGACAAGTTCGAGTTTGAATTGTAGGAAGTTGGGAAACAGGAAATATGTACGGAGTACTCTAGATTTTCTTCTGCGTTCTCGCGGGGCGAAGCAGCGATGATGATGGTTCGAGGAAACAAGCCCACCGTACGACGCTCCTCACAACAATTAATCCATCGCTGAGAACAAAAAAAAAACAATGTAAATGCTCGAGTACTCGAGTCCTTTTTGCAAAACCAATGCTCACACTCAAACCAATTTGCTGATCACATCCCAATCCATAACCAATACTTCCCAAAATGCACAGTGGGGTGGTCCTTCTCTCTGTTCTCGAACACCCCATCCCCATCGCTGTGCCCCCCCAGCCCCGCTAGCGACCAATGTCCAGCCATCCCAGTCCTGGCATTGCCGCAGCACCTCACACCACACCACGCGAGTGGAAAAGAGACTCATTGTCACGCTCGGGGTTTCCCTTTTAACTACTTCATTTGAATGACTTGATTGATGAGTTGATAGAGGGGAAAAACAGGAGACCGACTCGATCATGGTTGCTTAGTCTCGATGTCTTCAATAGTAGATAGTTTCGCCGAGGGTGACTGACGGTGGTGGGTGGGTGGGTGGGTGGTGGTGGAAAAGCAGGAATATAATAATAGAAACCCACCCCAACCCAACCCCCAACCGGAAACCAGCGACCAGCGACCAGCGACCAGCGACCAGCGACCAGCGACCAGCCCCTCGTATCATCCACCCAACCACGCCAGAAAAACCAGGAAAATCAATAATACTAGTTCGACTATTAACCATTTCCTCCACCCACCCTTCTTCTGCAGAACCCTTTAGCGATTTTTTTGGAATTGTTAATTGACTGTCGTTTGAGTTTTTGAATGATTGTCTTTTCCTCTTCGTCGTTTTTTTTACTTTGCTTGCTGAGTTGCAAATACTAATTGTGAGGAATTGATTGACGAATGGGAATGATTGGATGATATGCTAAGGGAGACTACCGACGAAAGTAACTTACGACTACGACTACGACTACGATTTGACTTTGAAGCGTAAACCGGTTTTTTTGACTGTTTTCGTGTGGAGACGAAAGTGACGACTTGGAATTTCGAGAAACAGGTTGAAGACCAAAACTACAACGACTACTACGCAATTGAAGAAGAGGCATTGCACACCTACAACCGCCCTTCACACCTCGACCATCTCGAGAAGAGAAGAAGAGAAACGAGAACAAACAGAAAGAGATATATTATCACAATCATCCGAAGCTGGGGAGACCAAAAGAAACGAGCATCATGGAAAACAGAACCCCAACCCCAGTCCCCACACCACCGCTGCCAATGCGCAATCCGGATCGAAACCTCCACAGCAGCTGCGGCAGCACCATCACCACTCGCTCGAGACGACTGTCACTCCCAGCACCGCTGAGAATGACGCCCACGACGATACTCGCGCCCCCGGATGACCACCAATTGGTGCCCAAGCCCCTGAAACTCAGGAAGAAGAGGCCGGCGCCGAAACACACTTCGTCGTCGCCTGCAGCATCGACGTTGACGTCGACGTCGACGTCGACGTCGACACCAGCGCCATCGATATCTATGTCGACACCAGCACCATCGATATCCATCCCCATATCCATCTTCACGCCAACACCACCACCATCACGAAAAGGCAAACTGACGAAGAAGAACCCTCACCCAAACCCAACGCCAAACCTCGACACCCAAAAACCCCTACCAACCCTCCCTCCTCCATCCCTCCTCCTCCACTCCTCCATCCCCCCCTCAACCTCATCCTCCTCCGCATCCTCATTCACCTTCTCAACCCCACCCCTCTTCCCACAATCCTCCCCCCTCTCCCTCTCCGCCCTGAGCGTCGCCCTAGAACGCGAGATGAAACTTCACGGCACCACCCTGCACACCCTCCCACCGCTGACCCCACCACCACCACTACGCTGGGCCGACGACGACATCGCCATCTCCTCCTCCTCCGCATCCTCCGCCTCCTCCTCATGCGGCGGCATGTCCTCGTCCTCATCATCAGTACACTCAACACCATCGACGCCCGCGTCAACCCCGCCCGCGTCACCGCACCGCACGTGCTTCCCAACATCTACGAAACCAATACCTCTGGCCCTGCCACAGCTGCAATTCCCAGCCGACGCAAGCTTGCTGTGCCTCCCTCTCCCTCCCTCTTCTCCCGTCCAACAACCCCCAGCGGAACCCGTCCAACACTCTCCAACCCTGCTCTCCCTCCCTCAACCCCCACCGGAATTCGTCCCAGCGGAACTCGCAACGGAACTCGAACCAGAACCAGTCACAGGCCTAGTCCCGGAGATAGTGAAACCACGAGCGCCCCAGACACACCGCCGGCTACGGAGAAAAGAATCCCCCCGCCTCTCGACCCTCCGCGCGATACGAGCGAAGGAAAGCGAGGCATGTTTGCAGCGGGCGTACGACAGGGCTGCTGAGATGTACATCGGCGGTGGTGGAGTATTTTAAAGCGGAGAGTGGGAGGTGTTGTAGAGGGGTTGTGGATGAGAGGGTGAGACGAATGAGAGAATGAGAGAGTGAGAGAGAGACGAAGGAGAGAATCAGAGAAAGAAAGAAGGATTTCCTTTCGATTTATTCACCTTGGAGGTGGGGATATTTAATGGCGTATAGATAGGGCTGGGACCTTGGTGGTGCATTTTACCGCGTATTGGGTGTACCTCATGTATGTCCATGCGGGATTGCTACGCTACGCTTTTGATAGACGAACATGGGGACACGATAAAGACTTTCGAATTGTAATTTCTATTCATGGATTCATAGATGACTACTGGCGAAATCAAAGATTCTCACATCGTTCGTTGTTATTGGCACCATTGAGGGAGTTAAAGAGGTAGTTGGTATGGTTTGGTATGGTATGGTATATATCTACATCCGCCTGTGCAAAGATACGGCAAAGAAACCCCCCCTACTCGTTGAAAAGGGGTAAAGTATGATAAAACAAAGTCCACGTAATACATATATGGGTCTTGACATTGCCGCTACACTCCCCTCCCCTCCCCTCCCACTCACTCACCCCCCAGCCACGACAGCCAATCCCTCATAAATCTTCCGCTTGACCCTGAAAAACGTCCCCGTGTCCGCGTTCCTCGGGTCCGCGAAGCTATACGACCCGCCATCGACCTCGATCTTGCCGGTGCCCGTCTTCCTGACGGCGACGGTGCCGTTGATGACGAGGGTGCCCTCGCCGCGGAACTCGGCCGTCATGCCGGAGCTCTGCATGAGCTTGCGGAGGTCGGCGAGGCGGAGGTCGCCGACGTGGAAGGGTTGTGCGACGGAGCGGACGGCGGTCGAGATGTTGGCGGGCACGACGTCGAGGATCGGGGTCGTGTCTGCTGCGGCGGCGGTGGTGCCGTTGGGGCTGGCGGTGGGAAGGGCGGAGTCGAGTTTGGGTTTCTTCTTGGAGGTGCCGCCGCCGTCGTTGGAGTCGTCGTTGTTGTCGGCGGTGGTGCTGGGGGCGAGGGGTGCGGCGGCTTCGAGGCGACCGGTGATGGCGACGACGCCTAGGCCGCGGACTTTCTGCCATTGTAGTCGCTTGACCATGTTGCGGCTCAGTTTGACGGTCCAGGCGTTGGTGTCGACGCTGGCGTCGACCATTATGCCGACCGCGGGGGTGAAGACGTCGATGACGCCGCCTTCTGAGGAGCCGGCGTTGAGTACTCTTCTGCATTCCTCTGCTAGGTCGTCCGTCTCTGCCTGTTCTCCCGCGACGAGGATCAGTTTTCGTGGTTTGATGAGTGGCACCAACATCTGGATCGTTCGTCGGTCGTGCAGGCCGGAGAAATCGACAAAGGCTATGCGGCAGTTGAGGCTGATCGTTTCCGTGCTGATGATGGCCTTGGAAGGTCCCGTAATCTTGTCCGCTTCATCCTCTGGCTCGCTCTCTGATTCCTCGGCGTCGTCTGTATCCATGCGGTTGCCGGAATCGTTCTTCGTACCTCTTGTTGCGCCATTCGGCATGCGGCGTCCCGCAGCCACTGATCGCACCGCTAGGTCGTCCCACTTCCTCTTCTGCCCGACGGCATTCTCCTTCTTCGATCCGTCACGCAGAGTGGTTGCCCCGGCCTGGTCTTCTTCATCTGCGCGGACGTAGTCTTCTGGCCGAATGAGGTCGCCGAAATCGTCCGCACGTCGTCGCTTCGCCACGTAGGGGAACATCTTTTCGCGACCCCTCTTGCCTTGCACTTCGTAGTCGAATACGTTTTTCCGACGAATGAGCACGTTGATGCCAAGTTCAGCATCGCTAAGACCAAGCTTGTGCCTGGCGTGTTGTAGAGTGGTTGCCGTATTCAAGGCCTTTCCTTGGTGCTCAATGTCCGAGTCCTCGGAGGTCGTTGATGTCGATGATGACTGATCGTCTACGACGTCCGCTGAAGTTTCCATGGCAGTGCCGGCGTCTCCTTGCATCGTGTTTTGAAGTTGACGTTGTCGAGCGAGATACTGTTGGTAGAGATTGAGTTCGTTGCCCTCCAAAGGTGCTGCTCTGGTAGTTTGCAGAGTTGCCTGGTGGCCCGCTGCATCTATAATAGATGTCGACGTTTGCTCTTGTGCGGTCTTCTCCTTCCACAAGTCCCAGAGATATTTGCCGAGACCCTTGTGTTGTGAAGACGTTTCGCCAACCTTCTCGGTCAGAACGATGAGGTTACGTTCGTCCGATGCGAGGCTCCGGATCGCATCCTTCGAAAATCCCCATTCAAGCGATGTGTCGCTTGCTAGTATCACCCGGGGTCCCGAATCGCTCAGCATCCGAGCCACCCTGGATTTCCGTTCGAGTAGTTTGATATGTCTGAAGTCGAAAGGAGTTCTTGTGGTTTTGTCGTCCTCTCCTTTGGCGCCTCCTGATTGCTGTCCCCGTCCGCGTTTCTGATCCTGTGCCTCTTGTGCGCCGCTGGCGATCTCGAATTCTTTCACAATCCCCTCTTCCATCCACTCTAACATACTTCTGACATATCTCATCGTGGCACCACCTGTCCTGCTGGCGAGATATATTGGGACCCCCTTCAAGTTCCCGTCTGCGTCGATCTCGCGAGTCCAGGTCTCTTCAAGCAGATAGGCCAATTCAAGAACCCTAGCACTAGAGTCTGTAGGAATGAGAACCGATCCGCCCTTCTGGATCGTGTCCTTTATCATAGAAACAAGATCATCGTCTCGCTTCATGCGCTGTCCCGAAACCTGGCCTGACCCTTTTGTGCTGCAAATCAGTGCCGTAGGGCGGCGCAGTTGTTCAATAACTTCTGATCCCCCGGTACCAGCGAGCCATGCGGCACCTGAAAGCACGCGCTCCTTGGCTTGATTCCAGTCGATTGCATAAACGACCGATTCCATGCCATGTTGGATGTGCCATATTGTGCCACCAAGAGTATGTCCTGCGCTGTAAGCTGTGATCGTGAGGCCACTCAGAGGAGGCGAGAATGGCGAGGGCAGAGGCTGGTGAGGTTGAGAGTATTTGAGGGGGTTGATCAGGCCAAAGAAATGTGCGATTTCGTCCGGCGTCGGAGACTGAAGCAACAGATTGGGGTTGTTGCCATCTTTGAGCGACGGGAAAGAATAGGCAGATTCCGTAAGAGCTTCCGTTGGTATAATCGAGGATGCTAGCGGTGTAGAGGAATATAGATCCTGGAGGAGCGTACGGCCGAGGGACACGACGGGTATTGTCGCATAGACAGGTACGCGTGTGAACAGTGGAAAGTGTTTGCAGCAGTGTACGTAGGCTCCAAGATGAGCAGTAGTCGCATGCGTGAGGAGAACAAATGACAAGGTTGGAATATGCCTATTCACAGTATCGATTAGTATCTGGCATTATTCAATGTATCAACAAAGCATCTTCAGGGTCGATTCGAGGCACTGAAAGCACTGCACGGAGAACCAATACCCCCTCTACGTGAGACTATATTACATACTTCTCAATCTCTCTAAGCTTTTCCGTATCAAAGCTCTCATCCCAGCCAACGTCGATCAGAATCTTGATACCACCGTCAAACTCCAAGAGAGACTGCGACGCGGGTGATGTCGACTGCGCGCCCAGCAGGGGAGTGAAGTTGAACATGATGTCTTCGTTCAATGGTGTAGTGTCGCGAAGAAATCCAATCACACGGAAGGCGCATGATATTAGGCACGCGCGTCCGTTGTCGTCAATGCATGTCCTCTCCTACTCGTAAGTTTGCGTGATGGCGTAGTGAGGTGTAACAAAGCAAGTTATCTCCACTTGAGGTTGACCTCGACACGGTAAATGATGACTAAGATACCGCCGACCGGAATATCGTCGGACCGGTCAACTACTTCCCTTTACCTGTAAGTACAATACCTGTATCATGACCACCAGCATAACATACTCGGTAACAACGCTCATCCTGGGATTAATATATTCATATCCCTTCATCTTCGACGCCCGGGCACGTGACAGCAAAATTGGTGGCTCCTCTCCTCCATATGCACTTCGGATTACCCAAATTGGCTAGATGTGAACGACGTGCATCTCGATGCAGAACGAGAGCAAACAGAATGCGCCAGCGTGTTGCACTGCCGATCACTTCCACTGCGCTGGAATGAAGTCTACGCCGCCCGTCCAGGCACATCGAGAAATGTGCTGCGCAGGTATTGGTTGTTTGTTCGTTGAGAGCATGCAGCCACTTTAGAATTCACCCCACCAGCGTCGGATTTAGGTGAAGATACCCCGTATTGAGTGGAACTGATTCCGTTGTGGACCTTATCTGGAGCAACTGTGGTGAAGCAATGCGTGGAGCACAGTAGCACCAGCACCGCCAGCACCACCACCAGCATAACCAGCAAACACCAGCAAGCCTCTTTTGCATACTGCAGCAAGGCGTGCGAAGACCTCGTATGGACAGAGTCCGGAGAGCCAATGGCCCTTCCAAGCTGACCCCGCCCCTTCGCCCACGCCGCTAGTCATGCACGTCACACATTTACCCTTCATCTGTTCTCCACACCATTGTGCCGGCTACCTGCGCCGCTCACACTCTACGCAATGTTCTCAAACTAATGTAGGTCATCTCTTCGATGCCGCTGTTTACGTTCTACAGGGGCGATGAATAAAAACCAGAAACGAAAGCTCAACTTTTCATGATTCATCATGCATTTAGTGTTGCTACTCTGAAAGCCACAATAGTTTCATCAACAATTCAATCCCATGGCAGGCGGATGCCCGTCCATATTGAGTCGATGGACGTGCTGCTTATTGCATGCTAACCTCATTGATCGAGATAGAACGATCTAGCAAACTGGTACCCACCACCAGTCAACGATAGTCTACGCCTCGATTCCCACTTCTCCGTTGCTGCTGAATTGTACTGGAGGATTTGGGTTCTTGGAGGCTTCTGTTCTATTTGAACCACATCAACGTCCCATGATCTGCATAGTGCTGTCGCCAGCCGAATCTACCAGGATCAAGTGTTCGATGGCGTATCTTGCTCGGACCATTCTCCCGTGAGCGACACATAGAGAAGGTAAAGCCCACGGTTGCTGCGAGGGATCGTGACGAATCCAGTCGCCAAAGAGTGCGTTGCGCTAAATTGGTCAACGACAGGGTGATATCGCCGGTGTCGTGCCGAGAAACTTGCTCCCAGGGATTTTGCTCTGGTCTCTTCTTTCAATTTGCATGCTGCAGATGATCAAGATCGTTATCCAGCATCTCCGTCCAAGGTGATAAGACAGTCCCCTGGTAGTTGGGATATATGCAATTGCACAATCGCGGATGTCAAAGCGATTATTTAGAATTCGTCCATGCCGGAAGCGTCCGAAGCTAGAGTTCTATGGACCCTCAGTCCAACGCCAGCGGAAACCATTCAAGAGCCGTCCTCCGGAGCGTGCTTTATCAAGGGTCGAATGCGTCCCGCTCCGCGCGTACCAAGATAACGACATGGAGCACGCAGGTAATAGTGGACGATCAGTAGCATTCAAACAGTTTCTCAGAACATACGGACTATACATGCTCGGCTTCAGAAAATTGTCAGAGGCTCTATCTAAAGGAGCAAGGCGCATGACGTTGTGTATCAGCTCTTACCTCAATCTCACTGACCAGGCCTCATATTGCTTTTGCTTATGGATTCGCGGGGATACAATTCCTCAAGCCATGCGGGGATTGCACGTTGCCTGCATCTGCTGAACAAAGTTTGGCCGTCTTGCAGGGCCCAGCACACATGATCCGTGCAGTCCCTAGGATCTATCGGAGCACAAGCGGCACGCAATGGTCCTTGCTTCTGTCTGTGAGCGTCGAACTGGAGAAGGGTTGGCCTACGAATTCCTAGCTTCGTCATCTACACTCATACTACGGTAGTCTTTGGAGGATGAAACTGGTTTCTTCAAGACAAATAATGCGAGACTAGTCACGAATTTTTCCACTAAGCACCATACGGCTGCTAGCGAATAGTGATACAAGAAGAGGAGGGAGATGCAGACATTGGTAGCACCACCTGCCGCAATCTGTGGGGCTGATTTACAACTAGCTGGCCAAATCCATAGGCTAGGACGGACCGCGTATTCACTAAAGCTACACTTACTAACTAGCAATACTCGCGCCCGGCCGTCGTTTGGATAGTGTATGGGTTGCCGACACCTATCAGTAGCGATCGAACGCTGCTTAAATTCGCCCTTGGCGAGGGAGCAACAAGCTAATCGAAAATGGCAACACTGCATAGGAGCTCCTGCGGTGTCTGTCAACGTGCAGGTCGTCGTTGAAAGAAGTAATTTACGTCCATTTCACGGTCGCAGGACTTGAGCCAAAAAAAAAAGCAGACATGTGGAGAGAGTTTGGGAAAGGAGGACAACGTCAAGGAACGCACGTCTGCACTCCTGCCGTGCAACCAACGGTATATACCTACAACCGTGGAAGAGGAGATCTGAACCCGCCTAGTGCTCACGAGCAAGGCGCTTTTCGCACTGGCGTATAGCGTAACCTGCACGGAGTAGGCATGTTCACGAAGTCATGGCATGGGAAATGGTGGCCGTTCCAAGTGTTGCCCACGCCGGCCCATGCACATGTCAACCTCCACAGCACTGTAATTGCAATGTGTAGAGTGTGGCTCGCATTGCACTGGCCTCTCTCTTATAAGAGAAGCAACGGGCCCAGCACTTTGGGACTATTTCTGGGACCACCTAGTTGCTCGCTTCAGACGTGTGTTTGAAGACAGAGTAGGACATCTTCCCGACAGCAACAGGGCCGCCACTCTTATTGACCCCGTTCTATTCCACCTACTACTCCGTATTTCTCTTCGTCTCTTGCCTTGCTGTGCGACGTGGGCCAGCTAGAAAAGCCCTGGGGGTGGTCCCCTTTTGCAACCCTGCCCCGGCACTCTAATTGTGCTTCCCAGTCGTTAAAGCCGTAATCCCTCCCCGCTTGCTCAGTAGATCGTCCTCTCACGCCTCTCGATTTCTGCACAAGTTCAGTGGCCCCTCTCATCACCTACCGCTTACAACCAACGCCAGGTTGTCCCCCTGCCTGCAAGCCTGCGATCTTCTTTCACTCGACTTCTCCCTCAGCTCTGCGGTCACGGCAGGCAACTTGCAGGAGCATCGTTGTACGATACACTTGCCGTCTCTTCCACCCCTGATACGATTGGCCGGTTGCACCGCGCCCGCAATTCGCTAAAGCCTCCTGCCCCCGCTCTTCGCAACGTTGCCGTGCGATCGCTCGAGGCATCAGAGTCGAACTGTTTGGATCCTCCTACTCTTTCCTCCTTTCTTGCCAACGTCGACCAGTTCACGAGTTTGTTTCTCTTATCGACACATCCATATGTTAGTTACACTCGTCACGGTATAATTATCGCTGCCTGTTTCTTACATTTGGTCGCGCGCTTTAGTCCGTCCGACCCTTCGACATCTTGGGTAGACGTTGGCAGCTTCAGCGATCGGACTTGAACTGTTATCGCAAAGCACAGCATCGGCTACCAATGCCCAATTCCCGCCTTTGTTAACCACACGAGAAGCCACAGCCCAGGCCGAATGTCTACTACCACGGTACCCTACGGGCGTTCCCAAGCAGGAGCACAAGCTCGCTTGAGCATCAGCTCATCGCCACAACCGTCTATGTCGTCTTGTAGCGACTCTCCAATGAACACTCCCACCTTGGAATCTAATGTCACATCCGTCTCCGGTACATACTCGAAATCGCGCACAGGCTCTACTGACGGATCGGATGAAGTGGTTCCCAAGACAGAGGAACGTGAACTATTGCTGTCCGAAGTCAAAGTAGAATCGTTCGCGGAAGAGCCACCGATTTCGCCCACAGAGCCAGTTCGGATTAGACGCGGCCGAGGGCGACCACGACTATATCCGCCTCGGTCTCCAACAACATCGAAAGCAACTAAAGCTCGCTCGAAGACCGGATGCACAACATGCCGCAAACGAAAAAAGAAGTGTGATGAGACGAAGCCCTTCTGCCTGTCATGCCAGAAAAACAACATACATTGCGAGGGTTACAAGCCCGTTGAGATATGGAAAAGTGGTAAAGAAAGGGCAGCAGAAGCGCGAAGGGGTAGCACCGACGTCAAGTTCGAACTGCCACCTCTCATGGAAGGAGTGGAGAACGATATTGACCGATTGCTCCTCCAGCATTTCGTGAGCCGAGCAAGTTGTGTTCTTAGTCTACATGAGGACCAATCGACTAACCCTTTCACCAAAATCCTACTGCCCATGGCTTTGCGACATGAGGGGCTGATGCATTCTGTGTTATGCCTCTCCGCTTCGCACCTGTGTTCTATCAACAAATCTCAAGAGTACGAAGACCGGATGGCTCATCATCGAGGACAGGCTCTACATTTACTTAACCAGGATCTCGAACGACACAAGGCTGGTGAAACAGGTGGGATTATCTACGAAGACTCCAATGTTGCTCAGATCTTGCTACATCTTCTACATTCAATAACAGACGGCAATACATCCGGCGAGTATCGTATGCACATGATTGCTGCCAAGAAAATCGCAATGACCCAAAAGTCCAAGAATCCGGAGTTCCAGAGCTTGTTCGACGAGTTTTTCTACTACCACTGGATAGCAAGTCAGGTCACTTCGCTAGACGACGCCGAGGTGCCCATGATGGACGACTTCAATCTCCCGTTCCAAGTCAACCCTTCAACTGCTGCACTCATCGGAGTGTCCGACGGCCTGTTCGGCTTTATCTCAAAAATTAGCAATTTGCGACGGAGAATGCGATCACGGGTCGACGAAGGACTGGAACCGATCATGGACTATGAGGCGCTCCTGGCTGCGCATGCGATCGACTCGGGTCTGAGGAGTTGGGTCTGCCCGCAGACTCCCGGCACCCCACGCTATACAATATCAATGTTGTATCGGCAGGCAACGTGGGTATATCTTTATCGGACGACCAAGGATTCAAAGCCGCATCCCTTTATCAAAAGTGCCGTAGACGACGGCATTCGTTACATCAAAGAACTACCAGCCGAGGGCTGGATACAGAGCAACGTCTTGCTTCCACTTTTCCTAATAGGCTGCGCCGCATTCGAAGAAGACCAGCGCGTCGAGATCAACAGAGCCTTCAGTGGGCTGATGGCTTGTACTGGTCTAGGAAATATTACCTATGCAAAGGAGGTGGTTGACCGGATCTGGGCATTGATGGATGCTAGAGACCCCGATTCGTGGGATTGGGAGAAGATCATTCATGCGAATGGGTGGGATTTCCTTGCGACATAGAAAGCATGGCGGCCTTCTATATTCTCGATTGCGTCGGAGTTTCTATACTGGTTTTGCATCACGTGGTAAAAGGAGTCGGGAGCATTTCGTGGCGGTTTGGCACTCGCTTCCTGTGCAGGCGTCGCACACTTTCTTGATTTCATATATTTCCCCTGGGATGCATTGGGTAGGCAAGTTGTTCTCCTTGGAGACGGAGGTCTGCGACTTGATGCGAAAATGCCTCCTTCTTTTTCGTTTGCTGCATTTCTTGGATTACTTTCTCCTTAATGGGTTTCATTGCTGATGACTTTGGGCTATTTTTTATGCAAATCTTTCGAATTCGGAAAGACTAACGCTGATTTGAAGTTTTCTGTTTGGTTGCTTGATGCCGGCACACTTGGATAGCATGATGAGGCGCGAGTGTACAATTTGTTAGAAGCAGCCCCGTGGCTACTTCATGAGGAGGCTATAGTTGTTTCACAGCACATGTCGAATGCGTATGTATGCACTTCCTATCGAACAATAATGCGAACAAGCCTTTCTCCTCTCACCCTCACTCTCTGTGGCTGCGCTGCTCCTTGATGATGCTGCTTCCTTCGCGACCGCCAACTTTCAAGCCTCAACCAAATCCACAAATTTCTTGGTCTGCATTATTCTTTCGCGCCAAAGCACGGAGACAATATTGCTCACAATACATACGCCTCCGACCATGAAGCCATCGGGCGTCGCGCGAACTGCCCCATGCCGTCAACACGTTGCTGTCTTAAATGCGGGTTATTACAGTAGCTCACACCAGACTCGAAAGATAGCGACTGTGCGTTCTCCGAATCTGGCGAACACTCGCGACTCATTCAGAACGTCTGGGCTACGGGTGGCCGCGTCAGGCATCACCCACAGAACGGCGGACTACATAACGCACGCACGAAGGGTTCGCACGTTGGCTAGCATTTAGCCGGCGGATAGCAACATGCATTGCATCCGTGGGCAGCTTGCTACATAGTATGTGGAGAAGAATCGCAGAGCGCCAGCACGTCCGTTCTCAGGAACCATCCATGTCGTGCCCTGTCTCCGAACGTGCAGTACATCCATACAGTACAGCGAACAGGGTGTAGGCTAAGTAAAAATATATGGCCTACTTGAACATCATTCCAGTACTTTGGAAGTATCGGCCACTGGATTCGGCAAGTCCGTGGGGGTTTGGCTCATTTTCCCACAACTACATGGGAGAGTTCAACGGGCATTGATTTACAACAGCGCAGGCTTTCGCCTTGGACTTCTCCATGGCGCTCCCTTTTTCTCTCTCGTCTTTGCCCGAAGGGGCGTGGGCTTCAGAGAGAGAGATAGTGTGGAGGTTCGCTTGCGGGTAATCTGGGGTTGCTTGGTGATGATATGCGGTCTTACTTTCCACCACTTCCTCTTGGTTCCTTCAACCTGCACCACGGGCACAGTTCTTTCGCCTCCAACATCATCATCATCAAGCCATTCCCAACACACGACGGAAGGCTGCGGGTGAACTGGATATTGGGGAAAGTCACCCCACGCAAAATTGCCTCAGTGCTTTGGGCGAGTGGGATGAGTAGGTACCATTGCAAAGGTTCCTGTCCGTCCTAAGACTGGGTCAGGCATATATCGCAGCATGCGAGTGCGGATTATTACATGGTCTACTATAGGTCCATTATTCCCGTCAACAGCACGCATCTGCCCTCGCCCAAGGACCACCATGACGTCTTGATTAGAAAAAAGAACGGAATACAGGAACGTGCGTGCATGCTGCGTCGTAAATCATCATTCGGATCCACGTTCTTACCATTGTCCTTATTTTCTGAAAGGAAGTCTCAAGTCCGCCCCTCTGCGTGATACGATTCATTGAACTACAAGGAAGCGCAGGACCCGGCTATGTAAGATGCCATTTCAGGAAACTATGGTGGTCAAGGGCTCCTCTATCCTCCTACACACCGCTCGTAGCACGATTCTCCTTTATTTCCAGCTTCTTCTCCCATTGCACTCGTTCCCCGTTCGTCGATGAGAATGAATGACCCTGCAATAGCCGGGGAGAGGTTAGAATCGGATTAATGGCTGCGATGGTCAACAGCGGTGGTAGTGAGTGGCTAGGCCAGAACAGCTCCCTACTACATACCAATATTGGCTAAACTACGAAGGAACACCATGACTGGGATGACAAGAGAGAGATGGCGATCGGTGACCCACCGATCAAGCAGACAAAACTCCAAGGAGACACCGCTACGGTATTTCGTCCCTGCATCATCAGCAGCAGCAGCACCAGAGCAAAAAGGAAACGCGCGCGCGCACAAACCCGCCGGCCACAGCGAACGTTCTATGCAGCAAATCCATTCCCAGTAACTAAGTGTCTGGAAATGGTACGGCGGGCAAGGCGAACACTGTGGCACACCTACTCTTCGTTCACCGATGTAAGCAGGCTAAAAGCTTGGCCACGAGGGCAGCAAAACGGTCCTGTTGCGTTACTGTTGGATACACAAGGGCGCAATGTTCACACCGTTCAAGCAACGCGTGGGGTGGGTGGAGCGAGGGGGACACGCCATATACCGACATATTGATCAGCCCTATGGAAATGGGAGAACAGCCACAGAGTTGAACGGTCGGTTTCATTTGCACCAAAGCTGACGACTGATACATAATCTAGTCAGCTCTTTTTATGGGACGGGGAGGCAAAGTCGCCTTGTTCATATGGATGCACATGTGAGATTTTTTTGATTGCAGGCCTCGGCATCGGTAGCTAATGTTCATCAATAATGTAGCGAATATAGTGATGATATAGACAAAGGGATGTGTCCTTGTGATATCTCTTTGGTGCGCATTCGTAGGATCCCGTGGTGCTCTCTAGTCCTAGAACGAAGTGCAATCAATCAAGTTCGTCCGTAACACATGGCGCAATGATCGACCTGGACCTACGAATGGGTTGACACTATTCGTGCATAGGTAAACCCATCAGCCTTACTCGACGGTCTCGACCTCAGAAATCCTCACACAAATAGCCTACCTAGTTTACCTTCTATCAACTTCGCAGATAGGAAAAAGCCGCCCGCAAAGCCGGTCACAATGCCAAACAGACTCCCTTCGCATCTTCTGGTTGCTACCACCCAGAGCACCGCGCAATCAGCCTCAATCGATCAACCGCCCAGTTATGTGTAAGCAAGCAACTGCCTCGTTCAAATCACATTACCTTACCCTACCGCCTACCTGCCCAGCCTAGCTCTCAAGATTCACACGCATACATGCACGTGAGCCCCATTTCATTCGAACCACCGGCCCGGTTGTCAAGTATCATCGATCGTCAATAATTACCGCATCGAGTCGATCGAGCATTCAACCCGGGGAGCTTGTCAGGTACATACTGTATACGAGGATCCTCTTTTTAAGGTTCTTGCTCTTTTCTTGTACTTTTGAAGGGCGCGTAGGCGGTTGTTATTGAGACTTGGGAGCAGCAGCAGTGTACAGTAGTGTATGTTTTGACGCGCTGGCTCTCGCTCGGCTGGGTAAAAGAGGGACTGCGGCGATCTCTTGGTTTGGTTTGGGTACGGTACTCGTTTATGCGTGGGATGAGTGGGAGGAGTTGATGGACGGTGCGTAGATACGGGGAACGAGGTTGTATACGGTGGGTTTCTTGATATTTGATAGATGGATCAATGGCAACGAACAACAACACATGAAGGTACTATTTCATCTTCAACATGGCAAGAATACCGAAAGGAAGTCAAATGAGAAGGTAAAATTAAACAGTCGCCTCATTTGGGCAGGATACGCGAGCGTTATCAGGGGGTATTATTACTCGCAGTATACATATATTGAGTACCTAGGTAGGTTATAACAGACGTCTGTAGGTACTCGCTCGTAGCTTAGAGGTTTCTTCTAAATATGCCCTAAGTGCGGCGGCGATCACATGCCTAACCTGATATATCACCTTGAGCTGCTCCCCAAGTCTCAGCAACTACTCTTATAAGAGTAGCTGATATCGATGTTCTACGCACAGGGGAGAGGTCATGTTCTCTCTATGAAGTACCTACTAGACCAGAAATATCCACTTATCCCTGACTTCGTCCGAGTCCCCTTTCGCATTGGCAAAGGAGCAAAGTGAAGGGGCCCGATGGACAGGATACTCGATGCGAATGCTCCGTACACGGCATACCTACTGTGTATATGTTTCACACCCTGGAGCATAGGTACGATCTCGGAGAGAAGTCCAGGACGCACGGGGATCGTGAACCATCCATGCACTCACTCGCTTGTCCAAAGCCCAATGGCCGTGCTTTGTTTTCGAGCCTCGGTTGTCCGAAGACGGGTTGGTCGAGGGTGGAACGGGTTCGAGGCGACGCGAGGCTTGGAGATGGTTTTGCCTACAGCAATGGATCGATGAAATGTAGGCACGGCATAACAATGTGACAGATGGACATTGGCAGCAGTGATGCGCAGTCGAGAACCACTCTGCTAGAGCTGCACTGGGCCTTGAGGGCAACAAACCCGATGTAAGGAGCACTGTGAGACAATCCAGCAGTTGAGATGCAGTGGTGACTGAAAAGAGTAAAGCCAGACGCGACGATAACTACTCACGAAGCCACGCTGACAGCATCCCTATTGTTCGATCGTAAGCGATGCGACCACTTAGCGATGTTGCAGCACTTATACATTACATACAAATAGAAGAAGCTCGGTTAGGCGTCGTCTCTTGGAAGATGGCCCGAGACCAGACACCCATGGCCATGGGTCTTGGAGGCGTTTTTCTCGCTTTTCGGGGGCCAATAATGCATGATGCGCTCTGTATCTAACCGTTGCGAGAATGATTAACCGTTGAGATATTGCAGCCATGAGGTCGATCTTGTGGCTGGATGAGTGGCTGATGGACTTACACATGTACTAGTATTCCATTCTTCCCCTTTGAAAACCATAATGTTGGACGAGCATTTCGTTCAACCTGAGAGACCACAGGAGGATACATTGATGATACTTCGTAGAGGATACGTCCAATGTTACGATGCGGGCCCAAAGCGAAGGGAGTTGGACTAATGTCGGGATGATCAGTATCCGTCCGACCACCCACCTCGCTTACACCTACGCGACCTTCTAGCCCGCCCGTCCTGCGCTGCTCGCAGCTCGTGTGCTTAACTATTACCTAGTTCAACGTTGAACCGTGACAACGAACGTGAGTGAGCGGTCCAACTCCGTACACTATTACCTACGCGCGCGCGCAAACTTCTCCTCTTCCCTCAAATCTACTGTCGAGAATGCTGCTTTGTTCGCCTCCCACCTCCCTTACTACAGTCTGCGATGAACGCCGGTGATGAGTGAAGATGGCTGCCGTTCCTGAAAAAGATGCCGTGGCGGCGGAGAGGGCGCACGAGGAGGGAAACCCTACGAATGCACATGATATGGATATCGCTACTGCAACTGCCCCACAGCCGCCGTTGAACGTTGCACAAACAGAGTCTTCCCCACCAGCTGCTACCAGTACAGCTGAATCCGTCCACCGAGTTAGGACTGCTGCATCACAAGTCGAAAATGCCATATCGTTGCATGAAGTCGAACCTGTAACTGTGCAACTCCGTAGTCTCTCAGTCTCTGTTGATGAATCACCTGGCGTACTCCAGAGGATCTTCACAAAATCCAAAAACTCGGCTACAGATGCGCCACCGAAGAACCATGTCAAGAAAATCCTGGACGATGTATCCGCCACAATGGAGAGCGGATCGCTCACGGCCATCATAGGTGGAAGCGGTAGCGGAAAGACCTCATTGCTTAACCAAATGAGCGGGCGCATGCATGGTAATCGCCTCTCTACTTCGGGACAGACGCTTTTCAACGGTAGTGAAGATGCGTCTGGAATTCGTAGTGCATATGTCATACAGCAAGACATACTCATCCCAACTCTTACTGTGCGAGAAACGTTGACATATGCTGCTGATCTGAGGCTTCCGTCCTCGGTCAGCAAGGAGGAGAGGAAGCGGCTCGTGGAGGAAGTCATCATGGAATTGAGTCTCAAAGAGGCTGCCGACACCCGCATCGGCGACCACGCGCACAAGGGCTGTAGTGGCGGAGAAAAGAGGAGGACAAGTTTTGGCGTCCAATTGCTCTCGAATCCTAGTCTCCTATGGCTCGACGAACCCACTACAGGACTCGACAGCACCAGTGCCTTCCAGGTTGTGAAAACATTGCAGAGCCTTGCTCGCAAAGGAAGAACTATCATAGTGACCATACATCAGCCGCGCTCGGAAATCTGGAGTCTCTTCGATAACATTGTTCTACTCACCAAGGGCTCTCCAGCATATGCGGGGAGCGCAAAGGATTGTCTACCTTACTTTGCTGGGCTCGGCTATGAGCTGCCTCCGTTTGTCAATCCTGCAGAGTTCATCATCGACATTGTGTCAGTAGATAATCGCAGTACCGAAGCTGAGACGGCAGCACAGGCTCGCGTGGACCAAATCAAGAGCGCATGGAGGGAACATTCATCCAAAACGCATCTTGCATCCGAGAAACAGAGCCCCACCACCATCACCGGAGGAACCAATACGCCTCGCTTGAAACACACCTCCATCCTTCAGCAAACTCGAGTGTTGACGGCTCGTACGATGGTTGTTACCATCCGCGACCCGATGGGTATGTTTGGTAGTCTCGTTGAGGCGATTGGCATGGCTATTATTACAGGTTGGATTTTCTACCAAGTGGACGGTTCTCTTTCGGGCATCCGTTCAAGACAAGGAGCTTTGTATACTGCTGCTGCGCTCCAGGGTTATCTAATACTCCTCTACGAGACCTATCGACTCACAACAGACATCCAGGTGTTTGACGAAGAATCCAGACAAGGTGTCGTCAGCATTCCGGCATTCCTCGTTTCCAGAAGACTGGCAAGGCTGTTCATTGAGGATTTGCCCGTGCCCCTGGTCTTCTCACTTATCTTCTACTTCATGACTGGCTTCCGCACCGATGGGGTCGAGTTCATGACTTTCTTCTCGGTCATACTGCTTGAACAGTACATTGCTGTCTGCTTCGCTACTATGTGTGTTGCTGTCTCAAGGCATTTTGCTGGGGTAAGTCTGCTTGACCTTACTCCGATATCTAATATCTAACTCTTTGCTAGGCAAGTCTTGTAGCCAACCTAGCATATACTCTTCAATCCATGGCTTGCGGTTACTTTATTCAGTCAAACACAATTCCAATCTATGTTCGGTGGACAAAGTGGATTGCCTATGTCGTAAGTGCCATGTGTATATTTCGTGCTGAGTATTCGCTAATATATCTATAAGTTTTATGCGTTTGGCGCCCTGGTTGCAAATGAATTTACTGGCCACTTCTATGACTGCCCACTTGAAGGAGGCCCATCGAACCCTGCTTGCAAAGAGTATACTGGCCAATTCATCCTTGACTCCTTAGGTTTCCCTGGAGATTGGGTATGGCGCCCCATTCTTGCCCTGCTTGGATTCACTATCGCTTTTTATCTCGGTGCCGGCATCTTGCTCAAATTTTGGCGAGCCGAGATAACCATGGCGCGGGCGAGGCCATCCGATATTGACGAATCTGCTGGCAAGGAGAGCATGACTGCTCAATCCGTGGATGAACTTCGAACGATTTCGATTCGACTTGACAGCTATGGTCTCGATATCGAGAAGCGTTCTCTACGAACTAGAACTACGAAGTCCATCTTGAAACCCCTGACCGCTGATTTCCAGCCGGGTACTCTTAATGTTATCATGGGGCCCTCTGGATCAGGCAAAACATCACTACTGAACAGTATGGCCGGTCGACTTCGCGATGACTTTTCGACCAGGTACAAGACTTATGGAGGCATGACATTTAATGGATTCTCGCCTTCAGAGGATGTCATCCATGCTATCTGCTCGTTCGTAACGCAAGACGATGATGCATTACTTGCCTCCTTAACTGTCCGCGAGACATTACGATATGCTGCGGGTCTCCGATTGCCAAAGCATATGACAAAGGCACAAAAGATGCAGCGTGCGGAAGAAGTACTCCTGAAGATGGGTCTGAAAGATTGTGCCGACAACTTGATTGGCAACGACATGATTAAGGGTATCAGTGGCGGTGAAAAGAGACGTGTGACAATCGCTGTCCAGATTCTTACTGAGCCGCGTATCCTTCTTCTAGACGAACCGCTCTCCGGCCTGGATGCCTTTACCGCTTTGTCAATCATGGACGTACTCCGTGGTCTCGCCAACGAAGGACGAACCCTGATCGTGACCATTCATCAACCTCGATCAGATTTGTTCGCCCATTTCGGTAATATTCTACTCCTGGCTAGAGGAGGCCACCCGGTATTCTCAGGACCTGCAAACGATATGCTTCCCTATTTCTCTGAACACGGATACAACTGTGACCGACATGTCAATCCTGCAGATTTTGCCCTTGATTTGATAACCGTCGATCTTCAACATTCCTCAAGAGAAGAGGCAAGCCGCGCGAAAGTACAGGAGCTCATCTCAGCCTGGACATCTCCAAAGAACGATACCCCATCGCGCAACTTATCGACTACAGCCGATGATCTCGGTGCACTAGCTCGTTCGCCTGCCTCTTTCGGGCCTGCATTTTCCATTCTTCTTCGTCGCGCAACGAAGAATTTCTTCCGGCAACCAGATCTTTTAGCAGCGAGAATCGGCCAAGTCGCTGGGCTCGGAATAGTACTTGCACTTTTCTTTGCACCACTCAAGAACGACTACTTTGCGATTCAGAATCGACTGGGTTTCCTTGTCGAGATTGCTCCATTATATTTCGTTGGTATGCTCAACAACATCGCGGTCTACCCGGGGGAGCGTGAAGTATTCTACCGCGACTACCAAGACAGAGTGTATGGAGTCGAGGCCTTCTTCTTGACCTACACCGTCCTTGAAGTCCCCTTCGAGATAGTAAGCGGCATCATCTTCTCCATTTTGACTGTTCTCGCCTGTGGATTGGACCGCACGGCAGAAATGTTCTTCATCATCGTCTTCAATGCTTTCTGCATTGTCAGCTGCGGAGAGTCTCTGGGTATTGCATTCAATACCTTATTCACTCATACCGGTTTCTCCGTAAACTGCATGAGCGTATTTCTCTCCGTGGCTCAAATCATGGGTAAGTCATTCTCACTCTCAATTGTCTGTCCTGCACTTACTGACCAAAACAAACAGGAGGCGTAATTTCCCTCTCCATCCCCTCCTTCCTCCAAGCATTCAACCACCTCTCACCTATCAAATACGCAATCGGCAACATGGCGCCCTACACCCTCCGCGACCAGAACTTCACCTGCACCGATTGGCAGCGTCTACCCAACGGCCAATGCCCGATCTCCACCGGCGAGGAAGTCCTCAACTTATACAAATTGAACAAAAACCCAGAGAGGAATCTCATGGGGCTGGGTATCTGCTGTATTGTGTATAGACTGTTGGCTTGGATCATCCTGAAGGCGGTTAAGGAGCGGTGGATCGGACGGACCTGGAGGAGATTGGGATTTGGGGGTAGGGCGAAGAAGGAACGGCCGCTGTCGAATGTTTCCGCGGCGGAGACTGTGTAGTATTTCCTATGATTCAATAGCAAAAGATTCTAAATTTTCTTACCATTACATGTGTTGGGACTTTGAATAGAGCATTTGTGACAAGAGCCAATATATCGTTCGTCATTCCACCTACAATGATTATATTTCTAAACATCACAATATCGTGAAACCACTCTCTGGCCAGAAGAAAGCAGAGCAATAATTCCATCCCACCATCTCTCTACTCTAACCTTCACCGTCACATCACTCTTACCCTCACAACCCAAACAGCCTCATCCTCACTTTCCAACGGAACGGCAAGTAAACCCCACCACTTTTCCCTCCCAAAAAGAGCACCGAAGTAACACCTACCAACAATCACTCGAAATGCAAGAACGACGTACATTGGTACGATATATATGGCTTGCTTGTTTCGAGAATTTCGTTTCATTTCTTTTCGCACATCACAGCAGATTCCTGGGTGTTGAGCTCGCAACACACAGTGCTCGAGTAGTTGAAGGATCCCATTCATATACAATTCTTTTCATCCGCTCCTTGAACGAATAAACTCAAGTCAAATTCTCCATCCACAAACTAGTCCTTCAAAACACGCCAAAGACACGGATCAATCATGTACATCCCCCACACCCGCTCCAACCCGGTCCCACTCCCACCACTCCCCGTCCGCCCTACAACTTCACCGACGACCTACACCGAGACGTTAACGGATGCCCTCGAGTTCCTCATCACGGTCTATCTCCTCTGGGCGGCGGGATATCTCGTTTACTTGGCTGGGTGCTTGGTGTGTTTGATTTGGGAGATGGGTGCTGCAGGGGGTTCGAGGGGAAGGATGGGAGTGAGGAGGGGGGTAGATTTGACGGTGTTTCCTACGCTACAGGAGAAATTTGGAAAGATGGGAAAGTACGAGGATGAGTACAACGGTGGAGGATACAAGGGGAAGAGGCCGAGGAGAACGACGTGCTAGTCGCGTAGACCACTGTCGCCGAGTTTCGCCGCGTGTTTGAGTTTGGGAAGTTGAGGAATTCAACTAGAAGACTTACTTACGCGGCGGCACCATCGTCCTGGAGATACTCGTCGAACCAGGAGACTGCCTGGCAGAAAGCCTGCTCCTTTGCGAACTTCTGCCTCTTCTTGCTGAGGTCGCACCGGACGGCGAAACCGTGCTCGACGTCGGAGAAGAGGTTGATCTGGTAGGGGACGGTGTGCTTCTCGAGGATCTTCTCGGACTCGTGGCGTTTTTCGGCTGGGAAGATTGAGTCGGTTTCTGTTGGGGGTTGAAAAGTGTTATCGTTAGCCTTGGTGGTTTGCACTGATATCCACGTATTGTTCCGCTTTTTTGTGGTTTGTTTGGGGGCAAGATGGACATCTACTTCAGCGCGAGGGAAGTGTAGCAGGAAAATGGATTCAAGATTTCCCCCTGATAGAAATAGTCACACATACCAGCAGCAGCAATACTCAACGGCCCCTCAATCCCCTCCAACTCCTCCGCATTCACGAAGCTCGGATGCGCCACATACCCAACATCCAACTTCCCCCCCTTCAACCACCTACAAACATACTTGGCCCCAAAACAGTACCCGGCGCTCCCGAGCCTCTTCACGCCATAGTTGCCTCGCAAGTCTTTGATGACGGCCTCAACGATCGGGTCCACGGCGGGGACGTGCGGCATCTCGGTGCCGAGCCACTTCATGATGTCGAAGTCGGCCGGCGGGTTCATGGGCACCACATTGCCGTTGAAGAGGTCCGGGATCGCGGTGAAGTAGCCGTTGGCGGCGAATTGGTCTGCTATCCTGTTCGTGTGTGTGAGAGAGGGTGTATAGGGGTGGGTGGGTGGTTGGGTGAGTGAGCAGACGTACAGTTGGACGTTTATGGAGTCCATGCCCATTACATCTGAGGTAGTCGGTTAGTAGAATGTTCTTGTGTGATTGGGGTGCTCATGGGATTGGGCGGAGGTATTTGGCTACTGAAGAGCTTCTGAGGAGAGGAGGGAGTGTGTGTGAGACGTACCGGTGAGGATGAGGATGGCGTTGTGGGTGGATTTGTCCTTGGGGTAGGTGAGGTATGTTCGTACTGGTTATCCATGTTGTTAGTTCAATTGTCGCGTTCAATTCATGTTTTCGACAGAAGGTTTCCTCAAGGTTGGTGGGTTAGAGGTAATTGTATTGGATTGAATAGAATGGGGGGGAAAGGTTGAAGACGAACCTCCCCCGAGAGTTTTCACCTCTCCTTCTGCGGTGCCTTCATGCTTTACGCCGACGCCGCAGCATTTGCCGGGAGGATATGAAGCCATGATTGAATTAACAAGATTGTATTAGATCGAGGGGAGAAGGTTTGGAGGTGGTATAATGCAGAACCGAGCTGTAAAGGATCTTTTATATTAGTCGCTGTAGAGCTTCACGAGGTAGCCGAGAGCTTTATTTCACAAGGTAATTAGCTGGCACTGATAGTCGGGCGGGGTTCTGCGAGTGACGTTTGAGTGGGGACCATGGAAAAGACTAATAAAGTAAAGCAATGATAAGAATTTCCGAGTCATTAGTTACTGGGGATCCCATGTACAACACTGCAGAATACGTTCAATACGAACGGGTACAGCACAGTTCGCTTCTACCGAGCTAGAGCTATCGTGTACGGTGTGCGTTTGACGTCTGCCTGGCGGGAAAAAAAGAAGCTTTATTCCTGTAGGTCTGGTTGGCCCCCACAGAGGGGTAACATAGTAAGATCTGACCTACAGTAGATTGAGGTTAATGATCAGTAGAGCTGAGACCCCTCCCCTGGGCATGACGACGAACGGGTTGGTTTACCCTGTCGTGCCAGCTTAATGGATGCTGCATGACATGCGAATCGCTGATGGGAAGGATGGGGGCCTATAACTAGCTCAATCTATACCTGGCGGAAGCTAATTTGAAGTTGGGGAGCCAGTCCGCTAGTACTCGGACTTGAGTAGTGCTCTGAAGTTATTGATTGATGGTCTATGAGTGTGAGTAATTTGTTTGAGGCATTCGGATGAACTGGTATCACTTGGGCGGAATGAGACAGAAGCAAGTGCATGGTTGAGCATTCAAAGCTGAAGACTATGATGAAAATGCATCCATCCCTAGCCAGAATTGACTAGGTGGCAGGGGTTCAGACCTCTGATTCCTGGATATACCAGCAGGCCCTGAAGTCATCCAAAGGGATTTTCGTAGAAGCCTCTATGTGCGATGCTCTTCTCTCACATCGCCGTGTCGGTCGTTGCGACGAGACTTCATATCATCTTTCTTTTTGTGGTGCTCTCGATCTCGACTTCGACTTCGACTTCTGCTACGCTTTCGATCTCGGTGTGATGATTTCCTATCATGTCGCCTACGATCATGACTATGACTTCTTTGTCGGTGTCTGTCCTTAGAAGAATGATCTCGCCTGTGCCTTTCTCTAGAAGTGTCATCTGTTAAGTCGTCATCATCTTCTCTGCGATGCCTGCGTTTAGTATGCCTCTCTCTTCTATGCTCCCGTTCCTCGGCTAGTCTCATCCCGCGGAGCTCACGATCTCGATCCTCCGCCCATTTCTTCCGGTCTGCCTTGCTTTTCTTGAGCTGCACCTGGGCCTTGTTCATGAACGCAAGTGGGTCATTTGAGGCCATCCGCGCCTGCTCCCTCTCTTTGCGGCGAGGATCTGTGTTTCCCCAGACATCTTTAGTCTCGAAACCAGCGTAGGCGATAGTTTGATCTCCGGATTTGGTGTTTGGATCATCTCGGCTGTTGTCTGCTGTCGCGTACCAAGGTTGTTGCAAAGTTCCCTTTTGTCCAGCGGCATTGGAGAATCGCATTGTGTATTGATCCTCGAAGGCGCGCTCCTTCTTCTTTCTCTCCTTCTCTGCTTCCTCGTTCTTTTCACGCTTTCCAGCCTCCTTGAGATCAATCGGAAAGAGGTTGATATTGCCAGCGTGGTCCGTCAATGGCGCATCGCTTTCTGGCCGCCTAAGCTTCAGCGTAGATACTGTTTCTTCGTCCTTGGGCCCTGTTGTGACTCGCGCCAGCCGAATGTCCCTGTCTGTATCATCTTCTCCATGCAAACGTCTTCTTTTTCGCTCTCGGCCATCCTTCTCCCGTTCCGGTCGCCTCTCATTGTGTGTAGACTCCTCATCGGGTAAAGGTGGGGGCGTTTGTCCTCGAAGAATAGCTGCTCGACGTGCGGCATCAACCTCCTGCATGCGCTGCTCCTCCGCAGCTTCTCGGGCGGCGGCAGCTGCCTCGTCCGCCTTGACGCGCGCGATTGCTGCTGGGTTGTAGACGTTCCATGACTGAATTTCGATGGTCAGAATCAATGCTGAGATGGTGTGTGTAGAAGGGAGCTACCTTTTTACCAAGCAAGTGACTGTATGTTTGTCAGTATTGGTATTGACAACGCGCGAGCGCTAGAGGAAGCTATAGAATCCTTTAAAGTGAGTGGTCTTACGCACAGTGGCATGTCCGTGAACTAGTTCGAAGTATTATTAGAAAGATGCAGCTGTTCTAGAAACGCCGATGGCGATGTACGCGACAAGAGATGTGGACTCTAGTACTCCAAATCGCTCTGGAGCATATGACGACAATGACGAAGAACTCAATTGATGGGTGAATGATGGGAGTTGGAGGCTGGCCGGCCCTGCACGATTAGGCGATAAGGACAAGGGGGGAGCTCAAGTGGGGGAAAGTGCGGGCCAGATTGCGACCATGAGTCGTTACTTCGAATTCGCCCTCACCTGCCATAATGCGCCTCGTCTGTGTAACATCATGGACCGGCCTCCGGATGATGAAGCCGATGAGCTCGTGAAAGACCAAAGTCCCTGAAACACAGGCGCAGCTTTCTCTCCAATTTCCATGCCAGACTGGCGAGACACAAAGAGTTCTTCGTATTCGCGCGCCGTCCCAATTGTATCTGTCGCACCTGCATGCAAGCATATACGCGTTCGACCATTGCTCGCGTACTCAGGTGCTTCTCCGCATTGCACCCTTCAACTCGGTTCCCATCAGATCATGTACGCGGATTATCTCACTGTCGCTTGAAAACATAGCACACTTTTCACCTTGGCTCGTCAGCTCTTCATGATTGACACATTCACCGCAACGAAATAAAACAATCAATTGATACCAAGACTGGAGCTAGGACTGGATCCATAGAGCTCTCAGTCTAACCGGATCCCCTGGCGCTGCCCTCTCCTTGAGCTATCCATCAACAATGCCTACCTGGCTTGTTCATGGCTTCCGATGGCCGCGCATAAGGATCCTGTATAGGACCCTCCTGGAGAATCTGGACGATTGCTCGCCGAGCTACATAATGACACCAGCTGTGAGCGCCCTATATCTTGAGAACTTCACCAAAACATATCCAGAGATTATGGCGAAGCTCCCGTCATTACGACTTCTTGAACAGTACGACCCTGAAGATCTGGTCACAAAAGAACAACCGTATGCATATGTATGCGACCAGGTTCATGAAGTCAAGCTAAGCGTGGATATTGAGGAGATAAGAGGACACGGAGTAACAGATGAAGCTTGGACTGCTTTAATGGATCTTAGAGATCAGATCGCAGTAGGCCAAGACATAGGGTGGTTTGTTGTTATCAATGGGGATCCAGAAAGGTGGGCACCTCCGCTCGAAACAGATGAAGAGGAAGATTCAGAAGAAGAGGAAGACGACGACGAAAGAGAAGAGGAGGGGGAGGATGCGGATAGGGAAAGATCTCAGCCAAGCGGAATCAATCGAAGTAGTATTACAAGTAAAATCGATGAAAGCGCTGGTCAACAGGTATGTCGAAGAGGCAAATTGAACATGTTTCGGAGTCTGACCTATCGCAGAACCCCAGAAAGCCGAGAGGCTTTAGGAAGTGGTTTACTAGATCCAAAAGGTATGTTTCATTTCAGAATTTGAGCTGACCTGGGTCTTATATTTTGCAGATCACTGAATTCGAGAGGAGGAGATACGTCAGCTGCTCCTCCGATACCTACTACTGCTTCTTCGCAATGAATGGGGAAAATCGCCAGACGCTCATAAGGATATATAAATTACTCCTTCCAGATAGGCCCTCTGAACCCTAAGGACTACGTGTATAGCCGTGGCGAAAATCTACTTGAGGGAGCCATGGAGCATTAATGCGTCCATATAATGGTAGTGTTGACAAAGAGAGGGGAGGGCTTGTACAGGATATTGAAACCCTAGTCTTAACGACAAGCTAATAATTGAAATTCTACACTTAATCCTTGCAATTCAATTTACACGTCCAAAGCGATTTATGCTTTTGTCTACCTCGTATTGATGGATCAAGGTGTTCAAATAGGCAAACACGCAATCATGTGACTCGAAGAGCTTGATTACTTGTCTAGGTTAGCGTACCTACAATCATGAAAGCTAACCGTCTACTTTTCATGTCAACGACAACTTTATAACTCCTTTGACTACACAACATTAATACGGACACTCGAATAACAACCGCGTCAGGAATATTCGCGCATTTAAACGCACAGGACGAAAAGGCGCATGCGCCAGTAACACGGCGGTCTCGATCTTAAGGAAACCAACCCTTCACTTCATTGCATACAAACGGCGGCAAGATGAGCGGACGACGGGATTTCTTGTCTATGCCCGCGCCTGAGAACTATGTTGCTGGTCTCGGGCGTGGTGCTACGGGGTTCACTACTCGAAGTGATCTCGGTCCAGCTCGCGAAGGTCCATCGGAGGAACAGATGAAGGAGATGCTGGCTAAGCGTGCAGCGCAACTTGGCCAGGCAGCACCTTCAGCATATGGCGCAGTAGAAAGGAAGGAGGAGGATGAAGAGGAGGATAGATTCCAGGATCCCGACAACGAAGTTGGACTATTCTCGAGCGGAATGAATTACGACAAGGACGACGATGAGGCGGATCGAGTTTATCAGGATATTGATGAGAGGATGGACAAAAGACGGCGCGCGCGAAGGTTAGTAACCCTTTCTGCTTCTTTCTTATCCCGCCCCCTACCGCTTGTGTTCAATGAAATGTTCATCATTGTGGCCTTTTGCAACGAATAGATGCCGACGATACACCACCGTATAGGGAAGCCCGCGAACAGAAAGAACGCGAAGAATACGAACGAAACAACCCTAAGATTCAGCTACAATTTGCCGACCTCAAACGGTCGCTCAGCAGCTTGTCTGAAGAGGAGTGGGCAGCATTGCCAGAGGTGGGCGACATGACAGGAAAGGCAAAGAGAGCAAGAGAAGCCAGAATGGCCAACAATCGTCATTACGCTGTACCCGATAGCGTGCTGTCGGCGGCTTCACAACAAGGACAACTAGAAACGTCGATTTCATCTGAGTCTGGAGACGGTACTATGACGAATTTCGCCTCAATCGGAGCTGCCCAGCAATCTGCGCTACAAGTTCGATTAGATTCTGCTGCACAGGGCAATGCCGGAACCCAGACAAGTGTATCTGGTACGGCTACGTCCGTAGATGTGAAGGGATATATGACAGCGTTGGACAAGACACAAGCAATGGGAGCAGAGGCCCCTGTCGAAGATATCAAACGCGCTCGAGTACTTTTAGAGGTGAGTACTGCCACTCTAGTAATTTTCGATACGGTACTAACTTAAGCAGTCTGCTGTCAAAACGAACGTACACAATGGCCCAGGATACGTTGCTCTTTGCCGATTAGAAGAACTTGCCGGGAAACTGCACACCGCTAAAAAGGTCATTCAACAAGGATGCGAAATGTGCCCGCGTTCAATCGTCGTCTGGGAAGAAGCGATTCGCATCAATCGTGATATTCTTCATAACGCCAAAGTGATCGCTGCCAATGGTATCAAGCAAAACCCGAAAGCGATCAAGCTGTGGATCGCTGCAATCGATCTAGAACAAACCGTAGCGGCCCGCAAAAAGGTGACAAGACAAGCATTGGACCACAACCCACAGTCCGTTGAGCTCTGGAAAATCCTCATCAACGACACGGAGGACATCAAGGACGTTACGATGCTCTTTGCAAAGGCCACTGAAACAGTGAAGCTTTCCGAAGAGCTTTGGGTCTCGTACGCGCGAGTCTGCGATCCTGAGCACGCACAGCAGATTCTCAATGCTGCACGCAAAGCCATACCCACAAGTTGGGCAATCTGGGTGCAGGCGTGTCGATTACAGGAACAGCTTGGCAGATCCGACCTGTGTGATAAAGTCATGGAACGTGCTGTGAAGGCACTTATCAAGGAAAATGCAATGCTGAAACGTGAGGAATGGATCACACAGGCTGAAATCTGTGATGAAGAGGGTGCTATTGCCACTGCTGGATCAATTATCAAAGCCACTATCGGTTGGGGATTGGATGAAGATGACGAACGACGAGACACATGGTTACAAGACGCCAAAGACAGCATTGCCAGGGGTAGATTCGAGACTGCGAGAGCCGTTCTCGGCCATGCCATATCTATCTTCCCTCTCAGTACAACGGTCTGGCACGCTGCTGCCGAACTTGAAAAGCGCCACGGGACTGTCGATCTTCTCTTGAACATGCTTGAGAGGGCAGTCAATGCCTGCCCCAAATCAGAGTCCCTTTGGCTTTCATATGCCCGCGAGATGTGGCAAGCTGGCAAACCAGCCGAAGCACGACAGGTCATTGCGCGATCATTCCAGCAATTGCCTGGCAATGAGAACCTTTATACACGAGCTGTCGATTTTGAGGTTGACGCCAACGAATTCGACCAGGCTCGCACCTTCCTCAAGATTGCTCGTGAATCTGCTGCGACCGATCGTATCTTCATCAAGTCGGCTGCATTGGAGCGCCAACTGGGCGACATGGACGCTGCCCTTGATCTGGTCAACCGAGGCCTGCAAACATGGCCTGGAAGCTGGAAGCTCCACTCCATGAAGGGCCAGATTTATGAGTCGATGTCAAAGCTCAAAGAAGCACAGGAAGCCTATTCGGTTGGAACACGCGCCAATTCGAAAGCACCTACTCTCTTCATCCTTCTCTCGCGTATACAGGAGAAAACGGGAGCTGTTGTCAAAGCTCGCTCAACCCTCGACCGAGGCCGCGCCCAGAACCCCAAGAATCCGGAACTTCTCTGCGAGGCTGTGCGTCTGGAGAGACGAGCGGGCAACCTCCCAGCGGCAAACAAACTCATGGCGGGCGCACTACAGGAATGTCCTCACTCTGGCCTGCTCTGGGCCGAGAAAATAATGAACCTAGAATCGCGAACACAGCGGAAACCTCGTGCACTAGAGGCGATCAAGAAGGTGGAAAATGACCCTCAGCTCTTCGTCGTTGTCGCTCGAATCTTCTGGGCAGAGCGAAGGTTAGACAAAGCAAGCACGTGGTTCACCAAGGCCGTAGTGCTTGACTCTGATTATGGAGATGGCTGGGTCTATTTCATGAAGTTCCTAGAGCAGCATGGTACAGAAGAGAAGAAGGCCGAGGTTTTGAGCAAAGCAGCCATGGCCGAGCCGAAGCATGGCGAGATCTGGCAGAGTGTCATCAAGGACCCAAAGAATTTCAGGAAAAGCACGGAGGAACTAATGAAGATTGCGATCTCGAAGACCGAGTGAATGTAGCTATCGACTTGTCCTGGGTGTTTCCTTGGGTCAAGTTTGCAGAGCTACTCCCTCTTTCTCCAGTTATGGTCGAACCGGGGACGTCCAAGTCGACGCTTGTCCAGAGGAGATCTCCGAGACCATCAGATGATGCCAGTGGAAGTGATAAAATCACGTGGACAATGTCATACTTGCAGTGAACAATGGAAAAGACTGAAATTAATTGTTTTTCTGCTATTTTGAGATATTCGCTCGGCATATGGTAATATACCCAAACCAGCACGGTTGTTGGTTAGGACACGCCTTGTATTATATAGACCAGATGTACAGGATACACTTGTTTACTGTAGTCTGCAGATGCAGACCAATGCCATGAATGACGATTTAATAACTCATTAAACTTGCTCTCATTTCAATTACTAGGTTAGTTGTGAGTTGAATATCTACAGAGTGCTGCGCAAGCAAAATAATGAAAGTTTGGTCCTTAGAGTGTACTCGTAGTGTGTTTTAGCTTTGGCTGCGACCCCAGAGTCTGGCGATCGGCAACTCCGCACGACCCCCGAGCTTCATTCAACCTCACCTCACTTGCACTCGCAACATTCCCCATCAAAGTGCAGTCCGCACACCACTTATTTCATTACTATTTGATCGGAAACCTCTTCAGATATCATTTGCGACGAAGGATATCGCCTTCTTGTACCCTGTAGCACCCCGACATCTCGCCGGTGTGATCAGGGGAATAAGTTGCAGGTCTGCGCATCTCCGCAACGCGCCTGTCGCGACGGCTGACGTCCCCTCCACCCATCATGGCAACCATCCGCCCAGACGCCATCAATGTGTCTACCACACCCGTGCTAGCAACGAAAACACTACCCGCACCTCCTCTGGTACTCAAACCGGAAAAGAAGGTTACCCCGCGAGTTGACGTTGAGCCTCTGTACAACACAATCAAGACTGCCGTTGGCGATGCATTATGGCTTACCTATAAATCCGCGATCCAACGATTCCTCCTCGGAAACCTCAACCAAGAAGAGCTCACCACGATATTAGACCCCATCCTGACCACCCCCGCGCTCGAGCAGGCGCACAATCAATTCATCCTCGCTATATATGCCAACATTTGGAGAGATGCGCCTGAGGCAGGAATTGCCAGTTGGGCAGATGACAAGGTGGTTGGCAAGGTCCCTGGTGCTGGGAGCAAAGGCACCAGTGCGGGACAGCGGGATGAGACGGAGAAGAGACTGAAGAGCGAGGTGATGGGATTGTCGAGGCGGGAGAGAAAGAGGCTGAAGACGCTGCAAGACGACTCAATGGACCCGTTTACTAGTATCATGACAGAATATTACGATGCGAGAAGGATCAAGCAGCCTGACACCGGCCCTGCTAGTGCTGGCGGCTTTTCAAAGACTAGTAAGTTGTCGACCATTACAGAATTCACATTTCATGCTTTCACGTGCTTACATTTTCACAGATTGGGAAATCGAGATTCGCAAACGCTACACTGCTCCACTGTTCACCGAGACACACGAGTTTCCCGATGCTAGCTCTATACAAGCACGTATGCTTCCCATATGTTACGAAAATGGCCTTCCTTCTGGACACAGCACTGATTGCGCCACTTTCGTCAATGTCGCTACAGAGACATATATCAAGGAGGCCTTGACGAACTTCTTCCAGCGTGTCAGTTCAAACGGACCTGGCTACGTCAGGACTGCAGATTACAAGCGCAGGCTAGAAAGAGAAGAAGAGCGTGCCGCAAGAGGCGATATCAACAGGAGCCAGGACGGTCTCCTGCCCATAGAGGTTGAGGAGATGCGAAAGAGAAAGCCCCTATGCATGGCCGACTTGAAGATAGCACTAGGGCTCGGCGACAGCTACCTCGGACAGGTTCCAATTGTCTCTGGGGAGATTGCGAATAAGATATACCTCGATTCTCCTGGCGTGGAGGAGCTCAACGAGACTCTGCAGACAAAGCCGGCATCCACGCGGCCCGTCAGGCTGGCAGCCAACGCAATCGATGACAAATCAGATAGCCTACCAAACGGCTACCAATTCGAATTGGGCGATCCCATGGCAATTGACGACGAATTGACGTGGAGTGGAGGTGGCGTGCAAGACAGTCTTGACATTGACAACGTCCTGGAAGGTTGCTTGGCTGTCACAGTGTAGGAATCTGGAGACACAAACAGTGAGATGGCAGCCAGTAAGAAGGCAACCAGTGATGAGGCAAGGGAGATGACGATCATCAAAAAGGAGCCCAGAGAATCATTGTCTCCATTTCCAGAAGACGAAAAACCGAGACGGTCTCCTAAACGCCTTCTGAATGCCCATCTGGACCCTAAACAAGGCGACTCACAGCAAAACAGTGCACTTTGCAAGCTCCCTCGTCAGGGTAACATCGCCGCCCTGGTTGCTCCTCGTGGAATGCACCATGTGTAACACCATCCGCCATGAATTGAGTTTGATTTTGGTTCCGTTGGACATCTTGACACTACTTCCTCGCAACACATCATCCATCTCAACCTAGCCAAGAGCTTCTCCAAGCCAATGGCTACCGATCACTCGAGGAGATATTATGCCAGACGAGGTCCAAACAAAAAGGTCTTTGAGCATCACATTTCGCAATGGTACAACGCCTGACGGAGCTGCTTCATGAGGATCCAAGCATGTAGTTCAAAGAACCACGCCGGACAGATCAGCTACACGCATCGAGTGTTTGAACAATGCACAGCCTCCCCACCGACCACCAAGGGAACAACCCAAAACAACCCAAATCAAAACAAAACAAAAAACCGCCATCACAAACATTGCATCCAGGCGTTTTACCAACTGCTTTTACCATAACCAGAGAGAAAAGAGGGGATACGGCGTTCTTGGGAGTTCTTACCTGTTTTTTTTCTTTTGGTTTCTCACCCCCCCTTTGTTGAATTCAGTTTTTGCTTGTCGTTGCATTTGACACTTTCGGTGGATGAGAATTATACCCTGTTTTGCTTCCTGTTGAAAGAAAGATAGATAAGATGGACCGATGGATGGATGGATGGATGGATGGATAGAGCGTTGACAACCGGGGGCGGGCGTGGTAGGATGGGAGGACGTCTGATGGGATGGGAGGACGTCCGTACGCCGTTTGTTCTATTACTACGAGTAGAGAAAGGAGGGGGTGTTGTAGTAGTCGTATGGAGAAATAAAATAAAGTCACCACATCAATCTACAGATCGCGAAGTATCCGACGTCATTCCATGAGTCGTAAACAACCCCGTACGGTCGCGAGGTGAATCACCAGCCCTTCAAATGCAAAACCGTTATATTACCCCCAAAGACTGTTCTTCCCAAGTAGCTTGCATGAAACCAAAAGGATAGTTATATCCCAAGTATTTCAAGAAACGTGCTCTCGTCGCATTATCTCAACAGAACATCCAAGACGGGCACAAAACTACCCGTCACCATTCCATTATATTCAATTCAATTCATCTCACACATCAACAAGCCCCCCCAAAAAAAACAAAGAAGCCAATATCCAAACCGTATGTTTTTTAAATTCTACGAGCTATCAAAAAAAAAAAAAAGACTGTGTCACAGTTTACACAAAAACGCCGTCCGAACCCCTTTCCCATCCCCTTCTTCCCAAAAAAAGAGAAAAAGAAGAAAAGATATGTAAAAATACATTATAACTAATGGTCTGGCGAACGTTCGCCCCGTCCCCTTCTCCTCACCACCATCCTTTGGTAATTTTTTTGTTTCTTGCGAAGATCGTGTCGTGCAGCGCGCCGTTCCCACGTTAAATTTGTTTCGCGCCCAGCGCCAAGGGGAATGTATGTCGAGAACGAAAACCGAAAGCGAGGGGGGATATGGGAGGTAAGAGGGGTGATATGAGGAGGATAGGTAGGTAGAAATGGCGTGGGAGGTTTTAGATTGTAGGGTAGCAGCCGTTTTTATTGCATGTTCGACTGCAGTCCTGCACTGTTTGGGGGTTGCATGTTGTTGTGCAGACCGGCGCTGTTGGGCGGCTGCATGCCGCTGAGGCTGCCTGCGTTCGAGGACGTCGAGTTCAAACGTCCCGGGCCGGGCGAGGCTTTCATTTGTCCTTGCTGGCCTTTCCAGCCGGGGTAGAGGCCCTGTAGTCTTGTGTACATTTCGATGAGCTCTGGGGGGGAAGAGGGCGCGGTCATGATTGCGGGTCCGGGTTGGATTGGCTGGTTGGGCTTTTTATTGCTTTCTGCGTTTTGGGCAAGGAAGGCGAGGTTCGATTGAAGACGGCGCATGCAACTGTTGGGAGCGAGGTTAGTCTCGTGTAAACATTTTGACGCGTTGTTGGGCAATGGGGGAGATATCTGAACTTACTCGATATATTCGTTCGAGGGCTTGGGCTTGTCTTCTGGCTTAACCTCCTGCCCGGCCGGCGGTGGAACGATCTGCCCGGCCTTCCCCTGGTTCTGCAACTCAACCACCTCTTTCAGCAGTAATGTGTTGATTTCCAGCAACGTTGTCACGCGCTCCTTGTCGCGAGCCTGCGCGACCGGAGAGACCGGGGATTGTGGGAGCGTCTTCACCGGCGTTTGTACCTGCATATTCTGCTGAGCCTGTGGCTGGCCCGCTGACCCCGGATTCATCGGTTGTGGCGTATTCGATGGAAGGCTCGGTGACGGCTGCTGCATCTGTGGGTTGTTGGCATACGGGCTGCCGTGGTTGTTTGCATTGGAGGGTGAGGCGGTCTGGCGGTTTTGGATGAACTGGGGGTTTGCTGGCGAGGGGATGGCTTGTGAATAGGGCGCTGACGAGTAGGGGCTCGGGGAGGACAACGATGGGTGTTGCTGATGTTGCTGATGTTGCTGGTGTTGCTGGTGTTGTTGCTGTTGTTGCTGGTGTTGTTGTTGCTGCTGCTGCTGCTGCTGCTGGTGTTGCTGCTGCTGCTGGTGTTGTTGATGTTGTTGCTGTTGCTGCTGCTGCTGATGTTGCTGTTGCTGTTGAAGAACTGCTTATCCAGAGACAAGTGGTTAGCCGAATGTCCAGAGATGAGGCCTGGGACTCGAGACTCGAGACTCGAGACTCGAGACTCGAAGGGTAAGACATATATCACGGTTATATGACAGACATACCTCTGGCTTGGTGAAGCTGGTTGTGCTGCATGCCTCCTCCTCCAGGCTGCATCAAGCCACCATTGGGCGCGACTCCACCACCCATGTTTGGGTATCCACCACCTGGCTGGCCATTGTTCGGGAACTGCTGCTGGCCGTAGGGAAACGGTGATGGAGTTGATTGCAAGAACCGGCCGTGTGGGTCACCGTACTGCTGTTGCTGTTGCGGGGAATGCGTGGGCTGGGCGAGGTGAGCGGGTGTGCCTGGCAGGGTGGAGAACGGGCCGCCAAACGAGGCATGCTGGCTATTGAACGGTTGGTAATCCATCGGATATGCTCAGATCAGAGTCATTGGGTGGTCGTACAGCCTTTTAGATTGGGGTTGGTTGGGTGCGATGGGATGATCAAAGGAACTGGTGTTATCAGGTTGGTTTGTGGCTGGGTGGAGGCGGCGTCCGAGTTTCCTGACAAGTTTCGCCCGGGGTGGGGAGAAGATCGCCGTTTCGTTTAGTTCGGAACGGTGTATGGAGTAATATTACGCATGATCGATCTTAGTTTAACCTATGTCATTGTTGTAGCATGCTATTATTATTATTATTATTATTACTACTCTATTCTTCTGCTTCATCTACATACTTGTTCTCATTCCACTATCCATTATCATTGAAATATCCCAAATTCAATTCACTCTTGGCAGGAGAAGAGAACCAGGAGACAAAGAACGAGATGAAAAAGAAAAGAAAGACAAGGGACAACCGTCAAGGCAAATAATCATGGACCTAATCGGTAAATAACCACCGTTTCCCCTACATATCTACCTAGTAATTGACCTACATACCTGTGGATCATCCCTGTCAGACTGCTTGGCTCCACCACGGAGAAATACTTTGAATTTAACTAAATAGTTACTACTGCATCTGTCGAACTGAAGAGGGGTTCACAATTCACCTCTCCCCCCCAATCGGGAAACTGGAAACATGGGTCCACGGAGCCAAAACCAGGCTTCGGATTCCATGCAAATGCGGTCATGATGTGCTGTGGCATCCTTTGGATCTCGTTGATTTAGCGCCCATGCCACTCTTCTGCTTCCTCCTTCCTTCTCTGCTAATCTATTCATCTATCCATCCACCTCATCGCATACATCCTGGTGATTCGCTCCCATCGAGGGGACCTCTGCTTCCCATGGCACATGCAGGACCGTGTTTCCTTGGCAGTGGAACCGAGCAATGTGTTGTTCGAGCCCCATCTTCCAGTCGTCGTCTCACTCGTTCCACCGATGCAGAAACGCAAAGCCGCGACATCTGCGGTGTAAGTTGAATCATGAGTTCACCGAGTCACAACATGAGGATGCTGAGTTGTCGAGTTGTCTCGTCATTGCCCTAATGACGCTGCATCAAATCCTTATGATTAGATAGATTCACGACAGTGAATTTTGACGCACGATAATTGGTGTTTGGAATAGATCGTGCCGACCGCGAGGTATGGCTACCAAAATGCATTGTTTCATGTAAAATATAAGACGTTGCATGCCGATTTTCTACTCTCGGAAGACCTCCTCTCTCGTCGGAGCCTCCTTCCGACGAAGTGCCACAAAATAGGCTTCCTTGGACTCCTGCGTACATATTAGTCTCTTCCGTCCCGAAACGCAGCGTATAGCCAGACCGCGGGGGTGACATTACACTTCTCGAAGAATCAGGTTTCTCCCGATGCACTTTCGTGAACAGTCTCCGCAACGTCATCTCCAACGCTTTATCCTCGGAGCCTTGATAGAATTTGCACAGAAAGTGACCGCCAGTCCGCAGCGTGTCGAATCCAAAATTCAGCGCGGCCATGCAAAGATCCTTTTCCGTGCGTCAGCCAGAAATGCCATGCGAAGATTGATACCACAGAATCAAACCCACCATACTTCCGGCATGGTCCTTGAACGCAATGCCACTCGTGTTCATCATCCTAGTATACGGGTCACTAAGGCTCTTTTTATGGAAGCCAGTCGTCTGGTCCCAGGGTTCTGACATGTCACTCAGCACGACATCGACGACTCTGCCTTTCCGCTTGTCTCGTTCTTTCAGCGACAATTTACTCTCCTCCGCTTCCTGGCGTGATCCCTCCTGGCCCGCCTGGCCTAATGTCTCTATTTCTATCCCTCCCAACGCGTGTCGCTCCAAGTCGATGTAGCCGCGTTCCAGCTCTTCGACATCTTCTTCACTGTAGCCCTCGTGGTGTTCCGGAGAGGTAACTTGGCGTCGAGGTCGACCCAGATCGGGATCTTGGACGTATTGCCTGACGTCTGCCTGTATGTCGGGGGAGAGGAAGTTTCCCTGGATCGTGGATACGCCTTTCGGAGGTTGGGCGGGGATCAGGTCGATGCCGATGACGCGACCGCCGGGTGAGGTACGGTTGACGGCAACCTGGTGGATGGATTAGGGGATTGGTAGATAGATTGCATTGGGAATGCAAACCTGAGACCAGGAACCTGGAGCAAATCCCTGCAGATTGTGTTAAATAGTTCTATTGAGTAAATGTTCAAAGGAACATACCAGGTCAACTACAGTCTGGCCAGGTTTGAAGAGCTTGTATTTCTCATTGATCTAGAATGAATTAGCAAATGCAATTCAATTCCTGTTTAGAGCAACTAAGAAGTACTTCGAGAAGCTTGAAAGCCGCACGACTCTTCAAGCCTTGCACTTTCGCCTCCCTAGCAAAGTAATCGCTGCCCTGCCGACTCTTCCATCGCGTAGACGAGGAAGAGGAAGCATGTCTCTTGCTCGCTGGCTTCGTGCGGGAAGAGCATTTCGAAGCGGAACAGGCCAGGGGCGCGCAATTGCGAGGACCTAGAAGCAAGCTGTCGGTCAGCTGCTGGAAGATGCGTCGGGACAACATTGGCAATGAGCTTTGGCTTGACTATTGACAGGCAAGCTATTTGAAGCTCGGAATTTGAGGCTGGATAAGATAGGATGATGGGGTTTGGCGGCTCGAACGCGCCACAATTGCGGGTCCAGATGTCAGGGTTCTTTGAGCTACGGCCCTCCTGTAAACCTCCGAGCGGAATTCATCCCTCTCGTCTGTTGTTACATGGTGGAAAGTAGATTGAAGGGAATGTCTGCTGTTACTGTTCAGCTCAATTGAAAAAAAAAACAGAGAGTTTATCATGGTGTATCTGACTTACTCCTCTAGATTGATCAAAAAGCTACCTTGTTGCTAAGCATTCAATGTCAATCTATACTAAGAATGTCATGAACGTAAAGTTGGAGACGACCCGCGTCTAAACCCCAGCTGGCACTCGGCTACATTATCACGTCAACTGCCCAGCTGTCACATAGATGCACATACGAACAGGGAGGGCAGTTGGCCAACGACAAAGCCATGATAGCTTGACGCCAGGAGCCAGCTACATACTCCTACTCCGTATACAGTAGCTCGTCGAAAGTGGATGGACGTTGATAGCTAAGAAATTCCGATTTATTCTCGCCTGACCTCGGTCGGTGCCATTACGTTGCACACGTCCACGGCTCCGACGAGACTGCCCCGCCCCCAGAATGCATGGCGTAGATCTATGTTTATGGGTTACGAGGTATCCCGAGATCAGATCATCATTCCCACCCCCGCAAGGTTCGAATATCATATCACTTGGCTGTGTTGATAGTGCGTGTACTCGTAATGAGATTGTAATGGCATGTATGAATCAGTAGTGACATGGGGCATGGGGTATGCGGTTACGGTTATATGCGGCATTCGCTGTATCTTTCTCCGATCTGGCTGACAGCTCTAATATGTATTATCTTGGAATCAAATACTAGTTATTGAAGTCGCAAGGTATCTCCGATGCTGTAAGATCTCCTACTGGGTGGCAGGTGATGACAGCAGCAGTCAACATGTAGATACGCGTGATGGATAAGGGAGGCCAGAAGTACCCGGGTCCCGTGGAGAGCTGACGGTGAGAGTCTGAAAGGGGAAAAAACAACTGCGCATTGCTTTGCCTTACCCGATCGTCTTGAGTCATCTTGTGTTCCCATGGCGCAAGTGCTGAAATGAACAAAAGTGCCGCGGCGCATCAGAGACCTTGCAGTTGATTTGGCAACATCTTGAAACCTCCTTGAAGTATGCAATGTCGTCGCGCCATTGTATCCGAGTCAAGAGATGCTATGCGCCATTGCAGGAGCAGTGTAGATATAGCTAGCTTCTAGTCAGCCTCCAGGTGAGTAGGCTGTATACAGGGTGGCTCTCGTGGACAACCGGAAGTTCTTCTAGTCTGGAGTACTAACTAACCAAGTGACCAACTACGAAGCAGTAGTTGGTTGGTACATACATAGTAATATTAGTTCCGTATACAAGGCACGCGACTATTGCTTGACGATTGATGAGGCATTGATTCACATTGCGTTATAGGTTCAATGGTATAATAAGTTGATGCTGTTTACTCTCCTTGTATAAGGGATGATAGGGTCTCTGACTCTCTGTCTCCTCTCTGCCGAGTAAAACTGAAAGCGGACTGTCGTAGACGCCGACCACTAAGAATTCACGTACACCATCCACTCACTCCCACACCCACTCACCCACACTCTCACTCACTTACCTCAACTCACTCTTACACGCCCGGCCTGCCTTTACTGCCTTTACTTTTAGGGCCCTTCCTCTTCCCCGGTTCGCGGTATCTGCAAACTTTCACTCTCTCTCCAATTCCTCAAAACCTCTTCCGCGCGCCGCACGCTCACCTTCGAGGCACTCTCCACTCCTTCATACCGCCTCGTCCTTTATCTCCCTCCGTTCCCTTGGATGGCCGACGCAACCCTCTCTTACTCAGACTCAGCTCTCCCTTCCTCCTCCGCTGTCGCCGCCGCAATCGCCGCCTTCTACGTCCCATCGACGAAACGTTTTGACTCACAATTCATTCACTGCTGCAACGACCGATGATCTCGCTATTACGTCCCGCGCTTTTCTCCCACATCCCGTAGACGCGGATCTTCTTTGACTGCAGCTTGCGACCCATTCGCTGCTTTCTATCTGCTCCGTTCTTGACGCACGCAACCCCCGATGACCACATCCAAAACCGAAGAGAAACAAATTGCGATACCTACTTTCGTCATGGAGCCAAAACCAGGTGCCACTGTACGTCAATGCCAAACAAGCAGTCAATTGCCATGTGTAAAAGTTGCTCACCAATCGTAGCCCGCTATGTTGCAACCCCCGCAAGACTCCCGACTCGAGCGCATCCAAGAGTTCCTCGCCCAGCCCGTGATCGCGTCCTTCATCGCTGGCGGTGTCGCTGGAGCGGTGTCGCGGACCGTAGTCTCGCCATTGGAGCGACTGAAGATCCTTTTCCAGGTGCAGAGCGCTGGTCGGAACGAATATAAGATGTCCGTTCACAAAGCATTGGCTAAGATGTGGCGCGATGAAGGTTGGCGAGGCTTCATGGCGGGCAATGGCACCAATTGCATTCGCATAGTTCCATACTCGGCCGTTCAGTTCTCGGCCTATAATGTTTACAAGCAGGTAAGAATTTTTCGCAATATACTTTCAAGTTCTTCCCCGGGGAGACCTGCCAGTCTCCCGCTTCCTTTCCCCTAAGCATAGGAGTGTCCAATTCCAATGCAGAGCGTCTCCCACGCTTCTAGAACCTTTCGTAAATTTTGAAAGTTTTCTTCGGCTCTCGCAGCTTCACCTAATCTGTGTTTCAGTTTTTCGAAGATACCCCCGGTGCTCAATTAGGTCCTTACCAGCGTCTGTTTTGCGGAGGCATCGCCGGAATAACATCGGTCACATTCACATATCCTCTTGACATCGTGCGAACACGGTTATCGATTCAGTCAGCATCTTTCGAGACATTAAAGAAGACTGAAGGCCAGAAACTGCCGGGAATGTGGGGTGTGCTCACCAGCATGTACAAGAACGAGGGAGGCTTCCGCGCCCTGTACCGCGGCATCATACCGACCGTAGCAGGCGTCGCGCCGTACGTGGGATTGAACTTCATGGTCTACGAGATCGCGCGGAACCAGTTCACACCCGAAGGCCAGGCCGACCCGTCCGCCCTCGGCAAGCTGGGTGCTGGAGCCGTCTCAGGAGCCGTGGCACAGACGTGCACATATCCGTTCGATGTTCTGCGGCGGCGATTCCAGGTCAACACCATGACCGGCATGGGATACCAGTACAAGGGGATCTTCGACGCGATCCGGATGATCGTCAAGACGGAGGGTTTGCGGGGATTGTACAAGGGAATCGTGCCAAACCTCCTCAAGGTCGCGCCGAGCATGGCTAGTAGTTGGCTCAGCTTCGAGATGACAAGAGACTTCGTCATGGGCAAACGCCGGGAAAATTTCTTGTAGATCATCACCCGATCCCCGCGTTTCACGATCGAAAGAGAGAGAGTGCGTGTGTGTGGCGTGACAGATTCCCATTCCAAGGGTTGAAAAATACCTAGGTAGTCTAGTCATGTTCAAAGCCAAAAAAGAAAGAAAGAGACCGACATACGAAAACTAACATAACAGCGTTTTCAACGAAACCACGATCTGCGTAAAGAATCGTTTCACCAAGAGAACCCACCACCCCATTGTAAAAAAATTAAAACCATCCACGAAATAGAAACCCATCTTCCACACTGCTGGAGCACTTTTCTTCTTGTTCTCTTGATTTCTCTTTTTCCCTTCCCACGAAAAAAGACTTTTTCTTGCATTGGACTTTTTGGTAGGGATTTCGAATCAATCAACCAATTTCATCATGGAATCGTAAAGCAAGACTCCTTTTTTCTTCTCTCCCTCCGTCTTCCCCTTCACACTTTTACAGCGACGGCGTTGATTCTTTTTTTCTTTTACCAACACAAAGCCGGTTTTCAAGTACCCTTGGCTTCCAATCATGTCTCTCTCACACAGTCATATAGAATTAAACTTTCCCCCATCAATCCCCAAGGGAAAACTCATAGTAGCACAATGTAATTCAAACAAGAAACCTTTCCAAACTCAAGAAAAGTAAAATCGAAGGAACATGGAGACTTAATTAGTGATCTATTAGTTTCTCCTTCGCCCCTGGCTGTGAAAAAAAATGCTGTCATGTCAAAGAGTGCCTGGGTTCCAGGGTGAAAGGGGCTTGTATCTCTTGGAGAGAGTGAAGTATGGAAAGGAGGAGGATGGGGCGGAGGGCTTCTTGGAGGGCTTTGCAATGAGCTGTTGTTCTAGGTGTGTACTGATAGTATAGGATGTGTTGTAAGTAGCCACCCGGGAAAGTATGTTGGAGAATTGCGTTGGACCTCGCGGTGTAGAAGATCGCACGATGATGTATCGTCAAGACGCGGCTGCTGGTGTAGAAGTGGTTTGTAGGTATTTCAATGCATTGAAAGGGGTTCATGGGATGGGTAGAGTGGAGTGTGGTGTGGTCTGTGATGGGACATGCAGTGTTACGTTTTGAAGTAAATTTTTCTTTCATTGAGTCTCCCTTGACGCCGCCGTAAATGTGTGCATACGGGAAGATATACTAAACTATATGGATACATTGAACTGAGATCATTCGCTTTTCATCCCATCGATGCCGGACTGGAAATATTCTTCGAAAATGCTCGCTGGCAGGCCAGCGCGAGCCCTGTAGGCCGGTCCAGCGCCTAACCGTCTTCCAAACAACATCGTTCGCCTTTGAGACGCGTCGATGTCGACTGACTTAGAAGGGAGGCAGCCAGAAAGTGTAGCCTCCGTTCTTTTGTCGGAAGACACTGAGGAGGAAGCTGTACATGCACAGCAAGACGCCGCTCCACAGGAAGACAGCGAACTGCTGAGCCCTTGCATCGGCAATTCGGGGTACCTTGAAGGCGAGAGAAATGGTGGCGAATGATAGGACACCGTCTGTGGTTGAATTGTCAGCATCTTGGACGGTGTACGTAGGGCTTAGTTTTGACTTACAGATTGCAGCAACAATTTGCGATTCAAGGCCGAATTGGTTGCTGAATCCACCAGCAAAGTAGCTGATGCCGCCTTTCCCATCGCCGGCAACATATGGAGTCTTGCGGATGTGGTTGAACATATGACCGCTAGTGAATAGAAGGACAGCAATCAAGCTGATCGCAGCCCAGATGTTTCGGTTTTGTAGAACGGGAACAAGGTACGGCGACGCAACGGCAAGGAATGTGATCACACCGAGCACGCCGGTGGTGACTGAGACGATCTTGACATAGTTGATGGGGCGGGAGACTGCGGGCTTGGGAACGTCAGCAGGGAGCTGGCGGGAGATCCAGGCGTGGATCTGCTCAGCAGATTGAGGCCTGTTGATATCAGTATCGACACTAAATCATCAGCATTGGAGTATTGGCGCACCCGTTGGTAAAATCAAATCGAATTGGCTGGGTATCAACCCTAGCATTGGGTCCAATGGTGGGGTGGAAGTACAGAATGATGGGCGCGGTTTGGAGCATCAACTTTAGAAATATGTTAGCAACAGCTTGCACTGAGAAGATCGCAATATAATACCGATTGGAAGGTGCTCTTTCCGTCAATGAAATCCAATGTTCCAAAGAGCAATCGTGTGTCTGCATTCTTATCGCCCTTCACCCAGCTTTTGCCTAGCAGATCCCACTCTGGCTGGAACTCTCTGCACAGAACACAACCAAATCTTGTGTCCATAGCAGTAAGAAGAACAGCTACGGCATAGTCCCTCGGTGCCTTTGTGAACTTCGAGTATGATACATCATCGAGCTTGACCGTGCCGGTGGATAACGACTTGGCGCGGAAGTCATTGAATCGGTCACCGGAGGGCTTCTTAGCTGCAAGAGCTGTGAAGGGTAAGAGGGAAGCCGTCAGAATCTGTAACCAACGCATTGTGACGTTACGAGGATGTGTGCAAAGGAACGAAGCTCGAACGTATGGATGCTTTGGTTGCTAGATTGAAGGCCACGTTTGAGATCAGCGTACGTAAGCATCCGCGCCAAGGAACGACCGGGGTTCATCATATGCGCATGCCGCCTTGAACTTCGACGCGACAGGCCTTCTGTTTACTTGAGGATATTGACCAGGGTCATACAAACGTGTGGTCATCAAGATTCAGCTTTATTGCACATTCTTTTCACAACAACAACACGTTCTCAGGTTGCGAGTGCAAAGTCGAAGAGTGCGCCTTGTCAACTCTGGTGTTGATGGCCTGTCGCTTTGTTTGTTTACTCTACGCGTTCCCCAGGCATTAGAGTTGCCCCTCACACATATTCCTACAATCAATTCTCATCTCTCAACGAAAGCAACCGAACCATGGCGTACCCATCAATGGAGTCAGAAGATGTCTATGACATTCAAGATGTGAGATATATATCTCTAATTCTTTGCGATATGCGCTAACTTGGCAAGCTCAAACATGCGCTCCGCACGGCGAATCTGGAACTTGCCCTCGAACGAAGCAGGCACGCTGTCGAAACAGTAGCGAAAGACGAGGAACTTCGGAAGTTGCGAGTCGATAAATGTCTCCTGCATGACAGGGTCGACGAGATATCCGAGGAACTCGGAGACGCGGAGGCTGAGTCGGAAGGCCTGGAGTTCGCATTGGATGATGCTTTGCAGAACGTGGATCAACTCAAGGCCGACGCGGAGATAGCGAAAAATCAGATTCGTACACAGTCGCGAGAGATTGGTAATCTTAAGGTATTCCCATCCCGCATGCTACACATCTGAATTAGTTGTTGATCATCCTGGCAGGCCGAGCTCAAGGCAATGGAGAACGTCACATCCGATACGAACAAGATCCTGTCCGAGAAACTTGCCCTCACCCGCGAAATGTCTTCTCTCAAGCCCGAGGTCGAGCATCTGCGTGCCCAGGTTGAGTCCAACCATGGCCTCCTTGCCGAGAAACTCACCCTTCAACGCCAATTAGCAACGCTGCAGGTTGAGATCGACAACGAAAAACGTTCCACCGCCCGAGCCCTGGCGAAATCCGGCAAGAAGACTGAACAGGAGGAGGAGCTTCGTACTGAGCTTGAGGAAATTCGAAACGAGCTGGTGAAAGAAAAGAAGGATCGCCTCAAGGCAGAAGCAGCTCTGGCCAAAGCAGAAGAAAGCTCAGCAAAGGCTCAGGCTGATGTGTTATCCCACCAACAAGCTTCCGAACGGATCCAGGCGAAACTGGACAAAGTCACCAAACGGGAAGCTGATAAGGCAAGCAAACGCGAGGAAGCACAGGACGCCGAAGTTGAAAATCTTCAACAAGAACTACAAAACGAAAGAAATGCCCGCCAGAAAGCGGAGCGGATGGGCAAGAAGGCCGAGGAACGTGAAGCTGAGCTCGAACAGTTACGTGAAGAATTTGGTCGGGCCAAGCGCGAGATATCCGCGGCTAATAAAGTTGGCAACAAGGACCTACAACACACGGCCACGCAGATTGCTCAACTGGAGAACGAGTTGGATGAGGAGAGACGCGAGAGGAAGAAAATGGAAAAGGAGTATCAGAAGGCACTGGCTGAGCTCCAAGGTCGCAATACCGTTTTGGATGACAAGCTGAATGCCTTCCGAGATAAATTAAGGTCCACAAAGGAGAAGCTAAAGGAGACTGAGGGCAGGCTCGAGAGGGCAGAGAGTGAGGTACCACAAGCAACCAAGAAAGCCGGCAAGAACCCTCGCAAACGGATGGCGTCCACTGCTGAGCCTGATTCTCCAAACCTCGGAACCCCTGGCGATGGATTTCCTACGAAGAAGACAAAGCGTGCCACCTCGGTTTCAGCCATTGGTGAGAACACCGCTCTATCGCTTACGCCTTTCTTGAAACGTCAAGCAAGCGTTGCGCCTGGAGAGACAATCTTGGGAGAGTCGGACGACGAAGAGCCATCACCAGAAGAAGCTACCCCCACTGCACCTCCAAAGAAGGCTATTAAAAAGAGCGCGCCGCTACCCAAAGTCAAACCGCTTGCTCCTTCAGCTTCCAACAAGGCTAATGCGAAGCCAGCAGCTCGTAAGAAAACTGCTGCACCTTCTCTCGAGATGGTGACCGAAGAGGCTTCCGAAGTCTCTGAATCCAAGGATAATTCCGAGAATGTACCAGTCACCGTTCCTCTCAAAGATGCCGATGATGGTCCTTCAAAGGGCAAGGATAAGGCTCTCGTACCTAAGATCAAACCTCGAAAGTCCCTCATGTCCTTTGCCGCGTTCAACGAGGAACCTGTGGCAGAGAAGAAGAAGAAACGCAAGCTGGGGGCTGGAGGGAATAGCGGCTTGGGCAAAACGCTCTTCGATGCTGATGAGGACGTCCTACCTGCAAAACCGAACGTCGGCAAGGGACTCTTTGCCGCAAGGGCTCTGGGTAAAGGTGTCTTTGGCAAAGGTCCAGCAAGGCCCATCAGCGGCGGCTACAACATGATGAGCGAGGAGAACTTTACGTTCAGTCCGTTGAAGAAGGACAGAAGGGGTGCGAGCTTCCTCAAGTAACGACGATCACGGTCACGCTTCAATCAACTCCGTTCCCTTCTCACTGTTGAGGGAACAGTCTACGGCCTTGATATCTCGGATTTTCATGTTACATGGTCGGCTGCATATTCGGGATCAGGGGATCACGGCTCTCCAGTACATTCGTAACTAGCATTTCTCAGGCGTTTGATGATACGGTAGTTCAACTTTCAGAAGACCATGTTGGTAACCATGCATATAATATCGAACCTTTCCATTCTTCACACTGCGCCTGAGTACCCCTCTTCCACAATGCGAGAGCATCTTGCATCCCAATCGAACTCAGCCCCTCATAAAGTCTACACCGCTACCCATCCTAGCCCTCCTTCCAGTATCCACCTCCGCACCTCTCCGGTCCAGCTAGCCCGCCCAATCGCGCCAGAAGTTAGCATGTCCCTCAAAACCCTCCACTGCGCCTTGCGAAAAAAAACCGTAGAGCCTAAGATCCACCCTTGCTGCGCTCTCTACATATACTAAGGCACGAATAGTCTACCCATTCTACTCGTATCTTCACACAATGCCTCTGTTGGATCAAGGATAGGCGGGTTATCCATGCTAAGCGTTGTGGCTTAGTGCGCTAGAAACGTGCGGGCTACATACAGCATTTAACCGCATCGGGGTGATCGCATGTGAGCTTAAAGTATAGTACATCAGTGTAGTGAAATGTGGGTTGTGCTGTGTCTGCGAGTTAAACGAGCGGTGGAGCTAAGTTGTTGGTGATGGGGGACGGTGTGGTATCTGCTGTCCACGGTGTGAGATGATGGGTGTATGTGAAGAGGGTCGGCGGACGAATATGCGTGGCGAGCTGGCGCTGGGCAAGTTGGGGTTTGTGGAGTTGCGGTCTTGTTGGATTCGTGTGGATTGGGGTTTGTCTTGGAGATGGGAGCTGGAATGGTGTTGTGCTCAAGGCAATCTCAGGCTTTCGAGAGCGCAGTTGATGCCAAGTTGGCAAGTGATAACGCGGACAACCTGAAGTGGAACACTTGACCGGTCAGTCTGATATACATGCAAATGCTCTCAAGATTAATCTAGCATAAATGGACATACACGTGCGCGGTGGGCGCATTTGGTATCGTGGAAGGGGTCAGAAGGTTCCTCGTTGCTGGGGTTCACATCATTGAGAGAGGCTTTGAAGATTAAGGCAATTGTCGCATCGGCGTGGACGTGCAGTAGTTCGTATACGGCGAGGTCTGTCTGGATGGATAATTTATTTGGGGTTGAGCAGTAGGAGCACTCTGCATGCTGCGTGTACGCGGTGTAATGCGCGCCGTTCGATCTGAAGTATGTGGCATAGATATCGTGGGCGCGACCTCATCAAGTGCCACTATCAGAGCCAGCGGGCGCTGTGCGCCTTCCCGGCGCGTTAGTCTGACGGGCGATTGTAGAAGGATTCTGTAATTTGATCTGGGGCAGTGCTCTCCCAACTCTTGAGGCATCTCTGGTCATGCGGCGAAGTGGTCTAGTGCCATCGTGGAATGCGGTGCAGGCGCTATATGTGTTCTGGAAAACTACCTCGTCGGGGCTGACCTGTCAGATTGAAGCGGAGTATGATTTTCGAGAGCACTTCTCGTCTACGAGGGCGCCGAGCTTTGGGCGCGTAGTGGTGATGAGGGAATAACCCCCTCTTTCTCCCAATGAGGCAGTGCAGTTTTCCACCACTCTCGTATGTTCTCGGCGAAAACGTTCTTGCTCACCGGTCCGGATACAAATGCGAGAGATTAAAGATTGTAGGTTTAGTCGTGATTGGGTACCACGGAAGATTGTAGCGTCGCGGTTCGATGTATGAAGGATTTGGTAGTGAAGATGCACAGTGTTGGAGACGATTGTTGTCCCGGTTGTTGCGATATTGCCAAATCCGTCAAAAATGGCGCTAGACTCAACACGGTAAGAGAAAAACCAGTGGATCAATTCACTAACTACCCATATGGACCACATGCGCCATGCACATTCTGAGGACTGAAAGCAGTGCGCAGTTGCTGTGAAGTGTTAGATGCCTTGCCGTAAGGCACAATATCAGACGGGAGGCGAGGCAAGGTGAGAAATGGAAAGACAACAACAAGACTTACACAGTGTTGTTCACCAGCCTCATCCTCCCGTGATCTGAATTAGGTCGTCTTAGTAGAGTATAGATGCACTCGCCACGTTAACCAACAAGGGTAGGGCTGAATGCGCTCGCCCCACTGGCCACGGTGACGCTAACGCGATTTGTTCAAGGAACGATGTAGGCGGACAAGCGTCTTGGCGTCTCGGCAGTGACCCGAGCAACTTGTGACAAGACAATTTTCCATAATCGGGTAACAGTACGAGGTACTTTATTGCGCGTGTAGACAGGGTATAGGCAGCATGCTTGTGCAATATCTCGTCGTGAACGACTCTAGCTAGTACTGTTGGAAGGGACTTGCGATGTGCACAAACATTAATGCATGAAATCATCCAATGGATGTCAACAGTACTCCGTACCTTCGTCTCAATTAGTTATTCCCTTCGTGGGATTAAGACTTGATTCTTACTGTTGTTCTAATCTACGAGTACATTAATATGAATGGACTACGAGTAGTAGCGGACCTACATAATCAATGTGTCATTCTCAAACCATCTTTATTGAATCGCCACAGACGGAGGAAGTCTGCCTCGGCGTTCGGGGAAAGAAATCAACGACATCATCGTCATAACTCGTGATGCGTTCACCGGAGTATTGACTGGCGCGGGGCCTGAAGACTAATCTGTAAGGTATTCTGTACAAGTGTTTTGATGGATGGAGGTGGCCGTGTTAGCCGACATGGCGCGTCTGCACAAGCAAAGCCCTGTGGAGCCTATTCGCTGATCATAAGTGCCGCTAGACCGCTTGTGGTTTCGCTCGCGTGTGACCTCTGGACTGACGTCTATCCTTCTTTCTCCATCTTGATACAACTCCCACACCCCCCCATACACACATGTACGTATCATATAGTTCGTCGCGTCTTTCTCATGAGGTTGGGCATAGTATCGAACCCGCAATCTCTCAGAATCTCAACATTGAACAAGTACTCCGTAGAGTCGCAATACAATACAAACGATCATATGTCATGTTCCTGTATGGAAATAAGGCGAGCAGTGTCGCCCTAGTGATCCACAGAATATCTCTCCCTCAGTATCGAAACACAGCCCCCTCGCCCCGTTTGGAGGAATGCGGAAGAATACACGGAGGTGCAGGACAGCATGCTACTGCTGCATACGGTTTACCAGGTCATGTCATTAAGCTTCCAAGCCCCCGGCGCACACCCTTGTAGATACTGGCTGCATCCTGGCATCTTGTCGCACTGTTTCTTGTCTACTTTAGTAGTGTGTCATACCTTCCCCGCATGTTACATATAAGTACTGCGATCACCCTACCTGTCATGAAATGATTTCCTCGTCGTTCTTCACACTCTCCATCATAGTCTCACCACCAACCAACGACTTTCATCCCAAACTCTCTCGGGATAGTACCATAATTGAATCGCATCTCATCAGACCACACTTGATCTAGTATCAACACCCAATAACAACAACAACCATGAGTGCACACCCAGAAACTGGCCACCAAGATCTCGGAAAGGCGCCCGTCAATGGCGCCAGCCATGGTGCACCTGGTCGCATTCCAGATGACCCTCTAGTCAAAGTTCAGCCTCCACGAAGGGAAGACCTTCAGCCAACCTATGCGCGCATCATCAAGCCAGACGATGCCGATGAAGACACCCACGGCTGGTACGGTGCTATGATGAATAGTATCGGCAGCTGCATCGGTACTTTGGGAGCCATTCCATGTTGCATCGTCTGCCCGAACCCGTATAAGTCGGTCAACCAAGGCAACGTGGGACTTATCACCAAGTTTGGACGGTTTTCGCGAGCTGTCGACCCTGGTCTTGTTAAGGTCAACCCCCTGTCTGAGACTCTCATTCAGGTTGATGTCAAGATCCAGATTGTTGGTAAGTAATTACCTCACCAATGCTACTCTAACCTTGCAACACATCTCTAATCAAAGTACAGAGGTTCCTAAGCAAATTTGCATGACCAAGGACAATGTCTCTCTGAGTCTCACCTCTGTCATCTACTACCGGATTACCTCGCCTCACAAGGCTGCATTTGGAATTTCCAACATTCGACAAGCTCTTGTTGAGCGAACCCAAACCACTCTCCGCCATGTCATTGGTGCACGTGTTCTTCAAGATGTGATCGAGCGCCGCGAGGAGATCGCTCAGTCCATCCGTGAGATCATTGAGGAAACCGCCGCAGGTTGGGGTGTTGATGTTGAGTCCATGCTTATCAAGGACATCATTTTCAGTCAAGATCTCCAGGACTCTCTCTCCATGGCCGCCCAGAGCAAGCGTACTGGTGAGGCGAAGGTCATTGCTGCTCGCGCCGAGGTCGAGAGCGCTAAGGTAAGCTTCTTCCCCTACAGCACCAGATATTCATCGCGGTTCAAATACATCGAACACTGGCACCTGGGCTACGGCCTTGTATGCGCTTATGTTCGCGATTATTCCCCACCCTTGAATTGAACCGCAAACGGGAATTCTATCTCTCAGCCATCAGAAACGAATGAATATATTAGAGCATGGCTAACAATCCTGCAGTTGATGAGAGTTGCAGCCGATACACTCAACTCAGCCCCTGCTATGCAGATCAGATACTTGGAGGCCATGCAAGCGATGGCTAGGTCAGGGCAGAGCAAGATCATCTTCATGCCCGGCCCAGTCAACTCCGGTGACTTTGGAGTACCAAGAGTGATTGAGCAGGGACAGGCGTCTTCCAGCGGTGGTCAGCAGTCTCAGGCCGATCCCCTTCAGCACGCGATCAATGCGCGCGTCTTCGAGGACATGTAATACCCAAATTGCCACTAACGACATCGATACCCATTAGTTTTACTTAGTGTTCATAATATAATTGTACTACATACGATTTCCCTTTGATAAAGTGCCCAACTTCCTTCATGATCAACACTACATATGTGAGCGCCATCATACTTTGGAGGACGAGTGATAGAGACTTGCTACGACGCTGTTGTGACCGATTCATATCTAGGAGACCAGATCTCTCACAACCAGTCACAACAGAGTCGTCGCAAGTGCCCCCCACTTATTGCTGCTCCAGATGATTGTAGATACCTTAGATCATTCAGTATATTTGCTCGTAGGCTGTTGAGACGAATCTCCACTAACAGATGATCAGTCATTGAAATCGTGTTTGACGAGCGATCGGTCGCTCTTCGCTTTTCCGTCGTGTGTGAAGTCCAGCTTTTCCACCTATAATGTTGCTCCGGAAATGGCATCTTCCACCTTATCCACTGGAACGAAGCACACAACCGGCATCTGCATAAGAGCACAATACGATGATGCCCAACTCCGACCGCCAGACACTTGGCGGGGGGGACATGATGAAGAAGCCCGGCGAAGAGACATGCTGGGACACAGCGTACATTCTGAGACCTCCAAGCCCATCGCCTGTTCTGCAGTCCCCTTTCTTACTAGTCTCAGTACAATGCTCGCCGACGCACCGACCGGCAGCCACAATCTGAACACGACGAATCATAGCATTTTGGGAGCAGTACCAGATGTTCTATCCTTTCTTCACGGTACGGCTTCCGAGCGTGAGTCAGGAGGTCGACGTCGGGGAAGTATGACATGCGCGGCAGCATCGCGAGGTGGCCACTTCGCACCATGTAATGTCGATACTGGCTATACCTGCCTGTCAGATCTGGGTTGCGAAACTTACACCATTTGACCTGTCGCACTTGGGGACGTGGGTGTTCATCCGACACCTCGCTTTCAAAGTTGTATGCTTAGTATCTGCAGAGACGGAATCAGGAGAACGGGGGGAAGGGAAGACGCTATAACTTCGTTCATCTCCGTCTGCATCTTCTCGATGTTCTGGTCATTTCTCCTTCGGGCGAGGTGCGGACATCAGCAATACATGATGTCTTCATGTTTACACAGTGTTCCAGGTACCAGGGGAAAGTTGGCGCGCTCTCCGCCACATGAGTCAAGTGAAACAGGACACGCGGTAACAGTGAGGAGTCATGTCAAGCAAACAATGTTCACAATCACGTAACTGAGAGAAGAAAGAATAGAATGAAGTTTTGATCTTTTTTTATTGCACATATATAGATGATACTAAGCTGTACTGTACTCTCAAGTCTACAACAATATGAGAGAAACTGACAAGATATTTCGATATGATGAAAGACAAAGGAAGTCTTAGATTGAAAGCGACGCGCGGATATTCCCTGCTTCTTGGAGGCAGGCAGATGTACGACGCGTGTACATGTAGAGTCGTAGCTGATTGAATTCCAACGATTTCCGACACTTCCTTTCTCGATTCGTTCTAGATGTATATATAGCTTGAGAGGACGCTTCATTCGGTATCGCGCTCCCTCTTCTCGCAAGCCACTCCAACTTCAATAACGCTGGCCTTGACCATCGTCTCGGGGATATTTCTAATAGTGTTCGCACAAGAGCATCGGGTGGCAAGATGCTTTTCGGTATGAATAAATAATCGTCTTATTGGTCGAAGAAAGCGCTGGATAATGACCTTGTCAGAGAAACAACGCAACCGAAGCCATTCAAGGATGAGCGGATGCTTGTATTTTCTGATTTTGGCGCCATTGGAGTTTGGCCTGTTTCTTTTTGAGTTTCTTTTGCTGCTGGACTACGTAATTGAGGACGTCAGGCCCGGTTGGGATAGGGCAGTGGATTGCTGTCGACAGTACGAAAGCCCTTTTCATCCAGTGAACCATGACGTGGAAGGATGTATAGTCGCCTGCAGCCTCCTGCTCCTTTGTCTGACCGTCGAGTGTAGCATGGAACCTTTTCTCCGTTGGACTACTACCTATGAGGCCGCGTCCGGATTTTCAGGTAAGCCAGACCCTTGAATTCTGGACGCTGCGCGAGCATTTTGCGGAGCTGGGCCCTGGCCTGATCGTATATAGATGTATATATGTTGTCGTCTCTCTGAGAAACGGCCTTCTGCATCAAAACATTGATCTGATCCCTGAACTGTGGAAACCGTTCAATCTCGTTGCGGAGCTGCTCACTAGCTCGATTGTATATAGATGTGTATATATATTGCGTCGTCTTTCTAAGAAACAGACACTCCCCGCCTGGCTGGATGAAGACTCCGAGTGCAATCCGTAATTGTAGCGTTCATGAACCAACCATCCGTAATGAGTAACAATATCGGAATATATATGTGTACAGTCGAATCTAACCACGCAGTTGAATGGTTGGAAGATGGCCTCGGCTGGATGAAATTCAAGAAATTTGGTCGAAGAGCGCGCTGGATGATATCCTTGTTAGAGAGCTTTTTGTAAATCTTGTGAAGCTACTAACCTGATAAGTAACGAACAGAAGAACAACCTAATGGAAGCTGTTTATTCTTAGGGGGCACTTTAAGGATAAAGATGTGGCCAAGGTTTGTATCTTAGGCCACTTTTCTTATTCCCGCTGCTTTGTCCGCGTCCTTCTTTTGCTGTTCTTCTTCGTAATTGAGGACTGTTTCTGGCCACCATTTCAGATCCTGGCTAAGATCGCCCGTTGCCAGTTCGTAGGCGCGGTTCTGCTCCTTCACATTGACGTGGCCAACGACATAATTGCCATTATCCGCTTGGTCTTTTGTCTGGAAATGGACGGTAGCGTGAAGAGGCTCCTCCCCACTCGTATGTGGAAGAGTCCGGATCAGAAAGTTGATCTGGTACTCGTAGCCGGGAAACTGGTCAATCTCGTTCCGGATACGGTCCGCTATCTCCTCGCAGAGCTGGAAAATGGCATCAAACTTCCAGCTCGTCGATGTGGGCTCCTCCACCGAAGCAATATAGATGTATATATGTTGTCGTCTCCCTGGGAAACGGTCTTCTGGATCAGAACATTGATCTGATCCGAGAAGTGTGGAAACCGTTCGGTTCGTTGCGGAGCTGTTCACTAGCCCGTTCGTATATAGATGTATATATGTATATATTGTCGTCTTTCTAAGAGACAGACTCCCGGTACACTCAAGAAATATCAGTATATGTAACAATGATATCCATTAGAGACGGCCTGAAGTGTTTGGTTGTGGTTGCACACTCTGGTGTGGTAGGCTTGTAAGTCGTAGTAGATAAATGGGAATGGGGGTTTAAATATTGGCCCCTTCGCATTGTTGCTGAATGTTCAGCCCCGGGTGAAGAACTCTGAGTAGTGAACAAAGGGCTGTAAGCAATGAATGAAAGACGCTCGGTGCCGAGTGACTGTTCAGGATGTCGATGGGATTGTTCAGGATGTCGATGGGATTGTTCAGGGTGTCGATGGGACTGTTCAGGATGTCGATGGGATTGTTCAGGGTGTCGATGGGATTGTTCAGGGTGTACGAGGGTTTTCCTTACTGAATCACGCCCCGCCTGGCTGGATGAAGACTCCGAGTGCAATCCGTAATTGTAGCGTTCATGAACAAACCATCCGTAATGAGTAACAATATCGGAATAAATATGTGTACAGTCGAATCTAACCAGACAGCTGAATGGTTGGAAGATGGTCTCGGCTGGATGAGTTTCAAGCAATTTGGTCGAAGAGTGCGCTGGATGATAACCTTGTTAGAGAGCTTTTTGCAAATCTTGTGAAGCTACTAACCTGATAAGTGACGGATTCGGGAATAACGCAACGGAAGCCGTTCATTCTTAATTGGAATTCCGATGATGACGACGTGCCCAAAGTTGGAATTTAAGGCGATTTGTTCCTGCTGCTCTCTCTGTGGCCCTCCTGTTCTTTTCTTCTACATAATTTTTGACTAAGTTTGGCCAACATTTGACATCTTGACTAAGGTCGCCTGTTGCCAGTACATAGACCCCGTTCTGCAACTTCACAAAGATATGGCCAACGGTATAGTTGCCGTTGTTTACTTGCTCTTGTGTCCGAAGGTGGAAGGTAATGTGAAGGACACCGAAACTCTCATGGGGAATGCTCTGGATCAGAAAGCTGACCTGATCTCTGAAATCTGGAAACAGGTCGAGGTTGTTCTGGATCTCTTGAACGATCTGTAGGCAGAGCTTTTCGGTGCATTCAAACTTCCAGACCGCAGAAGTACTGCTCGAGTTCTTACCCAACCAAGCAAGAGTAAGGATGACTGCTTCCACCCAAGTAAAAGAACGGATGACTGTTATCGGGTCCATATTGAGTGGTGAGTGGTGAGGGATATGGTTGTTGGTGTTGGTTGTAAAATCTAAAGACTGTGGTTGAATGTTGTCGTCAGGTTGGGGGGGATGTGGTTGAGCGTTGGCGTCAGGTCGGGGGGGATGGGGTTTATATGCTCCCATCGCAAAGCAAAAGAGTGAAGAGCGCCATAAGCGGTGATTGTAGCGCCCTTCGAGGTAGAAGTTTGGTATAGGGTGAAGAAAGCCTTAGCAGTGATTGTAATGGACTATGGGGGTGATTGTAGAATGTAGCGCCCTTCAAGGCAGAAGTTTGGTACAGAGCGAAGAAAACCTTAGCAGTGGTCGTCATGGAGTATGGAAGTGATTGTAGAATGTATCACCCTTTCAAGGCAGAAGTTTGGTACAGAGTGAAGAAAGCCTTAGCAGTGGTTGTAATGGACTATGAAAGTGATTGTAGAATGTAGCGAGATTGAACAGTGAATAAAGAGCCCTCAGTGCGGAGTGTTTGTTCAGGGTGTACGCCGGCTTTCCTATCCTGAATCACTCGCGGTTAGATGAAGACTCCGAGTACGGGAAGGAATCGTAGACCTCCCCAACGAAATCATCCGTTAGAAGTTCCTCTGCCGTTGGACGTTGTTCCGGGTCTACCACAAGCATCCTCCGAAGAAACCTCCCGAAATCCTTTACGTACTTCTCTACCTCGGGTATTTCTCTGAGAGGAATGTACAAGGAAGCTTCCTTTTTCTCTCTGTCAAGTTTTTCCTCCATCTTTCTTATACATTCTGCCTCCTTCTTTCTTTCAAGTTCTTCCTCCATCTTTCTTTCAAGTTCCTCCTGCGTTTTTCTTTGAAGTTCCTCCTGCGTTTTGCTTTCAAGTTCCTTCTGCGTTTTGCTTTCAAGTTCCTTCTGCGTTTTGCTTTCAAGTTCTTCCTTCGTCTTTCTTTCAAGTTCTTTATGCACTCTGTCTTTCATTCTCTTGAGATTTGCTTCTGTTTGTTTCCAAGCGTTATCACGGGTTTCATCCGGGTAATAGACTATCTCTTGTATAAGCCTCTCTAAATTCAGGCCTTTGGATTTTTCGATACCTACTAACAGTCATTCATTGTCAAAAGTTTAGGCGGGAATGACTTACCAATAGGTCCTGGACTGGTTGCCCAGATCTTGTCCTGGACGCCTTCCATCAATGAAACCAAGAGCCAATTAGCAGATGACTCGCCGATAATTTTGTAGATCTGAGGTATGAGTTCACGGCTGTCACCCCAATAATCGAAGAGATCTGAAGGCGACGCCACCGCCCAGAATGTCTAGTAAAGGAGGGAAGTACATCAGACAAGGACCCGCAGATGTTCCATGCAGCATACACTCACAATGCAGGCAACTTGCCATATATCTATTGCCTTTGTCAAGGGTTTCTGGAAGATCATCTCGGGTGGGGTAAGGCATCTCGTGACAATAATCGAGGTAGGGTACTCGTCGTCGAAGAACGCTATATGATACATAACATGAGCATGCGATTCTTATTCCTTATTCAGCATCGATGATACTCACAGGATGAAAAATCTATAATCTTCATATCAAAACCACACTCGTCTTCTTCTCTCGGATTATTTAAATCCGTATTGGTGTGAGCTTTTCCGACTAGGTACTCTGGAATACCCTTTTCTACAGGTGCTCCATCATCTCTGGTGACCTTGCCAATGACCGGCTCGTCAAAAGAATCGAAACGAGAGATGGGAAACATTATATTCTGGTTATTCAGATCTAGGGAGAGTTCAGCCCAATACGTATGATGAGTTATTGTACTATTTCACTAACCGCCGTGAACAACATGACATTTGTGCAAGAAGTCTACTGCAAGAAGGAGTTCCTTGAGTAAAGGGCGACAGGTATTACCCTCAGCGGGAGAGTAGCTGTGACTATATCAGTATGACCAAAGACGTCTAAATATATTGATGGAGCCTAACTCGCTTGCGTAAGACCATTCACATATCGTTTCTCCTAACGCTTCGGTAACTAGGAATAAGTGGCGACCATTGACGCCATCGTGAAAGAAATGGTCAAAAAATCGAAGGACATGTCGACGCCCCGGATGATCTAGATTGCTATCGCGAAGCCTTTGTAAGATGCGAAGTTCCTTGGAATCCTGCGACTTATTTGTTGCTAGCACCTTCAAAGCCACGAATTTGTTGGTACTATCGAGTTTGAGTAATTCGAATGGTTAAGAGATGGAAGGGGACTTAGTACTGAAGATCTCTTGCTCCCCATATAGTACAAGTACTACTAAAGGCAAGCTTCTGCTCAATTCTGTATCTACCTTCCTTGTACACTTCTCCAATATACACAGGGTGGAACAAACCCTGTACATAGTATTTTAGGTCCTCCGCCGGTGCTGGAACTTTACAACGGTACTTTGGGGTAGGACGCAAGGCTTCTTCGTCTCGAGGACCTTTGTCACAGTCAGACATTCTGTCAGGCTTGGAGATGGCAGTAAAGTGAAGTATTGAAGTATTCGTCGTAGCTCTGAATCGGGGTAAAAGAGGAAGGGACGAGGATCATTTGCACTTCTTAGAACCGGTTTCCAACACACGACTTATATATAAAATGGGTTTATCAGCACGCTAGTTCACCGCAGAGAATCTGAACGCCGCCATATCTGGCACAGCGGAAACCATCATCGCACCTCTATGCCTCTTAGCAAATGAATTGAACCAATTGTTGACGAACCATGGGGGAACAATATCACTGAATGTTCAATAGCAGTCCGCGGCGCCGGGATGTCACTGACTGACCAATGGCAGTTTGCGGCGCTGTGGCTCGACAACGTTGGGTTCGCGCCATACCCGAGTCGTTCTTTGCTCTCGCTTCCCACCCCGCAATCTCGGATAACAGAATTGTCGCCTGATGGTTGATGGCTCACCTTAAGAGACGTCTCGACCGCGCCAAAGTCTCACTAGCAGGCGGCTGCCTTTTGTTCATGCTGTATTGTTTCCATTCACCCAGAATTGGCTTAACAAACCGTCTGAAACCAATTGCATGCCTCGTTCTCATGAGGGCTCCAACCTCCTTTGGTCGGACGGGAAGGAAGGCGAGATAGGGCTTGCCAAGTATTGCCGAACAAGTAAGGACAAAGATTGATAGCATGTGAATAACAAGTCTGGTATTGATTGATATGAAAGACTTTTCTGTTGTTGCGATGTGGCATGAACGCGGCCGGGCTCAAAAAGGCCAGAAGCCATCGTCCTCAAATCTAAAGACTAGAGCGTCCGACCATAGGAGCATTAGAGTCCATCTGTGTCAAAGACAGTACGGGAGCTTACCACCCATTGAATGATAACACCCTTGCAGGGGCCAAGGAAGCATTCATCATTCCGTCTGTTACGTGCCTCGGTAGATTGTCCAATATGGCTCCAAGTGCCGGGAAGCAGAAGCAAAGTTTTGAGTAACTCGATCAGATACGTGGTCTCAACATAAACAGTGGCCCCGTAAACCAACATTGGGAGATGTGAAGCGAGGTACTGATGATGTCCTACGCTAGTCGTTGCTCAGTAGGACATTAGATGAGTAGCTATGAAAAACAGCCAACCTCAGTTGATGTTTATGTTCAAGACTCTTCCGCCGGCGGCAGACTCCGATCTCCATGTACGTGCTTCCTTAGAAGTAGGTGTGCATCGATGCTATAGTTAGTATGTAGTCAAAAGCGGCAGCTGGTGCGGCATTGCTGCTAAAAGTCCATTCACCCTTGTTGCTTCGATACCGACTCCAGCTCTTGTGGTAGGTCGCCAAGTCCTGTTTGAAGGAGACATCATTTCCCTTTCACAGCTTCAATGAAGTTTGACGGATATCGGTGTGGTTCAATGCTACGATGGCGTTTTTGACCTCCGTGTTCATCTTTTCTCGCCGGTCTGAGGTACTGTGACTGCAGCGAGTACAACAGCTGTTGATGGCATCATTGGCATGTGGCCGGTCCTTGGCCTTCAATGCGAATATTGACGAGCTTGTGGGTCCCTTTTGATGAACATCAGCCTGCTAATTTGATCACCGCATTAAGGGGGGAGTCACAAAGCGGCTTCGCTGCTTGTTGGATGGTCCATTGATAGTTTTCCTCCCTTCGACGTCAACAACTAACGGTGCACCTTCATCGGAGCCGTGGTCATCGAGTTATTTGCCGCTGTAGGCGTAGTCCTAATCGTGCCATACCGATTGACTGCGTCTATGTCCAAGCCTTTCAATCCTGCATTCAAAGTCAACAACCTGTTCGGTTCAATCTAGTGCACTTGCTCAAGTCCCCATATAGATTAGAGTGTGTGTCGTTCGGAAGGGGCACTCAAGAAATATGCCAGTAGCATTCTCTTTCATTTCTTTTGGTCATTTACTACTCTCCCCGTAGCATCTCTGATGCTCTAGATGGGATCGCGACGCTAACATCCATTTTTGGATGGTGGCTAAAGGATGTCGGAACTGCTTCCGATTGCCTGTGGGTCCTTGGTTGTACAGGGTACTCGTGTGTGCATTATGTCAATCCATGCTTCGGACTGCCGGTGCAGCTTCGATAGACGCTGGTAGATGCTGGTACCCACATGTCTCGTTCACATCCTGATCTTGGCGTTACCTCACGTTGAAGAAAGGTCAGAAAGAATGGCGATGATGCTTCCGAGGCCGCAAAGCGATATGAAGTTGGCTCATCACATTATCGTGCATTGAGCGGAGACATGAAGTTCCTATAATCTGCGGGAGAGTTTACATGTACGGCACATGCATGCAGGTGGTGGAATTGGCGTAGCATTATCCCGATTGCAAGCTCGATTACAAGCTCGTAGTACCTTCGTCGCGGGCCATCACACATTGCTAATGTTATCCACATAGTCAGCGCCTCTCCACTGTGCATTTCCGCTTTGCTAATCATGCCTCATTATGCTTGAGCAATGAAAGGTACTGGATCAGTCTTTCAGTGTCTCACGTCACCCGTTCTCCACCAATTCACAATCTCCAGCGACACTGCAGTTCAGAACAGTAAAGCCAGGATGTGCCACAGGATGTTTTCCAAATGGCAAACGCGCCATAGGCGCCATATGCATGCAAGTCGGAAGTCGTGCTCTCATTCTTGCAAAAACCGAAAGACATCTGGCTACTCCTGCATGCGACGTCAAATCATGTTTCCTCCCTTTGCTCAACAAAAAGGTCAGAGCTGTCTAAAATAAACGTCCCAGTTCTGGTGTCCGCCAAAGGATATTCACTCACATTGTTCAGGCATACGTTGCAACTGAATTCCTAATTCGAATTCCGTGTTCTGATTGTCGAACCTGTATCTACCCCAACTCTATGAGCAATCGACCTATGACTTACCACAATTGATCAGTGTCTCTCCTGATCTCGAAAATCATGCATGCAAAGTGTCTGTAATCGGGTGTTCCAATATATTGTTCTAGCTCTGACTTTGACGCCAAATCAAGTGCGCATTCATGATATTAGAAGAGTTTAGAGATGGTGTATAATCGTCTTTAGTGTAGGTTCTAGAGCTAGGTGGAGCTCCGGAGCACCGCGTGAATCTGCCTTTTGCTCATGGGTTTACGTGAAGATGGCTAGTTGGTATGGTGCTGTATGGCTGGCGCGGCAGTGCAGTTATACATTGCGGAGAAGCTTTCGAACGGAATAGCAGATGCGGCTCGTCGATGTTCTTCGTTTGCGTGCGTGTGAAATTGCTATATGCCGTAGTAGTCTTAGAAATTGGGGAAACTGCTCATGAGAACCGGAGTTGCTGGAAATGAGGAGAGGACGAAAAGCAATTGGGTGCTTGAGTATGACTGCTAGAGGTAGAGTTTGCAACACAGTGACGGACAAGTCGACGCGCCGGGATCACAATAATGCTAGAGAAATTCACAAGCAAAGGCTTTATGCCTGAACAGGATCCGTCAATGGTATTTAGTTTTCAACATTTTGATATCGATAGCTTCCTAGCTTCAAAGTTTGGCGCTTTGAAGAGCGAGGTCACACGAACCAGGTGAACGCAGTATTGTTGGTACCATCCGATCAAAAACGTTCGTTGCCTAGACCATCGTATCCTTTGCTGTGAAGAGAAGAAACAAGAGGATAGACAGAATTGTGTAACGTGGGTACAGGCCAATCGGTCTCCGACTACACAGTCGCAATATCCTCACTAACGCCATGCCAATCGCAAATCCCTCGGTAACGCCTTGTCAGTAACACTTTCTTCGATGAGCCGGTCTTTTGGTGGTTTCTTCATTACATGGGCAGACTTGGGATAATTATCTTTAAATTTCCTTCATCGTCTGTAGTGCCTCGGCTCCTCGTTGGAATTACACCGGTGTTTTTGTTGTCCTACTTCGGTACATGCTCAGATCGCGAGCCTCTCAACGGCGTCCCTTATGCTCTTAATCTGTCCTGCCAAATCACTCGCCTCGTTCGTCGTGATGCTTGCCGCGATGACCGGTCGGCTGACGCCGCAGGCGCGTCCAAGCGCAGCCTTGCTCTTGACGTACACGAATGGTACGTTCTTATCTTCGCACAGGAGGGGAAGGTGAAGAAGGATAGCGAGAGGGGAGGTGTCGGCTGCGAGGACGATGAGCTCGGCAATACCACGGTTCAGAGCTTTCGTAGCTGCGATGGTATTAGAGACGAATGTGTCTTGCGGTAGGAACGACCTTACCTTCATTGGCGCCCTTGCGCATTTGCTTGTAATGGCTTGCTTGCTGCACCAGATCGAGGAGCTGCTGCGACAGAGCTTCGTCGGCAATGGGCCAGGCTGCTGATTCGGACATCTTGAAGGCAGGTTTCGAATTGTTCGTAAGTGTAAATAGGCGTTGTTGGCGGTTTGGTATTTTAGAAGAATTCTGTGGTTAGGGCAGAATTTTTTTGAGATTGAGAGAGCAAGATCTTGGCGAAGCGATTACATAAGTGCAGCTACCCGCAGCTTACAGCTCACGTGATATGTGCATAACGCTAATCCTGGTATCATGTGATTGGTCTAGCTGCAAAAGCGACTCGGTACAGAATATAGAACCAAAACCTGAGATTCGATACGATTGAATTAAGGTTGTATTGTTGTTTAGGGTAGTATGAATAGCCCTATTCTGGGACACGGTGATGCTGCTTTCCTTGCGTGGTTTATACAAAATCCTAGAATCCGAAAGAAATTGTTTAGATGATGCTGGTGCTTGCATCACCCATTCAATCTCCAATGTAACTTACGCGCTGCTTCAGGTCCCATGGCCACTTCTCGAGAGACTGTGCTTCTCCTCTTCGCAAATTTCTGAACACTGTCTTCAGACCAGTTGTCATCATCAATCGCATCGCCACCACCAATGGTTTCTGAGCGGCGGACATGATGATTTCCCTTACTGCCGCCATTGCCGCCATTTGCCCTACTGCTCTCACTTGACGCGTCTTGTCCCTCATCTTGGGATCCTAAGGACACCGTATCATACCCGTTATCCTCAAATGTTCGATCGACGCTTCCAGATGCAGCGACTTGGGGGAATGGTACGTCGTGGGGGAGGGTCCAACTGTGCTGTGGTGCGAGCCGTGTATTGCCATCGATCTTGCCAACTAGTGTAGATCCCTGGTCAACCGAGCTTTGATCTATCGTTGTTGGTGAGATCTGATGTATCTCAGGCACTACGCAGTCGCTTCGCGGTTCACTGGGAAGATCGTGGCTGGTCTCTTGACTCTCAGTCTCAACGATAGAATTGCAGGGTCTGTCAACACGTTTGGTTGTCGTATTCGCAATTTTTTTCATATAATGGGAGAAAAAGTCTCTCTTTGGTGATGCTTGAGAGACACGGGGCTTTCCATCTCGCTCGTGATCAAGGGATCGGTCCTTCGACCTGGGGGCTCGAAGGGCGCGAATGGCGTGTAGGCGTTGAGCGAAGCGACCACCAAGGCCTCGCCTTTTACAGTTTGAACTGACTGCAAAGTGGTCTTGTCTCGTAAGTTCGGGGGATGCAGTTGTATGTACTAGCCTTCTTCGTAGTCTGGGCCGCTTGGATGAGGATATTCCTGATTCATGATCCAGCGGCGAACTATCACCCCAGTGGTATTCCCAGGGGTGACGTTCTTTCCGCACATCACATGAAAGCCTTGATAAAATAGGATCATGTTGAGTCTCTTCACCTCTGGTCTCTGTTCCGAGTGAGCTGGGTTCGATGCTGGACATTTGCAGACCGCTTTGACCCTGGTTTGTGGTACCCTCCAGTGCAAGACTTGCCTTTCTACCGCGGCGCTGACGGCTGACATGTTCAGCAAGCCTGGTTTCAAGGGATGGTCCCGTATATAGATCTGGCCAAGGTGGAGTTTCTGAAGTATCACGAGGATGATGGCCTGAGGCTGGAGCAAACTGATAATGGGAATGAAGCCGCAGGGAACTTATCAGGACTGGCTCCGTTTTTTGTTCGTATATCGGAAGACTAACGGCACTGGAGGCTGGCGAAATTGTATAGCAACATGCGAGGAGGCGTAAGGTATGTAGATAAAGGAATTCGTCTGACGATGTTGCAGTATTTGTCACGAAATCGCCGGCCAAGAGAGATCTAGATGATCTGACAATCGCAGAGGGTGTTCGCTATGATCTGTGAGCCTATATTGTGTATCATACCGAATCCCACCAACAGTAGGCGATCGTCCCCGGTCAAGCCGATGTCCTCCATGAATCCCCTCGAACCAATTTGTGATCTCATCCAAGGCCACCCTATGGTTCTGCTCCGAGCTGCAATCTTCCTTGCTGCAGTAGAATTTGTAGTAGTCAATGGATCCGGGTGGCCTGTCCTGCATCTCCTCTAGATCGAACAGGCCCAGGCTATTAGATTCGTGCCGATAAACAGTCCGTCCGTTAGGCGAGTCGATTCCATCGTCAAGATCTAGTTTGAGGCAGGTCTCGTCGGTGTTTGTTGACATAACGGTCGGCCGGATAATTGCCGACCGTTGCAGTTGATATAGAAACGGGCACTGGGATGTGCAGTTGAGGATAGAGGAGCTAGAATGGAGCCGAAGAGAGTGTAGGTCATGACTCTAGAACATTTTCGCTGGTATGAGATCCATAAGTTGGTTGCATGTGTGCAGTACCTTCCTAGAAGGACCAGTTCGTCGAAAAGGAAATTGCAAACAGACAAACACCGAGGTGTCACGACATCTGTTGGTAATTCACCGACAAAAGACGTGCCTGGAGAGTGATCTGCGAAATAAAGCTCCAGAGGTAGCATAGCCTGCACAAGCAAGTATTCGCTCATCAATGAGCATCACCCATGACTGTGGTAGTTGAAGAATCGGTCACAACATCTCCGGAAGTTCGAGAAGAGGGCTTCACAGGACCGGAAGCTTGTTGTGCAGAGAGCCGCGAACCTTGAGGATTGTCCAGGATAACGAGCCTGGTTTTTTCGCCTCTTTTTGCCTTTGCCTCATTAAGTCTTGTTAAAAAGTTTGAGGGAGCCTTTGGCTTTCCAGGTGAAGGCGAAGATGTCACTGATGGCTCATTGTGCTGCACCTCTCCCTTGTCTTGTGGCCTTTCCAGCAACTCATCTCGTGGCTGCAGTCTTGCCGCTTTTGCCATCAGTTTGGCCGACCCAATGCCTACTAAGTCAACGGACGGTAAGGATCGAAGAGGGCCCTCACTGGGTAGCCCATTATCGTTCGGCCTTGCAAAGAATAAATCTGTTCCTATTGTAGACGCCCAGTGACAGCTCAGCAATTGGCCATTGTACATCATTAGCGGGGTTTGGGTATGTATGTCTGTGATCTGTATTTCCCCAACGGGATCAATACTTGAAGGTTCCGTGGGATGTTCTGGGGTGCTTCCATCGCCAGTATGAGTATTTGATACTCGGAGTCGATTTCCAAGAGATTGTGGGTTCCCTACAGGCGCATGCTGCGCCATGTTTTTCGCACCTGTGTTGCTGTGGATGTTGGAAAGGTCTAACGTTACATAAAAGTCCTCAGTATCTTCAGCATCATACTCGTACTCCCATTCATCTTCTTGTTCGACAGACATAGTCTCGGTGGTGGTGGTGAAAGTGAAATGGAAGCTGTGATGATTTGATGTAGTGTGGCATGGCATATGGAAAGTTGAAGCATTTTGTCTATTTTGGGTGGGGCCTTGCAGCCTTGGCTTCTCGGGACCTAAACCTCCATGATGTAGTACCGGAAATCGACCACCCGATATCTAACTATTAGTGGTAATCAAAGAACAATTCAAAAGTCGCTACCAAGCGGAGGAAAAGCTCTGCCCAGGCGCTCGGTAGGCGATAGCGATGTGGACATTGGAGCTGACTTGACTTGACAATCAACTAAGATTTTCTGGTTGTGAAGTGATAACAATCTGTAGGACTATCATACAAAACCAGCAAGTACCTATGAGTATTGTATGTACACAGTACTTACTGGTAACGGTAGTTCACAGTCGGGCATTTTCTGGAATAGGTCTAGCGGGACCGGGACCGGCTTTTGATGCTTCTCGCGCATCATCATCCCAGTACGACCTGCAGATCGAATTGTGTGACGACTGACAAGTCGCGAAACGTCTTTCAACTTCCAAGTATCTACCATTCATCAACACTGCAATCAAGTCATCAATCAATCTTCAAATCACCGATAGACTCCTGTTCCAACCCTACCTAAGTACTAGTGTAGCAGACGGTCTGTGTCGCGTTATCGATACCGACAGCTCTGCGGGGGTTACCAGCGCTACCGTGCCCTGTTCGCTCGGTGTTCTCCATCTGCTCTCTCAATTGTTCGACCAGCTCAACCCTCATCCCATCATCTTTGACAACCAGCTTCTGGTGAGCTCGATGCTTATAAGCTGCAATATAGGACTGTAAAGTGGGTCGTGGAGGAGCCAGAAAGTGTGCTGTAATCAACAGTGAGTCAACTTCCGCCTACCTCCGGCTCACCTTCAACCCAAATCATCATGCATTCTCTCCGCCCTTTCCGCCGCTGCTTCCAATGCTGGAGCTGCCGTCTTATCCTTTCCTCGACCTGGACGTTCCGCGAGGTTCCAGGGGCATTCCCCAAAGAATCTCTTAGGCCCTGCTTCTGAGCTACCGTACCAAAGTCTCCGCCGATATTGCAATCAGACCTGGGTTGCGGCGTCATTGGATTTGCACAATTTCGCTCCATGATGGGATTTGTCTCCGGACATGCGGGTTTACCAGCAGACTTTTGTCAGCTCCCGTCCCTTTCCGGAATATCTTGTCCCAACTCGTTGTATTCTTCGACGTCTTCCGCTCATCATTAGTCACAAGCTAACCTGCCAGTGACAGTGTCTATTGTGCCTTACCCGCAATATGGAGGTGGCCAGGTGCCTCTCGCAGGGTTCCTGCCTTCGATATATTCTTCTCCTGCCTCTGCGATCCTACCTACACCCACTCCGATATATACCCAAGTACCCTCCAGTGCGCCGGTCGCTACACCCACCTCCACCTTCGTGGTAGACATTCATAACAAGCATATCTCATATGACCCGATTCCTACACCGTCGCTCGTTTCCGTTGACCGGCCACCGGACGTTCAGGACGCACAAATGAAGGGCAGGAAACCTGCTATTGCCGCAGCTGGAACATTCTTCGGCTTATTCAGCTACTCCCAATTATACCAGAACTTCTTGTTTTCAAGAATAACACCATCATCAGAAAGAGCGGACGAACAAGAATGGGTAGCATCGTCAAATTCTTGGGTTGACAGGAAAGTCTGCACGTGGTTCGGATTCTGCGGACTCTCACATCTTGACGAATCGAGATGGTCGAATTGGGGGAAAGAAACAACGGATGCAAAGTCCCGGACAAGCGACTATGATGACCAGCACAAGATAGACCTCAGCGAATTCTGGAATTCTGCCCATAATGCTCGACCTGAGGATTGGTCTGATGACGAACATGTCCTTCGTGAGATTCCCAAATACGTCACGGACCATGCACCATATATCTATCTTTACTCCGGAGAACAATTCTGGCCGTGCGACATTGCAGAGCATCTCATTCACACAACACCCCATCTCAACTATACCCCCTTACAAGCCTCGTCTGATCATCCAAATCTGACCAATCTAAATGACTTGAATAAATGGGGCCGATTTGTCTACCTACAGTCCGATGATAATGTTGAGGATCGCCCGGATTGGCTGGGAGGTGAAACGAACATCCCAAGTGCGCCCAAAGGAACAGACCATCTGCCAGGGACCAGCGGTGACCCGGCATCTCCAGATAATGATTACTTGGAAGACGTAGCAGGAGAGCATGCTGAGTGGTGGAATGCTGGTATCGGGGATACTAAAGACAAAGGAGGTGTGCGATCGAACACTGCTCTCACCACTGCTACTGGTCCTGCACCAACAGAACCTCCTCGAAAATCGAAGCCTAGTATTCATGACGAAATTTGGCAGCCAGAGCTCTTGCGCCGTCGCACAGGGCGGAAGGTAGTTGGCGGGCGCAGTGATGCTCCCGCTACACTTATCGTTGTAGAGAAAGGGGATGGTGTTGTCGATGCATTCTGGTTCTTCTTCTACAGCTACAACTTGGGTAACACGGTGTTCAATGTCAGATTCGGCAATCATGTAGGCGACTGGGAACATACTGTGGTTCGTTTCCACAATGGCATCCCGAAAGCAGTCTTCTTCAGCGAGCACAACTTTGGAGAGGCTTACACTTGGGACGCAATAGAGAAGATCGGGAAACGAGTACGTATTGTCATCTTTGATGGAAGGATAGGCTTGCTAACACCACTCCAGCCCGTTGGATTTTCTGCTACTGGAACGCATGCCATGTATGCAACAGCTGGTGTGCATCCATATGTGCTCCCCGGCGGTATCCTTCACGATGTGACCGATCGGGGGCCTCTCTGGGATCCAACCTTGAATATGTATGCCTATACATACGACTATCAGGCAGACCGTCTCCGTAGCTCCAGCCTGACCCCTCAAGCGCCAGTGGAGTGGTTCTACTTCCAGGGCCGCTGGGGGGACAAATTCTATCCACTTAGCGATCCACGACAGTACAGATTTGTCGGACAGTACCACTACGTTACAGGGCCATTAGGTCCTAGATTCAAGAATCTGGGCAGAAAACAGATTTGCCAGGGCAACAATGAATGCTTGCTCAAGAAGAACAGGGTTTCGTCGAGGATAGATCGCATCAAACGATTCCCATCGCTAGGCGAGGGCGAGGAGATGACTGAGGAAGACAGGCTTCGTTTCGTTGGTCCGGAATAAATGGGCTTTCACTATTGACCGAAATGTTGCTTGGTCGTCCTGATGGTCATGCGCTTGAGGGGAACACGACTGACGATTCCAAGCGAATATCATGGTGTTGATCGAGAGCACCCACACAAACATTCATTACGCGCGTGATACGAAAGATGATGGCGTTCATATGGATTTGCTGCATTGGAAGACGCATATTATTCTTGCGCACGGTATTCCACGGACCAGGGGGGCGACGAGAGGGCAGTCTTTGTACTTGTATATATCCATTGACGTTTGCGCACCAAGATTGAAAGCGTTCGAGATACCAAGACTCATGGTGAATTAAAAATGCCTTTACCTACCGCTCGTATTCGGCGTGCCTGTCCACTTGCAGTGCCTAGAAGGCCACTTTTCTGGCCTGCGATTGATCGCTCATAATCAACTCGAGCCATTATTCGCCGGCAACACACGGCGTGGCATCACCGCCAAACAACTCCTGCGAGAAGTTCTCACGTTCATCCCAAAATACGATCTACTGGAAAAGGAAACATTCGTGAAAGGAACCTGACCACCACAGTTCCCCTAAAAAAAAGACTCCACAAAATGCGGCGTGCCGCTAAGATGCCGCAGAGTAAGGCGAGCCTACAACGCTACCTTTGTCACCCACAACCAAGGCTACTCGTAAGTCCGCACTCCCTACGCTAGGGTAGGTCGGTGGGTGGGATGTTATCAGCCTGTAATTGCGCAGTAATCGACAGAGATGGCGCCGGGCTGGGCGTTGTGCCGCCACGTATGAGAGAGGAAGGGGGAGGAGGATCACCATCATTGATCTATTTCTTTTGAGGAGGGGGGGCGGGACGAGGCGGAGGGACCGGGAAGGAAAGGAAGGAGAGGAAGGATTAACGTTTGGAAGAAAACGAGGAATTGATTAATTAATTTTTTTTGTCTACCCGGTTTCGCGAGACGAGACAAGGTTGGAGGAGTCTTCGCTGTCGTGCATTCTCATCATCGGCGGGACGGATTGCGAGATGCCCGACTAGGAAAGTACGAGGGGAGGGATCGTGGGCATGGGAGGAAGGTGTCGGAGGGTTGATTGGGCTTTGCTTTGCTTTGCTTTGCACGCTAGTATGACTATGAGGTGCTCGTATGAGCAAGATGAGATCCTGTAGAAGAGGCGGTATCGGACATTGAGTGAGTGGATGGTGTGCAGACATGGGGTTCTATATCTAAGGCTGAATCTATATTCTTTGTACGACGTGAGCTTTGAAGCACCAGGGGAAGGTGTGTGAGATGATGATGTTGATGATGATGATCCCTTGTTGGACCTGGTTTCTTAGACAGAGCAACAAGCAAGGTGGCTAAATTTGTCGTCTGACCTCCCTTGTTCCGCTACGGGCTTCGACTATGAGCGCGACAGCATCCACTACGAGTTATGTATCTAAGCCTTGGTTTGACAGGACGGGATTCTTGCTTTGCTTGCATGCTTGCTTTCGTACCGAAGGATGAAGTGTACCTAATAATCTACGGAGTACGGAGTCACGCAGTATCTATCTATCTCTTATCCCCCTCAGCCTTATCTGACCATTAGTTACTACAGTACATTGCATATGTGCTAGTTAAGGTAGGTAGGTAGTGGGTGTTATGCAATGCTGTGTATCCCAACAGACCTGCAGTCCACCGCCTGTTGAGCAACATCAGCCCTCCTCCTGCGTATAGATACGTATGCAGCTGGACGACCACATCTGGAACAAGAAGGATTCCTCGCCCTCCTCCTCTATCTTAGACGAACTTTGAGTCATTATTGAATAATTTTTTCTTCCACGCATTCCGTTGTTCGCCGTTACGATCACCTAAACTCTCGCGCAACCTTCCGTGCCGCCTCTCCTCTGTGGAAGAAGCTCTTGTGACCTGACCCCCGTCCCCTCTCTCCTTTTGGGTTAGCGCGCCCGTACCAGTGACCGCATCGACATCAACTACCCACGACTACGATTGTCCACGACTCCTCGCCCGCTCACCTTCTCATCCCATCAGCCATCGTAACATTTTATCCACGGCCTCACGGTTTTCTCAAGGAGTGGGCTTAGGTTCAGTACTTTCATACGAAATAGATGCTCTACCACAAACCATGAACAACCTCTATCGATAAGCCAACCCGCCGGGTCCTCCCTTTTCCCCAGATCTCAGTATACGCGCCTTATCGATCGCGTTCGAGCTTCCTTGGTCCCCGCTCCTTTGGAAGCATATCTCCCTTCCCAAACACCTTTTTCTAACAACCGCCCCACGCCCATTGGGATTCCACACATTCAGGCCGGAAATCCTCCATCATGGCTTTTCGACAACATCATCGACCACAACCTTCACGCCAGCTATCTATACCTACACCTGAAACCCCTGCCGAAGTCGGCGCCGCCTCTTCTCCCCAGAGGAAGCGTACCTTGGAAGAATCACAAGAATGGGTTCTTTTCTCCCCTGGATCGGTGACTGCACGCACGCATACCACGTCCACGGAAAGGACCCCTCGCACAGCTGGCCTGTCGCGGTTCAGTGACTTTGGCTCCCTTGACACTGCTGCACGATCCGAACAAGATGAGGACGATATAACTTGTCAGGGAACCGAAGAAGGGGAAGACTTGGACAGTCTGGATGATGGGCTACATGCGTTCCACGAACCCTCGGAACATGGAGAGCCCTCCAGCGGACTACAACAGAGTGGTGACACCGTCCTTCCTACACATGACGGGCTCGGAACCTTTCAGCCGGATGCGAATATGCAAGACCATTTATGGCAATTCGAAAGGCCGTCGCCACGGAGAAGGCACATGCGTCGACGATCAAGTGTCCAGCGACGTCTCGATGCACTAGAAGAAGCAGACGAGCTGCACCAGGAACAAGATCGACGACAGCGGATCGAGAAATGGCGGTTGGAGCAAAGTAAAGCACTTCTAGAAGAAATTGAGAGAGAAACAAGACGACGACGGAGGATGAGTGTTGTGAGTGCAGCACGTAGTCGCGCAGAGAGTGCCCGTCATGAGACCGACGAATCTGCATCTCGCGTCGCCCCATCAGTCTCCGACGGCCAGAGCATATCTTCCGATGAGACTACCGAGAACCTGTCATTCTGGCAACGACTGACTAGGAGAGTAATCCGCGACCTGATCGGCCTTGATGAAGACACTTTGTCCGTCATCTTTGGAGAGACATTGCCTGAAGAAACAGCAACCACCCCCTTACAGGAATCCAGCATGCGGCCTGTGTCGTCTGTATCCCTCCACGCTGACGAACAAGAACTCGCTGGTGAGCCATGGGAGCAAAGACTTCTAGAGCGAGTGGCTCGTGAGCTCGGTATATTAGTATCTCAACTCTCGGAACACCCAGGAGCATTTTCTACCTACCGTCTTGCTCAACAAGCCCCTGAGTACGCAGGACTCACCCCTACAGCATTTACATCATCGATCAGCACCGACATTCCCACCACACACGACACCCAGACATCTACAAACTCAGCTGCCGTACCTCATTTTGCCCCCACCTTCCCCCAGCAATCTGCAAACACGTATAGCGAAGCCTCCCTCTGGGGAATTGACGAAGAACCAGAGGTTGATCCATTAGATTCCTTACGTGCCCCGCCTGCTGCGACGGCGAATGCAACGGAAGATCTGGCGCGCGAACGGGAGTACTGGGAGCGCGAGCTTGATGTGAAAATGGTTTTCAATTTCCTCGTCAAGCGGTTCTCTCGCCGCTCAAGCATGTCTTCACGGCCGATCACAGGTCCCTCGCCGAGCCATACTTCGATAATGGCAGGAGCGGATAGTGAGGCCATTTCCGCGCGGCGGGCCGCCATCATTCGGCAACACCACCCTTTAGTAAACCGGACAGCTGATCGCTTACCGACTTCTTCAACAACGCGCGAGATTCGGCGGAAAGACACACTCTACCGTCAGCACCTGACCCAACAAGCGTCGGTTCGCAGCCAAGCCATCAGAAGCAGCTCGTCTTGTGCAAGCCACAGCACGAAGAAAAGCAAACGAAGTGCTGGCAGTGGACGGAACTACTGGGATATGAGCGGCAGCGTCGGTAGCGGAAGCGTCATCGCCGGCGAGGTATAAAGACGAAGACGATTTGCATAATTCATGATAGATGTAGCGACAATGTCCTCTCAACATTTTTACTTGTATGTGCGCCCCAAAGAGCGGATGGAGCCTGGAGCTACTCGACGCCGTCCCCTTCGAAAGCATAGAAGAGGATGCACGCCATCCACTTACTTCTCACACCATCCTCGACAATTTGGAGACGACACTTTCATCAAAGATTTCTTCTACAGCGGGAATCATCCCGCCAGCCAGCGAAGGGCTCTATTCTTTCTTTTTTACACGGCTATCATTTTTCTTTTCTTCTTCGGGCGCGGGGAGCATCGCGATTGGGGATTCTTCTCTTTCATGAATTTTCGACGACATCATGGGCATTTTGACGTTCAGCTACAATTTCTCCACTGCTCAATGATCACTCTTGGAGTTGTGTTGGTCAGGACTCAACATCATCATACACGAACTTGAAGGGGTTGGATCGGATATATCTTCCACTCTGTACTACCAATAATGCACAATATAATCTACAATCATATTGTCTCACTTATCTTCAGTTGCTAGCGGTCTTGTGAATTCATCTTGAGCGGTTGTTCCCAAAATTCTGTATTCTTAGTTCGTTCTAGCGAGTGAGTTGATCTAATCTTCTCAGCGTCTTGAATTGGAAAACATCACCCTGTCACTGTTCTTTTATTCCAATTCATACAAGCTAATTCGTCAGCATATTCTCTCCTACGCCGTCATATTGAGCCCCAAAGAGATGAAATATCTGCCTGAGCTCACGAGTGCTTTGAATGGAAGTTCTATAGGGAGCATCATATCACGTGACAAGAATCAAGACACAACAAGCTGCGATTGGTTAGAAACTGCGGATTAACAGATTCTCCGGGGAAGCTCGAAGCCTAGTGGATCTGAAGCACCTGGCCAAAGGCTTTGACATCTCTTCTTCACTAGCCGCCTCTCTGGAATATAAAATAAATAAATAATCATCTTGGATCTGGCCTGTGGGATATCAGGCCCCTCATAGAGCGTTGTCAGCCATCTGGTGGTGAAGTTTCCAGCCGTCACCAGGTCCATCATAGAAACTTCTTCCCAGGGAATTGCGCAAAGAGCAAGGAAAATCCAAACCGCCACCATGGCACCACCCAAGGATCGAAATGCAGAGAACCTCGCAGACCTGAGGCTGCGGTCGCGACAAGCCTACCTGGCGAAGCGCGAGCAAGAGCAATTGGCGCTGCTGGAGAGGCAGGTCGCCGACGAGGCGCAGGAGCTCCGGACGAACTCCAAGCTCAGCGACGCGGAGAGGCGGGAGTTTGCGAAGAACCGCGAGACGCTGAAGCTTGCGAGGGAGAGGCTGGCCATCGATGACCACACGACGGGGTACCTGGTGCCTGATGTGGATCTCAGCGACAAGACGGAGATTTTGAATAGGCGGAGCAATGAGGAGTATAAGAGCGAGGTGCAGCAGTGGGAGGACGAGCAGACGGCGAAGGTGAAGACGCAGATCTCTAGGGGCGGCGCGAAGGTGCAGCAGGATGATTATGAGTTTGTGTTTGATGAGAGTGCGGCGCCGCAGTTCGTGATGGATGCGGCGAGCAGGCTTGATCCTGAGAAGGCGAAGCTGGAGCAGATGCTGAATGCTGCGGAGAAGAAGGCGCAGTCGATCGAGGAGACGAGGAAGAGTCTTCCGATCTGGGCGTACCGGGAGGAGCTCATGAGCGCCATCCAGGACCACCAGGTCTTGATCGTCTCCGCGGAGACTGGTAGTGGAAAGTCGACACAGATTGTCCAGTTCTGTAGGGATTTCGGCCTGACGAAGAATGGGATGAAGGTTGGCTGCACACAACCCAGGCGTGTCGCGGCTATGAGTGTTGCGACTCGTGTGGCAGAAGAGGTGGGATGCCGAGTGGGCGAGGAGGTGGGCTACAGCATTCGATTCGAGCAAAAGACGTCCGACAAGACCGTCATCAAATTTTTGACGGACGGAATGTTACTACGAGAAACATTGACAGAACCCGATCTTGCTAGCTACTCGGTCATCATCCTCGACGAAGCCCACGAACGTAGCGTTTCCACGGATCTGCTGATGGGCCTACTCAAGGACCTGCTTCGCCTTCGGACAGACCTAAAAATCATCATCTCTAGTGCTACTGCCGACAGTATCAAGTTCTCAAAATTCTTCAGCGACGCCCCCGTTTTCAACATCCCCGGACGACGATTCTCAGTCGACATCCACTACACGCCTCAACCGGAAGCAAACTACCTACAATCAAGCGTCTCTGTCGTTATGCAAATCCACATTTCACAGCCTTTGGCAGTCCCCGATGGCCCACTTTCCGGCGACATCCTTGTGTTCCTTACTGGTCAGGATGAGATCGAAATGGCGGAGCAGTATCTACAGGAAACAACACGAAAGCTTGGAGGTCGGATACCGGAGCTCACAATATGTCCCATTTACGCCAACTTGCCGTCTGACCTGCAGGCCAAGATCTTCGAACCAGCTGCACGCGGAGCGCGCAAGGTCATCCTGGCCACCAACATTGCCGAGACATCCCTGACAGTGGACGGTGTTACCTACGTCGTGGACACAGGCTTCGAAAAGCAGAATGTGTACAGCGCGAAGACGAGAACCGAATCACTCGTCGTCGTGCCATGCTCCCGAGCATCAAGTAACCAACGTGCCGGCCGTGCCGGACGAACAGGCCCTGGAAAATGTTTCCGACTCTTCACCAAATACGCCTTCCACTCCGAAATGGAAGCGTCAACGACCCCAGAAATCCAGCGGATGAACCTCACCTCCGTGGTCCTCATGCTCAAATCGCTCGGCATCAACGACCTCGTCAACTTCGACTTCATGGACCCACCATCTCCAGACGTCCTCATGTCCGCGCTGGAGCAGCTCTACGGCCTCGGCGCGATATCCGACCAAGGCGGCGTCACGAAGATCGGGCGACAAATGAGCGAATTCCCCACGGACCCCTTCCTCGCCAAATCCCTCATCGCGTCCGACAAATACGGCTGCGTGGAAGAAGTCCTCTCCATCGTCGCCATGCTCTCCGAATCCGGCTCCCTCTTCTTCCGCCCCAAGGACAAGAAACTCCTCGCGGACGCCGCGCGCGCGCGCTTCAACAACAAAGACGGCGGCGACATGCTGTCGCTGCTCGCGATCTGGAACCAGTGGGTGGACGCGGACTTCGACCCGCGGTGGGCGCGCGAGAACTTCCTGCAGGAGCGCACGCTCAAGCGCGTCCGCGACGTCCGCGAGCAGCTCGAGAAGCTGTGCGAGCGCGTCGGCATCCAGATCTCGTCCGCCGGCGCCGCGGACCACGTCGCTATCCGGAAGGCGCTCACAGCGGGGTTCTTCATGAATTGCTGCCGCATCTCCCGTGACGGATTGGCCTACCGCACCGTCGCGAACGGGATGTCCGTGTATATTCATCCTTCGAGCTACCTCATCGAGACGAGGCCGAAGTGGGTCGTCTACTATGAGCTTGTGCTCACGAGCAAGGAGTATATGAGGGGCAATATGCCGATCGACCCCGAGTGGCTGATCGAGGTCGCGCCGCATTATCACAAGAGGGATCAGCTGGATAAGTTGGGCATGGATAAGAAGATGGGGAAGCAGGGGCAGGGCAAGGTCGGCGTGTAGATTGGACTGTTCCGACTGTCTAGGCGTGAATGAGCGACGAGAATGTATTACTGTATTGTTTAGGCGGCATGGCACGGTAATCAAGGGCGGACGAGGAGAAGATCTCGCAAATCTTACAGTTTGGTGAATATCTATGTACTGTACCAAGGCGCCGTCAGCAGATTGACCAACTGAATGAAGGGTGGGCGGAAGGAGTAGTTAAGATGACAGATACCCCCAAGCATAAATCACGGCGCATTGGATTCAAAAAGAGGAAAAAGGAGACCTGAATAGATCATCGTTCATTCTGCATTCAATCATCGTCTCTAGTTATCCACCCCTTGCTAAGTCAAACGACAAGAAATAAATGCGATTCTAGCAAAATAAAACGAGAAATAAAGGGAAGGGGCAAACCCCCGAATCAAAGATAATGCCGCTCGCTGGATACTGCCAAATGAATAGATTGATTGTTGCCGAAAACGCACCATCTCCAAGCCCCTCCGCGCCTCTAATGGCTGATATACTGAAACACAGCGCTGACCTCGTGCAGCCCCTCCGCCGTCTCCTGCCTCAGCAGCAGATCCTGGATCTTGCCCAGCGGGCCCTTCTCCCCGTCGTTGACGAAGTGGTTCCACGTGCTCGTGTCGCCGTACAGCATGGCGGGCGCCTTGATGACCTGCCTGCCGTCCTCCTTCCTGCACCGCTTGCACTTGAAGGTGTCGTGGCTGTCGGACGTCGTGTTGTCGCGGTACTGGAAGAGCTCGCGCAGTGAGTCGAGCGAGAAGTGGCGCTCGACGTCCTCGGCGGAGTCGACGACGCACGAGGAGAGGGATTGCTTGTGCGATTGACGTTGGAAGATCTTCTCTTCGATCGTGCCCGTCGCGATGAACCGGTACACGAAACAGTCTTTCTTCTGGCCGTCACGCCAGACTCGAGCGAGGGCTTGCTGGTCGGCGGCTGGGTTCCAGTCCGGGTCGAAGAGCACGAGTCGGTTCGCGCCGATCAGGTTCAAGCCGCAGCCGCCTGCTTTGGAGGAGAGTAGGAAGACGAATTCGGAGCCCTCTGGGTCGTTGAATTTGTCGACGAGCTTTTGTCGCTTGTTTACGTTCATCGTGCCGTCGAGTCGCAGGCAACCGTATCCGCGTGACCGACAGAGATTGCCGAAGATGTCGAGGGTTTGTGTGTAATTGGAGATGAGCACGATCTTGTCGTTCGTCTCGGCGCGAATGCGAGCTAGCATTCGATCTAGGACCTGCATCTTGCCGGAATACCAGGCCTTGACGTCGCGGTCGCGACCACGTGCATCCTTGGGAACATAGTCTTCGGGGAGGAAATCTTCACAGCCGGGCAAGTCCGAGGGTAGATCGAGCAGATCCGGGTGGTTACAAAGTTTCTTGAGCATGCCGATGGCCTTGAGAGGCTGCGAACCTTTGCCGCGCAGAAGACTTTTGATATCGGGAGACTGGATGAAATGATTATATAGATCCTTCTGGAAAGGCGACAGATTACAGAAGACCACATGCTCGTACTTGACAGGCAGATATTTCGATAAGATATCGTTGGTCCGGCGGATGATGAACTTGTTGACGAGGGTCAGGAGCTCAGCTAAACGCTCGTCACCTTTCTTGCGATCTTCGTCTGTACCATCCGCATCACGGCCCCGAAGAATAGGGATCTCATATTGCTTCCGAAATTCGGCCCGGGTGCCCAGATAATTGGGATTGGCGAAGTTGAGAAGAGAGAAATATTCAGATAGATCGTTCTGAATTGGCGTTCCTGAAAGAATGACTCGTTTCTGGACATTGAGCCCATTCAAAGCGGTGAATGTTTGACTTTCACCATTCTTCAGTCGGTGACCTTCATCGCAAAGGAGGAGTCCAATCGGTGTATTTGCAAGTTCCCCAACGTTGAGTCGGAGTGTTTCGTATGATACGATCAGGACTGGCCTGACGACAGCGCGACCTGAAGCAATCGACCATTGCCTGATCTGTTGCGTAAGCTCTTCCTTTGAGGCCTTCCCGTCGATTGCAAATGGGTTGATAGCATCTGGTCCAAGCCACTTGACAAGCTCGTTCGCCCAGTTACGAACCAAGCTAGACGGGCAGGCTATGACACATTTTTGTATGGCCGATTTCCCGGCATCGGGCGATTGTTTCAATAGAGTCCACATCAAGGTAATGCACTGAAGTGTCTTCCCAAGTCCCATCTCATCAGCCATAATGCAACCATTTGCTTTGTCGTCAATCAATCCCGTCGTAGCTCGATACAGAAACTTTACGCCTTCAACCTGATGTGGACGAAGAACTTTGGCTAATCGTGGGTCGATAACCACAGGCACTCGCGGGCGCTCTTCAACCTTCTTCTTCAGTCCTAATATATCTGCCAAACTCTTGTGCACCAAGGGCACGTTCAGCGTTTCTGCTTCTTCCTGGCTCAATCTTGGCAACGCCTCCTCCTTCTGGACTGGTTTGTCGTCGATGGTGGGGTCGTACAGGACGATGGCGAACTCCCCACTAGGATCATGCAATGGCCGGGCAACGAATACTCGTCCCTGGCGTAGTCCTAGCAGTGGGGGTGGTCGACACTGGTTGTATGCTCCATTCTCCTTTTTTAACAAAGGAACCGAAAATCGTGCTTTAAATGCAGTATCCTTATCCTTTGGTTTGAATACCGGAAAGCGGTTAACATCCCGAGTGGCAAGGGCAAGTCTATCATCGTTCGAATATGGCTTGTCGCCTTCTTCATTCTCACCGTCTGCACCGGAATAGTTGACCTTTCTCCGTTTTCTTGCAGGTTTCTCGGAGGCTCGCGTTGCGGTTGCAGAACCTGGACATCTGAACGGCTTGTGCAAACGGTCGGTCGATGTTGGTGTGCCGTAAAGACGCGTGGGTTTCGCAGAGGGCGTGTCACTCTCGCCTGTGGTAGAGACTCTGGGACGGTGCCTCCGTGGAAATCAGTATTTTTATCGATAATTTTGGCTGCAATTGCGCTTACATTGAGAATTTGTCGTGGAGTGGTGAGAATGTTGTCTGTGAAGTGGCGAGGCAGACGCGACTTTGGAGTTGCCATTCGCTTGGCGATAACGCGTCTGCACGTGTTCAGTGGGGGGCGGATTTGTAGAGCTTATTGGAACCCGAACCCACTTTGAGCTACATTCTCTTTCACAAAATCTACATTTCCTGTTGTCTATTATTACGTTACGCATGCACGGCACGGTAGTCATCTACAAGAATAGCGAGGGGTCTCATCAGTCATTGTCAGACAGATATTCTCGTGATGAACGTCTTACAGAATTGCAATCATCATTCGTTCAACGGACCTACATCCACATCCGTGACCGAGCGATATCAATTGCAGATGCAATGATCAGTCCGCTTGTCAATTTCAATTTTGCAGGATTTTCTTTGGCTTCTGAACAACATTTTGTACACTGCTACTACTCAATAAGTTTCGCATACATGGGCAACATGGTCCACATGAATGCATCTAGAGACCTGCTCTTTGCATCACTTGCTTCGAATTGCTCCCGCTTCCCATGGGCCTACGTTCACCCGGGCCTACGTTCAATCAAATTGTACAACCATACGGCCTTTCGCTTTATGTGAGTTCTATAACGTGGTTAGACAAGTTCCGTCTTCACAGTCTCGAAGATAATTACCATTAGTTCGATCATCTTAGGTAGCTCCTCAAGCTTATATGCAGTTATGTGAGGCTGGATATTATGCTTCGCGCTGAACTCGATTGCAGGTCGCATATTATAGCATGCTGTCGATTTTTAGACGCCATTTGGTATTTATGTTGCAATGAATACTCACTTCCATTGTTTGAGCCCTTGATTCTGTACCTCCCAAGCGCAATATCCAAAGCATTCAATTGCAATGGCTGACGAGGAATTCCCACCACCATTAGCAAACCAAGGCCCGTACGAATGATCGCAGGAGCGTCGTCATAGGACTTCTTCGAAGCTGTGAAGTTCACTACAGCATCGGCCCCTCCACCAGTGACTTCGACCACCTTCCTTTGCCAATCTGGGTCACTGAGTGAGTTGAACACATGGTCCGCTCCGCACTTTTTGGCCTCTTCCAGGGCCTGATCTGCCACATCAAGGCCTACGACTTTGTAACCCATTGCTCTAGTGTGGTGTTATAAATTTAGTGTTCATTGGGGATGCTGCGCATAACTTACTTGGCATATTGTATACCTAAATGACCAAGTCCGCCGCACCCTACAATTGCCATCCATTGGCCAGGCTGGAGCTCACAGTCTTGAACTCCGTGATAGGCGGTGACACCAGCACAGAACAAGGGTGCTGCCGTTTTCGGATCCACTTAACAATGACGTTAGTTGTATTGCCGAAAATAACAGCAAACAATTCTTACATCCTTCTGGGAGTACCATAGTCTCTCGAGCATCAACAACGGCATACTCCTGGAAATAACCATCGAGCGTGAAACCCTGCATCTTAGTCTTTCCGGTAGCACACCATGCATTGTGCACGTTCTTGCACTGGGCGCATTCGAAGCAACACTCGACAGCGCAGAGGAACCCGACAGCGTCGCCAGGATTGAACTTGCTTGCAACATCACCAGAGCCAGTCCGGACAACGGTCCCAGTCGCTTCATGGCCTATTGTCACTGGATTCTTGCCTAGGATCAAGCCTTGTTCATTGGGCTCAAACAGCATCACATCGCTGTGACACAATGAGGCGCAGGCGATCTTCACAAGAATCTCATGTTCCCTGGGCTCAGGAATTGGAACCTCATTCAGATGCAGTTTATTGTCGCGCGCATCATATCTAGTCCGGTTAGCGCCTTCGTGATTCGAAGCCACTAGCTATTCCAGCTGAAACATACTGCTGCGCTTTCATCGTTTTGGTGGCTGGAATGGACCCCATGTTGATTCTTAAATTCGATACGGACTCGGAAGATTTCTCGAAAGGCTTCAATCGCAGCTTTTACTGCAGATGTACAATTTATAGGCCATTTCGTATTACCCCTCTCTAAGTGGCAGTCCATGTGTTCCTCTAGCTGCGGTTCACGCCGGCAAAGCACTACCGTATTCCATCAGTGGGAAGACGGTTGCCGAAGGGGCGCCAGCCGGCAAAGCCTCACAAGTCACAACGGCTAGCGGACCGACTGGATGAAGGATATCAGTAGGTGATCTAGCGGCCTTTCGTTCACCCTAAGCCATGACCTTGACTCGCTGGCAGGTGTCACCTATACCTGGTCCAACCTCGATTTATCACAGATTATTAAACCCATCTCATCCCCATCTATTCTTCGAGGTCTTTGATCGGACATCTCTAATGACCCTGAAATCTATTGTTATCGTCCTTGTAGTTACAGCACTCGCCTTTAAGCATTGACGACATTAAACATTATATTCCTAATTGGGACAGAGATAAGGAGCACGAGCCCCATCTCCGCAACCCCGCCAAACAAGCAACCCATCCCTCCAACCCCAAACGATGGTATACTTCCATCATCGCAATATTAGGATTGGGAAGCAAATGATTACAAAATCACCGGATAAGAAAAAGCTTATGCCAAACAAATGTTCCCGCGTCATATGATCATGATCGCCGGAGTACGGGGTCTTGAAATAGCGAGAACAACGTTGAAACACATGCTTGGTAAAACAGAACACTACCTCATGCGGTAACCATCACTCCATCATGATCGTTCTATTTTCATGAGAATGTCACCCACATGCCAGAATTGTAGTTCTCAAACGAAAGCAGGAGTATCCCTGCAAATACCAAAGGACTCTTGTTTGTTTACTTGTTTCCGTCAACACTAGCGACTAATTATCCTACCTCATTTGCCAGGCACGCAAGATGGAACAGCGACTGTATCGAGATAGGCGCTCGATCAGGACCACAATACCCACCTCGAGTGCTGGCGACAACAAGAAAGAGAAGTACTTACTTGAGGCTCTCAACATCCGCTTTGAAATGCTCTTTCAGATAAGGATGTCCCATGATTCTGGCAAGTTTCAGACGATCACTCGAAGTCCGTATACGAGCTCTCAGTGAACCCTACCCGGCTATGACGGTGCTCTTCAACCCTTCCAACCAATCGTAGAAAAGAATCTCAAGTCTACATTCCTAATTCGGTGTCCACCTTGGAAACATGGGGTCGTGGTGCGGCTGCTCGCATAGAGCATTGGACAAAGATGTAGCAAGATTGATGGAGACGGCACCACCGCAGGACTTTGATATAAGTATGACCCGAGGCACCCTTAGAAAAAAGGCATCAACAAACATCGGCCGGCTCCAGTTCTCGTTCTTCACTTCCATTCTACACCAAAGCATCTTTCTCTTCATTCATTTCACTTCTTCTCCTTCTCGAAGGAGCCAATTCCCGTGCAAGACACCATGATTTCCACCACCCTTTTCCTCCTCCTCGGGTCCGCGCTCGCGGCTCCCATGCCCGCAAACCCAGCGCCCCAAGAAGACCTAAACAACAAAGTCTCCCCGGGCGGAAACTTCGACCTCTCGATGTTCAAACTGCAGCTCCCGACCGCCGACTCCGACGGCAAAGTCGACATGATCACCTCCGGCCTGACCGGCGCCTCTGGCTTCAAAAACGAATACTTCCTGACTGGCCCCGACGGCTCGCTCGTCATGAAAGTGCCCTCCAAAGACGACGGCTGCGCCACGACCCCCAACAGCGACCACTGCCGCACCGAGCTGCGCGAAGACGACCCCAAAAGCTGGGACCCGAAGGCGCCGACCAACCGCCTCGCCGTCACGCTCACCGTCGTCCAGCCCGACGACTCCCCCCGCGGCACCGTGATCGGGCAGGTCAAGGTCGACGACGACATCTCGAAGAAACCCCTCTGCGAGCTGTACTACAACGACAAAGGCGACCTGACCCTCGGCGTCAACCAGACGCCCAACAAGAGCGGCCAGGACTTCAACCCCGTCGGTAACGTCCCTGTCGGCAAGGAGTTTACCTACGAGCTGCGGTACGAGAAGTCGGTGCTCAGCCTCGCGATCAACGGCGGGGAGTTCAAGACGTTCAGCACTGGCGACATCAAGACGCCGCTTAGCTACTTCAAGGTTGGGAATTATAACCAGGGGGATACGGCGTCGGAAGTCAAGTTTGCGGCTATTGGTATTCAGCATTAGGTGGCTGGTTCCCTTCTCTTTTTCGTTCTTTGGCGCTTTCTTCCTTTCAAATTGCATATCAACACATCTGCGGCGTTCTCATTTCCAAGATTGTTTAACACAATACGCGCATGTACGACAGCCGTCATTGTCTTTGTATCACAGCACACGCATAACAGGACCTCCAGCGCGGCGTTTTTTTTTTTTTATCTTTCTTCTTCTTCAGCAATCCATTCTTTCTCTTGCATGCACGAGTACATCGAATATGTACAATCACGGACGGGCCGTTTCGTCGATCTGGCGATCTGCCATCGTTTCTCACTTATTTGATCAGCTTCCCCACCACCTGCATGGCTTTCGTTGAAAATGTGAAGTGTGATATGTGATCGTTAAGAAAGTCAAGTGAAGTCTACGACGATGATATGAGCGTCTATTTATAGTTATCTATTACGTTCGAAGGAAAACACGCGCTGGTGAAAAACGTGGAGTAAGGTGTAAGGCAAGGAGCTTCGGTATCACGTGTCTATGTCTTTGTGCGACATAGATAGTCGGATCACATTTTCTCACCTGTAAGTACTTATAAAAACGAGGCTGGGTTCTGTGGATGGTAGGGATGTCCATGCGTGCGTTTTGCGCATATAGGTCGTCGCTGAGTGTGGGTGGATGTGTGGATGCGTGAGGGACGAGGGTAGATAGTATGCAGCGAACGTGGAAAGGGACTTAAAGTATAACTGATGTATATTTCCTCATTTTGATTTTTTTGTCATGGAAAACGAAAAAGAGAAAACGGAATTGGACTGCCGAAAGGACACGATGTGTGTGAATGGTAGGATAATTGTCCATGCTATACGACACGAGTAATATAGCAGAGGGAGAAAAGATCACGTTACCTTACCTCATGCCAACCCACCATCCCTTTCTTCCGATACATACCCAATAGTCGGCAAGCCGGCCGGTCGGTCGGTTGGTTAGTCAGTCTAGAGAGAGAAGTGAGGGGAGCGAAGGTAAAGCCAAAGAAGAAAAAAAGTGGTTCGAGAATGACAAATGGGGGTGTTTCATCTTCGACGTGGATGCCTGGGACTTTTATGTATGTGTACATGGGCGTGGGCTTGGCTGCGGCTGGGGCTTGATTTCATGCGTAACGGTCTTTAGGGGGCGAGGCTTGGTAGTATGCATGGGTGTGCGAGTCTGTGTTAGGGAGAGTGAGGAGAATGCGGAGAGAGAGGGTATTGTGGTGGTAAATTGTCGAGATGGGAAATTTGTGTACAATATGTCAGGTTCAAGCATGTGCAAATCGCAAAGCATAGGTGGGGTTAGGAAAAGAAAATTTGCATAGATCGGTTTGGGGTATTCTAAATATGAGCTTCGAGGGGGACATATGCTACAGGAAGATTTTTCGTAGAGATTTGGGAACAGAGAAGGAATGATGTTGATGATATCGACGGATGAAAAAGAAAAAAATTCGCAAGCAAAAAGAGGTAGGTCCTTGAGTCTCCGCGAGACAGACAGAGTACATGAGGACGTAGAAAATATCTTGCTTCAATAAAGGTTGGTTGCGCACGATGGGCCCGCGGAAGCACTTCCTGCCATCGTTTCCCCAGGCAACATAGTAGAATGAAATCAAATCCTGACTTGCGGACGATGTTTTCGTAAAAAAGAAAATAGCAGTGGCTCCAAGCGCCACGGAAAATTGAACATGGGCGAGCTCTGAGTGTTGTGTGATACCCTTACACAGGACACTCCGTCATTGTCATTGCCGTCACTTTTTCACACTCGGTTTCCTCAAAGCTCCCGGTACGGCACTCGCTCTTTCGTAGGGATTCTCGTCGAGCCTTACCCAGTTCGGCACGGTACTGGTCCTATTGCTCCTTGAATTCTGGCGTGTCACGCTTCCCCGTACTTGTCGATGCGCGCTCACTTCGCCAAATCCAAGGACCTCGGGCCGATCTAGATCGAATGGATCTGACTGGCGGCCTGCCCTGGGAATCACAGACACATTAGAGAACATGTCGGTTGTTGGCCGGCTTGGTCCAGGTTCGCCGAAGATAAAGGAGCTTTCCGAGTCCCGTGATGCATTGGTGGATAGCGTATCGAATGTCGGAAGTGTCGAGGTGTAAGCATTGGGTGGGCGCGTTGGGGGGTTTGGTGGGAGTCGCTGTGTTGGCACAGGTGGAGCTTCTGAAGGATCAAAGAACGGATTATCCGCCGTGGTATAGACAGACGCAGTGTATGCAGCCGATGGAGGATGCGAACGAAGTGCGGTTGCAGCGCTCTGCGTTCGTTTGTGACCCGGAGCGTCCTTCAACCAGTCTGGAGTGCCACTACCTTGTCGCTCCTCAAGTTCATCGAGGATTGATGCGAATGGGTCTTTTGAAATGCGTCCAGATATAACAGCAGGCTTAGGTGTGATGGGAGCCCGCTGCTGATCCTTGAGGCCGTTCTGCACATCTTGCTGCGCTTTCAATGCAACGGCTTGTCCATCAGCTTCTGGCTTGGGATCCGCAAATGGGTTCTCGACATCTCCGTTCCTTGGAAGTACAGGGTCTTCTACAATGCCCGGGAACGGTGACTTGGATCCAACGACTAGACTGTCTTGCTTTTTCTGCAGTAGCGTTCGCGACCTCTTCAAGGACGGCATCCGATCGCCGAACCCTCGCAGTTGCTGTCGCAATCTGGATGGAGGCTCGCTGATCGATCTACTGCGGCCATTCGTCCGGACTGAGTAGATTGAGCTCACGCTGCTGCGCACGCTGTGCTGCTCAAAGGGGTTCTGTGCTGGGCTGGATTTCTTCCCTTTCAGCTTGCCCACTGCAAGACCTACGCCTTCGGGGATACTTCTGAGCTTCGCGGGAACCTCTTTGAGCCTGGAGATGATCCCAGGCTTTTCGTCGTCCTTCTCTTGCCAAATTCCACGTAACTCTCGAGGCCTTCGCTTGCGCTTAAGGCATAAGAAAAGTAGCACACTGATTAACGCAACAATGGCGACTCCGCCAACTACCCCACCAATAATGGCCCCCACATTCGTTGCGCCTGTACTAGAGAGCGTGAGGCCATTTCCACCGTCAGAACTCTGGTCTGGTCCTATGATACCAGCCGGCCCCCCAGAGGGAAGCCCAGTCGATGTTGGCTGCGCTTCTGGATCTTGATCTCCAGGTGACTCGGGAATCGAGGGTGAACTGGTCTCTTCAGGTGGACCAGGGATGTTCTCGTTGGAAGATTCGACGGGAACATCCGATTCTATAGCCGTGACAGATGCGATGGATGATGGTGATGTCGAAGAAGTAGCTGGAAGTGATGCGTCAGAAATTGTTGGAGTCAGACTGGGTGAGACCAGCGTAGGGCCCTCTGCAGAGGTTGCAGATGTAGCAGAGGTAGCAGAGGTAGAAGGCTCTGTAACCGCTTCCGCACTGAAAACCTCACTCACAGCCGGTCTAAGAGGAGGAGCGGCAGCGGCGGGCGGAGAAGGTGATGATAGATTCAGAACCTCAGAAGGCTCTGCGCTTGACGGAAGTACTGGAGGAGCGTCCGTACCTATCGCCGAGGGCACTGCAGCTGGCTGTGTCGTGGGCACTGCATTTGATGTCTCTTGAGCAGCTGAAGATTCCGGAGGGGGTGGAGGCGGCGGTGGAGGAGGAGGCGATGGTTGTGATTGCTGCGCAGCGCTGGTTTGGACTTGTTCCGGAGGAGAAGTAGTAGTGAGAGGAATATCAGCAGAAGTTATCTGCGGTGGTGGTGGATCTGAAGTGAGAACCGATGTGGCCGCGGTACGGGCCCGCGAGCGCGTACATCGTCTCCCACTCACTGTCACCGTCAATTCTTGAGGAGTTGCCATGCAGAAGTTGTGATCATAGAATGGAGAAGACGCCAACAAGGGCTCAGGAGCGGGGGAGGAGAGAAAGGGATCAAAACACAGCGGGCGCTTGGAGCATATTAGAAGAGGCGGAAGTAGGGAAATTGATGCAATGCGGAGGATGAAAGTTTACAGGTGTAGGAGATTGGAGATGTTTGCGAAAGTGATGCTGAACAATAGAGCAGCGAACGACGACGACCAGGCAGGTTAGTACAGGTTCGAGGAGTGATCGGAAGCAAGAATACCGTTGGGCATAAGGTTGTGCGCTTGGAGAGACATGAAACGGGAATGGCATCAGGTGCCGCTTTGGGCTACGATTCCAACACACATGAAGCGCCATTGGCATCGCAACGAGTAAAATATAGTGGCATGGTCGTCTCAGCCGAGAAATAACATGGCGATGGAGACGGCACAGTGCTTGTCAGTGTCACTCGATAGCGCGTGCATGTATTAGCTTTACATTGTGATGGTGTTGAAGTCATGTTGAAGGATGGATGTCGTTGTAGTTGGGATGGAAGGAGGGATTGGAGGGATGGAGGGGATGGGGCATGCGCGCTCAATCGAGGAAAGTAGACTATCGCATTTAGGGAAGGACTCGACTATTTGGGAATGGCTCGGGATGGCCCGAAGGAAGGAGGGAAGGGGAAATGGGCCAACACGTGATGATCCGATGGATTGAGTGATGAATCCAGCAATTATCATTCTTCCATTACCCTTGAAACCAGTCCAATTATCAATCGTTGTCCTAGAATGATTAATTATTCTCTAATTACTCACTTGCATCAAATATTCAAATCCTTATATACATACAATTGAATCGTCCTTGGACTTCACCGAGGGATGGATACTTGTAGAAACAGAGGAAGAATTGATTCCCCACCTTTCCCTCCTATCTGCCCCATTCTTCTGTTTCTACAGTGTGTACTCCGTACTAATACTCGTAGGTATCTACCTAAGGTATGTACCTAAGGCAGTAACTAGTTGTTAACTTTCTTGTACGACTCAATCTCTTATTATGTGATTGATGATGATATTGTTAGTTATCTAGTACGTTGATACTAATTAATCCGCAGTAGCAGCAGCAGCAGCAGCAGCAGCAGCAGATGATCGTTGGTGATGCCATGCCATGCCTTTTCCATGCACGACAACCAGGACCTTGTATGGGTGGTATATTCGAGTGATCCAACGCAGTAATTAGCTAACGACCTGGGGATCTGTTACCGATTGCCCCGAAACTTCCTTCCTCTCCTCCTCTGTGCTTTGACCCTGCGCCTCTCTTCTACCCGTTCCCTCTATTCTACACACTCGATGCTTCTTGTGCCTCATCAGTAAACGGCCATCCAGCCAGCACATGTGTACCCCCTCTCTACCACCACAACGCCATTATACCTCCAAGAAGACATGTTCAATTTCAGTGGTATGTTGATGCTTTTCTATCAATTCGAACAGGAACAATGGTTCATGCCGATGTCATACCCGAACGGACACTGGCACTTGCCTCTATTCTTCCTCGAATCAACCACTCAGACCATCTCATCTTTCCCACTACTCCGACCTACTCCTACTCCTTCTCCTGCTACTACCACCACCACCACGCACAACGCATCACGATCCCCCACCACACCGACCGATAGGATTCTGTTCACAATGCTCCCGAGACATGACATCCTACCACTCATCCTATTCCTGTCCGAAACTCAATACCCCTCTCCTTCGCTCCCATCATCCACCCCGGCCACTTCCTCACCGTGATCAATGATCGTGTTCCTGTTCCTGTTCCTGTTCCACCTCCTGTCACCCCCCTGTCGTCTGTTTCGCCCATGTGTTCCAACCATCCACGTTTCGTTCCATATCCACTTCCCACGTGACCACGACGGCATCACCAAGAACCTTCACCGCTGATTATCTTCTCCATCGTAGGAAGCCTTCTCGCCGGACAACATGACCTGCAGAAGGAGCGACAACCTCCGTCGCGCCCTGTCCCAGTAATATTTCCATCGCTCAATCCGCCTCAACCCTCACAAGACACCCCTCCAGCCCAATGGACCGATGGCGCACGCCCACCTATATCCGCGCATATACTCAGTCTCAAGAAGCCATCAGATGTCACTTTAGAAACATTAGCTCTGTTCAACATCGCGTTTGAGCCCCATTGCGACTTCGAAACACTCGTGCCCTCCCCCACTGACAACAAAGACCAACATCTACCGCCCAAATCCTGGCTAGATGTGCCGTCCGAGAGCGAATTGGGCAAAGACGCCACCTCAGGTGCTCCCATTAAACTGCTTAGCAACGGCAGGAGGTTCCCAGATCGTAACGAATTCTACACTCGTGCGAAAGAGCTATTCCTCAAAAACGAAGATGCGTTCTTGAGCCTCACCCGTAAATCATCCGCCCCGAAGGTGCCAGTGCGCATTGCGCACTTCCGCAAATTCTGGGAAGGACTCGACAATCTAGCATACTACTGGGACAACTCTCTTGACGAATATCTCCCACCAAAGCCCGCCTCGCCAACCGAGACCATCGAAACACCCACCACCCCCACTGCAACCCTTCCAGAAGGACCCACAGAAGAGAATGGCTCAAAGGGTGATCCCGAGTCCTCGCCCCTGTCGTCGAACAATGGAGAGCCTCGTAAGAAAGTCAAGACCGAAGCAGACAGCACCAGCCTGGCCACGCCTCCGACGATTCGATCTGGTTTTGGCACCAGCAAGCCCCAGATCGCGATATCCTCCAGCAAGGTCCTGCCCGCCAGAGCGGCGCCGCCAAAAGTGCCATGGGCCATGAACATGCCCGGTCTATCCGAGAGGACCGCCGATCTATCCAAAGGCTCCTACAAGGGCTACCGCATAGGAAACGGTGCGGAGATGCCCGACCAGTATCGCCTTGATTGCGTGCGTTCCTTCCTCGAGCCTATCGCTTGGGCGTTTGGAGTCACGCTCGCTCCGCACCGAAGGCCTCCCGTTCTCACGGTAGAGCACGTGAGGTTTCCCGTCCGCATGAACAGCGTGGGATGGCGAGGCCCCACCGATCGTCTGAAAGCACGACAGGGCTGGATGGAGGGTCCCGTGCTCGGTGTGCAGTGCAGACCAGATGTCGATTTCGGCTCCAAGCGCGACCTCGAAGCTGATTCTATTCTTGATGCCGTCCGAGAGATCGGAGGTCTGTTGTTGTTAGCCCAGGAACGTGCTCGAGAAGGTCAGGTCGAAAAGCGAGCTGGTGAGGGCAAGTGGTGGACGACGAGTCCTCGCTGGGGCGGAGGTCCTGGTGGTGAAGTTGGCGAAGCTACCGGTGCCAGCGACGCACCGTCACAAGATGCCGCACAAACGCCAGACAAGCCCGCAACCAGGCTCAGGGAGGGATTGGGCAAGGAGAGGAGAAGACCCTCTCCAGCAGAGGTCTGGAAGATCTTGAGGCCAGGGCATCCCATGTGGGATCCCAAGCTCCAGTACGAAGCAATCGGCAAGGAGAAGGACACTGAGTGGGATGATGTAAGTTCCCCTATATTCCATATACTCAAAGATCTCCTTGAACTAACACTCGACCAGATCTTCATGGTATCCTCCCTCAACCACCACATCAGCATCCTCAAACTCCGCGTCCACCGCCAGTACATCCGCTTCATCACCGACGGCACACTACCCAGCGACACCCCCCAAGATCCCAACTGGCACGTCCCCGTCCTGCAGCGAACCCGCTGGTACGACCTCTTCAGCGTCGAGGATCGCACTGAAGCAATGCGGGGGGTCTGGGGCGTCATGGCGTACCTCATGCGGCCGAAACAGCAAGATTCCGCTGACCAAGCTGCGGATGTTGCCATGAAGGAAACGCCACGGTCTTGAAGTTATCTCCTCACCAAAAGTCCATATCTGACCCTCATAGATTATAATGAACCCCATCTTTATGTCCATATTAAGGGAATGCGTAAATCTCCAACACACCGTTTGCGTCTCTAGCCATACTAGACCAGCCCGTCCACGTTGTAGTAGTGCCTCTTACCATTCACATACACCCAATCCCAAGACTGAGCATATACACTCAAGATTCCTTCGTCCCAATTGAACGCCTATCACAGTGCTACAAGGAACTGTCCAGATACCGAGTCTCGTCCTCTCATCACATTTCGCTACTTGTGCATGTCTGTAACACTATCTTCGAATCAAAACGTACCACTTACCACCAACCCCGTGACATAATTCCGTACCTATACCCTCAGACTCAATCCTTCAACCCTATTCTTCAATATGACAACACTAAGCTCCTGTCCAGTGGGTTTTCATTACCTTGGGCATCACCCACCCAGTCACCCAGTCAGCAATTCAAACGCTCGGTCGGTCGGACTTGCACACCAACTACAACATGGCGTTACCTGTCTTGTCCTCCCTCCTCTTCCTCAGTATCAAGTATCAAACATCAACGTCGTCCTACATGCATCCTTAAGACATCTCCTTGCGAACCGGTCACTGGGGTATTGGTGTCAGGCGAAAGAGATAGAGGGCCAAGTGGTGCAATCACACCGCTCGTGGGACGTTGATGAACAGAGCAAGGTTAGTGACTGCTAGGCTGTTTTGTGGAGGTCTAGGATCCGGGTCACTCCTCCGCCATGTACCTTCCTCCGTGCGGGAAAAGTCGTTGGGGGGCGTGGGTGGAGGGTTGGATTAAAAGGAGAAATAGAAAGTGGATGGCAGCTCTGTACTGAGAATTCCTGTCCGTTTCGTATTGAACGTAAGACTTTTAGATAAGCATCAGCGACGTCGTCGTTTACCTTCAGCGAGGGATGGCGATGACGAGAGCCATGCGCTCGAATGGGGTAAAAAGACATCAAGTGGAAATAGGGAGAGACAATACAGGAAGGACGGCATCCCAGAGGAAACGCCACTATCATGACAGGAGTAACTGTGGCTTGACACGATGCTCCCTTGCTAAAGGGGAATCAGGAAGTGTTTGGCATCTGACTCCATGAACTATCTCTTGGGTCTGAGACGAGGAGGTGTATAAGAAGGGTAGTTGGGGGGGTTCCCTTTCGAGCTCTGACCTGGTGGACGGTATTCAGGTTGTTTATCAAGCTGTTTGAGACTTCAAAATTTCGAGCCTGGTGTATCTTCGAGTGAGGAGAAGACTGATACTGCATCCATCAATCTCCAGCACTCTTCGTCACTCCCTCCGTACACCACGACAAACGACCCAACCATGCCCTCACTCCCCACCGCCCTCCTCTCCCTGACCTTCTACCTCACCACCCTCGCATCTCCCTCTCCCCACACCTTCCACTTCCCCACCTCCCCCAACCACACCTTCACCCCCGGCTCCGTCATCCCCGCGAACGCACACACCTTCCCCGCGCTCCTCGGCACCGGCATGTCGACCTCCCTCCTGAACCTCGGGCCCTGCGCAATGCTGCCGCCGCACAGCCACCCGCGCGCCACGAACATCGTCGTCGCGATCTCGGGCAACACGACGAGCTGGACGGTTGTGGAGAACGGGGCGGGCGTGCGGGAGGTGGCGTTGGTGCCGTGGACGGTGGCGGTGTTTGAGAGGGGGAGTCTGCATGGCATGATAAACTATGGTAAGGGGAGGGGGTTTTCCTTTTTGAAAATTTGTGGTTGTTATCGTGTTCGAACATCTTCTTTCTATGTCAATTCACTCCAATGTTCAAACCTTCAATATCGACGATATCGATCATTCGAGAATAAGAAGACGAAAGAGAGAAAGAAAGGAGCAATCGTAACCAACCAAAGAATTTACGCTTACACACTTCACTATAGGCTGCGAGAACGCCCAGCTCATCTCGGCGCTCAACTCCGAGGACCCGGGCACGCTGAACCACATTAACGCGCTGTTCCTCTTCCCGCCCGACATCGTCGAGGCCGCGTTCGGCGCCCAGAGGTCTGCGTCGGACGGCTTCGATGTGCGGACGTTGGGTAGGGATGTCCCGGGCGTGGGCACGGGCGCTGTGATGGGGAGTAGGGAGTGTATGCGGAGGTGTGGGATTGGGGGGTTGGGGTGAGGACGGGGTTGATGGATTGGGAGGTGATGTCCCGGGGTTTTTCGTGTATGTATGGTGTGATGATCACAGTGTTACGAGATCGCTGTGAGACTCAGGTACGCGACCATGGAGTTGATTTGATGCATTTGGTGGTCTGAGTTGGTGCTACTATAAGTATGGTCATTCGGTCAAGCAAGTGGGAAGCAGTGATGAAGCATTGGGTGGATATGGTCCTAAATACTGTCATCGAGGTTAGGGGAAGAAAATTGTCCCCGGTCAAATGTCACGGCAACATAATGTTGGACCTGGCCAGAGAGGAAGAGGGGCATCATGACATGAATGGAGGACTTGCAAAAACAGCAGAGGGAAAGGTTATAAAGGTATATTCGCGCAACTGTATACAACAAAATAAAAACGCAAGTATAGACCGTAAGAAGCCCAAGTGTATTGTGCCGCAGTCCTTCCGTCGTCATCTTGCTTCCCGTCTTCAAGGCGACGAGGGACGGTGCCACCCTTTTTTTGTTATACAAACACGCAATGATATCATACATTTGTACTGTACCCAACACCGACCAGTCTCCGGCCCATCTTCCACCTGTTGTAGAACTTCCTGGCCTCGTCTGCCCAAAAGACACAGCTGGCGACGGCGAGTAGGTGCACCAGATCTAAGAGCCCGAGTGCCTCGGTCTGGAAGATGTGCTGCAGTGGTGGGAAGTAGATGACTGCTAGCTGGCCAAGCAAGCTGCCGGCAACAGCGTAGTTGAACATCTTGTTCGAGAATATACCGATTTCGCCGGCCAGCACGGACTTGGTCTCGGAGCGGCATGTGAGCGCGTTGAACATGTCGAAGAGCACGAAGCACGTGAACGTCATCGTCGTGTCACGAGCAGAGACTTCTCCGTCCGTGGACATCTCGCGGTAGTAGGTCGTCAATGTGCCCATCATGATGATGGTCGCGGATTGAAGCACGCGCTGGAGAAGTTGTCGGGTGAGAACTCGAGCCTGTCGGGGCCGAGGTGGGCGACCCATCACAGCGGGATCTACAGGCTCGACTCCGAGCGATTGTGCAGGAGGACCGTCCATAAGAATGTCTGTTGTGCGTTAGCCATGTTGAAATAAATCCTTGTTCGTGTCTTTTACGTACTTATCCATAGAATCTGCATGGCGTTGAGGGGGTTCTGGAATCCGAGGAAAGTGCTCAGGAGCACCAAGCTGAGCGCCGCAGCACTGGTGCTGAGCTGGAAGGTCAGGAAATTCTGGATATTGTAAAATATTCCCTTCCCTTCTTCAATGGCACTGAGAATGGTGGAAAAGTTGTCATCTGTGAGGATCATATCCGCAGCCTCTTTAGCGACGTCGGTACCCAGTCTGCCCATAGAGATGCCAATATCGGCCTTCTTGAGCGCAGGCGCATCGTTGACGCCGTCTCCAGTCATGGCCACCACATCCCCGCGTGACTGAAGGGCTCGAATAATCTTCATTTTATGATCAGGACTGGTTCTGGCGAAAATCGAAGTCGTGGCAATGGCTTGAGCTAGTTCTTCTTCACTCATCTGGTCCAATTCATCGCCGCGAATGACCGAGCGACCCATCGATGGATTTGAGCTAATGGGCATGCCCAATTTCTTTCCAATGGCAACAGCAGTCGTCTCTGCATCACCGGTGATCATAATGACTTTGACTTTGCCCGCCATTAGCCTCCGGATAGATCTCTCCACGCCTTTACGGGGTGGATCGTTCATTCCTACGAGACCAGCGAATACCAACCCACGGTAATGCTCATCTTCGCCGAGTGAGGTTCCACCAGTGGCATTGTCAGTGGGCGGAGCAGGCGAGGCCGTCCCACTTGAACCCCTCTTTCGTTCGGCATTTGATGTCCCACTTGCAAATCCGAGCACTCGAAGACCTTCTTGTGCCATAGCGTCTGCTGCTTGCAAAGCTTCGGCCCGGCGGTTCTTGTCAAGGACGACTTCTCTTCCCTGTGCCGTTACATAGGTATCGCAACGATCCAGAATTTTTTCCAATGCTCCTTTGATGTAGGAAGCATCTTGACCAGTGCCGAGGTCTGCGTTCGATTGTCCTTGAATCACCACACCCATCCATTTTCGCTCAGAACTAAAGGGGGTTTCATAATGGCGCGCTCCAATTCTTTCCCTGACATCCTCTTCACCAAACGCATCCAACAAATCAAGTAAGGCGACATCTGTCGGTTGTCCCACCCAGCGACTTTTGATCGCAGAAGAGTCATCGCCCATCGTCGAAGAAAGAACTGCCGCAGTTGAAGCTGTATTAACGTGATCACCTGCAAGGCGGGCGTTGTTGACAATGTTTCCAATACGTAATATATTCCGCGTGGGCGAATCCAGGTCCGTAGAATCGTGCTTAGCAGACACAGCAACAGGTGTGGGCTCGTCAAAATGCCATATCTTCGTGACTGTCATATGATTTGTTGTCAAAGTTCCTACATGTATTATTAGCAGATGGCACAATGGATGTACTGATGTGGCTGATACATACCCGTTTTATCACTGCAGACAACGTTAACTGATGCAAGCGTCTCGACACTGGGGAGGCGCCGAACAATAGCGTCACGCTTCGACATCCTCAGGACGCCTAGAGCAAGCGTTACAGTGACAATAATAGGTAGACCTTCGGGAATAGCAGCCACAGCAAGAGACACTCCGATTTGAAACATCTCTAGGAATGCCCATCCGCGCCATAAGCCCACTATCATGATGAAGCCGATCACAGCAAAGGACATATAGCTGAGCTCTTTCCCGAGTCGGTCCATAGAAAGTTGCAAGGGCGTGCGGGGGCTTTCGATTTCTTGCAACGATGCCGAAATGGCTCCAAATTCGGTGTTACCACCCGTTCCGATGACGATCCCTTGACCGTAGCCTGAACGGACTAATGTTCCCATGAAAGCAATGTTCTTTTGGTCGTTGAGACGGATGTCTGCTCCAACAGTTCCAGCGGCGGGAGACGAATAGAAAGGCGATTGTGGTCTCGAAACTCCAGGGGGTGGCTGCACAACATCTGGCGACTTCGGTACGGGCTCGTTCTCTCCGGTAAGATTAGATTCGTCGATTGTAAGGTCGGCAGCATGCGTAATTCGAATATCAGCGGGGATCCGATCGCCCGTGTGAAATAGAACTAGATCACCGGGCACGAGCAGAGTGGCCGAGATGTTTATAGCATTCCGTTCAGCAGCTGCTAACGATGCAGCTGTATCCTTCAATTCCTCTAGTTCAATTCCGTTGCTGTCCTCCTCATTTCCTGTTCGACCGGCTCGTTCTATACCTCCTCGTATGATATGAGCGGAATGTGGCACCAGTTGATTCAACGCTTCTAGAGACTTTTCAGACCTGTACTCCTGTACAAAGCCCACTGTGACGACGATCGTCACCGCCGCTGTGATGCTTATGGCGTCTTCCAAATTCCCCATTATGAATGAAACGGCCGCGGAACCGAGGAGAAGTAGTATCAGCGTTTCTTTGAATTGCTTCAGAAAGCGCAACCACAGCGGCTCCGGCTCTTCGTGCGGCAGCTCGTTGAGCCCGTGGGTATGGAGCTTCGCCGTGGCGGCCGAAGGGGACAAGCCATGGCTGACCGATGTTGACAGCTTCCGGGCTGTTTCTTGCGATGAGAGGAGGGAGTATGAAGATGTTACCGACTGTGGATGCGCGTGCTGTTAGCAAACATTCTTCACAAGGATTGGACATGGGGTTGGAAGGCTGAGTACCGAAGGAGTCGTACGCCGCTGGGGCGTCTCCGGGGGTTGGAGGTAAGGAGATGAGGGTCGGGAGTTTTTTGTTGTCGGTCCGGAAGCATTATAGAATGGCAATGAGGGCGTCGAGACTCTTGACATATTGGCATGGCCTGGAGGCCACTTCGACGTCTGCTTTCTAACGTGGCCTCAATGGGGAGAACGAATGGCAAAGAGACGGGAAGTTATGATATCCCTAGTTAAATCATCGGTGCTAAAAGGATGTCTATAGAGAATGATCGATCTATAGGATTAGAACTTAGATCCTGCGGTTGGAAGGGTCTTTGAGTGATGTTGGTGTAAAGATGGAGACGGTTTCTCGAAAGTATGAGAGCATGGGCCAGCGAGGGACAACAGGGGTCGGTCGAGACCCGTAGCCTATACTCTGCTAAAGGCGGTTTCAAGCACGGCAGATGCGTTTTACTACTGCATCGCTCCATATACTGTTAAATTGACAGATATGGATTATCAAAAGAGCCTTTTCTTTGTCTGTTTTCAGGATATCTACCAATGTTTACGCACATACGCTCCCTGTGTCTTATTCACAACCGGGTTCGGAATAGTTCCTAGCGCATACCGAATGTAGTAGTTTCCCTCATCGCTGTACTACCTCGAATCATGTTTTCGCATACTCTTTGAGAGGGTGTTTCCTTATGTCGTGTTCATTATTCAGGTCAATACCTTGCTTTCTAAGCTGCAATCATGGTGTCCGGATTCTAGGACGAAACCTTTCCACCACAATTGCGGACAAGCCGCTCGAAATTGAGTTTGTACTCCGTAGATCTATCACGTATTCGAAGAGCTGCGATCGATCAATTTAATCCATGAATATATCAGCAGAAGGCGTCTCTCTGTAAGATGTCTGCCAATGGTTTCCCAAATATGCTTAAAGTTCATAATACAATAGCGACGTCATGAGAGTGCTGGTACGCATGTTGGTAGTTAGTGAACTAGTCTTAACTACCTCGAGGGAACCCTTAGTCAGCAGTTTGCTGCCAAGAACTCGCGACCGGCCACCTCCAAAACAAACCCGGAGGTCCCCAGCCTCATCTTTATCGACAATTCATCATCGCTCCCTCCCCGTGCGCGTGCGAGCTGCTGTCGCATAAACACATCCATCTAGCTTTGTGAACTTACTACGACCGGCGCGCATTTCTCGAGTGGCATTTCCGCCGGTCACGCCCAGAATATATGTTCTGTTCCTAAACCTTCTTCACGACGCGCCGACCGCGACCCAACGTCAACAACAACAACAACGATCTTTCTAGGATTTCCCCACCGCGCATTCCTGGTATTTCATCACATCTCTCAACATGTTCTTCCCAGAGCATTTGCTTTCCAAGTCGGGGCCGCTTGCACGCGTCTGGCTCGCGGCCAATCTCGAAAAGAAGCTGTCGAAGCACCAGGTCCTGCAGGATAAGATTGGCGAAGATATCGCTGTTATCACTAGACCCGATGTTGCTGGTGGGCCGATGGCCCTTCGTTTGAGCGGCCAGCTTTTACTCGGAGTTGTGCGCATCTATTCACGAAAAGCGCGTTACTTATTAGACGATTGTAATGAAGCACTTGTACAGATCAAATGGGTAAGCCACAAATGCATTCGATGGACCCTGATCCCTTCTAACAAACTGCATTAGGCTTTCCGTCCTGGCGAGAACATAGATGCGGCGCACCAGTCTCATATCGCCAATCCTGCCAGTTTGACCCTTCCCGATGTTTTGACAGAGCTTGACTTGCTGGCACCAATGCCCGACCCATTCCTACTCACTTCCCAACCTCTGGACCTGCATTTGACCTTGGAGGATGCGACCTTACCAGACTGGGACAACAGTCAGTTCCTATCTGGCAGCATTGAGCAGCCCCATCTGGAACACAGGGCTCTGGACGGCCCCGATTTGGAATTGGATCTTGGTGAAGAGTTGGATCCGGATTTTGGCTTCGATGAGGGTACAAGCATTGAACGCGGTCGTGATGCTCCCCTCGAACGACGCATATCTGAAGAATTGGCTTCGAGCCCAAAGCCTTTTGAAGAGGATGATCTTGGTATCGACCTGGGCGAGGATGACGACACAATTCAACCAGCTGCGCCCGATATCGACATCGACCTAGGCATTGATGTTGATATGGGTGGCATGACCGAATTGGAACCACTGGCAGAAACTGACGCGGGTGCTGAACCTTCGCTAACCCGCGAGCGATCGATGTCCCCATTATCCGACATCGACCCTGAGCAGGCGCAAGAATTAGAGCGAACTTTTGCAGACAACCAGACTGCTTTCGAGCCTGAAGAAGAGTTGGATGAAACCGTCCAGCAACCACAAAGGGTCAAGCGAAGGAAAGTCTTGCCATCTGACGTCGAAACCCAAATTCCAAATACCCAGATTCGTGACCAGCAGAACGATCGCAGCAAGATTCTCAAGCCAGCTTCATTCCTGCCGCGCGACCCGACTTTAGCTGCTTTGCAAAATCTACAGAGGTCTGGCGGTTTCATCTCCAGCATTCTTGGAGATGGTCGAAGCCGGGGTTGGGCTCCTGAACTGAGAGGAATCCTCTCCTTGGAGCTCGTTTCTCGCCCTGGACAGAAGCGCAAGCGGGACAGTGGGGTTGCTGATTTGGATACCGAAGAAGAAGAAGGCGACCTCGGCACAAAGGCGACTCCTCAGCTTGAATTTGAGCAGACCGAGGACGATCTTCAGGGCGCCGCTGGCCCTGTGGGTGGAGATACCACTCTCGGGCTCGGTGGAGATGAAGATATCATCCAGTTGCCTGGCGATGATGACACCATGCCGCAGTTCGAGGAGCCTCTCGAGGAGGAACCATTCTCGCCTGTTGCTGACAACTTCGATGATACTACGGCTCCCCTTCTTCACCCAGCCGAGACCGGACCAATCTCAGTTGGCACTAAGCATGCCGTCCATCTTCTGAGGGAGCGTCTTGGCCCTGAGCCCGAAGCTGGTGACTCGGAACGCCAAAAGACGAGTGTCCTTTTCCACGATATGCTACCGGAAGCCACAACAACTAAGGCAGATGCTACAAAGATGTTCTTCGAGGTTCTAGTCCTTGCAACCAAAGATGCTATCAAGGTCGAACAACCTGGCAATGAGCTTGGTGGACCGCTCCGAATTCGCGCAAAGCGAGCCTTGTGGGGCGATTGGGCAGAGCGCGCAGCGGGAGGAGAACTTGCCTCTCAGACTGCTACCCAGGCACCTGCTGTTGTTGCAGTCGAGGCGTAAGACTTTGATGATACCACTTGAGTAAAGATTATTATTTCGTCAAACTCAAAATCTTTGGACAGGCTTGTATGACTGATGTGGTGGCGTTGGCTGGATACCCTTATTCCTTTGGTATCGATTTATGTCTGGCTACTGTACGGCGTTAAAGGGCTGGCGAACATTGGTGGATTTGTGCTATTGATGCAACGAGTGTATTGGAATATCATCATTATCCTGCCTCATTGACAGATTAATATAGAAGCTTCAAAAAATGCTCGGTCTGCTTGTTGTGATGCCAAGTCTTTCGGAACCGGAATGACGTTGACGCCGACTTTCCGATGCCAAAATTTTGAGTCTCGACGCCAAAAATCCAGTCATCACTTCTTCGAAATGTTCTGATGCTAATACGTCACCTCCGCAAGCCAAATGTCAAATTCACAACAACTATATCTTCATACTGTCGCGCTTTACGGACCTCGGCGCAAGCGTCCACACCGAATACCCAGAATACTACGATTTCCGCGTTGAGCACCCCCGCACACATTCCGCGAATTTACCCCCCTCTATCAACTACAATGGATACGAACATCCTCCCAGTTAATCCCGATCGACTTGGGAATATATCATTCCATGAGAATCCCGATAATCTGATCGGTGAATGGAGCATAGAGTACAATGAAGGCGAGGATGCGCAAAGTCTCTCGCGGGCAGCCAAAGAGCTAGCTTCGACCGATGTACCTGTAGCATTTCCTACAGAAACCGTGTATGGACTCGGTGCTGATGCTACACGAAGCTCAGCAGTGAGAGCTATATTTGCCGCAAAGGGGCGTCCGGCCGACAACCCACTGATCGTGCATGTCCACTCCATACCACAACTTCAGGCCCTCCTTCTAGGAAAGAAGGACTCCGTGCAACCTGCGCAAGATCCCATACCGGAGATATATAGACCATTGATTAAGCAGTTCTGGCCGGGCCCCCTGACAATCATAGTTCCCAACCCAAAGGACTCGGTCCTCGCGCCCGAAGTCACAGCTGGACTAGATACATTTGGAGCGCGCATGCCTAGGAGTATACTTGCACTAGCACTTATCAGACTCTCCGGTGTGCCGCTTGCTGGACCATCTGCAAATGCGTCGACTAGACCGTCACCAACAGCGGCAGAGCACGTAAAGGACGACTTGGAGGGCCGCATACACACGATTGTAGACGGTGGGCCATGCGAAGTTGGTGTTGAGAGCACTGTTGTAGATGGACTGTCTTCTCCGCCCACGATATTGCGCCCAGGCGGTGTGACCGTTGAACAATTACGCCAGTGCCCCGGATGGGAGAACGTCGTGATAGGATACAAGGACGCACATGAGAAGGGCATCAAGCCTAGAGCGCCTGGCATGAAGTACCGTCACTACTCACCTAAAGCTACGGTGGTTCTGTACGAAGCAGGTGCCAAACGCCCCGAGTCTAGTGAGATTCCAGCACAAGGAAAGAAAATTGGAATCATCCGAACAACAGAGTGGCCAAAAGCTCTAGGACTGGCTGTCGAAGGCAACGACATTCAGACGACGCATACCAACGGAATTGTTCCTCATACACCTGCGGATACGAACGGATCTGCCGCGTCACAAACGCGCCTGTCAAACCTACTTCGATCCGTAATCCAGCATCAAATCCCTCACGCGGAGCCGTTGCTGTTGACAGAAGGAGTCCCTTCACCAGTTGAGATTTTGGATATCAACCTTGGTGCTGGAATCGAGGACGTTGCTCGCGGCCTCTTCTCTGCTTTGAGAGAGCTTGACAAGCAAAATGTCGATATCATATATGTGGAAGGCATCAACGACAAGCTTGGTGATGACATCGCAGCCGCAGTGATGAACAGGCTTCGAAAGGCAGCCGAGATACGAGTATAATAGAATTAAATGAAGCAATACATATAGACCTTATCACTTACTATTATTCATAGTCATTAGAGTGATTTTCGAAGTGGTATATCTACTGGAGATGGTTGATTGCTGGAGACAGAGATATTCTATCCTATCTGGATTGCCTACAATTTCGCCTTTGTGTCGTCTCGGACAACAGTGCCTCTGTTTTGCCCACTTCTCTCCTTGTCTCTGAGCACTCGCCTCAGAATCTTACCACTTGCGCTTTTTGGTATCTCTGCGCAGAACTCTATCTCCTTGATCCACTTATATCGGACCTTCTTCTCCTTCACAAAAGCGATCAGTTCTTTCCCAATCGCACTGTCTGCGGTGAATTGAGGTTTCAATACCACGTAGGCTTTAGGTAATTCGCCAGAGTAGTCGTCTTTGATACCAAGGACTGCCACATCTTCCACCTTGTCGTGGCCAAGCAACAGGTCTTCAAGCTCTGCAGGGGCCACACCAATTCCCTTGACCTTGATGAGTTCTTTTATACGATCTTGGATGTAGATCATGTTTTCCTCATCAATCATGCCTTGATCGCCAGTGTGCAACCAGCCATCTGAGTCGAAGGTTTCCCTAGTAGCTTTCTCGTTGTTGAGATACCCCATGACGACTTGCGGGCCGCGAGCAAGAACCTCGCCGCTCTCTCCCCGCTGTGCTTCGGTTCCATCTTCCTTGATGATCTTGACTTCCGTCGATGCCACAATAGCGCCGCCGGAATGCGCGTACTTGTACGAGAATTTCTCGGGCGGATGGGCGGTAATACACGAGCATGATTCCGTCATACCATAGCCCTGCTTGAAACCAGTTCCGGGGAACTTCTTCTCCAAGAGCTGGATAATTTCCTCGGAAAGCGGCGCCGCACCGGAGGAGAAGCGGGTAACATGGCTAAGGTCGTACTTGTCGACGAGCGGATCTCTGACCATTCGAATCAGGATAGGAGGAACCATGAGCAATTCGCCGAGCTTGTATTCCACAATCACGTCGAGCATCTTTTCCATGGTGAATTGTGGCAGCATAACGACTTCGGCGTTCAGGAGGATTGGAAGGTGCATTTGGTGCACGAGACCCGTGATGTGGAATAGTGGTAACACGGCCATGATCTTCTTCTGTGTTTCTGGCGTTATTTGCTGGATCTGGAGGCATTGGGCAATCACGTTCTGGTGTGATATCATGACCGCCTTGGGGAGACCAGTCGTTCCCGATGAAAATGATAAGAATCCACAGACGTCCTTATTCTTCTTGCCGGGAGGAAGCTTAAAAGCGGGAGCCTGTCCATCTGCGCCGTAAGATTTGCCAATCTGAATGAGCTCCTGAACAGTCGTGTAACCAGGCAATTCGCCTTCCAAGAGGAAAATGTTCGACTGGGGGAGTCCGGCGGCCTTCGCGCTTGCAGCAGCTACCTCCATGCTTCCGGGGGTTGTCATGAGAAACTTCGCATCGGCGGTTTTCAGAGCAAATGTCATCTCTTCGGTGTTGTATGCAGGACTCGCACCGCTGATTTTGGCTCCAACGCGTAGGCCGGAGAACATTGCTACCGGATACCAGACTGTGTTTTGGCTGAACAAGGAAACAGTTTGGCCTTCCTGAAGGCCATATTTCTTGACGAGTGCGGTGGAGATGTATGTTGAATAGTCTTTGACTTGACGCCAGTTCACCCGTTCCTTCGTGATCGCATTTTGAAATCCGGCCAGCTCCTTCTCAGGGTATTTGTTTATTGGCGACCATTTTGAGTCGAATAACCAGTCCCAGTCCGTTAGTTCAGTGGGCACTAGCAAGTTGGTCAGTATAAAGTCAATGGCATGAGCCCAGAGGAATTGGTAGAAATACAGTCAATAGGAGGTTGTCTTGACTTAAAAATGACCATTGTTACCGAAACGCCGTACGTTTGTCACAGCTTGTGCAATTGCTTAACTTATGAACACGTTCAAACGTAGGTTGTCACAATGCATTAAGTAGGAATGGTAACGCGAATGGAGTTGTGAGACGAGAAATGGCAGCATTTGGTCTTTTGTAGCGCGCGAACTCGTCATAGCAGCTTAATCCTATCCGTTTGCCCTCGGAGCATGCATCTCGTACGTAGGGACTCATAATGATCGAGTCAAGCGTCGAAAGGGCACGCGGGGAAACATCGATGGCAAGGGAATCGTCTATGTGGGGGGGATAACAGCTCCAGCTAGCTTCCGGCCCGTTGGAGACAGGATCGGCTTACTCTATTCCCCATCGTTTTCCGATGCAAGACCTCATAGCCGCAATTCCATCGATTTGAGAGCTTTTCGTGACTGTACATCTGTCAAGCACAATTATTGGTCAATTTAACCAACGAATCAGCTTGTACCGTCATAAACCCAATCCGAAGATAATCCTACCTACGAGTACCTTACAATGGATTCCAATCACGACCTGAAGATCACACTTATTGGTACTGGAACGATCGGCCTGTCCTTTGCTGTATTCCATCTCACTCATTTAAAATCGCCATCGCAGCTTACAATATATGACACACGACCGGATCTTGAAAAGTACATCCAAGATACTCTTCTCAGCTTCTACTCAAGTTCATCACCCCCCATCCCAGCCATCTCTGAAATCAACATCGCGCAATCCCTCAAAAGCGCCGTTGAAGGCGCACACATAATCCAAGAATCCGGACCCGAAAACCTGCCATTCAAGACAGCTTTGTGGAAAGAAGTCGAACAACATGCCACTAAAGACGCCTTGCTCTGGAGCTCAACAAGCGGCATACCCGCGAGTCAGCAAAGCCGGGAAATGCAAGATACGTCAAGGCTCCTCGTTGTCCATCCATACAACCCGCCGAACATAATGCCGCTGCTGGAGCTCGTACCTTCGCCTGATACCAGGGCTGAGCTTATTGAGCGTACGCAGGAGTTTTGGCGTGCGAGAGGTAGGGTGCCGGTGCATATTAAGAAAGAGGTCACGGGGTTCGTAGCAAATCGACTGGCATTCGCACTCCTTCGTGAAGCTATTCATCTTGTAGATGCTGGTGTCGTCACAGTTGCTGAGGTTGATGATATCGTTCAGAACTCCATGGGCCCTAGGTGGGCGGTTGCCGGGCCTTTCAAGAGCTATCATGCTGGAGGTGGTGCTGGTGGTCTAGAAGGTTTCTTCAAGAATATAGGAGGTACCGTTCAAGGTTGTTGGGATGATGCAGGTCGGGCAAATGTGGGTGAAGAATGGGAGCAAAGGATTTTCAGGGAGGCAGAGCAGTCGTATGGTTCTGTTGACACAACAGAAAGAGATATGATCACAAGGAGGGTACTGGAAGCTGTTAAATTAGAGAAGCAGACTAGCAAAGATGATTAGATTTCTTCAGATTCCGAATGTCAACGAATCAATTTTGCAACCAGAGCCTAGTCCCAAGTGCTCGTGGAAGTTGTGTGAACGGAAATTATATTTTTTTTTGCATATACCCGAGTAATAAGTCTACAAACATCGATACTGCTAGGAGTACATATCTCTTGCACAATACTCTGCGCCCTTTAAATCGGAACAATCAAGTCATCTTTGTGACTAGTTGCGAGTGTCAGACTGGTTTTGGGAATTTCCATGGCTTTGGCCATTGACGTTTGTCCCAGACGCCTTTTCCCACGCTCTTCAATGCTTAAATCCAAATCGCCAAACGCCTTGCTGATGGACCAAATCTTAAGACTGGTTCATGTGATTCTCCGGACAGAACCAAATACAGATCTTTATCAACCGGAATAGTTTTCCCGGAAGCGGCTCCAGAGATAGCTCATATAGCCCAGCGATAACTTGCGTATCTGCCTGCTGTCTCAGACATACGGATAATCTTGACCACCTGACCTCTCCTCAGTCCGAGGTATTTTGCAACTGGATCGGTGACTTGGATTCGGGGCAACTGAGTTTCCTTGAGACGATAGCGCTCCAAAAGTTGCTTCTTCTCTTCGTGGCTGAGGAGAATGTGCCTAGGCACCAACTCGTGCTTTGTGATGTTGACCAGCAAGTCCTGCTCAACGAAAACTTCTACACCACCGAGCACCTGTCCATCAACACCTGTAGCATTGCGCAGCATTCGAATAGCCATACCCGTCATGGGCTTGATGGTGACCAGAATTCCAGAGTAATGGTTGTTTTGGGCAAGATGGACCATGTATTCACGGAGCTGTTTAAGACCGGCGTTCTCATCGGCGTTGAACTCGACCCACAGAGAACCGATCTGGGGTTCCGGGTTGGGGAATTTCGCGGTCGCAGGAGGCGTGTACTTGTGAATCATCTCTTGGGTAGGGGTGGCACTATAATGCAGTTGCGAACGCCTGAGAGTTGTTGTTAGCGGAGATCCTGTCGCGACCTGCGAAGCAAAGGACATACTCTGGCTCTCCATCTTCACGTCGACATCTATGCGCAAACTCCTCAAGAGAAATCTCAGTGTCCTCTACTGGAATATCGTAACCCTTTGGACTGTGTCAGCCTATGCATACGAGACTCTTCATCATTTGTAAAGGTAGAGGCGCACCCTGTCGCGACACATCTGTTTAGTCGTACGGTAGATACGCCACATGCGGACCATGCCTGGCGTGTATTGGGCCTGGCTATCCATCTTCGCGGGTAGTGGATATAGGTAGATCGCGTCGTGCGTTGAGGAAGTTGGTATGTCGCGAGGTCGAGTGTTGTCAGTTGTTGCGCTGTGTCGCCAAAGAAATCTCAAAGAAGTTGAACTTTCCGACTTTCTCTAGACTTGGCATGCGGCCGCACACTAGCGTGGTTGCACGGGCCATCACACAGCAGCCCCGCTGAAGCTCTAACATCCAAACGCGACTTCAATGCAAACATGTCTGGTCAAGAAATTCCAGACCTTAGAACGCTGCTCGGATCTCGCCGTGGAGGCCCCTCAAGAGGTCGTGCACGTGGAAGAGGCGGGTTTGGATCTTCTCATGAAGGAAGAGAAGCGCTCAAAGATGAAGCAGTCAGGAATACTGATCAAGATGCGGCGGGCTCAAGGGTGAGCTGTGTTGAACTTGGATATCTTCATGATCCATATGCAAAGCTCTTCGCCACACAGCCTGCAACTCGTAGACTTCCACTCTTAAATCGAGGTGCGACATACTCAGTGAATTCAGTGACCTACTGCTAATAATCGGAAGGATCCTACGTCCGCACATCTGCAATCGATGATCTTGTTGATAGATTCATGAATGCGTCCACTGGGCCAAAACAGATTATATCTCTAGGTGCAGGTACAGATACTCGATACTTTCGTCTCAGGGACAGATATCCGGATCTACAGCTAGTCTACCACGAGATAGACTTTGCTACCAACACTGCAGCTAAACTCACATCGATTCAACGCCACCCACAGTTGCATTCGAAGTTGACTTCGAGATCCGCACCAAACCCCTTAGCATTACCACCCGCTGCAACGACATATCATTCCTCAACATACAATGTCCATGCCCTGGATCTTCGGACGCTGGCTGCGTCCTCTGAAGAAAACACTCTCCCCACTTTGCCCAATATCGATCCTACCTTGCCAACACTTCTCCTTTCTGAGATGTGTTTGGTATACCTACCAGCGCCTACCGTATCTTCAATACTTTCATCCTTCCTTCAGAAGTACATACCTGAACCCACACCAGTATCGCTCATTCTCTACGAACCAATCCTGCCAAATGACGCCTTTGGCAGAACGATGATTTCCAATCTGTCAACGAGGAACATTCATTTGCCCACTCTTCTGGCTTACCCTGAGTTAAGCGACCAGAGGGCTCGGCTCCAACAATATGGATTCCACCAAGGTGCACACGTTGCAGACACTGCGTCGATATGGCGTGCGTGGGTGACCGACGAAGAGAAGGAAAGGGTAGCGGCATTAGAGATGTTAGACGAGCTTGAGGAGCTCGATCTTCTGCTCAGGCACTACTGTGTAGCTTGGGGATGGAGGGACAGTGGTAGCGAGGGTGTCTTCACTAAAGCATGGGCTGACATCAAAGAGCAATAACGCCTTTGAGTATTTGGTTTTCTTGGGAAAGAATCCGAGTCTGAGGGCTCCGAAATGGGAAGCCAGGCATGAATTATAAACATATGTTAAACCCTCATGAGGAAGAAACGCCTAGTCATAGTCTAGATACGATCCGTATGGGAATCGGTATCTATAGTTCAAAACCTGCGCCATGATAAATAAGGCCACTCTTTTTACCGGGCGGCTCTTGTTGTTCGTTCCCAGAATTCCAAAGTCATTGCCGCAAGGAAACATGGAATCTCTTTCCTCTCCTCCACCCAGAATGTGATGAGATCGCGGATCTCATTCGCAAAGGCGCTCTGCTCTCCCCCGCTTACTTTCATTGTACCGTTCTCTCCATCAAAGACGATGCTATTCTCTCCTGTCTCTTCATCGCCAGGATAGAACATACTCGTAACACGTACTCGCCCGTTGGGCATGAAGTCCAATTTCCATCCTAATATCGAGGCCACTGCCTCGCGGAACTCGAGTGACTTAGCAGTCCAGATCTGCTTGAGACGCTTGATGCGCTTCTCATGAGAAGCAACTGTAGCAGTAAGCTCCGCGAGTTGGTCGCGAGTGGCCTCCAGCTGAGACAGAGGAACCATTGTATCTGACGGGAGGTCTTTCCCATCAAGTCTGTCGAGGAGCTGTGAGTTCGCTTCCCGAAGGTGGCGGACAGTGGAAAGTTTTAGTGCCTCTGCATCGGCTGTCGGATTGGATTTGAGTTCTAGCACACGTACGCGTGATGACTCCTTGAGCTGCTTGAGCTGTTTCAATTGGGCCTTCGAATCGGATTCAAGGAGCTTGATCTTCTTTTGTAGTGTCGAAGATTCTTCTTGAAGTTGTCGATTCTTCCTACGTAACTCGCCGATTCGTTCGTCTGAGCCTTCGTCAGATTCCAGTGGTCTTTTCTGGCCTGTTGTAACTACTGCGGAAGGTAGCTCTACAGAATCAAGCTCCTTCCGGAGATTCTCAATCTCTGCGCGGTACGAGTCAATGAGATCTTCCAGCTCTTTCACACGTGCTGCTTTCGTCGCATCGTACGTATCAGGCTGCATCTCCCGTTCCTCGTCGTCGAATGCTTTGACTTGTGCCCTAAGGAATTCGACCTCCTTCGTCGCTAGGGCTTTCTGTCGTTCTAATCTTGCGCGTGCTTTTGCTTCACCAGCATTAGGCGCAGTCGAAGTCGCAGACTTGAGTTGCTGGATCTCGGATTGCAGTGCCGCTTTCTCGTCTTCCAGTGTTTGAATGTTTGCCTCTTTAACAAGAAGTTCCGGCTTAATTTCTCCAAGTTTGTTCATGAGATCGGCCCGTTCCAGTCGCTCTCGAATGAATGCCCGTGCAAGATCTTCTGGTGTTTCGAATTGGATGTTATCCCCAGATTCGGCTTCGTTCTCTAGGTAAGATGTCCATGAGTTCTTCTCATCCTCCAATACCTGCTTTCTCAAGTGTGCCTCAGCCAACTCTTGTCGTAGGTCATCCATCATGCGCACCTTGGTTTCAAGGGATCTCTTCTCCTCTTCCACAACCTCGATCGCCTTATGTTGCCTCTTGTAGGTCTTCAATTCGGCGTTTTGTTCTCGGGTCAAAGACTCTAGCTTTTTGATATGCGCCACTTGGTCCGACAGCTCCCTCTTGATAACAGTCAATGTCTCTGCATCTCCTGTCATCGCTTTCAGTCGTAGAACCTCGGCCTCAAGATCTCCTGCCTCAGCCTCCTTTTCTGAGAGTCTCTTTTGTGCTGTCGAGAGCGCATTCACCTTGACATCTAGTTCCACTCGCAACTCGGATACTGTCGTTTTCAAGGCTTCATGTTCCGTCTGAAGGGTGTTGAATTTGTGCCCTGATTGCCGTTGTACAGCCGAGAGCTGCTCGTTCGCTTCATCTACATCCTCCTGCAGTTGCTGTGCCTTGTCTTGAGATGCACGCAGCCGCCTCTCCAGATCCTGGCGTTCGTTCTCGCTTCGGCTTTGCGCCTCAGAAAACTCTCGCTGTAGATTATCAAACTTTTCCGAGGCTTTGTTGCTCAGCTTCTCTGCTTGTTGCGCCTTGTTCTGCTCCACCTCCGCCTTGGTCTCAAGTTGCCTCGTTCTCTGTTCTTGTTCTAGATCAGCCCTCTCGCGATCCTGTTTTGCAGCCTCTAACTCGTAGCGAAGCGCGTTGATTTGCGCTCGTAGATCCTCGTTCACTGGATCTGAAGGGACAATCGTGTGAGGGGCGACTTGAGATGTGCGCAAGGTCGTTCGGAAGGTTTCTCGTAATGGTTCGCGCGACTTTGGAGGTGGAGATTCTGAATCGCCGGTGAATATGTTGTAGCTTGCTTGGTTGTGTTTCCTTGAAGCTGCCATTGTTGTCTCGCGCGCGAATTGCGCGTCAGTCGCAACGAAATCAAGGAGAGTCGTAGTGGTCTTGAATTGAAGCGGAATTAGTTGCTTAAAGGTGGTTAAGATCGAAAGAGTCCATTGTCTGTAGAAGTTGGTGAATGCGCTGGATGGGGTCACTGGAAGCCGTTGTTTTGGAGCTTTGGCTTCCCCAAATCTGTGCTAGCGCCGACACGGCAACACGTGTTCAGCCTTGTGCCTCATCGATGCTTCATCCCTCTCCCTGATTATTACTTTCACCTCATGTTCAGCATGGTGAATGTGTCCCATTGTGCTCATTCACGTTACGTATGGTTCAGTATCCAGCTCAGACCAGATGGTAAATATACTCGGAGCCTCAAAATCTTCAGTGCATCATGGTGCAACGACTTTGACAGTGTGTAATCATATCAATCCCGAACAAATCTCAGCTACATGGCTTTGGAGTCAGCCTCTGGCCTCTCGCAGTCGATGTGACCGAACAAGACAACCCTAGGAATATCAGCGTCGAAACGACATGGCCATTGTTAGCAAAGAATTATTTGAATACGAACAGCATCCACAATGGTGGACCCTGCAAATCCAAAACGAATACTACGAGTTGCTTCTCCGGCCCTTGTACCACCAAAAAGTTTTTATTTTGCTTTCAATCTCCTCGATTATTGAACAAGGCTACTCAAGGGTTGGGGATAGGAACCCACTCCGTGGCGTGTACTTGCGACTCAAACTCAAAATATGACCTTCTGCCTCAGGCCTTCGTAGCACGCTGATATACTATAGACGAGGGGTGGATATCCGCTTTGCACATTTAGTACTTCATCTCCGAACAATAAATCAACTAAGAGTACACTGTACAGCTGGTTATTCGAGCCATAATTACGAGCTAAGCAATTCGCTTTCCGACAGTTGGCTCGAGCATAGTTGATCATCATCATGCCGATCGGCAGCGGGCACTCTTTTATATCAGAAACACTTTCATGGACCTGGTTATGCAGGACTCCATTACACTACTGTCCGTATAACATTACGGTCTCAAAGGATATAATTCACCACTACAAAATGCAGGGACAGTACAGTTTACGAGTCTTCACACATGCAAAACTAGACAAATACTCTTACAGTCAGCGTGACTATTGGGCTCCACTTGTCGTATTCAGATCGGAAGCCCAAAGCCGCCTCCATCTAGAATTCAAACACTGATGGCACTGGTGTTCGATGCCCCTCATTATTTCGAACGAAGTGGGAGCGATACGGTCGTTCTTCGTTTATTAGCTCAGACTTTCTAAACTCGACTCAGAAATGAGATGACCACTGTACCAGAACATCTTATTAGATGTGTGTTATTCAAACTACCTATACCTACGAACGGCTCACGAAAACTAACGGCCCGTATTGGAGACGCCTGTTATAGTCATCCCTGTCGATGTGGCGTGCGATGAGGCGGTTCTACAAGCCAAAATACTGCTTGGTTTACAGTGTTAAGGGTTCAATAGCCTGATTGGTGTATCTTCTGGAAGGCCACCCTTGTTCTGAGACCATCTGGATAGACTTTTGCAAGTTTACAACCGTTCGACATATATCAAGTCGAAACGATACACAGGACCAAGTACTCGAATACCTCGTGATAGAGAGGAGTTACCATAGCGGCCTGCGGGGTGCGTGAATATTTTAGTGGGACATCTGCGTGGAGAAGGCTGAGCGTCTTAACATGAGTGTTTAGGAGCCGCTGTTGGCGACTGACCACATTTTGACGGTCGCACATGCATGGCACAAGGACTCAACACCTTCTTCGACTTCCAAAAGGCTTCCATGACCGGGGCCAGGACGCATGAACCTTGTGATTTGGGCAGCAAATATTGGACGTCCGGACGAGCAGAGGCACACGCAGGATGCCTTTGGCGTATGAAGGAAGACGTCAATACCTTGAGGCGCCTTGGCCGCAATATCCAGGGATCTTTGGGAGTGGTGGACAGGCGTTCAACCAAGACCCCTTGGAAGGCAACATCGTAGTGCATCTCTTCTGCTGCAGGTCCACCGCTCATATCTCCCTGTTAATCGCAGGACTACTGTACTGTACGCAAAAGCCCTTACGTGCCCAGCGAATAACGTCACGCCGTAAGATGGCAGTCGTGGTCATTTTCATTTTGATTAGCCGGTATATGATGTGGTGAGTCTCATACGGCGCAAAACTCGCCTCTAACGTACACCCTCTCCAGGTTATGCATGATTCGACATGCATGGCTCCGTGCCCCTCGAGGGATGTGCTTGCTGCAAGCCGCCAAAAGCTCACATGGTACCGCCTCCGGGGCTCTCTTTCGTATCTTGCTGACGAGGATTGTGGGCAATCTAAGTCAAGGACTAGGCGAAGATGCAAGAATTACGAACGTGAGGGCCTATTGCAGTACCTAGGGTAATGGTAATGTATTCATCTGGAGGGGGGCGTTGGATGAGTCGGCCGTTGGTCTTTCTTCCCCCTGTACTCTGCTTAGACGTATCCAGCTATGATTGCCTTGAGCGAGGTGTGGAGAGTCGCTAGCCCTCACTCATTCTCCCCGCATCCGCACCATTTCATCTCGGCTTGTATGAGGGTCAAAGTGTGGGAGTGTGGCTCGAGGGTCCCACCGCCTACAGTAGTGGTGATCTCTCGACATGCCCTTATACATTGCCCTCCCGCACGTATGAATTAATCCACCTTCCTCGTGGAAAATCAACGACGGCCGCTTACTTATTCTTACGTTCCTTTCTCCCATTCGCATTCAGCCTTTGAACTCAAGTGTCTCTTGGTCCTTGGTCAAGACGAACCAAAACAACTTAAGACCACCGCCTAAAGCAGCGGACTTACCTACACTTTACAGTTTACTCTTGCAGGAAACGTCCCCCGGCGCCTCCAGGCCAGTCCACCAATGGCGGGCGTTACCCCATCGCCAGATGTTAGTCCCGTGTCAGCAGCGACCTCCACTGGACAATTCCCGCGAGACTCATTCTGTCTTAATCTTTCCACTCTGCCGGACGCGAGCAATTTCCTTCTAAAGTCGACCCTCAAGTCTCCTCATCTCCTCGACTCCCCAAATGGTTTCTACACTGGTGGTGGTCCCTTCAAGAAACGGCCCCGCAACATGTCACAATCATCAGGAACAGACCGCGAGATGTCCAGCGAGGCCACCCAAGTAGCAGCGCCCAATGGCACTGCACCTACGAGCAACGGCAACACTACAACAGAGCCTCGTCCCACTACAAAGAAGCGACCGAGCACCGATACCATCGACTATCCGCGCAGACGCGCGACCATTGCGGTATTGCGACCCCTTTTCTCGTCCTCCTGTAGAATCTTTTCGCATTTTCTGCTTTTATTCTGAATCTCCGTTCTCACGAGACTGATCATTCGATAGTGCGAGATTTGCAGATCGAGGAAATCTCGATGTGATGGCTCCAGGCCGAAGTGCAGGCTATGTACAGAACTCAACGCCGAGTGTATCTATCGAGAACCCGGCATCAAACTGGACGCAGGCGACAAGTTGATTCTCGAGCATCTGAACCGTATCGAGGGTCTATTGCAGACAAATCTTGCCAATGGATTCTCCATCTCCACACACTCCCCCGCTGCGAGTAACTCCACGAGTGAGGAATTCCTCGCTCGTAGCTCCGGCAATATGGCTGCTTTGGGGCTAGGTCCGCCCATACACGGGATCGGTACTTGGAATAGTACTCCTTCCAACATTTCGACTATGCCCAAGACGCACACGACAGCAGCGCTCCATTTACTGCAATCCCCCATGATACGGGAGCTAGTATCCCGCCCCTACGATCCAAAGGTTTTGCTCCAGCTCGAAATGAGCCGTGAGCCGCTCAGTCTCAACACTTCGCTTGGCCTGGACTTATCCAATACTGGCGCGTACGTTAGAGCATTCTTTGAAGGCGTCAACGTCTTCTATGCCATCGTAAATCCATATACATGGACGAGCTATTACCAGACCGCGCTTTCTCGAGGCTTCCGCGAGGGCGCTGAAAGCTGCATCGTATTACTCGTACTTGCGCTCGGCCATGCATCTAGCACAGGAACCATTTCTCACCAGTCTCCTGACAAAGATCCGCCAGGGTTGGCATATTTCGCTGCTGCATGGGGTTTATTGCCAAGTCTGATGACCAGAAATAACATGTTAGCAGCGCAATGCCAGATTTTGGCAGCAGCATATTTGGTGTATCTCGTGCGACCTGTGGAAGCATGGAATATCTTGTCTGGGGCAAGCATGAAATTGCAGCTCTTGCTAAGTGCCCCTGGCAGAGTCTCTCCAGCTGAGGAGGAATTAAGCAAGCGAGTGTACTGGAATGCTGTCATGATCGAAAGGTAGCGCTCTCCCTTCAACCTTCCAAATGAACACATACTAACAACTGCGTGTCAAACAGCGATCTCTTAGCGGAATTAGACCTTCCGCATTCTGGGATCGAGCAATTTGAGGATACATTTACACTTCCTACAGGTTTCGAGGATGTTGGAGCGGACTCCCTTGGAAGAGACGAACTATGGTACTTCCTTGCTGAAATCGCCCTTCGACGATTACTCAATCGAGTAAGCTCGATGCTCTATATTCGCGCAGCACCATTCAGCAAAAACCCGGCAGCCCATTCAATTACACAACTGGATCCTTTAGTGGTGGAGTTGGACTACCAATTGAATCAATGGTATGCCGGCCTGCCACCGGCGATGCAGTTCCCTCTCGACCGGGTTCCACTCCAGAATCCGGTACAGACCGTTCTAAGGTTACGTTACTTCGCGTGTCGGACTATCATCTTCCGACCATACATCCTCCATGTGCTACAAGATGAAAGCCTCGCTATGGACCAAAACGTTCAAGAGAACTGCCACAAATGTCTCGAGGCCTGCATTCGCCAACTCGAGTATATCACGGCCCACCATGCTGGCCACCTCCCTTACCTTTTCCAAGGTGCTTTATCGTAAGTACTCAGGCATGCCCCTTTCAAACAACCGCTAACATCGTGCTAGTATTATCTCGCAAACTCTTTTGGTGATGGGAGCGACCATGTCAGCCTCTCTCTCAGCGCTACTTCCTCCGCCAGCCACGATGGATGATATTATTACCAACGTTATTCACGAGATGGAGCGTTTGGCTCACTTGGCACCTAGTCTCAGACTCTCTGCAGAGATCATTCGAGAGGCCGAAAGCAAACGACAGATGTGGATGCGTACGGCAGGACTCAAATTTGAATCATGATTGAACTGCACAGGCCATGGGCTTAATTGAGGCTACCCTCGCCATCATCGGCAACCCGCCTTTCCTGCTCTCACAACCACTGGGATCTTCAGACCGTATCACACGCTCTGCAGCACCGTCTGAATGTGGACTCGAGAATATTCAAATGCTGCTTCGCACATCTGTTCCAGATTTTCATCCACGACAGAATTCGTCAAGGATGAAAACAATGCGCAATCTTGCTTCTATGGAAGTGCTACGTAGCTTTGCTAGATGCACGCCCCTTGTGAGGCGGCTTCAGCAGGTTGGTCATCCAAAATCATGCAACCGGCTAGTCGAGATCGAAGGTAGCAAGGCATGTCGATGCGATACCGACATGAACAGACCTCTATCCGGGTGGGTATCGATCGTGTGGGATGCTCAATATACTTCAAGCGGGGTCCTCCCGAACATTGGGTTGGGAACCAGGTTCGGCTACTGTTCTCGGAAATTGGTCTCCATCATGGTACCGAGATGTATGTATGTACATGTATTACACGCTGGATGGTGCAGGGCTGTACACATCTATCGAGGATGGGGTTTTCCATGATACGATTTGGAAAAGGGGTTTCAGACATTTAGCTCCCGACTTGCATACATAGCAGCAATTTGGTGAACGAAGCCCCATAGAATGATCCTTTGACAGGGTCAATATGGAAATAGAGGATCATGCAATCAAACGAAAAGCTCGCACAACGATCTGAGATGCTGGGGTCTGACCAGGTTTTGCAAGCATGGACTCCCCTGATTGGACCCGCATTCTGCACCCCGCAGACAATTTATCCACGCGGGCAAGGGTAAGCAAAGGCTTCTAGAAGATTAAAATCGAATTGTTACACGGAGGCTGATGCTCCGTTGGCCCGGATGTGGGATGGTATCACGCAACCGCACTTCTCGTCCTCGGAGACGACAATGGCGATTCGGCATGGTGGTGGTGGGTGTCCTGAAGGAAGGCAGTTATTCGTATGCAAGGACAACTACTGCAGGTCACGAAGGTCCTGGTGCCGAACAAGGCCTGCATGGCTTATCTTTTCTGAATGCGATTGCGGACTGTTACTCGACTACTGTTAGCTGGCCGGCATAGCCATAGCGCGTCGTCGTACTTAGCGATTACCTATTGCAATTTAGGGTAGCTTCTGTGAGCCTTCAACATACTGATGCTATTGTTATAATCTCATCTTTGGATCCTCTTCCTCGCCTGAGCCTGTTTCTTTGAGCGCCACTATAGCACCGTGCCAAATAGGCTTCCGTAGGACATTGCCTCCTAATCCCAAGGTCGTCATCAATCACGCTACAGGGGCAATCACAGGTGATCCGATATCTTTGACAATGACACTGCGTATGCACTCAACAGGTCAGCACATCCTGTCATATAAAATATGCAGGATCACAACACTAAGTTGCCAGGACGCCTACTAGTGGAAACACCAGGACACAAAGAGGCTGCTCTATTCGCTGGAATTCCCACACCGTACGCAGAATTAGAGGGTGTCATCTGTATTCTACCTGCATCAACACATCGAGCTAAATCCTGCACATTTTCTGCCACTGAACCGTGCGCAAATGCTGACAATTTATGTACTGCATCTTCTAGAAAACACAGAACAACATGTTCTGACGCATCCGTATATATGCATGTTCATTTGGACTAGCTAACCCTGTCCCATCCTATCACGACGATCGACAACAGCCACAAAATGGCACACCTTTCGTTATCCGCGAATGATTCTGTGTGTTGCAAGATAGGCACCAAGCAACACAAGACAAAGTCCAATAGTTCCATTCACACAAGAAAGAATTCCCACCTACCAGGTCCTTACTCTTTGTCCTTCCACCGTGGTAAGCAACTAGCGACCATGGGACGCTTCCTACAAGCCACTCTTTGAATAAGCTCGTCAGTTGCGCGCCGTTTATTTGACCAAGGACCAACGACGCGGCATCCTGCATGAAGGAGGCGTTGTCTGGATCTCATTGGCTTGCGCGCTAAGTGGCTATATTACATTCAACTATAGCCTGTGGGAACTGAACGTAAATCGTCAAGTTTGTAGCCACACATGCAGATGAGAAATTCGTGGCATTCCTCGGACAGGGCGACGGTGCGGAGGCGAGACGATGATGATCGTCACAATCCACCAACGCGTTTCCTGGTACGGAGCGGCCGTGCGATTAATTTGTCTAGTTCGATTGGCCTCCGAGGTACGGCCCGTTGTGATCACCTGGGGAGGTGGGTCAAGAGGGCGTGGAGTATAAGCCCAGGATTAGATTGAACTCAGGTCCATTGCGTAGTTCATTTAGAGGGAAATAGGAAGTGACATCTGATTGGAAGATGCTCGATAGCTTTATAGCATTGTGGGTCGCAAAAGAGCCTCCTCCTTCCTATAACTGTGTTTTTAAGTGTTCATTCCGTACCAAGTCAGAAGAATACGGTCGGAGTACGGAGATGGGACGACGAGGTGCTGACGAGTCATGAATGAAACACATGAAATTTCGAGGATCTCGACCGTTACGTGTATCTAGGTCCGTCAAAAACGTCCAAATTCATATCTTGCAGAAAGGTATTTCAATGATGAGATGATTGATCGCTGACGAAGTGGACGAGTGCGTGCTGATCAACGAGATGTTCAAATTGCCATGTTAACCATCTGTACTGCATTGTAGCAGGGTTGTCTTCGCCCACTGTTCTCCAAGTGTCTTACTATCTTGGGTTGTAGCTCGCCCTATCGTTATAGGAAGCTGTCTATAACGAGTGGTGTCATGATCCGCCGTTGATCGTCTTGATATTCTAGCATCACGCAACAGCGAACGAACTTGACTTCCTTAGTAACGGGCTTTGTTTGCATTCAGAACACATACATATTGATCTTCAGCGGGCCGTCAGGTGGTCTACACAGTATGAACAGGGTCCACACCAACTGCAAGAAAATGAGGTCTAGGGCACGTCACTACACATATTACCAGGAATGACCAGCATTGCGGTGAATGCTTGAGCAAGACAGCAACCCGGGCTATCGACCTTGGCAATCAATATGCCTGCCATAAACCTAGATAGTGGTGCGATGGCAGCAATAACAGGACTGTTGGCGAGAGGATTCGAGATTGTCTGCGGGGGTCGGTTCGTCCTGTTTCCCAGATCAACAAAGACGCTAGTCATCAATATGCCGACGGAGAGTGAACAGCCCTTTCGCCTTGTCCTCTCCCCAGGTTTTATGCACATGTATTCGAAGATCTGTCTCGGATATCGAGCCCTGTCAGACCTTAGTCTATGTTTTCGTTAGTGGGTGGGGGTGCAGGTGTGACCGGTGAAGTCGGCCTTGTAATCAATCGTGTACCTAGAAACGAGTCCGGTCCAATATATACTGCTGGCCGGACCGAAGCAGGGGTTAGTAGTGGCAAAGTCAGGATATATACAGACAAGATTTGAAGACCAACTGTATCAACACGATGCCAAGGGCATAATGCAAGATAATAGTACCGAAGAATAAGAGGACGTAGGTAGGACTGTGATGTGAGAAGGTGGAATGAGGTTTTGTGGAACGAGCAGCAGGTAGAAGGGAAAATCTCGAAAGTAGTATAGCCACCGACGCTTGTAACATTCATAGTTTCCAACTCTATAGAACCAAATTTTGTGATATAGCACCCCGTTCTGAAGTATGCTAATACATTGCGGCACATGGACAGTTTCGCCGATGCCCGTTTTCATGAGCATTCGCTGCTCGCTCAAATCTCCTTACTCTTTCAACCATGGGCAATCAGATCCTATTTTCTATATCTGGAGACAACCTTTCGTCGTTTCTCGAAAGCATCACCAACTACACCCGTGCCACGAGGGCTATCTTCGACTGGCCTTTTGCGGCTTCTCTCCAGAGATCCAAGTGCATTGCCTTTCCTCTTGGTAAGTTTTTCGATGCGATCCAGACCTGCCCCAAGATTTCGGAACTCCTCTCCACCCCAACCGCTATTCCGCGACTGAATGCCCTTCTTTGCCCGCTCTTTCTTGCTTTCCTTAGGAAGACGAACGAAATTGGACTCCTCGTAATCTCTTCGTTCGGCTTCATCTCTTCGTTCTTTGTCGGACTTCATTCGGCGGCCGCCCGAGACAATCGTACTACCGATGCTTGGCTCCGCAAGAGGAGCAGTTGAAAGTTCAGTGGCGATGAACTCGTCCATGGTCGCTGATTTGCGCGGTCTTGATTCTCTCTCTTCTCGGCTTTGAGTAACGGGCATGGCCATAGGCGTGATTCTGGGAGGCCTATAGATACCATCCTTGGACGTTTCGGATGCAACTTGCGCATCTGCTGCTTGGCTACGCTTAAATGCAGATAGATTAGGACCGTAGGAAGTCTCGTCCATATCGTCGTCAGTCTGAGCGGATCCTACAGAATCGTCGTCGCTGATATCTGAATTATCGCCGTTGAGTTGCCTGGTGGTCGGTCTGGGTGCCGTGACTTGGTGAGACTCCTTCCTCGTAGCATCGTCTGCCGTCCGGACAATCTTGTCGATTTGATAACGGAGCTTGTTTTCCAATGGGCGTACACCTTTCTCGAGATAGACCCTTAGCTCCACTAGCTTTTTCACGATCTCTTCTTGCAGGTCATCGTCACCACTCTTGTCCGAATGCGATCGATTTCTCAATTTCAACAATATGAGAAAAACCAGGTTTTGGAGGTAGGATAGCAGTAGGTCGTTCTTTACGTCCAATAGAGAAATGCCATCCTTGGGCGGAGCAGTCCCATCCTCAGGAAGTACCTGGGTGGCAGACTTGATGGAGATCGTCAAAGTAGACAGAAGCGCCGATAACGAGTTATCAACTGCCATGCTTGCAAAGAAATTGAGAATTATGGGATCCTAGAAATGTTCGTTGCAACGTGATGAAGGTGTAAATAAAATCTTTGTCGGGCCATTAATTTTTCCCGTGCCAAGATTTCGCGGAGCAAGGGTCCACCGACCCCCGACTAGCAGGAAATTCCAGATCAAAAAAAATATGGACCCTCATCCGTTTCCCTCACAAACAACATTACACCGTACACAATGGGAAAGCGAGCGATTGCAGAAGTTGTCGCCGAGGACCCGGTCGCAGTGAGCTCCGATTCCTTGTCGAGGAAGAAGAGTCGCAAAGACAAGAGCGAAAAATCTAAAAAGCGCTCTGCCGGCGAAGAAATTGAACCAGCCGCCAATGGTTCAGTCGAGGACGAGGTAGAAGACGAGGCCTCCAAGGCTGAGCGCAAAGCTGCTAAGAAGGCGAAGAAGGAGGCAAAAGAATCGAAGAAGGCCAAAAAGGCGAAGAAAGCGCTGGCTGAGGATGCTTCAGAATCAGATGAGGCCGCCGCAAAGGCAGCCAGGAAGGCAGCCCGTAAGGCGGAGAAGAAGAAACTGAAGAACTTGGAGAAGGGAGAATCGACTGCAGACGATACTACTGCCGCGTCGTCTAAGGTCGTGTCCGAGGCGACTTCAGCAGCAACTTCCAAACCAGAGTCTCCGATCACAAGCCCAGAATCTCTTGTGGACACGTCGAGTGGCTACAGTGAGCACCCCGAGCTCACCAACCTTCCTCAGTCGCAGATCGATTCTTTCCTAACCTCCAAGTTTGTTACCATCGACGACCCGCTACCAGCTGCACGAAAGCTCCGCCCGATCATCGATTTCAAGTACCTTCCTGTGGCTAATGAAGCCATGCGAGCGCCCTTTGCTTCTTTCTCGGCGCCCACACCTATACAAGCCGCAACATGGCCAGCTCTTCTGTCCGGCAGAGACATGATTGGAGTGGCAGAGACTGGATCAGGAAAGACTCTAGCGTTCGGAGTTCCCTGCATCCGAGCCATTTCAGCTCTCCCAAAGAAGGAGCAGCGCGGTGTCAAGGCGGTGATCGTCTCGCCTACACGCGAGTTGGCGTCACAGATCCACGAGCAATTGGTCAAGATGGCCACCCCGGCGAATCTCGAGGTCGTCTGCGTCTACGGAGGCGTTCCCAAAGACCCACAGATCAAGGCCCTTCGTACGGCACACATTGTAGTCGCTACACCCGGACGGTTGAATGACCTGATCGGCGACGGATTGGCGGACATAAGCAAAGCAGAATACGTCGTTTTGGATGAAGCAGATCGTATGCTTGACAAGGGTTTCGAGGAGGCCATTCGCCAGATCATCCAGTGCACGCCATCTAAGAGACAGACGCTCATGTTCACGGCGACCTGGCCGGAGTCTGTCCGCAAATTGGCCTCTACTTTCATGCAATCGCCGGTCAAGATCAACATCGGCGAGAACACTACAGGCGAACTACGCGCCAACGTTCGCATCAAGCAGATCGTCGAAGTCATGGACGGAAAGGACAAGAACTTCCGCCTCTTGCAAGCACTCAAACAATACCAATCCGGCAAGAACAAGGATGATCGAATCCTAGTTTTCTGCCTCTACAAGAAGGAGGCTACGCGTGTGGAGGACTTCATCCGCCAGAGGGGTTTCCGCGTTGCAGGCATTCATGGTGATCTGAGCCAGGAGAAGCGAACGGCATCTCTAGAGGCTTTCAAGAAGGGTGCAGTTTCCCTACTCGTAGCAACTGATGTGGCCGCCCGGTATGACCAATAACACCTATCTGTGAAGTACCGAGACTAACTTTCCTTCCAGTGGATTGGACATTCCTGACGTCAAGGTTGTCATAAACGTCACCTTCCCGCTGACCGCAGAAGATTACGTCCACCGCATTGGACGTACTGGACGTGCAGGCAAGGATGGTCTTGCATTGACATTCTTCACCGAGGCCGACAAGGGTCTATCCGGAGCGTAAGTCGATAAAGGTCTTTTATTCCGCGAAAGCTGAGGGCTAACTCATGTCTAGATTAATCAATGTCCTGAAGGCCGCGAACCAACCCGTCCCAGATGAGCTTCTGAAGTTTGGCACAACCGTCAAGAAGAAGGCCCACGATGCCTACGGAGCATTCGTGAAGGACGTCGACATGACCAAGAAGGCGACGAAGATCACTTTCGATTAAGCAAGCCACAGCGCGCTTGTGTGGGGCTTGCTTGGTGTTTCAAGAATGGAATGTTCGATTCTCATTCGATTATTCCTTGCTGTTTGAAAAGCCAAGTCGGCGACGTCCACTGCCAGGGCTTATTTAGATATGAGCGACATGTGTACATGGGGTTTTACCATATTTTACGCGAACCACAAAAGTTTATGGGTCTTGCGGCGGCATCTGTTGGCATACAAGTAGCGTGGAGAAGCGGCATTTCTCTTCTAAACCAGCCATTAGAAAGGGATGTTTTGTGGATCTTCCTTTATGACATAGCCATTTGGACGGAGTTGGGTACAAATTTAGACAAATATTGCCTTTTTTACCTGTTCAATACAACGTTCTGTTATGCAGATCGGCAATTGTCCTCGGTCTGCTGCCACTCTTCGCTCGTCGCCCATAGACGTATCTCAATATGAGCTCCGTAGATGTTCTGTTCGACCATCTCACTTATCCTATTCATGGAGGCATTTGATAGAATCAAAAACTTGTAAATCACGCACCAAGTCACAAACCAATCTCGCTATCACATCTTCAATCCTAACAGGCATCAATCCCACCAAACCAACCACTCCCCCCAAACACAAATCCTACAAACCCCTTCCATTCCCTCGCAACAACACGGGAAGCCTATCCTCAAACAAGCAACCGCACACTCATTCGCTCCGTCCACATGGAAAAAAACCCTTCTTAGACCCACACAACCCGAACGCCACGCCATGGCATGCCATGTGGCCCATCCAGCCCGGCGGGAACGGGGACCCAACCAGCCATTGCAATACCTCGTGCGTACTCTACATACGCCAACCGATAGGTCGGTTCCAGCGAGCGCCTCGCCGTCATAGCAATAGGCGACTCTCCTGCTCGTGGGACTCTCAATGCCGAGGGTCAGCCCTGTATGAATTTCTTTTCCTTTAGCTTGAGCCTCTTGACTAGAGGGACGCTTGCGCCTATATTGAGGCTGTTTTTATTTGTTGATGAGTTCGTCGCGGCGTACACGTCTCGTTTAACCTGCATTGCGTGGTACGCATGCGTCCTCGCCGCGGTGTTGTAGAATCGTCGACTACCTTACTTACCCATAGTATACATACATACGAAAGACGGGGTAGCCCGATCGGGAAATTCGCTCTCAGCGCTTCCCGAATTCGGCGACCTGGGATCTTGTATGGGTGGTTTTGAGTTCGGCGAGGTGAATGCTCGAACGTAAAACTAAGGAATTATTCCTAATTAAAGGTGCCGCTTCCGCTTCGTCTATTTAGTGGGGTGGTGGGAGGTTCAGCAGCAGCAGCGTCGCCGGCGAGGAACGACGGCGAGGACAGGTGGGTGTTCGGCGAGGTGAGGTGAGCCGCGAGCGAGCGGGCGGGTTTGCTTTGTCATTTGCTGGGCCGCTCTGTAGTATACTCTTGGGGCGTACTTTCTATGTGGGGAGAGGTTTGGGACGGGTTTGGAAGGGGAATATATGGTCGGAAGAGTGCGCTGTTCTTTATTTTTAATTCGTATGCTGTATACCTAATCTACTTTTGCCTTTTTTCTGGAAAGTGTTTTACCGGTAGTCGATATCTTCGAAAGTTCAAAGTCACGACTCGACCTCGATATATTATAACCGCAACATACAACAAGAGAACAATATAAACTCGATCCAAAAAATCCAAAAAATCCAAAAAAAAAATCCCAATCCGTCCTCGAAGAAAAAGCAAAAGAACCGCCAACTCATTAGCCGTCGATCTTTGAATATCACATTGCCGACTACACGTCCACGCACATCCACACGACGCAAACATGTGTATGAAAGCTACCTGCGATAACTGCCGTATGTTTCTCTCATCCTCCTATATCGTTCTCGTCAATCCCCCAAGCCCTATCGCCATACTATCAAATGATAAGAAATGGAGACAAAGGATGAATGGACTGTGCAAAACTTTCCTTACTTTCAACTTCATCCATCCCATCCATCACTGATCATTCACTCTGCCATCTCATTCCCATCAAACCATCCCATTCATTCCTAGCCGTCGACACCTATTCATCCTCCTCCACCCCATACCTAAACGCTCCACCTCATCAACACGTCCTCTTCCTCCCCCTCTTTTCCATACCCATCCACTAACCCTCCATCCCCATCTAGAGAAATCAACATGGCGCGGCTGCGGCCGCCACATCCCCACCGTCATGGACTCGATCCCGCACGACCAGTGGTGCACGTGCGATCCCAAGGTCGACCGCGAGGGCGTCGTGTACCCCCCCGCCGTGGGCACTGGGACTCCCGCTCCTAACCCCGTTCCTGTCGCCGGAGCTGATGCTGGGATTGTCCATGGTGCGGTTGGTGTGAGAGTTTAGGCGAGGTTGATGGGAAAGGGAGGGGGGAAGGGGAGGGGGAGTGTACGATTGATGATTGATGATGATTTTGGGGAGGTGTTTGGGCGTTTTCGTGTTTTGGGAGCTAGGATGGTGTGGGTTATGTTTTTGCTGCTATGAAAGACATCTTTGGGTAGGAGGGCAGTTGTTAAGCATGGCACGGTATAGCATAGCAGTGTAGCGTATGATGTGGTACATCCGCCCACTCCACCACTAGGATATACGTATATCTTCCATGTAATCGAAGCATGTATATTTGCGTCTCATTCCCCACGGTCGCTACGTCTATGACCTCTCAGAGGAGTAGATACGTGACGAGCAAGGAGATGAAATAGTGTAGATTGCCACTGATATTGGCGTCGTGTTGTGGTTGGTTTGAGACAGGATTGTATAGACTTTGCTGCTTTGAAGGAAGAGGACTGCGTTGTGCTCGTACAGACCAATACATATTTACTCAAAGACACTACAACAACAAGATGGTTCCATCAAGAGGCATAGACATTAGCGTTAACAGCAACGCAAGCACACACATCTTCTTCCTTGAACCTCCTTTCCATGCACGGGAGCAAGAGAGAAAAGACCATAAAAGGTAACCAAGACAACGAAAACAGAGAATCTAGAATGACCTACCTCCTCCCTACAGCACAGTACACCAACTTTCCACCCCCTGATGCTTCGACTGAAAAAGCAAACAAGGGGATGAGCAAAACGGCATTTATCGTCATATTCAACATCTCGAGATACCACAGCTCGATCCTCTAGATTCTTTCTCCGTCATACTTGGAAGCAGTTCGTCTGGTCGTGTATGACCGACTATCTACTATCTTCCTACATCTATGAACGGGAGGTAGAAGTGATGGACATTAAGAGAGGAGAAGGGGATGTAATGGACAACAGGGGTTCTGTGCGAGTGGAATGTTAAGACGAAAAAGCTCGTAGCTGTGATGGTCGTGGATTCTGTTGTGATGTGTAAGGCATATCTAGCTGAGAGCAGGTGTGTAAAATGTTGGGTTGGAATGAGTTTGAGTACGTGGTTTGGATGTAAGTATTTTGTATATATCTAGCATATTGGGTTGTGGTCCCAACACATCTCTCCATCCATCCCTCCCAAAAGGTAGTTCCTACATGCACGCATTCTCAAGCTTCACAGTCCCACAGGCAAACCCAACGAGCACCAGTCCTCCAACTCAAACCTCAAAGCACTTCAACCTCGATTTATCTTCAAACCCAGATACGTAATATGACGCAACATCTCCCGTCCCGACCTCCTCCAGTACGAGCGCAAGGTCGTCGGTTAAGTCGTGGTGCGACATCCACCCACCTACCCAGGCCCCAACTTTGTCAGATCCGATTTCTTCCCTCTCGGGAACGTCGATAGCCGCATGGATCATGGAAGCATGTGTGCATGGGTGTGGGTGGTCGTGTAGGAGAAAAGAAAAAAGGTCAAACAGGGGGACAAGGGGGAGGTGTGGTTTCAGGTTTTGGGCCTAAGGTGAGGGAGGGGAGGTGGTGGTTCTGTTCCCGATGGCTTGGCTGGGGGCGTGTTTGATGTTTTGGTGTTGGGGGTTGGAGGTTGGGTGGGAGGGTTGATCGTGTTGGGGGCCGGGCTGGAGCATTGGTAGGAAGAATGATGGAAAGGTAAGTTGAGTGATGAGGATATCGGGGAGGTGGTTGCAGCGTTATTTGTTAATGGGTGCGATTTGAGTAGTTGGTCGAGTTTCATGTTGTTCGCATCAGAAGGAATGGATAGGTTAGAGACGGGTGCTACGTTGATGATCAAGTAAGCAGCGTAAAAGGCAATTTTCGTACATTGATGATAGTGGTAGGTACGAGGCTACGAGGTCTGGAGCCGTATGTACTGTGTAAGCTGAAGCTGGAAATGGAATGGAAATGGAATTGCAGGCGTATTGGGACTGGAGGTGCAGGCGTTCGTCACACCAATGACACGGGGTGATGGCAAATATGGGCTACACGGCAAGGCATAGGGAAGGGACGTAGATCGAAAGAGGCGTCGGGGATGGTCGAATGGAAAGGCTAGGAGTGTGAACCCTCTACGAGAAGTTGACAAGCCATGGACGACTTGAACCCTCTCGTTGGTGGTGGCAGTATCTTTTCGAAGCATCAGAGCATTCGGAGGTATCTATCTAATGCACGCCCGGCAATCCCATTCACCATTCACATACGATACATAGACATTTATACAACCAGCCCATCCAACTGCACCTGCATCTGCATCTGCATCTGCATCTGCACATGGGATGGATGCGATCACCACCAAGGCTTTCCCAGCGGCTAACAGCCTAACACGAGGGCAGCAGGCAAAGAGGCAAACAATACTCGTACAATGACTACTCCGTACATACATAACTACAGGTAGTCCGTAGATAGATGGATGGATGGATGGATGGATATAATTATCTCTTCAATACTCTGTCTCTACCGCAGTTAAGGTTCAATGTTTCACACAAGCCCGTTCGAGATGTTCATGAGGAGGTATCATCGAGTTAACTAGTCCAACACTCCACCCTTTCAACCCGCCGGGCCATAAAAGCGACCATCCAGTGTGTTCCCGCCGCTGTCCCACCTAAGTCTAACCCAAGCTACTCGTGCAAACTAACCCCCTCTTCTCCGTCCTGTCCCTGTCCCTGAATTGCCCTGAACATCGTGAACCGACTCAACTGGGTGGACGGACTGGTTGGACTGGACGTTGTGCTAATAATTGATCAACTTCTAACTCGCTCGGACTTGTATCCCTATCCCTTTCCCTTGCCCTACACTACCCACTACACTGCACTACCCACGGTCATGACCATAGTTAGTATGATAGTCATGGCCATACATAGTCAAAGCCATAGTCACAGTGGTAGTAGTCATGAGTTATAATAAGTTATAACTATAGCCGCAGCTATTAATGATACCCTCCCCTACCTCTCTGACCCTTGTCCCCCTCGCACTTGTACTCTCTTACCTAGCTTTCCGCCCCACGCGATACCTGGACTGTAGGTAGTGGAGTGGATAGTTACTGGATAGTTACTGGATAGTTACTGGACAAGTGAACTGTGGACACTGGATCTTTGACTTTACATCCCCGCCAAAATAACCGCCCATCCTTTCCTCTAACCTACCTATACCTATACCTAACTACTGCTACACTCTCTGCTCCATCCTTCTTCCTTTCTCTCTTTTCCTCCTCTTCCTCATTTTCCTTCCCTCATCCATCTGAACACTTCTCTCTGTGATTGACTGTTACTGACATTGTAAGTAGAAGTTCGCCTTCTCTTCTTCGTACATACACACATACGACGGCAATCTGGCACCACCACCAACCACGCGCTTGTCTTGGCTCTCCCACCCTTCTACCCCTCCCCCGTCCTCCATCGTCCCTCCTCTAGTCAAGTCACCGCCTGCGCGCGCCCTCCGCTTCCACCACCTTCATCGTATAACAATCCTGTTTTACGCTCTCTTCTCCGGCTTCCACTCGTAATCACGGGTAATCAAGCCTTTCAAGTTGCACTCCTCGTCACTCACTCTCGGGCGCATCAACTTCTCTACCCGCCGCGCGCCCACCGTTTTACTGAGCGCCTTCGGGTTCCAAAGCTGACATCTACCTCCAGCACACCCCGCCATCCCTCCCAAACCTGCCATCCCTCCCAAACCTGCCATCCCAGCATACCTCAGCTCCGGACACTACCTGCGGTGCCCTCTGTGAGCTTCCTTCACGCCATTGGTACGTCCAATCTAGAATCAATCTCTTCCCGTCCCGCAAGCTCGGGGATCGAGCGGGCGCCGATCGTTGGTGTTGTCGCGGCCTCAGTAGCGCATGTAAACAACAACACCGTCGTTCATATGTTGCTATATTCAGTCCATGGCGCAAATTCCCACGTTTTGGACCTGCGTGGAATCATGGAACCTCACTGCGATCTTTCAAAAGTCCATGTCAGCCATTTATGGACCTTGAAAGCGTCTGCAGAACTTGCACTGCCCCTCTAAACCGCCACCAATCGTTGTTTCTCTTATTGTTCAAGAAAGCTAACAAACAATGGATATAGATATCGCCAAGCCGCCCACTACCCAAGCATTGCAGCGTTCGAGACTCACGTAACGAGTTGTTTTTGATTGAGGCCTGCGCTATCTAGCTCACCGTCAATCGTTTGCGCAACAAGCGGATCGTCTCAGCTCAGCCCGAAACCATGTCTCGCGCAGCTGCGGGGAGCGGAAGCTCCAGGAAGATTTCCTTCAACGTGTCGGAGCAGTACGATATTCAAGATGTCGTAGGAGAGGGCGCGTATGGCGTTGTTTGGTAAGCGATCGATTCTAGGAGCGTGGGTGTCTTGGTATACTAATGGTGTTGACAGCTCCGCATTGCATAAGCCCTCTGGGCAGAAGGTTGCCATCAAGAAGATCACACCCTTCGACCACTCCATGTTCTGTCTCAGAACCCTTCGTGAGATGAAGCTCCTTAGATACTTCAACCACGAGAATATCATCTCGATCCTCGATATCCAGAAGCCGCGTAATTACGAGACCTTCACTGAGGTCTACCTCATTCAGGTACGAGCAAAGATAAACGATTCGAAGGTTACAAGCTTACGTTGGTATAGGAACTCATGGAGACCGACATGCACCGTGTGATTCGCACCCAGGAGTTGTCGGATGACCATTGCCAGTACTTCATCTATCAGACCCTCCGCGCCCTCAAGGCCATGCACTCCGCGAACGTGCTACACCGTGATCTTAAGCCTTCGAATCTTTTGTTGAACGCTAATTGCGATTTGAAAGTGTGCGATTTCGGTCTCGCTCGTTCCGCCGCCTCGACTGAGGACAATTCGGGTTTCATGACGGAATACGTCGCCACTCGATGGTACCGCGCACCCGAGATTATGCTTACGTTCAAGGAGTACACCAAGGCTATTGATGTGTGGAGTGTAGGCTGCATCTTGGCCGAGATGCTCAGCGGCAAGCCCTTGTTCCCTGGAAAGGATTGTGAGTCTATGCGGTCTTCTATCTGAGAATGCTACTGACAAGCCATGCTAGATCACCACCAGCTCACTTTGATCCTGGATGTCCTCGGTACGCCGACCATGGAGGACTACTACGGCATCAAGTCCCGTCGTGCTAGGGAGTACATTCGCTCTCTTCCCTTCAAGAAGAAGATCCCGTGGAAGGCCATGTTCCCCAAGACATCCGATTTGGCATTGGACCTCCTCGAGCGACTTTTGGCCTTCAACCCCGTGAAGCGTATCACCGTTGAGGAGGCCCTGAAGCACCCGTACCTTGAGCCATACCACGACCCAGATGATGAGCCGACCGCCGACCCCATTCCCGAGGAGTTCTTCGACTTTGACAAGAACAAGGACAACCTGACCAAGGAGCAATTGAAGCGTAAGTGGACGACGAACCACGTGTGAGTGACGAATGATGCTAACATGTGGGCAGTTCTTATCTACCAGGAGATCATGCGGTAAACGGCAGCGCTGGCACCTTTTCCTTCCAATTTCTTTTTGGCATGGTCTTCATATGGTGATCTTGAAGATCATAAGGGCGGCCGAGCTGGGCTCAGAAGCGATGTTCTCTTTATAAACTACCACGGTGCCCCCGGTTTCTTCACTTGTGACGGAGTCTCAGATCGCATCATTTCGGAAGCGCTTGACATCAACAACACAATATGCATCGCCGAGCGTATGATGGGACAACGGATATCAGCCCTGCAAGACCATGGTCGTCTTCTATTACCCCCCCCCCCCCCCCCCCCCCCCCCCCCCCCCCCCCCCCCCCCCCCCCCCCCCAGGCTGGCGTGACCCCTCTCGGCTAGTGTACTCTTTCGACGGAGTTGGATGAAGCAATCTAGCGACCATCGATCGGGCTGATGCCTGACATGGACAGGATAATTCTGCACACTTTGCACACCCGGGGGGATAGTGAATTAAAATCCACGAGAGGAGAAATAACGATAACCACAAACAATGTACATGGCCTGTTGGGCAAGCAAGCAAGCCTTTCGATATCTAGAATTTCCGTATGCCGGCACCCCTTTTTTCCTTTTCTTCCACGAACAAACTCTTCTTTTCTTCCGTGTAAAAAGCGTATTGAGCCGAGAGAAATCCTCGCAAATGCATGCATCGTGACGTGACGTGACGTGACGCCACTGCCGTTGTCTATCCCTTATACCTACGTAACAACCCATCTATACACATCTTATCGTACACACACCCACATATATATCATACACCCCCCCCCTCCCTCCCAACCCATCACGTACTCAATCAATCACACCTCCCATCCCTCCACCCCGCCCCCCACCTCTCCTCCCACCTCCCACAATCAAACACCCCCTTCCCCAACTTAACATTAACCGCATTATGCGCCTCGCACATCCAGCGCCCGAACTCCTCTCTACTGCTCACCCGCGGCGCGTTCCCGTCCCTCGCCATCCACTCGCGGAAATCGCCCGCGCAGTGCCAGCACGGGTACAGCGTCCCGAGCGCGGAGACGAAGGAGAGGGCGGAGCGCTGGTGTGCAGGGGAGGGGGAGACGGGGTAGGTTGCGGTGATGGAGTGGAGGAGCGTCCAGGTGGAGCGGCCGAGGAGGGTCACGTCGGGGGGGCAGTCTGTGAATTGTGGGATTTCGCTTTCTTGTTCTGTGGTGGGGGTGGATGCGGCGGCGAGGGTGGAGGCGGCGGCGGCGGCGGTGGTGGAAGTGGTGGAGGAGGAGGAGGTTGTGGGTTTGGTTTTGGAGGAGGCGAGGGATGTCCAGGCTTTGAAGGCGGAGGAGGAGGTGCAGGAGCGGCAGCTATTGTTCATTCAGTTTTGTTGGGTTTTCTATGGTGATTCTGAGGGTGGGAGAGGGAGAGGGGAGGGGACGTACGGTTTTCCGTCTGGGCCTAGGACCATGCCTTTTGGGAGGGGGGTTGTGGTTGAGGGTGAGGGTGAGGTGTCGTCGATTGGACCTGGCGCCATGGTGGAAGAGTTTCTGGTTTCTGGAGGTTTGTCCTGGGTTTGGAGGGTCGTGGCGGCGATAGAATTGGATGGGTTGGCGGGCGTGGTTCGATTGAGTGAATGAAAGAGCGTGAGTGTCGTACGTGCAGTAAAGAGTGTGTGTCTCGTGAACGTAAAAAGAAAAGAGATACCGTATCAATCAGGTACACGAAAGACGCTGGAGAAGAAGAACAAGTATCTCGATTTGATTAGTGACGATGTCTAGATGGGAGGGTTTTCTGCTTTGAAATGCGACGCCGCGGCGGCGCCCGTGATATATTCCGTCCGTGCTCGGGTGGTTTTCCTTGCCGGATGACGTTTGGTTGGTTCGTCGGGGGTCGGACTCCCGAGGGTTCGAATTCATGCTACTAGTGAATTGAAGCTCTTTGATATCGTACGCCGCCAACTGGATGGGATACGAGAGCATGCTTTCGTTGTCGGCTTGGCTTTTGGGTATATATACTTGAATTGAATGCACGACATGGTTTGAGCACTGTGTTCGTGATTCTCCGCGCTCAATTGCGATCAATTGGACACCCCCGCCTACCTACGACCTGCGCGCATCTTCAGACACCTTCGACATATCTACCACAATGGACGTCCCGATAGCAGCAAACGTCCTAGGAACACTGGGCGCCGTACGTCAATCCCTCCAATCCCTCCAATTCTATCCTCACTCTCGACTAACCCGTCAAACATAGGTCTGCTGGTCCATCCAAGTAAGAAACAGCCTCCAACCATCCGAACCCTATCCAAATGAACCGTCCCCTCACACCACATAACAGTTGATACCCCAGATCGTCGTCAACTGGCGCCGCCACCATGCCATCGGCCTGCAACCCACGATGATGATGCTGTGGGCGTGGGCGGGCGTCCCGCTGGGCGTCTACAACATCGTCGAGGAGTACAACATCGCGCTGCGGATCCAGCCCCAGCTCCTCACCTTCCTGAGCCTCGTCACTTGGATACAGTGCTACTACTATGAAAAGGTATCCCCTCTTCCCCTCCCTTTCTTCCCACCCACAGAAAAAGAGTCAGAACAGCGACTGATGTGAGTGACGAAAAATAGAACTGGACCCTCCCCCGCTCCCTCCTAACAGTAACCCCAATCGCCCTCCTCATGTCCGCCGTGCAAACCGCCCTCATCCTCGCCCTCCGCATCGCGAAACACGACCGCGGCCTCCAGTGGCCTCTCACGCTCATGGCCGTCCTCTCGGCCACCCTCCTCGCAGCCGGCGTGGGGAGGCACTACTACGACATCTACGTGCACCGCACGGTGCGCGGGATATCGTTCCTGTTCGTGGGCATCGATGCGCTGGGGGACGTGTTTAGTCTTGCTGCGGTGGTGTTTCAGCGGAGGCTGGATGTGCTGGGGTTGGTGATTTATGGGACGGAGTTGGTGCTTTGGATTGGGGTGTTTGCGTGTGGCGGGTATTATAATTTTGTGCCGTGGGTTAGGGGGAGATTGGGTGGGAAGAAGGTGAAGAGTGCTGGGGAAGGTGGAGGAGGTAGTATTGGGTGTAGGCGCTCTGGGGATGGAGAGGATGTTGGTGGGATGGGGAATACGATTGCATTGCACGATTTACCGTCGAGTACGTCGGTGTTTCGCACGCCGGCTGGGGAGGTGGATGTCATGAGGCAGAGGACGCGTGGGTCAGGACGAAGTCGGAGTCAGGACGGAATGGCGAGCTCGGCTTAGTTGATGTCACGTACTGCTATGACAGCTCATGCTGGATTGGGGAGTTCCCTCTGTACCATTGTTTGGTCCACCTGCGTGCTGAACATAGCATTCATAATTACCTACAATGACGACCATCCCTCCCTCGTCCTCCCCCTTCCTCACCTCACGACCTCATGGCCTCACAACGCCCCCTTAGCCCCCCACCCCTGAAGCGCGCCCACAATCGCTAGCAGCACGCCCGTAGGCTTGTCCCCCGTGCGGTAGTAGTTCGCGCCCGCGCCGAACAGCAGCGCGGTGAGCAGCGCCGCGATAGCCTTGTCGGGTCCGGATGCCAGGGCGAGGGCGCTCTGGGACCATTTGTAGTTTAGGAGACCTGTTGTCGAAGGTTAGAGGAATGGGGAACAGGATGGGATGGAAATGGGATGGGAGAGATGTACCAGCGATGAGGAAGAAGACGCTGCCTTCGTACCAGCCGGCTTTCACGGCGCCGCGGAGGGTGACGGGGAGTTTGTCAATGGACGGGTGGGAGAACTGCTCGAGGCCTTTGGTCTGGTCGGTGCGTTAGCATTGGTTCAATTCGAATTCGTATGTTCCAATTCAATGTGATCTGATGGGGTGTAATTCAAGTCGATATGATGCAATGAACATGAACGCAACGATCCAAGCACATTGAATGTTCGTCGATACATAAGCAGCATAGGTACCATATACAACAGACAATCTTCTGATACCCCGGGATTGCAGAAGTTCAGAAAAGGGAAAGAATGAAGAAGAAGCTCATACAGTGTGACCCAGACCAAGCAAGCCATGGGCGACGGCAACAGCCAGCAACGTTGGGTGTTTGGCGAACGATGACATAGCTACAACGCGTCAGGAAACTTTTGTTTTTTTGTCGCAGCTTTGGAAAGGGATGCTTGGACTAACTGGGCCTGTTCTTATGTACTTTGTTACGCTGGGATTGGAATCAAGGTATCGGATGTACGGAGGAGTTGGTAAACAGCTACAGCTACCTAAAGGTAAATGTACGGAAGTCGAGCAGTTAAAGGTAGTTAGAGGGATCGCGGCGAAGAGCTACCCCACTTTTCGTCGTTGGAAATGGCTGGGAGCCCGTCGAATGTCGTCGCTGGACGAGTCGAGTCGATGGTTAATCGTTATGCGGTTAGCGAGCCGAGGCAGGGCTGGCAGCTGGCTTGTTTCATCTGATTGATGGCCGTCAGCATCAATCGCTAATACATAACAACAGCGACTTGTGTTCTAGTTAGGACATAACATGCGATGGGACGAGGATTGTGTAGGGGCTAATTGTTGCTTATAATGGCGATGCATGGGCAATGAATGTACAATACTCCATCTACATTCATATATAGGAAGATTCACAACTCTGCATGGCATTTTATGCTCTTATAGTTAGATTTGATGATGAGACTGAACAGTAGTATCTCAATTGCTACTACACTGCTGTCCTTATGGAGACTACGAATACGCCGTACCAATCCAAACCCCAAACCCATAGATATAGCCAAAGCCCACCTGATCGACTCGATCGTCCCTCCCGGCACCACCTTCCCAACACCTATATTCAGACCAACCGCTCCTCAAAAACAAAACTGATCAACTTGGAGATGTCAGGACAGTGGTAAACAAATGAAAAACGAGATGAAAAGAGAGAAAGAAACAAAGGGTATCGAAATCCTGGGCCTAGCTATCGGCGCCAGTTTGCTGTAATGGGCTCAAATGCAATGAGAGATTAGAAGATTAAAAGAACATGTAGATCGAAGTAGATGGACGAAATCTGCGAGTGAACGCATGGAATGCATCTAGCCTTTGAGGCAACGCCGCTCGAAGCGGATGGATGGCAGAGAAAAAGGCCACTGAAATTACGGGCCAAAAGGAAATTGGACAAATGAAAACTTTGGCAGACAGATGCACGCTTGCGTTGTCGCTTGTACGCTGATCGTGCAGGGAGAAGAAAAGCAAGACTTTTCGGTTTGTCACATAACGATTTTGACAATTGATGCAATGCAGGTAAGGCAATATGCAGTCGCAATGAAACGGAAGGCGGTGGTATGGCGCGATAGAGATAACGAGCAGCTCGTTCGCACGGCATCGTCCATATAGCATGAGTGCATGAGTGGATCGTCATGGATTCATAAAATTGCGAACTAAAATCCATGGAAGAGATCGTTGGATTCATATGCGAGTTCCTCGTTCAGTCCGCCGGTCGCTCGGTGGTCGTTGGTGCTGGCGCTCCATTGACTATTGCCTCGTCGTCGGTGCCCTCGAACTTTGGGTGCATGTCTATGCGGGTCCTCGCCGAGGGAGTTATCGATGAACGCTTCCATGCGCACGGTACCCATGGAATCGAAGAAGTGTTGTCGTGTGGAGCTGCTCGCTTCCGATGTTCGTGTGCTGGCCATTGCGCTGTGTGGGTTATACACAGACGAGGGAACGGATGGGGGAACATTGCTGCTGTACAAATCGGAAGAACCTGTCGAGTACAATGATGGGACGGCTTGGTGAGAAAAGCTACGATACGGGACACTGGGAGGAGGGGCACCTGGGCCAGTGGAGCTCCTCTTTCGACCGTGGTAAGGACCGCGGCGGATGGCTGGTGGGCTGGCGGATTCAGGAACAGGCGCGTCGAATCCTCCTCCAGGCCTGGAATAGAAGTCAGGCATGGGCTCTGCACGAGAAGCATAACGCTGGGCAACGGGGTTCGCCTTGTTCTTCGCCAGGCGGACCGAGTCACGAACGTGCGAGCGACGAAGAGTAGCGGTCGAGGGCTTGTGTGCCATCTCTTCTGCTGGCGGTGGGACAGGCGGGGCTGGATTGATCTCAGGCATCGGCGCATTCGAATGAGCGAGGAATGACAAAGCGGTCAGCCAGAGGTAGTGGCGTTCACGCGTAGCAGCGGTGAACTTGAGGGCGCGCGCCGGAGTTAGGATCAGAATGGAGCGGTTGAAGAGCACTTCTGTGCCGGCATTCTTAGGAACGGGGGTGTTGTCGGCAACGTCGAGAACAGACTGGATCGTAACTACACGGGAAAAGTCAGTATGTTATAGCTGGAAGAGGAAATGGTGTGACTAACGTTTACGACCGCTCTTGCCAATGAGGGCAGAACTCGTAGTCGGCTGCTTGCTACTCCAGAGCACCGAGCGCTCGTATGGTGATATCCACACCCAGCGCTTGTGACGAACGCCGTTGCTGGTCAAGACAGCGGCCTCATCCGCAGCACGGATGGGATCTGCTGGAGAAGATTCAGGTCCGCCAAAGGTCTTCCTCTTGCGAACGTACTTCCACATCCACTCTCCAACCATGGTGGCTGCAATGGCGTCCACAACGCTGGTTTGTGAGTGAAGACTGCCACCAGAACCGTTGCCGGTGTTGGCGGTAGTGGTGGATAGCTGAGGCCTGTGACCGAAGCGATGGCCAGTTATCATGTCAGTCGGCAGAGGCGGTAGTGATGGGCTTGGAGGCTCCATTGGGGTTTCAGGAAGAGATGGCGATCGACTACGGGATCGTGTGGTCTTGGGAATGACTGCAGCAGACCGTACCTTCCGTAGGCTGTCTTTGCGCTGGTGACCTCTGGTTCCGTACGGTCTTCGGCCCTGGTAGGCGCCACTACTACGCGGGGTTGGGCTTTGGGAGCCTTCACTCTTGCTCAGGGGCTTATTGCGCGAGCTAGATCGAGTCGGCACAGGGAATGGCGGCTGGCCTGTTCCGATGAATCCGTTGGCGATGTGCTGAATCGATCCAATGCTACCGATGCTAGGGCTTCGAGATCGCATATGAGCAGCAGTGCCATTGTGAATCATAGCCGATCGGCGGATGCTGGGCTGTCGAGAGAGTGACGTTCGGACTGGCTTCCCAACCTTTGATGGTTTTTCCAATGAACTGCGGTTGGATAGTATTCTGCTTGAGGCCACTGAGTCTTCTGATGGACGCGACTTGGACACGACCTCCTTGTCTTCAGGGACAGGAGTCGGTGGGCTGTTGAATACGCGCCCGTTCTTCACATTGCGTGATGATAGCATTGGTGTAGAGTATCCCCGCTGCTCATCATCGCTAAGCTCACCGTTCACGTCTTCTTCCTCGTCAGATGATGGTCCATCGAAGCCGGCGAACAAGCTGCTCGTCCGGAAAGGTCGTGTCAATATGCTGTCCCTGTTGCGAGCCAAAGGACCATTGTCGTTGTTTCCAGGGTAGAAGTCCTCGATCTTGCCCTGCGCAGCCTTTTCGAGAAGACTGGTAAGATCCTGGCGTGCTGTAGGGGCGGCAATGGTCTTTTCCTGGCCAACGGGATTGTGAGAATCCTTTCGGTTGACATTTTGGGATGTGCGGTCCTGTTTGGGCTCTGGTGTACCAGGTTTGGAGGAGATGGCAGAGGGAAGAAGGTGAGGTGGAAGCTTCACAGGGCGTTGGTCGATACGAATCGGCTCAGTCTGCATACCGAAAGAGCGAACCGACATCAGATCGCCTGTTGTTTGAGTGGCTGTAGTCTTAGTTCCTGGGGGCAATATAGGTTCTTTGGGCGAGTTTGGTGCAGACGAGGGTGCATGAATGGCGATCGACGGGATCGAAATCGGCGTCGGCGGAGCAGCACGTGTTGGAGGTGGGATTTTTTCTTCGTCAGCCTCGACTTTGAGCTCAAGGACTGTCTCTTTGATCTCATCAACCAGATCTGTCTGTGTAGCAATAGAGGCGACTTCAGGCTTGAAGACGGATGTTGTTGGCGTCGGGAGGCTGGGACTGACAATGGTGGGAGTGGCCGGGGGGCTTAACGGCTGCTCCACAGTTTGGCATGATGTCGATGTTGTGAGACGAGCGGGCAGCTTTGGTGGCAGCGGCGGCGGCGACGGTGCAAATTGTTGAGTCCCTGAACTGCCAGGTACAGAAACGCGCTTCCGGCTTTGGTTGGCCTCCACATCTGAAATAGAAAGAGTCGAGTCGTTGCCCTTCAAAGTATGTGACATCGAGGCAGATGAGTCCGGTCGTGTCGGAGATGACGGGGGTGATGGCTGTACGCCAGTGTCGACATACTGGGGCAGAGTGGGCGGGAAGATCAGGCTCAGGCCGTTTGGCGAGATGGTAAGAGACGAATTGTTTGTATGAGATACATGACCGTTGGTCTTGGGGAGTTCGGACTGTTCAACTGTAGGCTGGGGATCCTTGTTGTCGGCTTGCTGGTTCTCCATACTGAGACCAAGGATACGTTTCGCCTTTTCGTCCGGATACATCGATTGCCGCGACTCCAGTGCTCGCCTTGCGCGCATCTCATGTTCAGGAAAGTCGTCCGAATCCAATTCAAGGTCTCCCAGGTCTTCCTCTTCTTCGTCGAATACTAGCTCATCTGCCAGACTCAGACCGTTGAGACGTCCGTGGCCTTCAGAACCTGTCCCGCTCATGAGCGACATACGGTAGCTACGTCCGATACTTCGATAACTTCCACTGCTGTGGTTCCTTGAATGTCTCGCGACTCTAGTAGAGGGTCGTCGTTGGGGTGATGAACGTATGCTAGCAGTGTCACTCTCGTGGCCCAACCCGCCGTCTCTAGGCAAATCCTCGACTTCGCTGTCCTGTCCGAGCTCTTCTTGGGCGGCCTCCTGCATGGCGATCTCGTCGAGCAGCATTTTCAGACGGCTCTCCGACACATGGACTCGCCGTTCTAGGGTCCTTTTTTCGCCAGCCCAGACTTCCTTCTCTCGCGCCCACATGTCATGAACGCGCGTAGAATCATCTTCTTGGCCCCGTAGCTTCTTCTGTATGGTTTCGAGTTTCTCTTTCAAGTCCGAGTTCGCCTCCTGCGCCTTGTCTCGTTCACCAGCTATCTCCTCGAGAGCTGACAGTGTTCCGTTCTCCAATTGTTGAAGTTGCCGTTTCACAGCATCGTTTTCGCGTGTACTCGAATTGAATTGATCTGCCAGGGAAGCGTTTTCATCGCGGGTGGCCAGAAGATCCGTCTCCAAATCCTCGATGACCTTGTGCTTAGAGTCCAGTTCCCTCCTCAGGTTAAGGATTTCAGACACAAGCGAGGCGTGTAGTGTGGGTGTGAATCTACGAGGATCGAGAGGAGATATTTCTTCGTTTTCATTATCATTGCCCACATCAAAGGGGTCGGGAGGGAATGGTGCTGGAGAAGGTGGCATCTCGCTCGCAGGCGTTCCGTATCTTGACGTGCGACGCGATAGAGACGCATAGGGTGTATCGACGGGTGACGGTAGAGGTTGGTTGCTGATGAAGATCTCATTATCGGAGAAGTATTCGGAGGCCATGTTGAAGTCAGTGACGAAGAGATCGCCAACAGAGTATCACATAAAGAGGGAGACTAGTCGTCGACTCGCGTAAAAGTGAACCACAACGTCGTGGCAATAATGCGTGGAATCTAATTCATGTCTACAGGAATCAGAAGGCATTCAGAAAGCTGTGGTGTTGGTCTTTGGCAAGCATTCACAACGTACTTGGTGCAACGTATTTGCCTCCCGGGCCGAAAGGATGGCTTGCTTGTCTCGTAATAGACCTTTAGATGGAGGGCAGAACAGCTCCTGTATCAGAAGGATATGTCACCCCAGGTGTTGCGTGACAATATTTGAAATGCAAATTGTGCCTGGAGCTGCAATGGATCCCTGCAGTGTGATGTGAAAGTATCCAAGAGTACAAGAAGAATGTAAACTTGAGTCCTAGGCCGAGGGTTAGAAAAGGAGCGAAGAACAAGGAACCCATGGACCACTAGATTGACGTATGCTATGTGGACTGAGGAGGGTCTGCAATGGGGCCCTATGAACTACGCATTGTACTCACAATCCAGGTATAGATATGACGAGGTTGTGCAGAGAAAGATCAGCACGGCCCCTGGGTCATATGCTGGTTGCTTTGTCTGCGATTGAGTATGAGAAAATAGAATATGAGAATCGTACGTTGGAAACAAGTAGTGTAATGATGGGATCGATCAAGCAATGCCACAAGTGGACGAAGCAGAAGTCGAAAAGACACGAAGATAGACGCGTCAATGAAGAGGACTACCTGGTGTGTTTCTAAAGGATCGTGAGTGGTAGGATTGAATAGGATAGCACAAGATAGGATAGGGTTAGGAGGGAGTTAGAAAGAGAAAGAAGGATAATAGAGCGATTGCCTCGAGGAATGAAGCCGAAGGGTAGATGTGAAGCAGAAAGAGGGGAGGGAACTGGCGGGCTGTAAAAGTGTACAGCTTGGGCAGGGAAGAGCATTGAATGTGCTGATCCGTAGCTTCGTTCATGCACAATTTGGTACGGGAGCCAGAGCAGACAGGCGGCCGGCCTGGTTCTGCGGAGACGGGACGGTGGAAGAACGGACAAGGGCCGTATGCTCACGACGAATGAGAACCATTCACCCCATATCAAATTTGCCATGAAGCACAAGGACGATGCTGGTTCGACGCTGGTTTCTTTCAGGCTTGGTCAATGCTGCACCATGCTGGAGCAATAATGATGGCCGGTAATGCATTCGTTTCTGGTGGAGGGAGGTTGCACAGTAGTGCGTTTGCCGTACCGCTTATGCACACTCGCGAGCACGCAGTAGTGGCAGTGGAAGCGGCGTGGGAAGAGATGAGCACACGTCGCTGGGTAGACATTGCGCTGTCCGTGTCTTCCATCCGAGACCCGCAGCAGTGGGATCCCATGCTCATTGGCGTTCTGCGGGTGGGGAAGAGGAAGGGTAGAGCAATCAGGGGCTGCAAGGGATTTAGGTAAATATGCTCCGTACATGGCCTAGGTGTTGATACGTTTTCACCTGTCCGGCCACTGTCCTGTACTTTGAGCGTGTGAAAGGACAAGGTTGATAGGGGATGCAACGTACAAGGGTTGCAAAGGACGAAGAATAGCGAGAAAAAAAAGTCGAGGTAGGCCTATCAGGAACAATCCCCAGCGCAATTGGCCTGCAAATAATCATACAATGCACGAGAATTTCATGACCCTGAGCCAGGCACAAAATCTACCCTATCCCCATCCGTGAATTCGCCTAACCAATCTGGGTCGAGGCCCAGTGGGGGGTGGAAGTTAAAGGGTAAGGAGCAATTGACAGAAACGGAATGAGAGAAATGGCAATGATCGAGGCATCACACGGCTACGGTGCTACACAACGAAGTCGTTCGAACATTGTGACTGCTTCCCGCAGACTTGTAACGACGTCCATGATAGGCAATGCTGGAGAAGCACATGTTGTCGTCAAACGGGCGTAACGAGGTACATGGTTACGTTGTGTGACAGCTCGTGAGCCACTCCTCGTGTCGCGTGCGAGATCACTTCATCCGCCGCTGAATGTATGTACAACAACGAGCTCGATGACGGTTCTTTCCCGTTGCTGCCCAGACTTTGTTCTTGATCGAGCGGCAGATAATGGCAATTTGCGAAATGAACAAATGTGTAGAAAAACTCCCCGGGGGCGTTGAGCACAACACAGTAGTCACAACGCTACCAACAGCCTGAGGCGTGATAGGGTTTCAGCCTCCTATCCGTCTGCGCCGCTGCGCCTAGGCTGTTGTTGCTCGCGGCTCGTTTTGCTCCACTAGTCGTGCGTGTGTGCCAACCTCCTGACACTTCCCTTTGGGACGTGATCAAGTCGTGATCGGGCAGCCGAGGTCGGTGATTTTCATTTGTCGGTTCTTTAAGTCTTTAGTCGATCTGATCTGCCATTGACTTATTACGCGCTATCGCCATACGACTTGACATCTCGCGAAATGAAAAACATTTGGTCTGTTGACGTGTCGTCTTGCTCACCATTGCAGATACCGAGACATCACTTCCTATCTCGACCAAGCCTGCAACATGACAGGAGGAAGAGGGGAGAGAAGGGATATCCTATTCTCTCAGCCCACTGGCCCTTAGCTATCGTGGTCTTTAGCTGTAATGCTATACCGTCTCCCTATCGTATCGATCCCAGGGCCATGAGAAGGCAAAACCAATTCAGACAATAAAAACCCACCCACATTTCCTGTTTGGGGGCTTTGCATCATTCCCATGTCTTTTCAGGTTAACAACGTTCCCAGGAACCGCAACTACTCGAGTCAACAGCAAAGCGGGCATATAGGATCGGCCATGAGCTTTCCTAGTCAGGGCTGACAGCAGATGAGCGTTGCTGAGGACTGACACATGCTCTCTCCCACTCTGCCTACTTGTAGATAGTCTAGACAGTATGTGTATTGTTTGTAAAGACTGTAGAGTACGACGGGTGCAGTCTGGTCCGAATTGAGAAACACGGGAACTTGTAGCTCCAATATCGTACCTCCCGCTGAGTCGTATACGTCGTGCGCAGCTCAGTACTAGTAAAAAGCTGTTAGAAGGTGGCTGTCAGCTGGCTGCGGGACCTGCGGAAATGGATTCGGGATTATTTGCTGCTCGATAGCGTACGTTGTGTTGCGAACGCGTACAGGTGCACGTTCAGCGCCAGTGCTTGTCCAGGTGCGAGACCGATGTCCTCACCAAACAACCTCAGTACACCCTGCGTGCTCAAAATAAATACCACGCTTTGGCTCCAACAACACGTCACGCTTCGTCCCTTGGAACTCGTTGTCGGACTTGACTCCGAATCCAAACCGACAAGCAGAGACCCTCATCCCACACTCCTGGGCAAGCAGATATTTCTGGGTGCGTTCATGCAGACCTGGACCCCTGTGTCGATGTCGATGGATGCAGCTCGGCGAGTACGTAGTTGTAGATCCACCTTCCGTTCACGAAAATGAGAGGAGTGCAGCAGGATCACTGCCGAGTGAGTAACGCTACCACTACTACAGCCTCCCGTACTGTGTGACCAGGTTGCATTTCGGTGGCCATGTTAGGCAAGTAACAGTTTTTGCAAATGAAAGCTATCCAGTCGACCAGCAATGCGTCTTTCGATCCGTTGGACGGAGTACACTTGTGGCAATTGTTGGGTACAAGGAGAGACTGAGTTCCTGCCTGACCACAAAAGTCTGATACATCGGATGAGCCTCCCATTTGTCATAGTCATTCAAATCTCCCCCTCTAGCATTGCTCTATGAGACGATTAACTTCCAAGTAAAGTCAACGATAAGGACAATACAGTTTAGCAGCCGCACTACTTGTAGCGTCAGTCGACTGAGAAAAATTGCCAGGTAAGGAAGACAAAAATGATCACGTGATGGAGCGGGACCTACTGGCGCATCCTTCCTCAGGCCATGGACCTTAAGCGAAGAGAAGTTTAACACTAGTGCCCAATATCACAACTTCGAGCATTTGAAAGGTACCAGTGATCAGCGCCTCACTTTTCATTTGGGACTCCAGGAAAATATGGCTTCAAGCAAGATTGAAAATGGGCCTTCCGAGGCGGCATCTGCAGATCTTCCGCCGGCGATGGCAGAGATCAAGCATCAAGGGGTCGATGAAGTCATTAAAGAGATGAATCGTCTGCCTCTTTTTATGTCGACGCTCGATGAGACCGACGGCGAGGGAGGTGAGAACATCCATCTCGAAGCTCTAAAGGCACTAGCATATGAGGGAACAAAGGCGGAGGTAGCAGAGAATTTCCGTCAGCAAGGAAATGAGTGCGCGCGCGCCAAACAATGGACGGATGCAAAGGAGTTCTATGACAAAGCTATTGCTGCGCTGAAAGCGCCGCCTCAAGAGCCGGATCCCGAGGACGAGCCACAGATCTATGAGATTGAGGTGGATGAAGAGGAAGAAGCCAAGAAAGAAAAGCAGATCGAGGAAGCCTGCTATGTTAACCGAGCACTATGTAACCTAGAGAAGAGTAAGTTATGCCGCAATTTCTACATCACGATGTTCATGAGCGAGTTCTTTGTCATCACAGATTCGATGAAGCCTCATTCTTATAGACGTTGCACTAACGTCAAGATCTAGAAAATTATCGTTCATGCATACAGGATTGTGCTTCCACCCTTCGACTGAACCCTAGCAACGTGAAAGCTCTGTATCGTTCTGCACAAGCATGCCTGGCACTTGACAAGTTGCCCGAAGCCACAGACGCCTGCACGAGGGGCCTTGAGATTGACGGTACCAATGCAGCCCTGAAAACGCTCTCCACCAAGATCGCTGCCCGCGGCTCGTATCTAGATGCTCTGGCCAAAGCTCGGAAAGAACGAGAGGAGAGGGCTGCGTCAGAAAAAGCCACCCTCACATTAGCCCTGAAGAGTCGAGGCATACTTACCAGGTCTACAGACCAGGCGCCAGATCTCGAGGATGCAGCTGTGAAACTGGAGAACTCAATGGACCCGAGTTCTACTCTTTCCTTCCCAGTCATTCTATTGTATCCACTCCATTCCCAATCAGACTTCGTCAAAGCGTTCTCCGAGAAGGAGAAGCTTGATCAGCATCTTGAGTATATTCTGCCTGTACCCTGGGACACAGAGCAAGCCTATACTTTGGACAAGGTCGAGGCATACATGGAGACAATAGCTGGTGGGCTCATAAAAGTGGGTAAGAAAATGTCACTAGGAAAGATCCTTGCCTCTGGCAAAGTCGAGATTGTGGATGGATTGATCAAGATCAACGTGGTCCCAAAGGAAAGGGCAAGCGAATGGATAGACGAGTTCAAGCGGAGAAAGCCATCATGAATCCATGAACGCCCCGCGGAGGATCCAGGCAGGCACGATGGCGGGTATCCAAAGATACTGAGATGAAGGACGATTCACTCCACAGTCCAGGATCAAAAGATTTGGACGGATTAGACGGACGGAGCTGCGCGAAACGCCACATATCGTCGCATCGAAGCGCTGGTTGGGCTTACGGTTTACCATCTTGGCCTCTCCATATACGTTACCAACGTCCCTGAATCATGCTAAGATTACAACCAATTCGCACACCTCATTGTTCCAGACCCTCGCCAATTGAAACCTACACAGTAGAGCAGCTACTTCAGCCTCCAACGGCCGGCAAGGCCGTTTGACTACACATCAGCTCGCCACGTCGAAAGAAGCATTCGCTCTATTATGCAGCATAATAAAACAATCTGATATGACCCCACTTCTTTCCCGCTCTTGCATGCCCGTCTCGTTTATGCGCTGCGCTGCACTGCACTGCACAAGTGAACAAAGAAACATTATCAAAATAACGGCCACCATGGTCAGATACCGCAGCCAGCAAATAACGCGTAAACACGCCTCTTCTCTCCTCTCCAGCCTAAACTCCACGTCTTCTTCATCGTGCCCATCAATCCCCCCGCGTAATCACGCCCAACGCCATTTTCCTCGCTTCGTCTACCAGCCTGCCTGTCTCTCCATCCCCCCAGCCCGCCGAGCCGTCAAAAGTATTCGGATGCAATCTATCATGGACCTTCCAAACTAGGACCCCGTTCCCCGGTACGTGGTCTGCAGGTCTAGCGCAATGTGTTCGACTTTCCCAACTGTTTTTTTCCTCCTCTCTGTACGGATATCACGTTCTCGTCACATTACATGCATGCATGCGTGCGTTTGTGCATGGGCGCGCTCGTTCCTCGCTTCTCGATATCACCCGCCGATATTGCTAGCACTGATTTATCACGCCCACTGGCTTCCTATTTACTCCGTGTCTACCTACTCGTACCATTACAAACAATCTTACAAGGTCTGGACGGAACATCCCCCAACAAAACCAAGAAAGTCCGGGGGTGGACCTCAGACATCAATTAGAGCCCAAGAATAAAATAGAGAAAAAAAACGGGCGGCATGTGCAAGTCCCCCTTCCCACTTCCAATCACAATTAATCCTGTGCCCCCCATCGATCGAATTTGGATAATTCTTCGTCAGATCGTAGGATCTGAGTGGTTGTTGGGTGTTTCACACACACCAATTGTTTGTACCTATTTTGTTTTAATTTAGCCTGCTATTATTTCTTCGCCCTTCTCATCCTTCTCTGTGTCTTTTCCTCTTTTTCCCGGTTTCAGACTGATCGGAACCTCGGCGCCTTCAAATTGCGTTGGGTAGGTACCTAATGTGGGCGTGTGGCACAGTCGTGCCGCTCCTCGTGTCGTCCTCCCGCCCTGGGTTTCTCGCGCGTGCAGGATGTGGTTTTCTTTGGCCGAGGACACTGAGGAGAAAGGATTCGAAGTGCGAGAAGGGTGGATGGGTGGGGATGAGGATGAAGGGGGCAGGGGGCGACGAGATGTAGGTGCGGATATGCGTGGTGGTGGTGCAGCTGTACGTACGTACATGTTGCATATATTAGAGGAGGGTGTGATTCCGGTCGTGCTATCCATGATTGTGTGTACGCTTGTCTATTAATCATTTAGCTCAGATAGAAAAATCACGGAGAGGATGGGGTCAGATTATGGTGCTTTCTGGGTAATTGGTTAGAAGTTAGAAGTTGATGCTTTTGGATCTCTAATACATATCCTAGTTTTCAATTGAAAGATTAATAATTCCCATTCTTCACATTTCACTTCTCTTTCATGTCCACATATACATCAGGGGAGAGGAAAGTAGACGTCTGAAAGATTTGACTTTAATTAGTGTCATACTGTTTGAGATGGGATTGAGTCCATCGCTGGTTCATGGTAATGTTATCCATCCAGTGAAAATAGAAGGCCAGCCATCGCAAGCATCTCCATCCTTTGTGTCGGCTCACGTCCAACACTACTTAGAGAAGTTCTGTGTTAATTAAAAGACATGATCGGGTACAGGAATTTGATAAGACTGTAGTGTCCTTTCTTCGAATTCCCGAACCACAAACAAGCAAGACACAACCCGGCTTCGATATCTTACATTCATTCTGCTTGCCGTTCAATCCATGGTACTCGTAAGCTTATATCAATATTCCATGCAGGGCTCATGTTCCTCCACTGCCAATCTATGTAGTTCCATGGGAGTAAGGCCACAATTACGGAAAACATCTTGGTTTCGGAAAGTTAACCTCAGATCGACAAATGATGAGGCTATCATTCATCTAGATATAGTTTGCGTTTGCGAGTCATCAGCTCTTGGATCTCGTCAAATGTAGAAGGCATGATTTTCTGGAAGTACCAACGATTCGGAGGTTCCGTTGTCACTAGGTCTGCTTTGATCCGCTCAAGGTAGCCGAGAAATTTGTTATCAGTTTTGAGCAGGTGGCGACGTCCCAGGAACGTCAACTTCACTTTGCGCAATTTGGCCTGACGAAGTATACGGAAACAGTCGATCAAGTGGGGGTCGTTTATATACCGACGGTTTTCGTGCGTGAGGTATGGTGTGAGGCTTGGTGCTGCATCCTCAAGTGTAATTTTGATATCTCTTAGGTAGGCGAGGTTCGCCGGCCCTATGACCTTGAGAAACTGCCTCACGTCCTGATAGCCGATCTCCTTCGGGATCGGATTCCAGAAGGGAGACCGTGAAGCTCGATTGCGGCTCAAGGCGAATGTGTTTTCGCCGTACAACACACTGCAACCTTCACTGTGAATGAGTTTGCAGGTGCGTAAGAATTGACCAGACCTGCAAAAATTGCTTGGCGAAGCAATATCTAAGTCATTGTCGGCCTTGAAAAGCAATTGGTAAATCTTGTTCCTAATCTCAGGCGGAATCTTGTCGAAGCTCTTTGCTCCACTGTCATTGGTGCTGGGCGGAAGCATCTCTGCTTCAGTCTGCAAAGGTGGTGCTGGCAAGTCGAAAGCTCTGGGTTCGCGTAGTAAATCGCCATTCAATTTCACTAACAGAGGGCCATGAAATCCCAATGGTATATTGAATTGCAGGACAACCGGCCCTGTGGCATTAGATGGCCTTCGGATTACACGGTTCGACTCATCATCTGTTTCCTCATCCGGTGCTTCGAAGTAGGAGAAGGGCTCTGTCGGCGGAGGAGTAGGTGATGGTACCCGCTTGCGCTTTCTTCCACGGGCAGTTTTGGGTTTCTCGCCTTCTTCGTCTTCAGATGGATATTCCATCAGATCAGGCTCCTCTTCCTCGATTAGTGACGAATCAATATAACCATCCATACGGTGACTCCGGCCGGCTGACTTGCGGATTGGTCGACCAGTACGCTTGTTGACGCGGGTAACACGAGATGGACTACCTAGCTCTGGGCTGCTATCGCGACTTTGCAAGTTGGGTCGCGGCTGCGACGCGGCGGCGTACGCCCTCGCACGAACCATCTCGAGTGCGGTCGTTAATGTGAGGAAGATGAAATGGAGGTCCTGAGCGGGTGCTGTTGATTGTGGTGAGATGAGAGACCGAGGCCAACAAAGGTCAAGTTGTTCTCGTAAACTTCTTCGGTGGACTGTTGGGTGCAGTGGGGTTGAAGTGTAGGAGCAGTGGGGAAGTCGCAGTGTTTACCGTGGTTTTGATTTGATCACGACCGTACCTACAACGAGCAGGAATGCGGAAGGTGCGGACGACATGTAACCGTTTGAGCATCTGACAAGTTACTTAACTTCACCCGTGGTTGCCCGCTAATGATTATAAGAAAGGTCAGAGCTTTTCTGGTACATAATGTATGAGGTAGTGAAGTAGGAAGCTCTGTGGATATGGAGACAACTATTGCTATTTGCATGTACATAAATATATACACACACTCCCTGCAGATGTAGCCCATGGAGTTATCGTAAAGCTGGCCTCTATATCGACATCCACCTTCACTTGCACGCGCCGACGCGCTCATAAACCAATCACACGTTCAATCAAGTATCCTTCAGTCCATGCCTGTGAATCCGTGCCCATGAATCGATATCAACGACATATGCCAGTCATAAGGTGAAAATGTCTCCTGAGGGTGGTGGAGGTGCCCGGAGCATATCAGCAGCACCCACGTCAACCATCACTGCAAAAGCAGAGATAACCAAGTGAGAATGCGAATGTCTGAAAGGCGCTGAATCATCCTGGATTTAGTCGTAAAGAACGTGAAGATGGCGCGACGTCGCGATCGAAGAAATACTCTCTAGCTTAAGCGATCATGTGATCGGACGTTCTCTTACTCCACGTTGTCCGTGCATTCTTTCCAGTTCCGATTTGGGTCTAGCCACTCACGCCACGCGCTAACATTGCACCTACATATCATAGACTGGTGATATAGCTCTCCAATTCCTCACCTTTCTCTCTTTCTTTTCCTCAATTCCTCCCTCATGGCCGCCCTCAGAGCTTCTTGCCGGGCAACTCTTGGGCTCTATCGCCGCCCTTCGTTTGCAATTGCACAATGCCAGTCGGCGAGATCTATCCAGAGGCAGTACCAATGGCGGGGTTACGCCGCCTCAATCGATAACCAGCAAAAGGCAACTTTGGCACATTTCGAACAATTTGTGACTGTTACTGACGAATTTCCAGCTCCTAGCCGCGGATTTGGAGAATGCGGACCCAACTGTCTTCCAGATCATCGAGAAGGTCCGTACCCGGTCCCCTACAACATCCCCGTCGGAAAGCTCACCGCGCGGCTATTACAGGAGAAAAACCGACAGAAACATTTCATAAACCTCATTCCGTCGGAGAACTTCACATCACAGGCCGTGCTCGATGCGCTCGGTAGTGTAATGCAAAGTATGCTTCACACCTTCACAATGTCGGATTCATATGGTCGATACATAGGCTCACAACGTCATCGCAGACAAGTACTCTGAGGGCTACCCCGGAGCACGTTATTATGGAGGAAACGAATTCATTGATGAAGCTGAAAGGCTTTGCCAACAAAGAGCGCTCAAGGCTTTCGGATTGAGCGAGTCAGAGTGGGGTGTGAACGTCCAACGTGAGTGCTCATTTGCCCCATTGTACGCGCATATGGACTAATTGGTTTACGATAGCTTTATCTGGCTCACCTGCCAATCTCTATGCCTACTCTGCCATCCTTAACACCCACGATCGTATCCTCAGTCTCGACCTTCCTCACGGAGGCCATCTATCCCACGGCTACCAGACCCCCACCAAGAAGATCTCCGCCGTCTCCAAATACTTCGAAACACTTCCATACAGGTTAGACGAGAAGACGGGAATCATTGACTATGCTCAAATGGAGGAGCTTGCAACTCTTTATCGACCAAAGGTCATTGTTGCGGGAACATCCGCTTATAGCCGTCTGATAGAGTATGAGCGGGTCCGCAAGATCGCTGATAATGTAGGAGCGTACGTCTTGGCAGACATGGCCCACATTTCTGGGTTAGTGGCGGCTGGTGTTGTTCCATCTCCGTTCCCATACGCCGACATTGTCACGACTACAACACACAAGTCGTTGCGTGGCCCACGCGGTGCCATGATCTTTTACCGTAAAGGTGTGAGGCGTGTAGATAAGAAGGGTGTTGAGGAGCATTATGATCTGGAAGGACCCATCAATGCTTCCGTCTTCCCTGGACATCAGGGTGGCCCTCATAACCACACCATCACGGCATTAGCTGTTGCTCTTCAACAGGCTCAGTCTAAGGAGTTCAAACAGTACCAACAGGCTGTGCTGGATAACTCCAAGGCCCTTGCCGAGAGGTTGGGTAATTCCAAAGAGAATGGCGGATTGGGCTACAACCTCGTCTCTGGCGGAACAGATAACCACCTCATCCTGATTGATCTCAAGGACAAGGGTGTCGACGGCGCACGCGTAGAGCGTGTGCTTGAGCTTGTTGGTGTCGCAAGTAACAAGAACACCGTTCCTGGAGACAAGTCTGCGATGAAGCCTGGCGGTCTTCGAATTGGTACTCCTGCGATGACCACTCGAGGTTTCCAGGGAGAAGATTTCCATAGAGTAGCTGACATTATCCATCGCGCCGTGACCATCACCCAGAAGATCGACAAAGAGGCCAAGGCCAAGGCCGAACAAACTAAGAGGAAGAACCCAGGCAGTGTAGCTGCTTTCAAAGAATACCTAGGTGAGGGCGGCGAGATCACAGACATTGTACAGTTGCGACAAGAGGTTGAGGACTGGGTTGGCACCTTCAAGCTCCCATGGACCAAGGGCGAATGATTGTAACTATATGATTTGAGCGTTAGATTTGGCTGCACTGGCAGCTTTCAGCTTTCAAAATGTTTGTTTCTCCGAGATTTCTATAACGTATATATACATTCAACATAGCGCACATTTGGCCAGCGCCAATTCCAAGTCGCGAACGCAATTTCTCCAATCCACATACTTTTTCAGCGTCTATTGCGAATGTTAACAGTTGTATCTAAAAGCTAACGACCAAGTTCATGAATAAATGCTCGTATCCTCAAGAATTTGATTTTCCTGGTAAATTCTGTTAAATATAGTGAAGAAAAGCTTTAAAAAATGTGCTCAGATAATGGATTATGCCAAACCTTACTGTTGTCTTTCTAGGGGTGTTCTGGCTTAGCACTAGGTACTCTATCCTTATATTAGAGTAAGTTTTGATTTTCATCTCTCCAGTTTCCATCTTAGAGTACAGCAACCTTTCGCACACGAAAGGTAGCATTCGAGCTTCTAGATGGACGTTTGACTTCAACGGCAAACAATATTTTCTGCTTGTTGCAAATTACGTTAGGATGTTACTGGATGTCTAGAGGTACTCGGTCTTTGATCGGTCTGAGGAAAAAACACTGACGTCCAATGATGTCTGGTAGGTGAAAACGTTCGTTCAGTATCGTTGTGGAAAATGCAAACACAGGTTCACCGACCCTACGCATTCCTTGACCAGGCTTGACGCACACAACTACTGGAAACTTAAAGAATAGAAATTGTTATTGTTCCAGAAATTCATCGGGAGTATGGACACACGGTTCTCTCTCTATATCGCGCTTCGTTTTCCGGAAAGTGATGTGCTTAGAGGTTATTGAGGACCGTTCAAGCTTCACTTCCGGGACGGGTAAAAGTGAAGTCGTTAAATAACTTAGTGAAACATAGTTTCATGGCCTGTGGTCCCATTCTCCATCTTACCGGTTGGTGAAGGTGTTTTCACTGTGCATCGGTATTGATGTTGACTTCACTATACGCAACAATAGTAACGTTTCTCGACGACCTCACTGACTTTATATCCTGAAGTATCTGGTATTGTTTCATCCAAGACAGACTTCCTACGGTTCTACTTCATATTGCTACCCCGGTCAGTGAACTGCCTTCTCGATTTTCACTGGCTGTGAAACACTCAATAGGCACGATTACTATTATACCTCGAAACGATGATATGTCCCGTCTCATCATACCTACAATAGAAACCATTCAAACGCCATATCTCACCTTTAAATCTTCCATTCACATTCTATGCCGCCAAAAGGACCGCACAATAGCAGCGTCCGATATTCATACACCATTGTCCTAACCACTGCTAGATACGATATAAAACCCCATCCATATCGCCCTCGAGATCCATCATACTTCCTCCACAACCATCTCCAAAACCAAATTATCCAGTTCAGCTCTGAAACTCCAAGTTCTCCTTCTCCACCTCCACCAGGACCAAAAGCTCAAAACCAAACCCTCAACCATCACTCTTTTCCCAACTACAAATGTCTTTCCCAAACCTTCCCGCCACCACAACACCCACAACAATAACAACAGCCTCATTCTCACGGCCGAGCCCCGAAACCCCCCTCTCCAAAATCTTCGGCCCAACCACTGACGCAATAGCATTCGCGCTGTTCTGCTACTGCGCGGCGACGTTCCTTCTCTTCACCTTGATGTGGAGTCGCGAGTGGATCGACAGCGGTCTCAATGTGAGTTCCCTTTCCTGCTTGTTTTGCTTTCTCGGTGTCGGTGAGTGGTTTGCTGATGAGTTGTGGGTGTTGTAGCCGACTGGGAAGTTCCTGTGGGGATTGGGGGCGAGTGGGGGACGGAACGAGCGGAGGAGGGGGACGGGACGGCGGAGAGGGGAGGTAGTGGATGTGGATGAAGAGAGGGGGATTGTGTGGAGGGTTGAGATGATTGAGGGGGAGATGAGGAGGCTGGGTCTTTGAAGGGGAGTGAGCGAGGGGATTCGTTTGAATGGTGAGGAAGTGGGATGAGGGTTGAGTTGGTGTGAATTGGATATCACTTGAGATTGTGAGTGGGGAATGGGGGGCGGGATATACTATTTTTTTTCTATTGTTTTGTTTTGTTTTTTAGCTTCTGAAGCTGGGATTTTGGATAGCTTTTGATACAAACAGTCAGCCGCTTCACTCAAACGACTCGCTTTCCAAACACCCTGAATCGTTTGACTCCGCCGTCAGGAATGATGATCAACTTAGCGTGAGTATACTTCTTGCCCTTCACGTCGGTCAACACCTCCTGACCGTACACGTGCTCCTTATCCGGTCCACTCTTCTGTGGCGACAAAACCTCCACCCATCCCTTATCCTCATGTCCAGGGTCCTTCTCGAACTCTCCCGCATACACCTGCACCTTCTGCGGGAAGTTACCGCGGAAATGCGCCGTGTCGATGACGATGTTATCGATCTCGCCCTTCGCGCCCAGCCTCACAATCGTCCAGTCAATGTGCACACCGCGCGTACGCTTCGTCTCCCACCCATCGCCCATATCCTTTCCGCGACCGGGAAGCAATAGGTTATCCTTGGTTCCGAAGTGCTGGTCAGAGCAGGATGTCGCAACGCCGCCATTGACCGTCGCACTGAGCTCAAACACCTCGTCGATGCTCTGCGGGAACACAGGGACCGCATTTCCGTACAACCTGAACCGCGCGATGCCGCCATCAGGATACATAAGCAGCCTGACGTGCGTGTACGCCTTCTCCGTCAATTGATTCAGGATCCAGCCGTGGCGCTGACTGGGCCCGCATTCCTGCTTGCTAAGGATGGTCTCCCAGCCCGTGTACCCGGGCTTCTTGACCTCGTCCTCCTGGTCGTCGCTCGCGAAGGTGCCCTCGATGGCGATCTCGGGTGCGTGGTTGCCGTTGAAGAACGCAGTGTCGATTTCCGCGCCGATGACCTTCCCGCTCGCGACGCCGAGGCGGAACACGACCCAGTCGGCGGGCTCGGTGTTGTGCCGGCGCGTCTCCCAGCCGTCGTACCAGGCGCCGGCGTGTGTGAAGACGCCTGGTCGGCGGATGGGAGGGGTTGGGGTGGTGAGGTTGGAGGCGGCGGCGAACCATTCGTCGCTGAAGGAGAGGATGCGGGAGCCTAGGGGGGCGGAGATGAGGTCTGGAGGGTGGGAGTTAGCATGATGCTGTGTGACTGTAGGGGGGAGGTATCGTGTATGATTGGTGTACGATTGTGTGGTTTTGCTTGTTGCATGGTTGCGTACCTGTGTATTGGGACTTGAAGGTTGGGTCAATCTCGTCGGCGGACAAGACACGGGCTTTTGTGCTGTCCGCTCCCGTAATTGTCGCCTTGATATACTCTGGGGATATGGTAGGGATTTCCATGGTGAGAGATTGTGGAGTTGAAGGTTATGTGTGGTTTCAGTGGTCAATTGGGGGGTTTATAAGGAAGAGGGGGATGGATGATGTTAGAAAGTCAAGAAGTGTCGGAATTGATAGGCACACGACAATTGTTTATAAGATTGGACCCTTGCCGACCTCAACGGGTATGAGTTACTACGTTCAGAGAATACGAGGCAGATAGGTGATGATACAATTCTCCGGCCTCTGCTTGGTGGTGGGCACTGGCGGGGTAGGTTGAGTGCTCGTACTGGCTGACTGGTAGCTTCATAGCTAAGGTTGTGAAAACGGTTCCCAATTAGGTGTAAGATGCGTGGGGTTGACCAAAACCCTTGCGGAGCCCGCCGATGGTATAACACACTAACACCGATATCGGGTACGGGCGGCCAATGATACAGTCGATATAAATCTTCTATTACTCGATAGCATCAGGGAATCTTCAACATGTCTACTGCCCCTACCAAGCTATTACTCGATAGCAACCCCTCTCCTGCCTCTATCGTAAGAATCAATAGCGATGACATCTTCATATTTGGTATAGTACAGGCAATTGACGGCTACAGTCGCTGGCAAAGGAATCACGAATGGAAAATTTGCGGAGAAAGGGGGCGTCCATGGCAATATATTCTTCTCTTTTCCGGCCCCATCTTCAAAACTATCGGATGGCAGCTTCTCGTCGTCACTGCAGCTGCAGCTGCAGTCGTGCAACCAACATGCCTGTCAACAGTGTGATGGATGTGAATCCAAATGCATCATTCGCTTTGGGCTTGTCTCTCCTCGTTGACAAATGCAGTACGTAAAATTTAATATGCAATCCTTTCACATCTGAATCCATGGCTGCAACATCATGCCGTGTCAACTCCGCAGCATCTCAGACACTTGAGACGGCCATGTTGGATATGAAGTCTCTTCCTGTCAATGCTCTCAGAGGGGTTGAATCCGGGTGTAACCCTCGCTTCAGCCGTAATTCTGCTCAGTCCATCGCGTGTCCTCGTACATCGCCCCGCTATGCTTGGTACTGCTCAGATCCAGCTTGGCCAAGAATTCCGGAGGTATTGTAGGTATGTATTTCCTTTCTCGCTCCTTGTTCACTCCACCAAATCCGGCACCATAGGTGATCAGCATGTCTGTGGATGTGGGAAGACTAAAAGGTAGCATGTAGGAAGGGTCCAAAAGGAGGTCATCAGGCGCATCCTCTTTCTCCTCTTCCGACATCCTCGATGGTGCTGGCGATGGAGAAGTAATGGGCTGCGTGGAATTCGACTTCACAGGTGTGGTTGGAGCCGAATCGGCTTGATGTGGTGGATTTGGTGACTTTGCCCGGGCGGCTTTGCGCTCCGCCGCTGCCTTTTGGAGATGTGCGATGTACTTGGACGCACTTTTATGCAGTCCTTTCTCGCCAACCTCTGGTCGGTAGTATTTGGCAGCATGCAGGAGCTGCTGAGGTGTCAGGCGTGGCAACTGTTGTAATGTGCCGACAAGTGCCTCTAAATCCTCGCCAAACGAGGAGAAGACTTGAAGCCATTGCAAGAGTTGCACGAGCGGCTCAAGATGACGTTTAGCTGAATCGACAGTGTTGTCGCCCGTCGACTGCATCGAGCCATTTTCGTAATGTTCTGGTTGTCGGTTGTTCGATCGTGCCCAGTCTTCCAGGGTGGACACGTTCATCCGAATCTGCATAGCTTTGGTGCGTGCTAAGTATTTACGGTTGGACATGATCCGGTTAAAGAGCTCTGCTGAGAGCCAGTAAATAAGCTGGGAAAGTATCTGGGCAGTGATGACTGAGTGTACATCATAGAGATCCAGCACGAATAGGGTCGATGATAGCAGAGATGTTATGTTCCGAGGAGAGGGCTGCGCTCTGCGCTTCGGAGACGGGGGCCTAAACCGCTTCTCGATAGGCTCAGGGGGCTTGACCTTCGCCTTCGTCCGGAATATCTTCCATTCGTGTTGGAATAGTACGTCTTCAAAACCCGGTATTGTCTCATGCTCCAACATGGCCTGATCAAGGGCCTTATCCATTCTGCGTTCGGCGTCGCGAATGATGAGTATGAATATCTCATTAATGAGCTCTGCCATTTGTAGTTGAAATTCGGTCGTCGCCTGGAGCAGCCCTGTATCCTTTTTCAAGTAGTGAAGCAATAGTGTGGCGTTGGACAACCAAAATGCCAAGACGGTCATGTCCCACTGATGCTTTTCAACAACATCATTGATCTTGTCCATAGCGGAGACTAGCAACGTTTCTAGTAATTCGGCACTTGAATGATAGTGTGCATAGCGGGCACTGAGGAACAGGATGTTCGCTGGGACTGGTTTTTGCGTAGGTGAGCGTTGAGGCGTCATGTTGGTGATGATAATGTCGAGTATTCGATCCAGTTCATTTTCCTGGAATACGAACATTTGGTCATTGAGGCAGCGGTCCCAAATGAATTCCTGTACCTCTTCTTGCTCTTCGGGTGTCTGTGACATGATTAGCAGGTTACATAATCATATAAGGGGTATTTGCTGACCTCTGGCTGCTCATCGAGTCCTAAATTGCCAAGGTCGACTTCGAGGTTGAAAGCGCTTTCCATCATCATTCGGCGTTTCATCTCATTTTCAGCCATTTCTTCCTCGAAGCGATCTTGAGAGAAACCCGAGTTGTAAAAGTCGTCCGAAACGCCAGCATTGCCGATGGAGTAGCCACTTTCATGGAGGTAGTCGGACAGTTCGCTATTCGGTTCAACAAAGTCGAAGGCAGTCCTCCCCGTAGATGATTTGATCTCAGGCGAAGCGCCGTGGTCGAGTAGTAATTTCACGATACCCTTGTGTCTGTTGGTCATGGCCCACATCAAGGGACTCCAGCGGTTCTTGTCCTGTTTGTCTACATCCGCGCCCGCTTCGACAAGTGTTTCAACGACATCTTCGTGTCCAAAACAGCTTGCGTAAACTAACGGAGGCGTACCCTCAGCATCGACGGCGTTGATATCGATGTACTCCCTAGCCTTTCCGTTTAGGAGTCGCTGCACCCTCTCCAATTCGCCGTTGGACGCCGCTAGGGTAAGTAGCCCTTGTAAAGCCTCTCGCTTTTCGTCAGGCGACAGTTTGTCGTCTGCAACTACCTTGGCCTCATCTCCCGAGTTATCGTTCTTAAGACGGGCTTGGTGAGCAAGCATTTGTACAAGCCGACTGTCGCTGTCTTCGAGCTGCTGGATATCTTCGTCCCCACCAAAACTCGGGTCGTCTAGGGAAAGGTTGAAGCTGAGTGGGCGGGCAGGCATTGGCGTTGTCAGAAACTGCGATTGCCCTGCGGCGTTGGTTAGCTGTGAGACAAGATCACGAATGTCCCTCGCACTGACCCTGCCATGCGTCATAGATCTCAGTCTCCTCCCCTATCGTCGGCGGTGCCCTTCTATCATCTAGTGATGTCGGAAGATCTGAGGGGAGCTGTCGGGGTTTGATGGGCTCCCCAAGGTCCCCCGTATGGGCAGGGTCGTGCGTGGGAGAGTCCATCGTGTGGCATTGGAAATCGAAAGCCTTTTGTATGTTCCCAACGACGTGCTACCCAAGCAACTACTCTCCTGCGCCTCCGCTTAGGTCAGATCCTAATTGCCACGATGTTGCGGGTTCCTGCAGCTGAAAGGGTTCGGAGACAGCGAGGGGCAGCGCTCGATGGGCCTCCGGAGGCCAGGTATGGTATCAAGGTTGCGTAGGCTCAGCGGGACGGGATAGAAACATGTATGGATCGGGGAACGTAGTTGTAGGGTGTGTGATGGGGTGGTGGTGGTTTTCTTCGGTGTTTCTGGACTATCACGGCGGGGTCAGGAACAATTGAAAATCGTATCTATACAAACACCAGATGTTGAAGTTGTCCTGGCAGGCTGGTAATAGGTAGGTTTAGCTCAGTCGGCCAGCCAGCCCAGGTAGTGATGTCGTTTGGACGGTGCGGATCTTAGCCGCAAATGGATCAAGCGTAGCCTTGGTGGGGCTTCAATGAACAACATTCGTACGTACCTAGTCAGGTTAATCTGTGGCAGCAAGATGAGGCGCTCACCAGGTAAATTGAGTTAGTTAGGCAATCCAGATCAGTCAGCACTCCCTCCAGCGCACGGTGGCCCATCATTTGCATCCATCCATCTCAAGAGACCCTGGGAAACATACCATTCACCTTCCCTTCAAACTTCCCCTCACCAACCACGCCGCCCACTCCCGCCACCTTTCCACCTCATAAATCAGATCACAAGCTCTTCACCGCCGTCGACTATGCCTGCCGCCCCAACATCACCTTCATAGATTTCAACTCCAAGCTGAAGCGCATTACTCCGAAGCCCCGCAGGGAACCATGAGTTGAAATTAAGAGCAGTGGCAAGCTTAAGGCATAATGGTCACCGCCGAACCAGACCAAGGGCAACGTGCCCGCTTCCAGCAGGTCTTTTCGCGCCTGCAGGAGCTTACGGATTATATATGGGATACTGATATTGAGCCCTTTCACTCTGTGAGTTCTTGATACTGAAGTTATACAGCTATGGTATGGTATATGTCAACTAACGCTACAACAAGTCCTACGATAACTGGCACTTCTTTGGCCACCATAGGGCCCAGCATGACAGGCCTGTTTCACGCGGTCGCAGCACCGTGAATTCCATTTCATCGCAATCGCCCGACTCGGTCCGTCCCAATCTTTCACGAAGCCATAAATCGAATGGAAGCGATGCCAGCGCAGCTACTACGAAAACCACCCACTCCGCTCACACCGCTATCAAGGACGCTCCGAAGGAATTTAGCGTAGTATGCCGTATCTCTACACACGTCCTGCGTCTGGAAAGGGAATACCAGATCAACAAGGTTAGTGCTACAGGGAGAAATTATGATACAAAGCCACTGACGATAGTAGCGCGTTGTGAAAGAATCCGATCCCGAATGCCGTCACTTCGTCCGACCCATCGAGTTCATCAGATTACCTCATAAACATGGACAGAGCGAGCCGGTAGTGGCCAGCATATTCGAAGCGCCCGGTCCCGACTATCTTCGTGATATAGTTTCATTCGGTCCGAATACCTACAACATGGTACACCAGGGAAATGTCTGGGAGTCAACTGCATTGGAGCCGACAGGAGGAGTTCCTTTGCTCAAGTTTCTCGACTTCGCCGTTGGTTCGACAGAGTGTCTCGAAATTCTACATCATGGACACCAACTCGTACACGGAGAGTTGAGGGGAGATGCCTTCCATTTTGCCGAGTCCGGAGCTGTTCGGATGATCAACTTTGGCAGTGGCGCGAGATCATTTGAGAACAGTCTTACTTCAGCAGGTTGGAGCACGATCAGCAAGGAGGTTGGCATAGAATCGAAATTGGCCTTCATTGCTCCCGAGCAGACTGGTCGCTTGCCAGCCGAACCAGACACCCGTACTGATATCTACAGCTTGGGCATTCTTTTCTATTCGATGCTCTGCGGGGAGCTGCCCTTCACTGGAAATACTCCTCTCGATGTCATGCAAAATGTACTGAGCAAGCGCATTCCTCCAATCACCTCAAAACGCCTAGATATCCCCGAACCATTATCGCTTATAATCCAACGCATGACGCAAAAGAATATTGAAGAGAGATATCACTCCACGGCCGGTCTGAAGCATGATCTCACACGAGTTCGGGAGCTGTTGTCCGAAGGAGATTGCGATGGCTTGAAAGCCTTTCAGGTTGGAACGCAGGACGTCAATTGTTTCTTCAATCTCCCAATCAGACAGATTGGACGCCAGCGCGAGCGTAAGGTCATCATTGATGCTATTGAGCGCCTCGCTCGTCGCAGGCGTCGAGCACCTCATCTCATCAAAGGCCTAGCGAGTATTAGCTCGAATTCGTCCTACTCTGACCAGCGAATGGACACAAATCAGCTGGACGATATCATATCCGATAGCACGAGCTCAAGAGGCTCTACTAGTAGGCTGAACAGTGTTTCCTCATCCCGTCCGGTGTTACTAGACTCTGCGTCACCGAATTTCCAGCGATCGCAAGATAGCATAACACGATCCGATGCGTCAACTATAGACGAGAGCCATGATGGCCGAGCAACACTATCAGTGGGCAACCGAGCGTCGAGCAACAGCATTGACAGCTCCTTGACACTATCACGATCCAACCAAACGGTTAGCTCAGATGCTGGTTCAATTCTTCGCTCTGTATCCGGGGCTTCAAGATTGAGAAGAAGGACTCGATGCGAAGTTGTGGCAGTCGGTGGACCTACAGGGCTAGGGAAGACACGACTAGTTCAAAGCATACAGACGATTGCGCGGAGTCAAGGTTACTTTGCGTCCTCGAGATTTGATCCAACACGCAAGGCTCCGTTCGAGCCCATACTCCGACTCATGTCATCTCTATTTCGCCAGATCTTCTCCGAGGCCGACGTGACGACCGATTTCCACAATAATTTAAGAAACTACCTGAAGAATTCTGGAATGTGGGCCATTCTTCGTCGTTATCTTGACCTTCCAGAATGGTTACTATCGACTGGCGGCCATGGAGCGGTCCAGCATGAGACGGACACGCTTCAATGCCCTCGCCAGGGATCTTCCCCTGCTGTGCACTGCGGATCATCCTCCCACACAGCAGAATCGTGGTTGAGGAGTGGAGGGGCTTCCAAATCCTCCCGCTTCGTCAACGTCTTTGTCGACGTTCTGCGCTTCCTAGCCATGCATAAGTTATGCATTTGGACTCTTGAAGATGTACAATTTGCGGACCCGGAGTCAGCCGAGCTCATTCAACACATTATTTCGGCCAAAATAGGTATACTGCTCATCATCACTTATCGCGAAGAAGACTCTCTATCCCGTGAACTACGACATCTGCTTCCATTAGCAACTAAGATCACACTCGAGCCTTTCAAGGAACACGAGACCGCTGAGTACGTTGCAGAGACTTTGCATCAAAATTTGGACTACATTGTTCCTTTGGTCGCTATCATACAGGAGAAGAGCAGAGGCAATCCGTTCTACATCAGAGAAATCCTTGATACTTGTCACCGGAAACAATGCGTCTATTATTCCTGGCAGGGAAATGCATGGCAGTTCGACATCGACAAAGTGTTCGAAACGTTCGAAAACCCTCAATACGGCGCATCCTTAGGCAATGATTTCATAGCCAAACGTGTGCAGGAACTCCCTGATCACACCCAAAAAATGATTGCCTGGGCATCGCTCATTAGTTGCTCTATATCCTACAAACTTTTGGGGAAGGTCTTGATTGCCCAGGACTTCACAGGAGATTTGTCCGGTCTGCCATTACTGAACAAACGAGAGGACATAGTCCATGCACTGAATTCAGCTCTGGGTGCCTACATTCTGCAGCCAGCCGATGACGAAGACCGATTCCGCTTCAGTCACGACAGGTACCTATCAGCCGCCTCGGATTTGATCGAACAGCAGTGGGATACAAAGCTCATGCACTACGTAATTGCAAAGACCCTACTTGCGAATGAAGACATACAGGACGATGATCTTGGCTCAAAGTCCCTCTATCTGAGAAGTCGTCACATATGTCTGGCGGTCGATCTCATTAAATTGAGGGAGCCCAATAGAGCGGTTTTCCGCGACGTCCTCTACCAAGCTGCGGAAAGTGCATGTGAGTCCGGTGCTCGCTCCACTGGAATCTTCTACTACGCCCATTGCTTGCTCCTCTTACAAGACGATCCATGGGACGAGAGCAAGCCTGATGTGAACTACCAGGAAACTCTTCAGCTTTTTGTACGCTCTGCTGAGTGCTACTGGCATCAAGGAATGCATGAAGAAGCCCTGGCTTTGATTCGTACAACATTCCAGAAGGCGAGGGACCCAGTTGACATGGCTAGCTCATTTATCTTACAATCACGGGTTCTCGCTATCCGGGGCGATGCTTACGGTGCCTTTCAAGCTCTACGGGACTGCTTGTCACTTTTGGGCTGCCCTGTTCCACCCACTACTTGGGAGCAATGCGATGCAGAGTTCCGAGAGATATGGTCGCGTCTGCAGAACATAGACAAGCATGAACTCGTCTCGAGGCCTGTGTCAGAAGATCGCAATTTATTGACAATAGGGCCCATCCACGCCGAGCTGCTCTCCGCTGCCTTCTGGAGCAACAGTCTGCTGTTTTTCCAAGCAGCGTTAGCGATTGTCCGATTGAACCTGGATCGAGGTACTGTCTCACAGGCTGCGCTGGGCTATGTAAACCTTGCTACGATCGCTGGAGGTCGCTTCAACATGATTCAGGCTGCTGTCGAAATAAATGCGATAGGAAAGCAACTCTGCGACAAGTTTCCTAATGACCATTACACTTACGGCCGAGCCCAAACACTCGCAACGCTGTTCATCGGTCATCTGGAGGGGCCCCTTCCTGATCTCATCCCTGGTCTCAGCCTAGCAATGGATGCATCGGTGCAATCGGGAGACCGTATCCTTAGCCTCTTAAACCTGGGCGTTGTTGCCCACTTCAAGCAAATGGCATCACATGATGCCGCTGAGCTAGAGGCCTGGATAGACGATGCACCCCTTGAATTTAAAGATTGGAAGCTGGATATGCGTGGTGGCGTCATGCTCAATGGCGTAAAGCAGTATGCCCGAGCTTTGCAGGGCAAGACCAACGTAAATGATCCCTCGTTAGTCTTTGCTGATTTGGATCACGACCCGTCTTCCTACGTAGAATACTTGGAGAAGTCATCAAGCACTCCGAAACGACCTAAGACCTTCTATCTAGCCTTCAAACTACCCATACTCGTGCTCTATGGGCATTACCAGGCTGCAATCGAGTTGGGCGAGATGTTGGGACCTATGATAGAAAGCCTTTGGGTCCAACGACTGGTCTATTCCAGCTACTACTATCTTTCTCTTGCTTACATGGGAGTACTTCGAGACGAACCAAATCACCCTAAAAGAGAACCGTACCTAGAGTACGTACGCTGGACCCTACAGAAAATGGAGGCCTGTTGTACTGTCACCGACGTCAATTACACAGGCTGGATGAGTTTGCTCAATGCGATGCTAGCAGAGATCACTGGCGATCCTCATACGGCGCTCAATCTATATGAGGTTAGTAATTCTCCACCTGACCTTTCACGAGCTCATTACTGATTAATACAGGTGGCAATGGATCACAATGAAATTTTCCACATGACCCTGGACGAAGCCTATTCGTTCGAAATGTACGCAGAATTTATGATTCGCAAAAAGGCCACTCGATCGGCTCGTCATGCTCTTAAGGATTGCATGTCAACGTACAGGAGAATGTCCGCATACGGCAAGGCAAATCACCTTACCGCAAAATACGAATGGCTTCTCCGTGGCACTTCCTCTCTCAGTACCTCGGACGCTTCCTGCCAGACTAATGTCATTGACACCAATAATACCAGCTACAGGCTCGAGCAGAATGAAGATCAAGAGGTTGAGCTTCGAGGTGGTCTCGAGACAGCTGTAGATCGAACCACAGCATGGATCTCGCCAGAGTCGGCTCAGGCATTCAACAAGAAGGGCGAAAATCCACAAGAACTTCAAACTGGTTTGTCTGCAGTGGGACTTGATATGCTGGATCTAAGTTCAATCCTTGAGTCGAGCCAGATTCTATCTAGCGAGCTCAAGGTTGAGAAACTACTCGCTAAGATGGCCGAGATCATCTTGGAAAGCACAGGAGGCTCTCTGGTTGGAATTGTCATCGAAGACAGCCAGATCGATTGGACCATTGCTTGTGTGAGTACCAACGATCCCAATGGGTCCTATCCCACCGGAACCACTTCTTTCCCCGGAGGTCAACCTCTCGACACGGTAGACGACATCCTTGCTCGACAAGTAACTCTCTATGTGCTCCGATTCCGTGAACTAGTCTTTGTTCAAAATCTACTCGAGGATGAAAGATTCTCCAACGTGTCTGAGGCGTACTTGGAACAGAACCCAGGCGGCAAAGCTGTTATCTGTCTTCCCATTTTGCACTCAGAGCGCGTGATAGGGTCTATCTATCTAGAAGGAGAGCCGTACTCGTTCACCGAGAGGAACACAAATGTGCTTCGACTTCTTGTCAACCAGATCTCGATCTCTCTCGCGAATGCTTTATTGTTCAAAGAAGTACAGAAGGTTTCTGCCAGCAATGAAGCCATGCTGGAGGTTCAGAGGCGAGCGCTTGCCCAGGCAAGAGCGGCGGAGATCAAGGCCAAGGAAGCGGAAGCCAACGCTGTTCGTATCATGAAGCTTAAAGAAGAGGCCGCCAAAGCAAAATCGCTGTTCTTAGCCAATGTATCCCACGAACTGCGGACCCCCTTGAATGGAGTTATAGGAATGTCCGAACTGCTCAAGGCCAGCACACTCAATCAGGAACAGGCTGGCTACGCTGACAGCATTCGGGTCTGCGCCGATACGCTCCTTAGCATCATCAACGATTTACTTGATTATTCTAAGCTTGAAGCTGGGAAAATGAGCGTAATCTCGATGCCTCTATCGTTGAACGAGACGATAACGGAAGTCGTCCGTGCATTAGCATATACCAATGCAGAACGCGGGCTCAAAACTGTTGAGCAACTTGAGCTTGATCCGGAGCTCTTGGTCATGGGAGACCCTGTGCGTCTGCACCAGATCCTGATGAATTTGCTCTCCAACAGCTATAAGTTCACGCCCAAAGGATCTGTTACTGTACGAGCCGTGGTGGATAAAGAAAGCGCCGACTGGATAGATGTCACGTGCAGTGTTATCGACACAGGTATTGGCATCCCAGACGAGCAGAAAAAGAAGCTTTTCCTGCCATTCAGCCAGATCGAATCGAGCAGTAGTCGCTCTTATGGTGGTACTGGTCTAGGTCTAAGCATATGCAAAGCTTTGATCGAGAACGTCATGAAAGGAAAGGTATGGCTCGAAAGCACCCCGGGTGTGGGCACCAACGTGTCTTTCTCCCTGCGATTTGAGAAGGTCGCGCAGGCAGAAGCTGCCAACAGACACAAGCTCTCAAGGGAACCTGACCTCATGGCCAAATTCTCGAACCAAGAGAACAATGGACATGACGCGTCATCGGGCGCATGCATTGACCTGACCACCATCCCTCGAAATGAACTTCGTGTTTGCATTGCAGAGGACAATCTTATCAACCAGAGAATCGCAATAAGTTTCGTCCAGAAACTCGGATTCAAGTGCGATGCATATCTGGACGGATACAAGACCATCGAGGCTCTCGAGCGAGCCGTTCAGAATGGCCGGCCTTTCCATTTGGTACGAACTTGAGCCGTTTTGAGGTTCTTTGATATTAGCTGACTCGTAGCACAGATCCTTATGGATGTACAGATGCCGCACTGTGACGGTTATAAAGGTGGGTAATCTTTCAATCATAACAGATGCAGAAACCGAGCTAATACACGATAGCTACACAACTGATCCGGAAGCACAGCGACCCAACGATCCGCAATATCTTGATCATTGCAATGACTGCCAGTGCCATTGCAGGTGATCGCGAAAAATGCCTAGAATCTGGCATGAACAACTATCTGGCGAAACCTGTACGGGCGCAAACGCTAAAGGCTCTCTTGGAGTCATATCTGTCTAAGGAACAAGACGATGTGCCCAACCTACAACAAGAGGCCACCAAGCTGGTGAAGGAAGCTTTAACGAACGCCAACCAAGGGAAAGATTCGAATGGCGGTTTACCACAAGAATCCAAAGAGACACCCAAGCGCAAGGATGCCGTGGAGACGAACGGAACACACAAAGAACACTTGCCAGAACGACCACGCTCAGTACGGATGAATACTGCGCAGCGCGTCAAATCGGAAGTAGAACACCCCAGCACCAACGGCGATCTGAAGTCGCAATCTTGAAAGCGTACGGATCAATGAATACCCCAGGTGAACGAATTTTCTTAATGGACGGAGTTGCTATGATTGGAAAACAGGAAACGTCACTGATACCATGGCCTTGTACACCACCTGGATCTTTATTTACGGAGGGTTTACAGTGTGCTCCAGGGTTATGGGGTCAAGCTACAGAATGACATGGCGCCCTGCGGTAAACGAAATACTCGTGTACATTTCTCTGAGCTGAAGCGACTGTTTATGGATTTGGATCCGTACATACCTATTTGTATATAGATGAACATGGGCGTACTGTAGTGGTTGATCCACTTGGACAACCCGATGACTGTTTCTGAGCATTCGGGAGGGTTACATACTGGTAGATTTGCGTTGGGAGATATGATTGATTTGATAATGTCACTCGTCTTAGTATGAATATGATTGCCACGAAATTGTTTTTCTTAGCTTACCCTATCCACTGTGTCTATTTTCATTGAAGGAGAGTGGTGTTATCATTGTACTGTGTACTTGACCACTCTGTACCTGATTGCTGGATGCTTTCGGATACTGAAGAATTGCCGCTGCCAGGGGCATCCCACTTTACCAGGGTCTTCCATGGGCGTCGGCGGGAAAGGACCCCGCCGACATCATCAACCACGCTGTGAATGCAGTACCCGATCCGAAGGGTTCCATAATATAATTCCAGAAAACCTTCATATATGAATGAGGGCAATCATAAACCTTCAGCTAATGCATCATTAAGCTCTAATTCATCCTCAAGAACCCCTAATTCAATCCTTCCGGTCATTTTTAAAAAGACACCTCCAAGATGCCCTTCCTACAGCTCGAATCCAAGCGCATCCACTACACTGACCTCAAGCCCTCAAGCGGCAACGCGCCGCGCGAGACCTTCATATTCCACCACGGCCTCGGGTCGTCGCAGAACTACTACCACGCCGTAGCGCTGGAGCTGCAGTCTCACGACTTCCGATGCATACTCTTCGATACGACGGGCGCAGGACGCTCGCCGTACACGTACGTCGAGCAGAGCATCGAGACGCTGTCGGGCGATGTCATTGGCATACTGGACGCGCTGGAGGTAGACAAGGCGGTGGTTGTAGGACATAGCATGGGCGGGTAAGTTCTCCTCGTGTCACGTACGAGCATGTGGATCATAGAAAGGGTGCAGAATCAACCTTCGAAGACATATGGGGAATCTGACAATGTGCACAATATTAGAATCGTAGCCGCGAACCTCGCCGCAGAGCGCAGCGACCGCGTCGTAGCAACCATACTAATCGGCCCCGTGTACCCCTCCCCCGCCGCGGGCCCCGTCTTCGCCCAGCGCATACAAACGGTCGAGAGCTCTGGGATGGAAGCCATGGCGAACGCGATCCCCAGCGCAGCGACGGGCGCGAAGGCGTCACCTGTCGCGAGGGCGATGATCCGCGAGCTGCTGCTGGCGCAGGACCCCGCGGGCTACATCTCCAACTGCCGCATCATCGTCAATGCGAAGAGGCCGAATTACGAGGGGATCAAGGTGCCGGTGCTGATTTTGGCGGGCGGCGAGGACAAGTCTGCGCCGCTGGAGGGGTGCAGGAGGATGTTTGGGGAGATGGGGGCCACGGAGGAGAAGAGGTTGGAGGTATTGGAGGGAATCGGACATTGGCACTGCTTGGAGGATTGGGAGGATGTCGCGAGGAGGATTTTGGCGTTCTATCACGACATCCAGTAGATCGATTGATGGATTGGTTATTGCATTGTCACGGACTTCTGAGTTCTAAATGTGGTATAGGGGGATGAATCGGTTGTGACCTTCTGGAATACATGTCGAAACGATACTCCGTTAAGAGGAATCATTTCCGGTGGGCAGATCCTCTTCCGAGGTTGAAGATTTATGAGTTTGGACGGAGTAGTAACTCTATGTACAAGTAGTACTCCGGACCAGTAAGAGGTAGGGAAAATGTGTACTCCGTATGTAGGACATACTAGTACAGGTGTAAGGTTAGACATGGCGGTGCATACGAGTGAGTACAATTGTGGTAATGGCCGTAATTAGGTTATTTGAGGCGCAAATAGTGAATACCCATTGCGTTACCCTGTCTGTTGACAAAACTCTTTTTGTTCCTACACAGACAAACTCACAGACTCATAGACTGATAGTCATAGAGGAAACGAAAGTAGTTTCCCGTATTGGCCTGCATTGCATTAATTAATTATTAGTTCTTGGACTTTGGTGGAGAGGAACGAGTAGTCCGTGATAGATACTGGACAGTCATTGGGTGAAGACGACTTCCCATGCAATCAATAATCCGTGGACGGACACAGGCGCGCTTCTTAGTTCGTGGCTTCTCGCTCCACCTCCTTCTCTCAACCAAAAACCAACAACACAGACACAAACGCAAACACATCCACCGGCATACTGTCATTCATCCATGGACCATCCACACACTCATCACCACGATCCACCGCTGTTGACCACTAATCCCTCTTGTTTGTTTCGTGATCCAACCAACTAGGCTCAACTCTCCGTTACTGGCACGCATCATCCCGCTTCACCCTCAACAGCCCTGCTCAGTCGCTGGAGAGATCGCCATTCTGCGTTGTTCGACCACGGTCTTCACAATTTTTTACTCAGGTCTCCGCTTGTCTTTACAGATCCCTGTGCCTGTTTGCTATTGATCACCCATGGGCTCTGTACGGAGTGTACAGTAATCGCATGCCACGCCGTGCTGCTTCTGAGTTTCCAACCAACCGTGGCGTTGCTGGACAGCTTCCTCTCTGAGAACCTCTCTCCAGAGACCAAGACCCATGCCGTGTGTGGCGTTTTGTCCATTCGAACAAGGCCCCTCGCGACGGTGTTCACGATGCGAGACCCTTGAGGCTTGAGCATTGGGAGGCTTGGGAGTTGCGCTTGGGCATGCCCGGCGTCTGTACAGGTGACTCCTAAGCCGAAGTCGGTAGGCGATTTGATTTGATCAATGGCCTGGGCCATGCGGGCGGTGTGGCCAGCCGAAAGACGAGGCTGCAACCCTCACTCGAATCAAACGACATGCCTGCGCCCTTCTTTGCTCTGAATCGCTCGTCACAGGGAGCTCACAAGAAGCCTGAGCAATGCGCATGCCAGACAGCCCCCATCCCAATGAGAATGGGATCCAAGAGGGCGATGCACCCTTATCTGACATGTGAAGAGCAACGACATCATCCCTCTGTCCTCCTGTGCGACGTCAGGGACTATTGATATAATTCTATTCACGTCGCTCAAATGCTCACTGCCGCCCGCGCACGCACGCCTACCTAGGTAGATATCCACCGTCGTGCATCCCCTTTACTGTACCGCAAGTTGCTCCACCCTCGTACCCCATTTGCAGTTCCGAACTTTAGTTCAAATTTCATGCCCCGAGGAAAGCCCACCGTCCAAGTTCCTATTATTGCCTGAGGCGGTGAACTACACGCTTGACGCTGCTTAAACCCACCAACCCGCCCGCGTCTCTCTCGATCGTGCAGTCTTGTGCAGTTTGCCCCCCACTGTCTAGGCCAGCAGGCATACTCTGTCTGTAATGATCTACACTTTAGCACGTCGCCGTCTCAATCAGTTGCATTCATAACCTTCACTTTAGTTCGTACGCAAAATTCTTGCATTGTCAATCCCTTCTGTGCGTCTGGCAACGCGCAACTAGTGCAACTTCTCTTCGCATTCATCGGCCGTCTTGTGGACAAACTCAACTTTTCTCTCTCCCTTCGTCACAAACTCAGACAGTCATAACAGTGACTATGGCCAGTTGAATTGCGAATTCAGCAAACAGCGTTCTCGACTTCCCTTCTTCACGCAGGATATCTCCCCATTCATCGTCGACCATTCAACCAATCAGTGTCTTCTGACATCCAAAGTTCAGACACGCCTCCGGAACCAGACTGTAATACTGATACAGTTTGAATTCTTATATTTCCTCCCTGCTACGTCACTATCTCACTGTCAAAATGGGTCGCGTAGACAGTGGATTTGATGAGTCCTACAGCTTGAAGGGGCTCAACATGGATCGATCTTCCATTCACCGGAGTCATACATCACCCACCAGTCATTCAAAGACCAGGAGCAAGTCGTCGAAAGCCGTAAACCATGCTTCTAATACTTCCGTGGACGGGCGAAGCAGACGGCCAAAATCAGAGAAGTGCCCCAGCGAACAGCCACAGACCTCCCCATCTTCTCGTCGGAAATCACTCGCCTCCTCCTCTGAGAACTCTGCAAAGTCACGAAGCCGCGGTTACGGATCTATGCCTTCATCTCGCCGGACGTCATGCACCTTAGTCGACCCCTCCCGGCCAAGTCGACACTACCGGATCAAAAGCACGCAGTCTATCAACCCCGCCGGCCGCGAAGTAGACGATGTGCTCGCACTACATTTCCGCAGTTATACTATGTTTCAGAATCCATCATACCAAACCAACCAACTAGCTGGAACCCAGACCTTGAACGAAGATGGAAGTGTCGTCGCGAACCACGTACCAACATATTCCATCCACAACGGAACAACGCGTGAGCGACAAGCAAGCCCGGACGATATCTGTACAGTCGCGAGCCCAGACCTGACCAAACAAAGTGGAGAGACCTTTGTCACTGTGCAAAAGGCCGACACGATGGACTGGATGTCTCCAACCACCCGAAGACGTGAGTATGAAAAGATCGACAAGGCAAACAGCGGGTTCAGGGGTTTTGTTAGGAGAGTACTGCCACGATGCGTATCCGGCCCGCCGCCACCGAAATTCCACGACAATGACAAGTCTGACGCAGGCTCTGTCCGAAGGTACCGACTCAGTCTGGATGACGAGGAGGAAGAAGTATCGAACGAGAAGCACAAGGCCACGAAAGGTCAGGGACTAGAAGTCCCTCCAAAATCGAAAGCCCAGAAACAAAAGAAATGGGGTTGTCTCTTCTGAAATGACAGACAGTAAAGACCGAAGAAAGCGAGAGCCTACTAGTAAGGCGGACGAGAGACTTAGTGTCTAAAAAAAAGAAGAGTTGTGTGTTGCATTTTATCTTTGCATTGCGAAAGGAGAGCCCGGCGTTATATTTCCTTCAACCATTCGATACCCACGAGCGCGCGCGTATGCATATCGATTTAATCCTTTTTCGTTCTCTTTCTTCATCATCGATTTTAATCACCTTTTTTCCTTTTTCACATCACTCCATGAGGAGAGGAGTATGAACGGATAGTCTGCATAAGGGAAAGAGGCGAACATGCATTGTTTTAGACATAATGGAAGAACGGCCGATATTGATGAATACTCAGGAGACGCAAGCATTATACCATAGCATTTTAGGAACCTTTCCACCACAGAAAATACATTATATACATTAATATTCCCCGTTGTCTTCACCATCACCATGCTTGATATGCAGAACTTTCGTTTAAAAATCTTTGTCTTCATTTCCAAATCGATCTATCCCCATCATACAAAAGGGGACGGAATCAGAAAAGTATATACTGTGAATGATAAGATACGAACTGCTAAAATGCCAAAAGAAAAGACATGGGAATATTTGCATTCCATCGTACGTCATTCCCCCACGTCGACCGTCGCGGAGTCGCGTGCCTTTCGCCGTCATCCTTCTAGACTTGCAACATGTACACCCACGTATGAAGTCACCGCTCCCTACGATCGATGCGAGTATCTCAGGAATGAACCGTATGACATCGCCGTCAGATCCGTAGAAATCCCGTACACAACTCTTATCAATCCCGTTTCGACTCGATGTATGCGACCCTGTCTATCGGGAACAGGTCTAGGATGGAACACGGTGGGACGGAGAGAAAGTGATATCCCAATCTACAGCTTCGCCTCCTCCTTAACATCCCCGACCTTAAGCTTAGGGCCGTACTTCTTCAACACGCTCTCATTATGATACTATCCCCACCACATTAGCATTCATTTCCAATCCAAAGTAGGGACGGAGAAACGTCAAAACGTCAAAACTTACCTTCCAGAACTGCTTGCTAGCGTCCTTGCCCCCGACCCTTTTGAGGATCTTGGCGCCGCCCGGGTGCTCGTCGACGAAGTCCTTGAGCGCGTACACGCCGCTGTCGATGATGATGTACAGGCCGTTGTCGACGGTGTTGTGCTCGGAGACTTGCTTTGCCGTGAAGGATTCTGACATTTTGGCTTGGGTGGTTTCTTTGGTGTGTTTGTTTGGTGGAGGTGGAGGAGGTGGAGAAGGTTGGGAGGGAGGTAGGTAGCACCCGAGGAAGCGTGGAAGTTAGGTTATGTTGGTTATATGAAGTAGGTGATTGAATTGAACGAGGAGAACAGACGGAGTGGGGATCTGGGGGGGGGGATAAATAAAGGGCTACTAAGAAACCTGGGGATGATGGGAGGAAAGCCGGTCGACTCGCTGCATCTAACTACTGTAGTTACTTTAACTTTCTGCGTACCAAGTTACCTGCTCGAACGACCTAAGTTTCCTATAGTTAACTGAGGATGACGAGAGGGTGCGGCGATTGTCCGTGCTTTTGGGGGAAGAAGCCGAGGTTGTTCGGCCCTTGATACACCTGGGGGAGTCAGCAAATTGTCCCGAATTGCGGTGGGCCTGATTGGTCGGAGGAGGTTGACTGTCCCCACATATCCATTATGCTCAGTGTGAGTACGGAGAGGTGGACGTCAAAGATTCAAGGTTGCTCATCATGCATGTCTTCCCTGAACGAGAATTAACAAATAGCCTCCCAGACACGCACGACAGATACAGCAGACACAGAAAGATTGTGACAATTGCCATCGTTCAAAGCCGATTCGCCCCCTTAGATGGCGCACTCAAACATATGTACACGTACATACAGACATACATACAAGCATCCTTTCAGAGACAAGCCAAGCACATCACATTACATATCAATCCAAACATCCTCTCCTTGTCTCACATACACGCACGCTTCTTGTCCCAAATCCAACCCACAATCCCTCTTTCCTCAGCAGGCAAACCCGCCCACCCCCTAACAATGGCCGAACTAACCACACAAACCAGCGCCATTCACTCCGCATCTACAACTACACACCATCCTTTATCATACATCCAGTATCTAACAAACAAACACATACACACATCCCTATAACTAATCCCTGAATCCCCATAGCAGCCATCATGTCCCTCCACCTTCCCAAATCCCAAATCCCGCCGCTGTCAAGCCCTCCAAAGTCGAACCCACAGCACCAAAGAAGAAAAGGAGAAAGAGAAGAAAAGAAACCATGTGTCACGCCACGCTCACACACTGCAAATCCTGCACCTGGACCCTCGACATCGTACACACGCGGTGCAAGCTCGCGGCCGCTGGGGACGTCGCGTGTCCGACGAGGATGGAGAGGAGGCATCGGAGGGGTGGAAGGTGTGTGTGGTGTCGGGGGGAGATGTTTCGGGAGAAGGGGGAGGGGGAGGAGGATGTGGGTGATGATAGGGGGTTGGAGGATGGGAAGAGGGGGGTGAAGAGGAGGTCGAGTAGGATTAGGAAGATGAGGATGAGGAGGAGTGAGGGTGACGGGGCGACGACGGCAGTGTAAGAGGGGGAAGGGGGAGCGACGCAGATGGAAGAGAAGCCATCTTTGCGTATCTGGATCCATACAGTGTGCCCTGGCTGTCGCCTTGGATGACTCTTCACGAACATACACTGAACGAACACTGAACGAACACTGAACGAATATATATCGACGAACGCAAGAATCGAATACACCTATACCTAAACCTAAACCTACACACGCACGATACACCTCTAGCGTCTACATGTATGTACTGTATGTCATAAAGAACGAATGAATGGGGAGGGGGTATCCGATGTACAAGAAGAGGGCGTTTTGCAAGTTCGACAAAAGATATAGAAAACCACACGGACACGAAACCCCCCTTTCTTGTTCTCCCCAATGGACCGCCCACTCATAAGGATTTGTTCGTTTCCGAAAAAGAAAAACAACTTTGCTTGCCCATTGTGTGACTATAAACAACACCCCTATACAACCAACCCATTGCGTTTGTCGCCCCGTTCCCTATGGTGAGGAAGAGAAGGAATCTCATGTTCACATACACACCCCTGGCCCCGGGGCCGTCCGTCATTATCATATACCCATGTCAGAAATTGTACCAAAAGGAAGTAGCAGGCATTATATAATCCAGAGATCGTTCATGAAGGTACTATATGTTGAATGGAGCAAGATGAAAAAAAGATTGGTGGATGAGATCTGCCGCTATTGCGGAGGCGCGCCATCGTTCCTCTGTTGCTCGCCTCCGCCGAACCAGCCTGAGATCCAGGAGGCCCGGTTCGCGGCTTTGCGTTGCTGAGAGGCTTCTTTCTCGTTCTGCACGAGGCGTAGAGGGCGCATCTGCTTTCCAGTCATGACGCCGCCGCTGGGTGCTGTGTCGACGCGGCGAGGTGGGCTAGGGGTATCGACATGACCGCTGCCGCTCTCTGTGTTGCTGGTGCCAGTGGTTGTGGTGGAAGCGGCATCTTCCCTTTCTTCGTGGATCGGGGCTCCGCTGGATGGAACGCGGGAGGCTGGGTTGCTGCCACTGTTGATAGGGAGGCCGAAGAAGGAGTTGCGTGGGGAGACTAGCCCGGGGCTTGTAGGGCTCGGGAGCACACCTGGAGATGGGTTGCGGACCATGTTGTTGACGAAGCTCGCGGCGCCTTGCTGACTGCCCAGCTCAGATGCAGAGCGACGATGGGTGTAGCTACCGCTAGGTGCACGAGAAGAGTTCGACCTTCCGAGCGGGATGCTCGGGGCTGTATTTGGGTCCTCGGTGACGTTACTGCTGGGTGCGTAGCTGATGGGTCGTGGCTTAGGGCGGCCTCCACCCATGGCAACTGACTTTGCGCGCTGGAGGAAGCCCGACTGTGGCTGGTCGTTCTCCCTCGGGGGAGGTGGGAGCTCCTTGTCTGTGTTGAGAGCAGGAGCCCCGCCGGTGCCATCATCGTCGTTGCCTAGGACAGACTCGAAGCCCTGGTGAGTCAGAAGACGGCCGATGATCTTGTTGATGTATAGCGTAAGAGCCTTGTTCTGGTCCTTGAGGCTGTTAACCTCGCCTTCCAAGCGACGAACGAGTTCCCCTTCGGCGCCCTCGGCGGACTCTAGCTCATCGGCAAGGCTGGTAGATGGGCCACCAGGAGACAGCGGCGCTCGCTCCTCAGTGGCAGCGGAACGCAAGAAGTCGCCTCGGCTCAAGTCTCCGTTGAGAGTCTTCTCGCTGAGAAGGAGCTGGAAGCTTTCGTTATCCTCCATGAGACGAGCGTTCGTCATGCGCGTCTCGAGCAGTTGCTTTTCGAGTTCCCGCAAGCGGCCACCTCCAGCATTCTCCAGTTCCACCAGCTTGATCTGGTTCTCGGCCAGCTCGAGGCGCAGACCTTCGATGATCTTGTCCTTTTGGTGGATAAGCTTAGAATTGTTGCGAGAATTGCTACGCTGGACCGACGAAGGGGGTGCGAATGAACCGGAGGTCTCGAGGTTCTGTGATGAGTTGTTGCGAGAGGGTCTGTTGCGGAAGCTCGCTGCAGGAAATTAGCATTTGTCTCAATGTGCTACTATGAGACTCGCCACGCGCAGGTCATACTTACATGTTCGTGAGAGACCTTCCTCACTGTCACTGTTCGAGGTGTTCTTCATTGCCATGGCCTCCTTCAGGCGCTGGATCGTCTCATGGAGCTCGTCCTCCTTCGTCTGCGTCGACTCCTTTTCTTTCATTGTCTGTGCCCGTTCGGCCTCGTAGATGCCCTCGAGCTCGCGGTGTTGACGGGTAAGCTCCCTCTTCTCGTTTTCCAGTCCCTCGACCTTCTCTTCCTCCTCGTGGGCACGCTCCTCCAGCTTCGCCTGCTCCTTGATCGCGTCGTCCAGCCGGGCGTTGAGAACCTCGACTTGCTTCTGGCGCTCATCGGCCTCGCTCTCCGCCTTTTGGAGACGCTCCTTCAGGTCCTGAAGGTATGCGGCAGCCTCCTCCTTGGCCTCCTCGTCGTTTGCGTCGTCCTGCGACGCCTTCGTGCTGAGGTTGGAAGAGGCTCCAGGCTTCCGAACGGATGCCCGCGCCGACACAGGTGTGCCAGTCACGCCCGACCTGACCGACCGTGTCCTCTGAACGCCATTTGTGCCATTTGAAGTCGGGGTTGATGCGCGTGACGGTGTGCGGTTTGCAGCGCCAGGGGAAGCTGAGGATTTGGTGCTGGAATCACGACCCGTGCTGCCTGCTGGCGGTTTTCGTGCTGGTGTCGACGACATGGTGTCTTTGTGCTTCTTTGTTCTTCGTGGGAGGAGAGATCAAATCGTACCTGTAGTCGAGATGTGGACGAGCTTGGGGGAAATAAGCAGTCGTTGCGGTAAGATGAAAGTGGGTTTGGGAATGATTGTATCAGTCCAAATATAGAAAGGCTCGGTAATTGTGTAGGTAGGTAGGTAGGTGTAGGTTAGGTGTAAAAGGTGTTGGTGTGCGTGTAGTTGCTGAACAGTGCCTCCCCGCGTTGGTTGATCTCGTAGCGGTGCTTGGCGGGAGATCTAGATATATGTAGTTGCGTACGAGGAGCACTATCAACGACCGTGTGAAATATATTTCGTTCAGCGTCTTGTTTGAAGACTTGATATATGATCAAAAGAAAGTCCAAGGTGCTGTTTACAGGGTGAATGGCTGATGAAAAGACCCGTGCCCCCTTCCCCCGTCCCTTGTCCCGTTTCGCATAATAAAAGGTCGTCTTATTTCACGCAGGCCAACCAACTGGCCAAAACTCCCTGCATTAGCCAAGTGGCGCTATCCCTATCTCGGACCCCGTTGCTATCCAACAACCTGAACGCTCATGGTCGGACATCCAGGCCGTTCACAGCCAAAAACTACTCGTACAAGCAATCCCATCCCAACCATTTATATCCTGCCAGCGATGTTTTGATTGCACTTGAATCTCCGCAGGCGGCATACCATGCACCGTGGTCTTCCTAGCGCATATTCATTTGCTTGATGCATCACATACAGCATCCTATCATTTAGGGCAAATCACTTGCGGCTGTCTCTCAGCAGTGGCTTGTGGCGTTCACGTTCATGAGACAGCACGTGCTTACTTGTCGTGTAGCACAAGATCATGTTTCCATAGTTCCCAGCCACAGCTAGTGGTGCTGATGCTGGTGCTGATGCTGGTGCTGATGAAACATACGCTTGCCTTCAGCACCAGGCGCAAAGAAGGAAGTGACTTAATAGTTCCTTTTGCCGCTGGTATACATACAGGCAATCAGAAAGTTACACATTAGAAATATGACATAGCTGATACTGTAGAACAGCTGAGGCAGCTGAGCTGATCGACCTGCATGCATTGTCCGCGACCACCGATCAATGAACCCCGAAATCTCCGTCTGCCATAGTCCGCTGGCACTCCGCGAGTATAGCGGCCTGGCGAGTTACGTCTGTCAATTTTCCAATGACAGTCTTGTTGCCATCAATGAAACCGAACAGCGCATATGGGATGTCTACCTCATTACAGAACTCTTGAACGAGCTTCTGTGTGCGTCGTAGGTTGTGACGTGGAATCCGGGGGAAGAGATGATGGATCGCTTGGAACTGAAGTCCACCATGGAAGAAGTCGAGCCACTGTGGGCAGTCTACGTCCATGGTCGTGCGAAGCATCTTCTGGGGGAAAGATTCGGCGGTGCCGAGATCAGCAGTGCTCATAGCGAAATGGCTCAATGTAATCTGAACATGCAACGGCGTCGTAACCACATGGCTGATCAAGACGAAAAAGAACTTGTTCCACCCTCCAGGTATCGTCTTGTAGACCAAGCCATATCCGTACCAGGTCCAGAAAAACACCAATCCCGCCATTTCAAAGTAGCGGTGCCACCACGCCGGTCCCTTACGCGGGCCTTGGCCAGTAAGCAGATATAGCCAGCTCAGTCGGTAGAGATTGAAACGGCCCAAGCACATGATGAAGTAAAATAAAGTATCCTGATATCGCAACATGAATTTTGCAAATGCGTCGTATTCCATCACTCTTTCGTAATAGGTAGAGAAGAGGTTCTCGAAAAATCTATGCGTAATGGCGAAGAAAGGCATGTGTTCAATATCTGGGTCGTGTTCTGGTGAATTCGTAACGAGATGGTGGACGTTATGGTTGTACTTCCACCAGCAGACACTCAGACCACCGATGTAGCTGGCCACAACCATGCCAATCGTAGTGTCGGTCTGAAAGTCGTGAGTAATACCCATATGGCCAGCATCATGGACAGTGAAGGATAGCTGATGCCACAGTGTGCCTAGGAAGAAAGCGCTTGACAGGTACCAGCCTGACTTGAGGAGAAAAGCGAACATGCCAATATAAAATGCGTAACGAATGCACTCGATGCCATAAGACGAATAACGACACTGGTAAAGACCTTCTGCCTGAATTCTGTCTTCTAGTTCGCGGTATTTCTGGATGATGTTTGCTTGGGTTTTGGGATCCAGAGATGGATATTTGGATTTGTCGAGGTCGATCTCTTGTTGAGTCCGCGCATCTAGGACCGACATCTTCGGTACACGTTTGAGGTCGTCCAGCTCAACCGAGGACACAGAGGACGCGGACGGTGATCGAGGGATGTCGCCATTGGTACGCTTTCGAATCGAGGAAGAGGTTCGATCCGCCGGTTCGAATATTGGGCTTGGGCCAGCGGACGTCCCTGAGCTCCCGGTATCATTGTCGGATAATGACTCAATGTATTCTTCCTCGCTGATATTTTCAAGTTCCTCCGCAGTCCTGAATTTTCCTCCTTGTAAAGGGGGAAGGAAATTGATCCATGCGCCTTCGATGCGTCCGATTTGATAGCGATTGGTGAGCTCGAGGGTTTGCTGAGAGTGGAATCTATGGAATTGATGTTAGATTACATTCAACGTAGACAATTTCAGGGCAGGAGGCATACCTTTGGACTTCGTCGGTGGCATCCCGACCTATCATGTGTTGAATGGCTTTATCACCGCCTGGATGATAAGGCAGCCATGAGTCGACCTTCAAGACCTTATTGTCCACTATGACGATTGAGCGCCCACTGGCTATGAGTCCCTCGATCTCCCGCCTGCTGAGCACCCTATTCTTGCGTTGTGCCTGTTTCTCCATGGCAGACATGTTGTGATGTGAGGGCTGGGTCGAATTGACCAACGAGTGAATAGGCGGAGATCACCGGTAAATTCCCTCCTGGTCGTTACTGGATAATGCTCAAACTCATAGAATCTGGCGAGAATACAGTGCCAGTATCAGTCCGCAAAATTTAATATAAACAATGCTGTGAGTGTGAGTGAGAGAGAGGTGCAACAAGATGGACAAAGTCGGTGTCGAGGTAAATGGGAATATGTTCGTGGAGAGAGCTTGGACAATTCGAAACATGGGACGAGGGGGAACATTCCATTGGCCAAACGTTCAAGTGGCGGTTGCGTTGCGTTGCCTCCCCCTGCATCTGTGCGCTCTTCTCCTTTCCTTTTTGGGGTCCTGGGCCGTGGGGCTGGACTGGATTGCTCTGGTGGGGTTCTTGGAAAGTTCTACGATAAACACATTAATGCCACCTGGAATTTGTTCATTCTCTCATGACTTAGCAACATCTAAAATTATTGTTGGATCCCAAGATTGGTTACCTAACCAAATCTAATTCTCTTTCGTGGTCAACTAAACAGATCCGGAGTGGGAAAACGTCCATTACATACTCAGGGAACGATCGGCCGAGAATCACATGTGTCATCGATTAGATCAGTCTGCAGCTCCATAACAGCTTCGATCGAACCACCATCACCATACAGGCCAAGTACGTGGAGTACTAAACCAAACAGCCAGCAAAAGCCACCCTAGGATTTCAAGAAAGCATAATTTTGTTACCCAAGAATCATGGCCAAAGACATCAAGAAGCTCGCGGAGGAATGGCTGGAGCTAGACAAAGACAAAGAGACCACAGACGAGATATACAAACTACTGGTGCAAGGCAACAACGATGAGCTGGAGAGACGTCTTCGCACACGGATTGCATTCGGTACCGCGGGGCTGCGTGGACCCATGCAGGCTGGCTTCGCATGCATGAATTCATTAACCGTCATCCAGGCATCCCAGGGACTGGCCGCGTATCTACTGGAGACCGAGGAGAACGTCAAGAGCCGCGGTATCGTCATTGGCCGCGATGCACGACACAATTCCGAGAAATTCGCCAAACTGGCTGCCGCAGCTTTCGTCACCAAAGGCATCAAGGTTTGGTGGTATGAGACGCCGGTTCACACCCCGCTTGTCCCCTTTGGTGTCGGAGAGCTCAGTGCTGCGGGAGGTATTATGATTACAGCAAGCCATAATCCGGCACGGGACAATGGTTACAAAGTGTACTGGTCGAACGGATGTCAAATCATTCCTCCCCATGATACTGGAATCGCAAATGCCATCCAACAGAACCTCAAGCCCATTAGCTGGGATACGTCCATCGTAGATGAAGGCCACCTGTTGGTCGAAGGTGCCTTAGGCCTGGTCCGCGATAACTATTTCCTTGCCGTCCGCAGAGCCGCGAGGCCAGAGCATGTTAACGTACCGGAGCCGGAATCCAGCTTCAAATTCGTATACACACCAATGCACGGAGTCGGACTACTGCCCATGGCTCTAGCAATGGCGGAGCTAGGCCTTGCCGACCGAATGATAGTTGTAGAAGAACAAGCAAAACCAGACCCAGACTTCCCCACCGTCAAGTTCCCCAATCCAGAGGAGAAAGGCGCACTGGACCTCGCGATTAAGACGGCAGATGCAAACTCAGTCGCCCTCATAATCGCCAGCGACCCAGACGCAGACCGATTGGCAGCTGCCGAGAAAGTCTCCGGAAAGTGGCACATCCTGACCGGAAACCAACTGGGCATCCTACTAGCATCGTACCTCTTCGAACGCTACCCGACCTCAAAGCCTCGAGACAAACTCGCCATGCTAGCATCAACCGTGAGCTCCCAAATGCTGCACGCCCTCGCCAAAAAGGAAGGCTTCCACTTCACCGAGACCCTCACCGGCTTCAAATGGCTCGGCAACATCGCACTCGACCTCGAATCCCAAGGCTACGACGTGGACTTCGCCTTCGAAGAAGCCCTGGGCTACATGATCCCATCCGTCGTACACGACAAAGACTCCATCTCCGCCGCCGCAGTCTTCCTGACCGCCGTCTCTCACTGGGCAACCCAGTCCCTGACCCCATACACCAAACTCCAACAACTATACTCCCACATCGGATACTTCGAAGACGCAAACACTTACCTCATCTCCCCCTCCCCCGCCACCACCGCAACCGTCTTCGCAGACATACGCGCCCTCGCACACCCCAACCCACACCCCACGACCATCGGCGCCCGCACCATCACCCGCTGGAGAGACCTCACCACGGGATACGACTCGAAGTCCGTGGACCACGTGCCGGACCTGCCCATCGACCCCACGGCCCAGATGATCACGTGCGAGCTTGAGGGCGCGCGGTTCACGGTCAGGGGATCGGGCACAGAGCCGAAGATTAAGTTTTACATCGAGTGTGTGGCGGGGAGTGGGGAGGAGGCGAAGAAGGGAGCGGAGGGGATTCTGGGGGATTTGCTGAGGGAGTGGTTTGTGGTTGAGAGGTATGGGCTGGTGTTGGCGTAGGGGGTGATGGGAGGTGTTGTTGCTGTGAGATATGTGCGTAGATCAGGGCTGGAGAAGATAGGAAGTCAATATCCAGTGGATACACAAATTCTCATAAACGACCAAATACTTCAACCCAAAAGAGGCATGACACTTTCTAAGTCGATATATAAAAGTTTATATACAGTGTATGCGGAGTATAGAAGAGAGAGAAATACTAACGTAACATCACGTTTCTTAGCAAGAGTTAAAGTTGATCAACAAAGACCGATGACATTGATAGCACTAATAAAGTATCCCAAGGATGCGATGCAAATGTTTGGATAGGTGATGTTATAGGGAATTTGGTCAACACCTGGGGATGTGACGGGATGGTCGGGGATGTTGATGGTTACCTACCTTTGCTCTTGTTGGTGGCCTAACGGGAAGTAAGTACGGAGTACTCGGTAGAAATTTAATGATTGGTTGATCATGATCTAGAGATACGATGGCACTTAGGGGCAATCAATGTGTAGGTCGCTGATGTCGGAACGTATTTCAAGTGGTTGGGTCCGTATCGAGATCGGGAAAAGTCCTCGAGTGCATATGATGTTCCCACAATATCATGGCAGAACTTACGCCCAAGTAAGAAGCAGCGGCTATGATTGTTGCACAGCCTGTGACAGATGTGCGATTCCGAATAAGAAACGCTGATCCCACCACAGACGACCCTTGTCTGGCCGGGCTGGATGCGGTGCATCAGGCCCATTTCTGGGTCGCAGATGTAACTTGCATCTCTCGTGTATCGTGAGATGATGGGATGAATGAATCAGGATGGAGCATCATTGCTTAGCGTGCATGGAGCTGCTTATTGCTGTACCGGATGTGCAGCGAGCAGCAAGGGGGTGCAGAAAGGGCGCGTCTCGGATTTTATCGATTTGGGTGCCTGGAAGGTCGAGGATGTACGGCTAATCGTCTGAGATGGACAATGATGGAAGAACATGGACAGATAGTGCGCGTGTTGCTGCTCAATGGCAATACCTGACTGGTACGGGAACTGCTCATCTGAGATCGGAGTGGGGCTGTGGGGTGGTTGATATAATAATTCCGCTTCTGTATAACCTGTTCGTAGAGCATCGAAATGCGAGCTGTCACTTTTTACAGCGAAAGATTGTCTGCTGAGCATGCTGTAACAATCCGATTATCCGCCGTGTAGGGGTGCATCAAGCCAATAAACGCCACGGAAGAGGGTGGCGAGCCACTGACAGGGCAATTGACGTGGTTCTGTTGTATTCATACTGGACTGGACTGGTTCTTCCTTGTTGCTGTGTAATGTTGTACTCGCCAACGGTGGGCCGGTGCACATGCGGAGGTGGAGGTGGTAGATGGCGATTGCATGCTCAGGCTCGTAAGGAATAGGAATTGGGCTGCATGTGCGGGATATATCATTGATTCATGTTACACGGGCAGATATTGTCAAGTCTCGATTCAGAGGGAGTGATGGTGTGTCGGCCAATAATAAGAAAAAAAGAACAGGGCGGATAGGAAGGTCGTTTTGATAGGATGTTTCAAGTCACGTTCCGCTGTTGCCTTACGAATAGCTGATGTTTACGGAGTGCACCACCAGAGATGTGCGTTGTAATTTCTTGAATCAGGATCATCGGCAATATCTCGTAATTCTTGATGCATGGCTGGCCTGAGGAAGAAACGAACCACGGGATGAAGATGATGATGACTGAAGATGGTGAGATGAAGGTGAAGGTGAAGGTGAACCTAATTAAGTGAATTGCTTTTTGGTGAACCACCCCTGCCCCCCTGTAGCTTCCCCACAGCAAAGAGTCACCAAGGGCAGCCAATCGGGAGGCTGCCCAGCGTGCCGGTAGTAGTTACCTTAGTGACCTGAACCATCACCGTCTGCCAGTCCAAGTCCAATGTCTCATGTCTCATGTCTATCTTTTTCTTTTGCTGCATGTCTACGCTTCTGCATCAGTGCATCTCTTCCCCCATGTCCCATGTCATGAAATAACAACAAGAAGAGTCACATCCATCCCCATCACATCCGTCACACCGGATCGCGTGCTTATCCTTTTCGTATCTATCCTTATCGGAGGCATCTGCTTTTCCCCCCATCCCTCCCTCCTGTTCCTCATCCTCTCACCCTTCCCCTCCCCTCCCATCCCATCCCATCATCTCTCCCTCGTACACGACGCCCTCTTCGCGTCCCTCAATACACCCTCACCTACACAACCCCTTCCATATACTTCCCGCCTGAGACATAGCCCGCCTGCCGATTCGTTCACCGTTTACCGTACATACATTCAATACATATTATATACATACACACACACATACCTATATAAGCGCCAGCATTCCCCTGCGACCTTCTCTTCTGCTTCCTCTTTTTTTTTCCTCAATCGCCAACAAATATCAGTATGCGCCCTCCCCCACCAGATCACATTCTTCATTTACTAACACAACCTTCCTAGAGGTTCAGTAGGTCTCCCACTATGGCTCAATTGTAGATCACCTTCAACCTCTATGGGATGGCCGACCAGGCGCCCATGGCGGCCGCCCGCGCTCAGGCAACTACCGCCGCTCACAACTCACCCCTCGCTCCTTCCCGTCCAAGAACCCTCACATCGACATATACCCTCCCTAATGGCCCTTGTACACATCGCGATCTCGCCTTCGGTTCGTGCGGGTGTAATCAATTCTGGGACGTAAGCAACGCCGACGTCCATGTTGGTAGCACCGGGCAGGGCGCGAGCAATGAGCGCTCTACATATTGCGTATGCGGCCATCATGCTTGCTTCCATCTACAGACCCCGCGCATAGATGATGCTCTTGATACCCATATGGCAGAGGCGCAGAACCTGAACTCAATAGAACGTGATGGACCAAATTATATCATGCGACCTTCGTCGCAGACTGACCATGTCCAACAAGGCATGCTCAATCACATGGTGGGACCGTTGATACAATCAGCGGACCCCCTTCATACCAGAGATGAACAACCCACCGCTCCTCCACTTGAGTCAAGCTCATGTGTAGTGCGGAGGGATACCTCTGAGGCTAATTCATTCATTGCTACAGAATCGCGTGTCTCGGCACAAGAGCTCAGTGTATCTGGCTTGCCTCGAGTACCTTCCGTCTGTCTTCTGTCACACGAGAGACGGGAACGTCACGCACGAGCTAATAATATAGGTAGGCTGGTGAGCGATGACACTTCCCAGGCGCGTCGAGATTTCGCTGGTCTCGGCCTCTCGTTGTCAAATCTGGGGAATGAACAGCACGCTACCGATCTACACCTTTCTACCTTGCCCACTCTGCCCATGCCGGCGCCAGTGGTCTTGAATGCCCCAGAATCTATCGACGAACCAGAGATCTCCCCTTCGACTAGAGCCAATTCCGTCCTTGACCCAAACAGTCCCCCAGGAGCTTTGGATCACGTTGTGGAATTCAATCGCACATTTGGCCGACATGCTATTGATCCGCCCGTTGCAAGCACATCCAACCAGGCTCCAGGCTCTACCGGTAACCCTACAGGCCATCCCACAGGTCGGCCAAATCCGTGGCCCCTACTCCCGTCTATAGATGTTGGCGGAGATACGATCCCCGACACATATAATCCAGACGAATTCATTCAGAGTGCCACGGAAGTGGCAACGCCCAGTGCCGCAAATACACCCGACTTGGGAATCGCCGACCAAGCCGTTCACGAGGGAAAGAGGTTCGTGGAAACCTTAGCAAAGCTGATGCCAAACACAGAGCAGAGGAACGTCGCGGATCTTAAACAGGATAACTCGGCGTCCGTCCAGGTCGCGACCAAATTTCCCTCCAATTCCCCGATCCATGCGCAACTACAACATGCTCTCAGGACAGGGTCCCCTCAGACTCTACAAAAGATAGCGGCATATCTCGCGCCGTTGCACAACCTTTTGAACTCGATGCCCAATGTCGCGAACGCAATGAGAGATTTGACCAATCGCCTGGACTATCTGGAAAATAACTCCTTCAATCATGTGCAGCCTGATGACTTCCACACTACGATGGATCTGTACGATGGGAGGCTTCTTGAACTCGAACATCGCATGGACGATCATGACAAGATGCATCAAACCATCGATACCGAGCAGGGAAGCGGATCATTTCCGCGTCGCAACATCACCTCAGTCACGGAGTCTTTCGGATCAAACAATTCGTTCTGTTCGACTACGTCTTCGGCCATGATTCTTGCTGCCATGGATCGCAAGGGAATGGAGAGCGAACTCGGCGAGATCAAGGAACGTCTAGACATCCTGGAAGCGGCCGCCCAGCCCACTATGAGCAACTCGTGGGAGGTCGAAGTCGTATTGCTCCCTTGGGGAACTGAACTCCATGGTATCTGGTTTCCCGCGGATGAGCCAATGCATGATCCTACCAAGGCAATCACCCAGAATTCCGAAGAGTGGACGCAGGCGATCGCTTCAGTGCACGGCCAGCGCGTAGACAACTCCCAAAGCATGGTCGATCCAAGCACGACCACGAGCGACGGGCAAGTCATCCCATCAAATTTCCCAAGCAGTCAGGAGTCAAATGCTTGGGATGCTCAGGCTATCACCGAGTGGGCAACAGGTCCCGCTGACGAGTGGCTATTCCCTAAGGCCTGCGGGAGCAATAATCTGGTCTACAAAAGGCTTCAAAGTCGAGGCTTCATCAAGAACGTGACGCTCACGAGTTCAAACTCCAAGGACATCCAAGCTGCACTCACAACAGCTTTCCGCGACTTGGTTGAGCTTCTGGAGTACGACGGCCAAGACAACTCGATCGTAAGTTTGCATCCAGGCCTGCTGGCGACCTTCATTCCACTTCGAAAGGTCGTGAAATCATCCAGGCTTGAATTTCTCGCGCCGTCAGAGATGTCCACGTCTGCATTATGGTCAACGCAATTTCTTGCCGCCGGGGTCATGATGCGCGTTTCTGGTGGAAAGAAGAGGCTGTACGTTACACAACGAGAGGCGTACATGCAGCATAGCGATTATGAGGAGGTTTCATGGACCTGGCAACAGCTACGACAACTTCCTCGGCACCAGCCAGACATGGACTCACAGATGGAGGGAAATGATGAGCACTGCCAGCCACGCGTTGAGGAGGCAGACGCGAAGGAAGCCTGCTGGGCTTACGTCGAAGCATACGACGCTCCTCCTCCCAGCGTAAACGAATCCTTCAGCAGCCACCAATCGGCCCCGATGGAATTGTCGATGCGGCCTGCCGGCAGGGAATGGCGAAGGTCCATCACCCCTACCTCAATTCTGAAGGTCCGCCAGCAGCAGCCGCTGTCTCCTTCCAGTGGACGGTATCTCACCCGGCCGATGCAAGCTCGGCCTCGTACGGCATCTACCTCTGTCCTTGAAAGGAATCTCTCTGGCATACAGAAAAGACGTCTCAATTCGTCCCCCGTCAAGCAACATTCGGCGCCGCAATCAGTCTGGCGCACTCCTAGCGTTTCTACTTTACGACCGAAACGCAGGCGAATCCTTCGCTCCTCATCATCACCATCTGGGCAGGTTGCAGGGTTGGGCGGCACTGAAGATATCTTGGAGAAAGACAAACCTCGTCCGTCACGTGAACTACCATCGCCATTGTCGTCATCCCATCCCGCACTTCCAAGGACTAGTTCTGATATAACGAGCCGGAGCCAACGCTCTGTGGCTATAGTGGGAAGGACTACACCATTTGCGTATGCCACGCCATATTCGGGTCCAGTAAGTGGTGGCCGGCCAAAATTTGGCGGTTTCGACGACCATCCTGGTGATACGGAACCTGATGATGATGATTACGACGGCAATGACGACGACGACAGCGGCGAGGATGACATCAGTTGGGATGGCGTCGATGACGACGGTCACAGCGACATCGCAGCAACCTCGACTTCTGGATCAGACCTACACACTCGCGGGCTCAACGACCCTGCCAGCTTTTCCAGTGACGAGAGTGGTTTCGGGAGTGAGAGCAACCAGGAGGACAGCGATGCCGACGCTGTCGATGTCAACATGCGTGCTCCCGAAGGCGATGACGATAACAATGGGTTCGGTGCCCAACGGCAGACAGACGGCGAGGAGGAAGAAGATGTTTTCGATGCTCTTTTGGGCGTACTTGAGCGTTGATTGCGCAGCGCAGCGCAGCGGATGTTGCATTTTACGATTTTAGTTGGATTTTGTCGTTCCGGGATGATAGAACGAACGGCTTCCAGTCTTGCTTGCATCATTCTTGTTGATTAGGGATTTCGTTTCAAGGGAGTATCATACACGGCGAGGAGATTCATTGGATATTGCCTTGGCAAGACTACTAGCTGGCTGTTTATGACTGTTTAGAGGAGGGGTTCTTTCTTCCTTCACACCACGCCTAAGTTACTTACCTCCTTCTGTACTACTACTACTATTCCTCTCCCCATTCTTTCCCCCCTGTATACCCCGGCACCGCTACCTACCTACATATGCGTCTTTCCGAATTTTCTCCATCCTGTCTTGAATCAAGTTTAAATGTTCATAGCGCTTCGTTTTTCCTCATCATTATCATCAATGTCTCTTCTTGCTTGTTTTCCTTCGAAATGTAGTTATCTAGACAAGGCCAGCCGATATATAGTTGGATCAAACAAGGAGGGGGGAACCAGGGAAATGGAATAGATATGAATCACACTTCACTTTAACATGGTTTCTTCTTTGGTGACGATGAGATGACAATGATAGATAGTAGCAAAACATTCTTCTAAACCAAACGGTAGTATCGCGGTTACAAGAACCTTTACGCATCCACTTTCTAACCCAAGAACCTAATGGATGGAAATCCGAGGAAATTCTTTTCTGGCGAGAGAGAAGGACAGAGAGAGACATTCCATTCGTCAAGGCAGGTGAACAAAAAGCTTCCAAGTGCTGGATGGAGATGATCCTCCATCCCGGTATATACCAGCAGCATTGGCAGTTTTCATCTTGTTTGGACGACCCCATTTCGTAAGGTTCCGAACGTTGTTCAATGTGTACACTCCGCAGTCCCAGGTATTCCGTTGCTAGGGGCTAGGGTGGTCGACGAATCGCCACTTAGGGAAATAGCCCAGATTGAACCACGAGCATTTTGGAGAAGAGCTAGAATAAAATAGCTTTGCCTTTTGAGTTTTGGACCTCCAAGATCTTTGCTGGAGTTCATTATTGTGACAGTCTTGGTTGTTATGTCGGCGACAGCCATGGCCCAGTGGATATTGAGGATGTTGAAAATCATCACAAGCTGTGTCGTGTTCACGTCTGTAAGAAATGGAAAGATTGAGAGTAAATATGTCCGTAATTCGGCCCCCTTCTTCTTAGTGTGCAATAGCGCGTATGTGTGCCTTGCATACATGATAGCAATGCCTTTCTGGACAGCATCTTTGGCACATTTCACCTGGATTGCAAAATCCAGGATTCCAATCGTCAACCATCTGCGTCGACATAGGGACAGGAAGTCGTTCATGGTGAGCACTGACGTAGACCCTGAATCTGGATCAGGTACGGCATGGTTGGCGTATCGTCCAGCTCTATCGGATTGCTGGCTATTCCTCCCTTGAAATACTCCAATGACGGGTCGATGGTGCTGGCGTTCACGGTGCCATTCTGCCGACCTATTCGCTGAACTGTTGACGTGCACTCCATCATCGCATTCTGATATGAGAGTAGCCTTATGCGTGAAGCAATTCGCCACTCTCCGGGATCCATTATAACAACTCCTCATAGTAGTGGCCAGGAGCCAGGAAACCCCCCGACTGGGCGATTTGTCAACTTAGGAACCCTGTGCCTTGTCTGTGAGGATGCGGTCTACAAGGCGTTTTCCGAACGCGAGATTGGATGCTGGTCGGATAGACTTTGTTATGTGTTCCTGTAAAGAGGACGATGTGGCATAGCCGCTCAATGGACCTTCCACAGTGGTATGCTGTGTTCCCTTGGCTGCTGCTGCTAGTAGCGGCTGTGACAAGAGAGCTTGTCTGATTATGCCGTGAAAGAACGAAGTATTTATGTGGTATTGGTGAAACCTCAGGCATGGTGTGGTTGAAGTGGAAAGGTGATTGAAAACTGTGATGGAAGAGAGATGATGAGATCTCAAGGAAAGAGCACGAAAACAAGCTGTTTCTAATGGATGTGGCAAGCAGTTTGTTTACCTATCGTCGGAGTTGTAGGCAAGAGCCATGATGTCTTTCGTCGCTGGTACCTACTACTTGAAAAAGGGCAAGAGCAACAAGTGGAACCTATCGATACCTATACATATGCACCTCAGCGGGGGTGACTACAGCTTATTATGCTTTGATCTCTCTAGTTAGGATAAATAAATAAAGAGAGATACAACGTACACTCCCGAAATATCGAATCCATCGCTGCTGATGCATTGAAGGTGGTCTTGTAGTATCAAGTACGATGTACATACTTGACAACTATCACTATAATGATAGATATTAGAATATTATCTGATCACTGCAGTTTCTAACTTTCAACTTGCTACATGTTTCTGTGTAGCAGAAGCGACATCATCGTCTCGAAGCGAATACATCTACAATCATATAAGAAATTCTTTAAATTCTAAAACCCACTAAAAAGAAATCCCATTCTCAACCATCCTCGCCCACTCTCCAGCGCTCTCGCACCCTTTCACCTCCTATTCGAGAAAACACTGACGGCCAACCTTCATAACATCAAACCCCCCCATCCCCACACTCCACTAACACAGTACCAATCAAACACATCTCAATTGAAAAACCACACACCATCACCTCACACAATCCCCCTCTCCTTCAAGACACCTCTATCAAACATATCAGGTACTAACTCCACCACTGCATTCCGTGAACCCCCATAGAAGTCACGCTGAACCAAAGCAATCGAACGATGGTGGTGGCACCTTCATCAATCACACATTGTCAATGCCTTGTCTTTACGGAGATGATGGGAAGCGTGAGAGGATAGTGTTGTGGAGTTGGACGTTTGTGTAGAGGTCGGGGGGGGGGGGTGTGGTGTGATGGATGGAGGTATCGTATGTACATGCTAATGTCTACTACGTGTAGTCAGGATGCTTGGATGTGTTGACATGATTGAGGGGATGGGAGGGGAAGATAGTGGTCACTGAAGTGCTGGGTGTGTGTTATATGACTGTGGAACGTGTGTATGGGCAGTTGGGGATTGGAGGTTACATGACGGTTTAGGTACATGCGGTTCAGGTTATTTCGTCAAGAGTTGTGTGTGGGTGAGTCAGTCATGGGTGAGTTGCGTGAATGCGTGGAAGCAAGATGCGGAAAGGATAGGTTCGTAGGGAATGAATGCATCGAAGGCAACCACAGGTTATCGTCTGGTTCAAGCAGGCTGTGAGCGGTTCGTGATGTTGACTGACTACACAAGATACTTTCGATAGCATTTGTGTGATAGAATCTGTGCGATAGCATCTGTGTGCATGATTTGATGATATCAATAGTTGCCGGTTTCCCGCCCATGTTATACATACCTAGATAATAGATAATAGTATGTTGGTAGATGCACAAGAACATATGTTTGAGTCACCGATACATTGACTTTGAGTAAACTTACGGTACCTACTGATCCGTACCTTAAACCTAAGTACAAGTACAAGTACTTACCGCCTTCTACAGCACTATAGAAAGCTTCTTATCATAACATGGCAATTTAGCACTGCATGCTGCATGTAATTGAGAGACGCAGCCGCTGTTAATATAATATAATCCGTCCAAGAAAGACAAGCCAGGGTGCTCGTCCAGTTCCCAGGATTTGCAACTTCACCTGTTCGGTATCACAAAGTGCTCTATCTATTTCATCGGGTCCGGAGACACTTCCCGCCGTGCGAAATTCCTCCTCGGCGATCCTGTCCCGTGAGCCGATATTCGCAATGGAGAACGTCCCCCCCCTCCCCTCCCTGTTGAGTAAAAAGGGTTCAAGATAGTCGCGAGCGCGGCAATGAATTCCCGTCTATCATGCTGCAGCAGCTGTGTAAAAGGCCCGTAGTCAGAAGGCTATCGCAAGCCCAGGTGGCTGCAGCGAGTGGATGGCGTAGTTCTAGAATTGCAGATGCTCTATCGTGCTGGCGTCCAATAATCATATTGGTAAGAGCTGACCCCGAATGATGCTAAAATAAAGTGCAGCCACAGCTGTAGACGGTTCGTATTCGCTTGGCTGGCTGGCCGTCTAAGAACAATCGGGGCGGGGGAAGACTGAATTTGTCTGTTTGCGCCATAGGGGACCGGCTGCAGTGACTCGTAGATCAGGATGAAAGTGAGTACATGATCAAGCAAGAGGGTGCTTCAGGTTGTTTCCGGTGTCCTAGTAGAGTTTTCCGATCAATTGATGGACGGATGAATCACATGCGTCGTCGCCAACACGCAGCCAGAGCTTGGTTCGATTGCGGGATGGTGGGCATGTGAGTTGCAAGTTGCAAGGGCTCGGGAAAGCGGCGTGGGTCCAAGAAATTTATGCTTAACCCACGCTCAACCTTATCTGGTAACCTTGTTCTCGCAAGCGAGGCCGGCTGATCCACACATTAACCAAGCAATCGTGTCGTATCCATCGTACGATTAAGCAAATGTGTCCCCTTGTTTTCCAGGTGGCGGTACGCCGGCATTCCCGAACTCTTTCGTGGCGTCACATAGCACGAACCTGCCAGGACAGGTGGAGGTAATTTCTCGTACGGGGCCCATGTGTCTATATTCTAATGATGATTTCTCCAAGCAACAATCATGCTTGCACCTACCTGTACGAAAGGGAAGTACGAGAACGTGATATATGATCGAAGGGCGATGACATGCTGACGCGGCCTTCGAGCAATCCGATCTATGAACAACACCAAGACGCCGCCGACGGGGCTGATGTTTGTATAGAGCTTGGCAGTGTTTAGCCAATTGTGATGTTTCTCGGGCTTTTGTCTCGCTGAGGAAAGCTGAGACGCTAGTTAGCCCGTCCTGCATCGAATTTACACCGCACTGTGTGAAGCACGGCTAACTGGAGGTTAAGTGCTAGTACGAGCATGTTGGGTTGAACTCGTGCGCCCCGCCATGTCCGCTATCTCATGGATTCGGATTCACAAGCCTAGGCTCTTGGTGAAAGCATGGCTACTCCACCAATGATTCTCCAACACTTTTCCGCTGCCGGCACCATCAGGAAGGCAGGCCGCCGAGCGCTGCCCAGGCCCTCTCTCTACGGACAGACTGCGGGCGTATGCCGTACGATGTTTCAGGAGCGGAACGAGAGGAACGATAGGAACGATAGGAACAATGAGGCAGTGTGCATTGGGAGGATCGAAGTGCGAGAACGCAAATTCACCATAAACGGTGCACGGCGTGCAACGTATTTGTTGATGCGAAAATAACAAGTACCGTCAGCGTGGGAGCGGAGCCAACCCTGACGGACCTTCAAGTAAGCTTAAAATGCGAATGGCACCAAGCAGCAAGCTTATTGCATCTGCGGGAAGCCGAGACCCTAAACGATTCTCTGGTAATTGGATCCACTACTGGCATTGATTGGCATGGAGCCGAGCGACTTGTCCAAGAGCCAAAAGGCGCGAAGATACTTGGGTAACTAGTTGGCTATTTAGCGAAGTTGCGAGATTCCACGTATGTATGCGATCAACGACTGGATATGCCGCAAGCCGTTGGACGTACGGAGCATTGGGTTGGACTGCGGTCCAGCTCCAGTGACGCCACGAGGGAGAGGCTAGACGAATGGACCATGCCTCCCTTGGGATTTGCCGCTGCTGCCAACGATTTCGTGCTTGGGGGTACAAGAACTTGCTTGAGTGGTATGCAATAATGTCTCTCCGTATATGAGCAATGCGCGAGTGCCCCTTCAGCTTACCTACCTAGTAATACTGTGTGCGGAGTGTGTATGTCAGTCTTTGTCAAATGTGCCAATGCGCGGGCGTCATAGTTATATCGAGAGCCTTGGGGCCAAGTATTGGCATGCAACTGCCTGAATCTCGCGGGAGGGCGGATCTATCTTTACTGTGATATACCGGAGTATTCTTGCTGAACGTCTCCCTATGCGGTGCTTACACCCGCCTCGCATGATTCCACTGCTTGTGGGTGTGGTTGTAGGTAGCTTAACGGGACGAGATGGACACAAATGACATTATTTCATGGCCAGGTCTCTTTTTTCACACACACAATCCCCTTCTGGTGTACCTTTCGGGGATCGGCACGGAACTGTGACACGGTATTGTATACGAAGATGGAAGATGGGCACCAGCGGGCACCAGCAGACACCAGCAGCACGATGGGCGGAAAGACGGCACCGGAGGATAGAGGGATGTGGATTGCCTTGAGAATTGGCGAAGCGGCGAGTAACAAAGCAGGAAGTAAGAAGGCGTTTACCGTACGAGCAGCCTGAGCAGGAAGGAAGACGAGGCAAAGATCCGACAAGGGCCACACCCTCTCCATCCATCCACCCTCCCTGCGCCCACCCATGCAGCGTCCAGGCTTGGAAGGGCATCAAATGACCGGGATTCGTTGGAGAAGGCTTGTCTGATCTTTAGGTTGGAATTAAGTTGGAATTAGAAAAGCTAGCAAAGCTTGGCCCGATCGAGGCGGAGACTTCCAAGAATGCACCAAGCGATGTTGCCTGTATCAAACGATTCCGTCTTTTCCATGATGGACGCCCCATTTTGCAAGATAGTTATGGAGACGATGATGAATGATGAGACACAGGAGGAGAAGAAGAAGCAGCAGTACGGGGTAGTAGTGGGTAGCATCTGGGTCGCTTGCCGCCTCGGAAGGGAGACAAGAGGGCTTATGGATTACTGAAGAGAAAGAGTTGTACGGCAAGGACTTCTCTGGGTACTTTCTCAGAAGGGAAATTGATGGATAATACTCCGTATGTACTCGTACATGGGTGATACCGTTAGTGGAAGTTGTACGGTAAGACGGCGCAGCAGAGAGACAACGATGGGGATAGTGTTCCACGAGACGCCGGGGCGCCAGTACGCGTAGCAGGGGGTGGAAGAAGACTGTGCCTGCAGTGTGTTCTGTTGTGTTTTGGAGAGATTTCAGAGGTGCCATGTATGTGTAATAGTCAATTATATGCGGGAGTGGATATATATGTTGTGTGAGTATGAAGTTCGTATGGAGTACTGGGATGAATTATGTACTCCGTATAGTGTGCGTGAGTGTGTGAGTGAATGTGAGTGTGTGGGTGTGGGTGTGGGTGTGGGTGAAAAGAAGAGTGAGGACATTCAAATAGAGTCTGGGAAGGAAAGAGCGGCGTGCCACTGCTGCCAAAAAGATTGGCGTCGCTAGTAACTAAGTCAGCCAAGTCTTAGGCCCTTAGCCAGTCACTAGCCAATTACTTACTGTCTACCCACTGTCCACTGTGAAGGTACCCAGGCGATCAGCACGAGGGAATTTGTACGGAAGAGGGATTAGGGAACCATTTTCATTCATTTCATTATTCATTCATTCACTCAGTGACAAGCCAGAAGCCAAAGGAAAAAGCCATAGAAGCCCAAGTACCAAATGCCAATGGCGAGAAGCGACTGGGCTGGACTCTTAACCTCTTGACTCTGGACTCTTGTCTCCTTGTCATTGTCTCATTAGTAGTCATTATTCTTATTCTTATTCTTCTTCTTCCTCTGATCTGACTGTTGTTACTACTTTACTTACTACCAAAACTACGGAGTAATTAAGGTATCTGCTAGGTACCTAGTTTGGGTCGTAAACCATTACAAGTAAACGGGCTTTTCCCCCTAACCTTAAACCTTCTTCGTCTTCTTCTTCTTCTTATTTCTCTTTCTTCGCCCCCAGTTTATCTATCTCATCTCCCTTCTCACTCATCTTGTCTCACCCCGTCAGTTGTCAGTGCCTCTCTATCTTATCGGGACTTCCATTCCAACTTTGCCATTTCGCTCCCCACCAACTCCATCTTTCCTAAACTCTCCTCCTCCACACCACACACACACACACCTAATCCATACCTGGTTTGGCTTCCTCTCTCCCTCCCACCAGATTAACCTTACATACATACATACATACATACATACATACATACCTACTCATCCACCATCCACCTCCACTTCCTCTCCTCTTCCTCCTTCTTCCATCCTCAACTTACATTTACGTTGTCACCAACGTTGTCCACAACTGTCTTCCCTCCAAAGCCAGCTGTGAAGCCCCGTGGCACCGCATCTACCACCATATCCTTATTTTGTGTTTCCTCCTTCTCCTCTTCCTCCTCCTCCTCTTCCCACTCCTACCCTTTTTACGCCCTCAGTGTCCTTCCACTACACTGTGCCTCCATAACCCAAGAGGTTCCATAAAGCTACCTACCGCTCTGCGCGCTCCACTCACTCCTGCCACTGCCACGCCCTCATCTCGCTCGTTTCATCCACCACGTCGTTTCGAACTCGTTGGCGCATCCTTCCTCCGCCCTCCTCCGCCCCTCCCTCTTGCCGCTCTGCGCCGCAAACACAAATACACACGCACGACAACTTGTCCTTGGCTGCTACCCGCCTTATATTGCTGCTGCGGGAAGCCTCCCCAACACCGCAAGGCTGCCATCCAACATCCAATCCACTACTACCTGTCATCGGATTCCACTGCATGGGATTCACACTATACCCGTAAGCATATTTCACTTTACCCTTCCTCCCCTGCCTCCCTCAATTCAACACCACCGCTGCTCTCTCTTCTCCTCTCCTGCTTCTGCTACCTTCCATTCATTTTATTTCTATAACATCGTTCATTCAATTGCATTTTTACCTTTGTTCGCAATTGGACCGGGTGATCCCTTCGACACCCGTTGTCTGCACTTTCTATTCTGCCAAAGATCCGCAGTGTTATGGTTCCGATTCATGGTTCCGAGCCAACCGTTGTCGATCTCTTGACCTCCGTTCTCAACACCACGTAACTAACACCGACTTTGCAGCGCCTGGTCGCCCCACCGAAAGTCACGTCACTGAGTTGAAGGCATCGGTACCAACGTCGCCTAGACCTATTGTTAACCACCTCTCTCCCCGCGCAAGGTCCGAGAGGTAACCTAACGAACGAGCGAGAACACAGTAATCGACCAATCCAGATCACCACACTCACTCAAGAATGGAAACATATCATGGGCATGTCCGCACCCCAGCGGACGCAATCATCCTTTTCGAAGCTTGCCGCATCGGTCTACTCCCACGAGTCCAGCGTCGCTTGTCAGAGAAGGAGCGCCAACAAATCAAGTCAGGGTCTGTTTTCGTTTGGGATGAACGCGAAGCTGGTATGAGGAGATGGACAGACGGAAAGTCCTGGAGTGCCAGTCGTGTATCCGGCAGTTTCTTGACATATCGCGAAATGGAGGGAAAGCGAGGAGGTGGAAGTAATGGCTATATCCCAGATAAGAAGCGGCCGAGCGGCAAGTCCCCCGACGGTTCAGCCACTGGAGATTCTGAGGGGGAGGGTCCCGATGGATACCGCTACAAGCCCGACGGGCTCATGAAGCAATCTTTCAGTATCACCACATCGCAGGGACAACACCTCCACCTCATCAGCTATTTCTCCCGCTCCAGCCCAGCAGCCAACAACCTCCAACAACCAACGACAGATCCGCAACTTCGCCATATCCGACCGCCCAAGCAGATGTATCCAGAATCCTCCGTCAACGAGACCGCAACCGTACCCCCAATGACACGTACGCCCATGCCTGGCTCCCCATATCCGCAACCACCACCACAGGCAACAGCTTCTCCCTCACCCTACGCCGCACCTCACCGATCACCACATGCCGTCATGGTGTATCCGCCGACTCCCCCATACGGTTATCAATTATATCCTAGCCCTCTGGCCGTAGGCTACCCCCAGGTCTATTTCGCGCCTCCTGGCTACCCACATCAAGGAATGAATGGATTGGCCCCCCAGCATGCTCCCCATGCATATTTTGCCCAACCACAACCGCATTTCGTACCCAATATCCCCCAACGAAGCCCGCAGCCGCTTGAGCATCTGCAGCAGTCGGCACAGGCGCCCGCGCCACAACCACCACAACCGCCTAGCCATCGCGTGCCTTCAGTGAGCGTCACCCTACCCGAACCAGGACCGCAACTTCCCGCAATCAATGGCGCGATCGCGAAGCCATCCTCCCCTCAACCCTCAGAGAACAAGACCAAGGAGTCGGCTGCCGCAGAAAGCACCGACACAGGTGCTTCTACGAGGAATGTACCTAGCATCAACACTCTGTTGAACGAGACCAGCGCGAATACCCAGAACAACAGCCGTTCCGGAAGTCGTAGCCCCGGTAACAACCAACGTCCACTGCCACCCATGGCGACTGGAATGGCAACCCATTCCAGCGCTACCGCTGTTTCGGAGAACGCGATCAATAAGCTCAACTCAACCTTCCGTTGAAATGTTTACTGGATTTGCAAATCCACAGTTCTACATATTTTTGCGTATGACTTTTCCTTTATCTATTTTGCATCAATTGGCCGTGGTTGGCCCAGGGGTGGCATTTTGAACTTTAGCGAGCTTCATGCATATCTCAATGGCGTTTGTATTTTTCTGTTTCCATAATGACATGGCGACGATGGGAACTGGTTATAGCACGACGTATAAAAAGGGTTGCTCAAGGCGTATATATGGGCAGTTGTACTCGCAACGGACGTCGTTGTCGAGAACTGTAATTCTGATATTAACAAACTCCATTGTTGAAGTCGATCATACTTTCTATTTATTTCATGACAAGTGAGCCTGTGAATTTTGTGATGGTTTGTGGTGTAGCATGAAGAAGCGTGTCATTTGATTACAGTTTAAGCTTATCTGTACTCTTGCCGTATGCGGATCTATGCACCAAGGTTGGTTAAGTCGCGATTGCCTCAACACAGCCTAGCGCCTCCGACCTCATCAACGTCCAACGAACCACATCTCATCCACATCCAGGACCATGCACCTCTCACCTAAGTAAGGTAGGTAGTTAAATCACTACAAGCATTACATGGCAGCGGTACAGATTGCTTCTCACAGCTTCTGTATCAGGGAATCAACCTTGCTCATCATCACCTTCCCCTACCCCTCCCCTTCGAGATAAAAAGTAACAGCTGATCCGGGACCGACCCCTCACCCAGTCGGCGAATAAAACACACGAAATGCTTATTAGCTGATCGGCAGTACTCTGTATATGGTGGCCGTCCCACTTGCATGTAACTCTTGCGTTGTTAGCGCCGGTAAGTGATGCGGTCATTGTGCGACTTGACGGCCTTGCCTTCTCGTGAGAGGTAGTGTCGCGCATGATAGTTGGGTATCTTGCGAGTTGGTAGGTTGCAAGGGGATCTGAGTACGTAAGTACCTAGTCAACTGGGGATCCGTTTGTTTGAGGGATTGAGGTAGCATTGAATGTTGTATGGATGTATGGGCGGGGAGAGGGGGAGGTCGTTGTGTCGCATAGCATGGATGGACACCGCGTGGGTGGAACCTTGATAACACTACCTACCTACTCCGTACCTACACTTATATCCATCCATCCATCTTATCGCTCGGTGATGTAATTGCTCACAGGCAGTGAGTGCGTGAGTGAGCAACATTGTCTTCCTTTTTTTCCCATAGTGACGCACCACCTCGTCCCCATCTCCGCAACAAGGCTGTCCCTCTACCAGCACCCGCTCACCGTCGCCGTTCCAGCTATCAAGCAAACAATGCCACCCTCCGACCTCGAAAAGAGCGGCGACCTCGAGGAGGGCCACACGAGCACGAACCTAGTGTCGCAAGAGCTTCTCAAGCACTCGCACGATGCGGACGCAGCGTTGAAAGCACTGGAGGGCCAGTCCATCGTGTTGACGCCTGCGGAGAACAAGAGGTTGCTGCGGAAGATTGATTTGCATTTGATGCCGGTCTGTGGCTTTTTCCCTCTCTCCCTCTATATCCACTTTCGGTGACGGGCAAGGAAAAGGAAGAAAAAGAGAGAGATTGAGTCTGGATGCTGATGATTGAGCTTTCGGGGTAGATCATGTGCATTGTATACGGCCTCAACTACCTCGACAAAACGACGCTGAGCTACGCCAGCATCATGGGTCTCAAGTTACCGCCCTCGTCCGACAAACTGCACAGCGGCATTTCAATCAATGGGTCGCAGTATAGCTGGTCAGTACAATTATTCACTCTTCCCCACCCTGTCCTATCCTATCCTCCTACCCATCCAGATGTAGAAGGAAATGTGCGGGTTTTATAGTGTGAATATCTGGCTGAAACTCTCTCCCGGGCGGTTTTTGGTTGCTGTGAAGGCTCAGCTCCATGTTTTATTTCGGGTACTTGTTCTGGGAGTATCCTACCAATCGATTGCTGCAGCGATTGCCGCTTGGAAAGTACTGTACGTACATCCTCTATTTCCCAATCTCCCCCATTCAATCCAGTTCCCACGGAGATCTGATTCTAACGACAACGAAAAAAAAGCGGCCTTCAACATCATAATGTGGGGCACCGTGCTCGCGTGCTTCGCAGCCGTCGACAACTACGGCGGCGCCATCGCCATCCGCCTCTTCCTCGGCATCTTCGAAGCCGCCGTGACGCCCGGGTTCGCGCTCTTCACATCCCAGTGGTACACGCGGCGGGAGCAGGGTACCCGCACGGGCATCTGGTTCTCGTTCAACGGGTTTGCGCAGATCTTTGGCGGGGTGCTGGCGTACGGGATTGCGGTCGGGTGCCGGAGGACGGGCACGCTGCTCGAGCCGTGGAAGATTGTGTTTTTGGCGACGGGGTTGTTGACGGCGGGCGTGGGAGCCGTGTTTCTGTGGGCGGTGCCGGATAGCCAGATCAATTGTCGGTGGTTGACGAAGGAGGAGAGGATTCTGGCGATCGAGAGGATTAGGATTAATGGCCAGGGAGTCGGGAATAAGCATTTCAAAGGGTATCAGATGAGGGAGGCGTTGCTGGATCCGATGTGTTGGGCTTTCTTCTTCTATGCCCTCATTGCGAGCATTCCGAATGGTGAGTGAGATCTCGAAGCTCTCCTATCATCCTTTTGGCCGGAACAGTTTGTTGTGTCGACCCCGTCCGAGAAAGAGAAACAGGAAAAGAGCGTTGACAGAAAACAACAACAACAGGAGGCATATCCAACTTCTTCTCCCAGCTCATCGTCGGCTTCGGCTACACGCCCGAGCAATCCCTCCTATACGGCACTCCCGGCGGCGCCGTCGAGATCGTCGCCCTCATCCTCTGCGCCTGGTACGGCGACCGCATCGGCCGGCGCATCCTCGTCTCCATGGCGGGCCTCGCGCTCGCCCTCCTGGGAATGATCCTCATCGTCGCATTGCCGCTCAGCAACAACAGCGGCCGTCTCGCGGGATACTACTTCACGCAGGCGAGTCCGACGCCGTTCGTCGCGCTGCTGAGTCTCATTAGCAGTAACGTGGCCGGGTATACGAAAAAGACGACCGTCGCGGCCATGTATCTTATCGGGTACTGTACGGGGAACATCATCGGTACGTCGAAGCCCCCTACCCCCCTTTCCCTTCCCCCTTCCCCTTCATCATCGACCATCTTTATCAAACTAATGACTGACGCACACGATCAGGCCCACAGACCTTCCGCCCAGAGCACGCGCCCCGCTACGTCCCCGCGGAAATCACAATCATCGTCTGCTGGGCCGTCGCGCTCGGCATCCTGGCCTTCGTCCACGTCTACTACGCGCGGCAGAACGCGTCCAAGGCGGCTGTCCGCGGCGGGGCGGGTTACGTCCGCCTTGAGAATCAGGAGTGAGTGAAATTTCCCGTGTGTCTATGCGTATATATCTCTTGCTCTGTTTTTGTTTGTTTGACTCGCTTCTGATGTATTTCTTTGCTTCGTTTGAGAATTTCTTGTTGGGAGAGGATGGGTTTGAAGAGATGGGAAAAGGGGCTGACGAGATTCTGTGTAGGTGGCTTGATTTGACTGACCGGGAGAATCCCGAGTTCGTGTATACGCTTTAGAAAAGAGAGGGGGCGTGGTTGAATCGATGGAGTGGTCGAGCGTTTGAAGAAGAGCGTTTGAAGAAGAGCGTTTGAAGAAGAGCGTTTGAAGAAGAGCGTTTGAAGAAGAGCGTTTGAAG